GATCCTGCTATTCTATCGGTGCATGTCTTCTGATATCGATGCTAATGATATGGTGCCATACGCAGAAAAAAATGAACATTTTGGATACTTTCATTCCTTCTTGCACAACTGCGCACCTTGAGCTGGAGTCGGAGGAGTACTAAGTAGCGATTTTATGGCGAGGGCTTTTAAGGATAGCTGGTACGTTCTCGCTATTTCTTTTTCTTTGTGAGCTTTTGTTATTTGGACGGCCCGAGCAGATAGTGTTAGAGAATGTGTAGATAAGCTATATAGATCATGTGAAGAGGCAAGTAAACGTCCTTTGAACACTTGTTCCTCTTAAATCGGCTCAGACGTAGTTGATCTTAGTCAATCGAGGGCACCTCCCCTCTTTCTATAATCTCAGCGTGATTGTTCAGATTCATTTTGGATATAACGTTTCACCGGGAAAGCGATCATCACCGAGAAAGCAACCGAACCTCACAGGGGGGCATTATGAGCACCAAAGCAATACCTATGAAACCATACATGTATCGTAGAGTTCTTTTGGTGTTTTTGACTATTTCTTATGATCATATCAAGTATATAGCAATGGGAGAGTCATCGGGTGGTCATCAAGCCTTGATGGCCTTCCCACAGCTATATACTCACAATCTATTAGTAATGATCGTCATAAATATTCAAAAGATATTTCAAAATGACTTTAGTGTATTTAATTCTGTAACTCTGGGTGATTTTGAATTTTCACAGCAATTCGCGATCCCGTTCATGGCATGCTTGATTGCTTTCCCGGTGACGATTGCGTTCCCAGTGAAACATGTTAGTACTCGATACTAGATAGCTCGAGTCAGTTTTATTAAGAAATGAGATCTCATTTCAAAGACGATGTATTCGACATAGTGATCTCTTTATAGATAGGTGAAATATAGATGAGAGTATACTACTATATATATAAGTACTGCAAGTAATTATAGAAAGACACGTGATAATCAAACCTGTTACAACCTCTAATATAAATTCTTAATATATTAACACCTATCCTAGCTGATATGCACCGATTTCCACCCTCTCCTACTCCCTTTCCTACCCTAGTTTATATATGGAGATTTGAAATACGAGAAGTTTCCTCAACTTCTCCTCAATTTTCTGCAGACTCTCTCCCATCTTCTAAACCAGTCAATCAATCAATCTTCCATTTCCTGCGCATGGTTCAGTATCTCCACAAGGCGAGTGATAATCCATAACCGCAAACTTTCCATCCTCAACAGGATAAATAATGACAGGCGAGGTATCCCGGTTCAAGAGTACACATACCGACATAATATGAAATTTCACTCTCTATATTAGCTGTTTATATTACTCAAAGTCTTAGAAAATTAAAGTTTGTTCATTTCCCCCTTATCTTTAAAGTTTAAAATTTAGATATTGAGATGTATAGTAGTAATTAGCGCATTTATAAAGAAATAAATAAAACCTATATATCTAGAAATCTCTCTTCTTGATTGCTCTCAGGTCTTTTGCTTTTCATTCTTCTCCCTGGTATGGGGATCTCGTGAATCTTCTGTACTTGTTGTCTGCTCCTTTCTCGCTCTTTATCATCTTTGCGCATATATAGAGGGAAGAAGGAAGGCTCTATATAAGTAATGCAGCTTTTTACAAGTGTCACCTATGGGTCCAGAACAAATGGAGACCATAATTTACTAGACATGCAGGTACGGACACTGCATATTTTATAACAAGAGATAATGGCGCATTTAAATGACTGCACACTGTAAAACGTCCTAATCAGGAGATAGTATACCCCAAAGTCACCACTCATAGAGGTGGCTCCAAAGTACGCCACCACTCACCTCTCCTGCCACACCTACAAACAAATACAGTATAACGCAAACCTTATTCCCTCCCAAAACGTAGCACTCGAACCTGACGCTAAACCGAATATGTCTACCGACGAAGACTCTTCACTCACTCGCAAAAACCACCTGTCCAGGATCGACGAGCTAAAAACTCGAATCAAGACAACCCAGGAACTCTACGCAGACATTGAAGGCCGGTATAAAGACCTAAACCAAAAGATCTTCAGGACCGGCGCTCGAGGCCATGCTTTAAAAGCACTCCCAAAGTTCCATAGGACCGTCGTCACCGACGAAAAGAAATGGGAGAGGCTAATGTACGAGAAGGCTGAAATCGCGGGAGGCCTGGAGGATCTGGAAGAGGTCCTTAGTGTTCTACAGGCAAAGATGGATGAGCTGCTAGTGTCCCTACCAGCACGGTAAGAACCCATTCCCATGATTCGCCGGAATCCGGAACTGCTATATATTAAGTGGGTGTTATTCAGATGGTTCAATGGCTAATTGATTCTGGTGATTTGCAGAAAAGATATGCTCATTCCTATGCGGAGAAAGCTGTCGCTCCTTGACCTCAGGGGATCCGGGGTTGGTCGGTTGATGGGTCAACAGTAAGTTCATGTCTAGAGCCAGCCTTACTAACTATAAACAGTTGGACACCAACTAAAATAATCTCTAGTTAATAACTGTTATTGAACCGCCCTCAAAACCTCACTCGGTGAGGTTAGTCTCCTAAAGCTACAATGGTCATCAAAACAGCAATAAAGGTGATTATTAAGATATAGCGAAGTCCCTAATAGCAATTTCTAATCTCATCTTTTGCGTTAGGGTCGACAAAACCTGCTCAGAAACCTTTGACTACTATTCAGTCAAAGTTATCTTTCTTGTACTCCATATATGTAGTTAGCTGGGCGGTAAAAAAAACATGCTGGAGTATATATACTCTCGGCTTTCCAATTCGGTGACTTAAACAATATTAATAGGTGGTTGATCACGATTCTCTTAATCGTCCCTACAGAATTTCAGTTTTATTTAACCTTACTTCCATGTATCCCACGATATTCCAGCCCTCCACTCGCGTTCGTTCCCAGATCCGCACCTATAGAAGGTGCAACTAAATGTATAGTGATAAATCCACCTATTCCTTCAGGTCTAGCTTGCTGTGTTAGAAACTCCAAGCTCAATTTAATCCATACCGGGACTAGCCCTTACTACAGAGGGCACATGTATTCAGATCAGATTTTACCATATATGTAGTACGCAAATCAGTAGCCACTTGTCATATATAAGTGTTCATATAAATATACATGTATGTAGGTACAAACGTTAATGTAACGTTGACCTGTACACTACGCTCTTATAGAGACATATCCACAAATACGTGAGTACATATATATATATATCTGGTTTAGTATGTACGTAGGGACATATGTCACCAACTCAGTATTAGGACGTGGTCACAGTCGAGTTCACGAGGCGGCCATTTTAGACCCAATCCTCTGCCTATAAATTGAACCTAAACCTCTACATAACCAACCATCATGCTCTCCTCTCGTCTTCATCGATTGGCTCCAATCGTTGGGACAGTACTATGGATCTAGATCTATGCCATCGCTGCATCAGTCTCTGCTTTCTCTGCTTCCATATCTTGCCTGCTGCCTCAAATTATTTTATTATCTCTGTTTTCTTGCTTCTTTTCGATCCCAATGGCTAACAAGACCACTTTGCATAGCTTCATATTCGGAAAATCGTACCTAAATTAATCATCGGAGAGTTGAGAGACTTTGATGGTTGACGTGAATCGAGTTTGACAAGGATCGGTTATTGGGAGGTTCTTGATTGCCGGTAAACTCACAGACAACCCCTCTCGGGGAAGGGGGAATGACACCCCGCTACGCGCAGCATAAGATCATATCCCAAAAGTTTAGTTCTCTCCTTCTTCCAATATGTTCATTTCTAATGTGTTGGACTTGCAGACAATTGAAAGTATGGATGCACACTATCGGCAACATCGACTGGATTGCAGTGAGAGCGACCCGATGGCCTTAGTGGGGCAGCGAGATGATTACGAGTGGAGTTAGCTGTTGAAAGTAGGTTTGTAATTTTCTTATCTCCTTTTTTCCTTTTTATTTGAGGTGGCAGGCAGTCTTTGTTTGTATTTTACATATGTAGTTATATTGGATCAAATTTGAGAAGTTCGTTTTTATAATATATATATTGTTCTACGTATACGACCTACGTCGATTGTGCAATCGATCGACACTATTGCTCAAATACATGCTAGTCTAGTCCATCCAGTGAATTATGTATCCAGTTAAGGAATTTCGTGTAGAAGATACAGTCCATACTCTGGTACTACGGATACTACCATGATCACTTTGTTGTCACGTTCAAATAGATTCTCTCCGTACTGAAGTAACCGGGGTGAAGGTGGCAACATGCACTTTGTGGAGTCTGGGACGCAACTTGCGCTGGGCGGCTGATCCATTAGTGCCGAGTGACCGCATATGATGGGTACATTCATGAATCATCACTCGACCAGGATATACAGTTCCAGGGTTGGGTTAGATATGCATATGTTGAGCCTTGACACATGGTAAGAAGATACATAGGAAATTCTTGAAAAAAGACTACACTTGTCTAGCGGGAGTAACGTCGCGGGGGAGACGTCTATCTAGTTAATTTGAAGAACTGGGGTCGGACTGACTCCTGAACCTATACCATCTGAGAATAAGAGAAGCTTGATCAATTGGGTTGAACGCAAAGGTCCGTTCATGCTAGCTACTGTGCAAAAACTCGTTAACTGTTCAATACAAGTATAGACACCTTCACTCACTGAATACAGTGATTGATTTTGACTGCAGAAACCAGACAACGGTAGCAACTCCCAGAGCACATATGTCAATTCCAGAATCAAATACACGCGGAAACCATCCGTTTCACTGGGTCTAATTATAGCAAACACTACGCCCTTCTAACCAGCTAACCGAGTCAAAATAATAGACGGTATCACGATGACCTCACTATAGGACTTTAATCCCGTAAGGGCAATGTGTCCCCAAACACCCTCCACCCCACCCAAACCTTTCTTTCCCATATATACCTTTTCTCATCACGAAACCCCTTCTTTCATCTCCACCGAGAGAAAAAAAAGAAGAAAAAAGAGGAAGAAAAATGGCAGCCCTCCGCCGCCTCTTCAAGCTGAAAAAGCCACAGTCCTCCACCTCGCCCTCCCCCTCACTCCCCTCCCAGGCCCAAGAGGACTCCAAATCTGCGGCCGGAAACGCCAAACCACCACCAGCAGCAGCAGCAGCAGCAGCCGATAAAGCAGCCAAACCAGAAAAGGAAGACAACCCGCTAAAATACACCTTCCCTTCCCCCTGGGTCTCCAAGAAGGCCGCCGGGGAGGACCAAGAGACCGCCGTCGTCCTCCACGTCCCGCTGGCAGAACCCCCATCCTGCACCAAGTGCGGCGGGGCCCAGCAGAACCTGCAGTATGCTATTGGGCTCTCGGCACTGCTGGATGTGAGTAAGATGCTGCTGTCGATGCTGTGTGTGGTGCTTGGTGTTGTGGTGATGGTGCTGATGTCGGCGACGTGGGTGCTGACGAGGGCGTCGGCGGGGTTGGAGGGGGTGTATTTCGGGCTGGATAAGAAGAAAGAGAAGAAGAACGAGGAGGAGGGGGAAGGGGGGGAGGAGGGGGAGGAGGAGAAGGGGGGGAAAGTGTTGATTGGTGTTGGTGTAGAGAGGGAGGAAGGTGGGAGTGAGGTGGTGTTGCTCCGCCGTGATAGTGATGGGGAGCTGTATGAGCTGGATAATTATGATGCACACCAGCCGGAGGAGGGGTATGAGTTTGTGCCGGAGATTAGGCCCGTGATTGTGTTTAGGGAGGAGAGGCTGGCGTTTGCGGCGGCGAGGAGGGCGTGGGTGCGGGGTGGGGTGCGGATGGGGGGGAGGGCGGCGAGTTGTGAAAGGTAATGGTGTGAGTGGTAGTGATGGTGTTGTAGGGTAGTGCTGCAATTGAATTGAATAGAGTATGGGCTTGCCGCTAATTGCAAGACTGGTTTGCGGTTAATTGGGAGAATTAGATGTGATTAGAAACTAAGTGTCTGTGATTGTCAATTGCTGTGAAACTAATGCTATGAAAAATAATGCCGATGAAAATAATGCCTGAAAGCCAATGCCTGTATATATATATATAATAAAAAAAAACACCAATTGAACACTGAAACTCCTTCCCATGGATCCAAAAATGCTACATAACTATATCATAGGTATCAAACTCCCCAAAAACAAAAACAAAAAACAAAAACAAACGAAACTCCTAAACCTTCAACATCCCCGGACGTTCCACCGCAGCCACAGCAGCAGCAGCAGTAGTAGCAGCAGCAACAGGTCCTCTTGCACTATCCAATATATCCACAGCCCTATGCAGCCCCCTCATCACCGCAATATCCCTCGCTGTATACCCATCATCCGAGCGCAGCCCCGTATCCGCCCCACTCTTCAACAGCAGCCCCAGCAGCTCCACCGAGTTGCGATTAAACCCCGCCGAGTAGCCCTGAAGCATCACGCAGTGCAGCGCCGTCCTCCCATCCACATTGCGCATATTCACGTCCGTGCCGCGCTGCAGCAGGAAGCGGACCATGCCCGGCGACGCCACATAGGCAGCAATGTAGAGCACCGTGTGGCCGCCCGCGTCGCGCGTGTCGACGCGGGCGCCGTGCTCGACGAGCATCTGCGCGGTCTGCATGTGGCCGTGGCGGATTGCGACGTGCAGGGCGTCGCGCCCGCTGATGGTGCGGTAGTTGACGTCGGCGCCGAGGGAGACGAGGAGCGCGGGGACGGTGAAGGAGATGCGGGGGGAGATGGAGTGGTGCAGCGGGGGCTGGCCGAGGAGGGCGTCGGGCGCGTTGATGTCGAAGTGTTTTTGGAGGATGAGGAGCTTGATGAGTGGTTTGTGGCCGCGGGAGGAGGCCCAGTGCAGGGCGCCGAGGCCGGAGTAGGGTTGGGTTGCGCGGTGGTGGAGGTGCGGGGTGAGGAGGAGGGAGAGGTGGCGGCAGGTGAGGAGGAGGGAGGCGGCGTCTTTGGCGAAGCGGAGGTGTTCGGCGATTATGAGGAGGAGCTCGTTGGGGAGGGCGAGGAGGGGCATTTTTTTTGGTTGAGCTTGTGGTGGTGAGAGGGGGAGGAGAGGGGAGCTGGTTATAGCTGGTTATAGCTGGTTATAGCTGGTTATAGCTGGTTGATAGGTATCGAGAGCTCGGGATAGAGCTCGGAGCTGCGAGATAACGATCTGCTAATTATAGATATTAACCGGGGGGTCTCTAGCTTCAATTCAGTACGATTGCGATAAACAAAATGGATATGGAGAAACTCGGGGATCGAGAGTTTGTAGAGAGCTTCATATACTAGCAATGGGGGGGGAAGGCAGCAAGATACCGCAGTATCTCTCCTCCTCCTCCAGTCACGCATGGTGTCACGAGGCCTGCCAGCAGCTAGGTAGCTCGATCACTCAGACACGAGACTTATCGTAAGAGTTACTCCATGGATCTAACACCCAATGGGCAGGGCAGGGTAACCCGATGCCTCACGAGTCACCAGAGCACGATACAGACAGACAGACAGATATCTTGGCCTGCTGTCTCATATCGGCCTCATGGAGTGACAGACGGATAGACCGTACCTGAATAGTGATAGGACAGTATGTAATCCAACGCCTCACGGTGTTGGAACTTGGCACAACCCCGTGGAGAAGATACCTATGTCTCACATCACTCGTCTACCCGGGTACCAGCTGTTTCCAATGGCCAAACACCACCCCCAAACGCGCCCGCCGAACGGCACCGCGCGAGGGACCTTATCAGCGTCAGACTATAGCTATAGCGCCGAGTGAGAATTTATGAGCGGGATTAAACAAACACCCACCTGGTTACCCTGCACTGAGGCTATGTAGTATCCCAGCCTACTGATGCAGCTAGGTAGGCCAATCAGAGAGAGTGAGGCTGATACGAGAACGAGTACGGACGGTATGGATTTGATCCGGACAGACAGCGGCGGCGGCATGGTCTCTACTGTTCTGGAAAACCGAGGCTGCTGCACCCACGACCATCAATTACGATCTACTAAGAACAGTCAAAAAAAGTAAAAAGAAGAAAAAATATATATTATGAAAACGCGCAGCTGAGGCAGCTACGTACCTAGGTAGGTAGGCGGTGACGTGTTAGAAGTTCCAGCCCCATTCCAATCTCCTGAAAGAGTAAACGTTACGGGGCCGCTTCCGCCGCTCAGGCCAGGGGGGTCGGTTTTCGAGAACAAAAAATGTAGTCTCGTGTAAGTGTGTGTGTGTTAGTTAGGATCGTTGTTTTGGTTTTTTGAACTCAAGGTTGATTGGTTGATTGGTTGGTTGGGTTGGTTGGTTGATTTGAGCGGCGGCAGATGTGGAAATGAGCAATTGATTGACACGGCCAGAATAGTAATGATGCCGAGAGAGGGAGGAGGTCTCTCGCTAGAGTACTACATATGGTTGCTCTAGAGTACAAATTCCAAGTACGGACAGACAGACATTGTCACGTCACGTCACGTCACTTTGGTTGTTGGGTCATGGACTTCAACTCCTTCTGGATCTTGTTTTGTCTTTCGTTTCTATCACTAGCTCGATCGACGTCTTTAAAAGTAGCGATACACACGTGTTCGCACGAGATACACAATCGACATCAAGAGATCCAGCGTCTCGGGGTTATGTTTGCACTTTAACGAGATTATGGTTTTTTCTCTTCCTTGGTCATAGCCCATGCCCATAGAATACTCTACTCTACCAGCCAACCTTACATATAGGACTTTTGGCATGTCTTACCTAACACCCAGACGACCAGACCAGACGTTGAAAGAAAGTTGATAATGCCAAGAAAATATACCCACTGCAGGGGGAGTCCATACGCCGGACCGGTGACGGCTGAATCGAGAGAAATTATTGATGTGTAGGTAGGGAAAACCTGGATTTCGTTTTTTTTTTCTTTCTTTCTTTCTTGGGTAACGATGGGTATGTATATGGGAGAATAATATAATATCGGCTGTTTCAAATAAAAACCCCCCTCGGGATGTGCCGTTTGGTATCGAATCGGGGTATCTAAGTGACACTCGAATTTCTGTTTCTGGTGCTGGTTACATCTACCGGTCAACCTACATTTCACTACTATTTCTGACCGCTATAAGCATTGTTTAGACAAACGAGGAGGTAGCCGGGCAAGAGTCAATATGAAGTAAGCAAGCAAAGCATCAATCGCGGAGCCGCACCAAATATGAAATATAAAATGAAAAAAACCTGGAATCCCCTATTACTACAAGAAATCGTGCACATCGTTCTTCCCCCCCACCACCGCCTCTCCCCTTCCGACCCAACCTTGACAGCCTGCATTTTGTGTTGTCGTTGACATGATGGATGATATCTATGTCACATTGGTTTTTTCCATCTTTACTCAACTTCCAACACTTCTCTAATTCAAAAACACCCCACCACCCGCGCCTTTCCCTTTCCCTCTTCCCTCATCTGCTTCGCCCCTCGCTCTTTAAATGGATGCGTGAAAAATATTTATATATTTATAATGCAGGTTTTTTTTTTATGATGTGTGTGCGGTCATTTCGGGGCGCGCGCGCGAGGTTCATCGAGGAGAGACCCCTCTATTTGTTCTCGGGGTAGAGGTCCTCGACGAGGGAGACGCCCAGTTCCTCGCGGAGGTCCTTGAGCTCATCGAGGTACTGGTGGTACTGTTGCTTGTTCTCAACTTTGGCCTTGATGCCTATTTAACCGGTTTGGGTTAGTTCGTTTTCGGACTTAAGGATAATTAAGCAGTGAGACATATAGGTCTCATCAAGATAACAGGGCAAAATACCCTCGAAGATCCTCACGGCGGTGGGGAAATCGTTAACACGTCTGGCGGCCTTGAGAGCGGCAACGATGACGGAGGGGGAGGGTACGAGATCGTAGGCGAAGGCGTTGTTGAGGTTGCGCTATATATATCAATCTCGTTAATATCCAATATACATCAGATGAACATGCAACAAGGCTTATTTTTATTATTTTATTTTATTTTTCTGTGAAGGAGGACTACAAACCTGGAGTTCAAAGACATCGTTGACATTTTCAAATTCCTTCTCGTACCTGGCGGGGTGGAAAATCAGACGTTAGCTGGACGGACTGACCGGTTGTTGTTGCGCCTGACATCACCCCACACCACGAGAAAAAAAAAGCCCGAAAAGCCAACGGTTCCCTCGGTTTATTTTGGCCAACAAACAATTGAAGTCCCGACGAGGTAGCGGAGGACCAAATCGTCTTTGGATATAAGTCTGAAGATCAGGAACCCTACCTAGCGGTGAACTCCTCGAAGCTCTCCTCGTGGGAATCGCTGTAGAATCTGATAGCGGATGCCTTTGACGCAACAGTGGGGACCACAACTCTCGGAACCTGGGTGGAGGTTCTCAAGATTGGCCTAGCGGCAGAGGAAGCGATACGGAGAAAAGAGGCCATCGGAAAGTCGTGGTCGGGGAGGAACAAGACGAAAAATGGAGGGGAGGGTGTGCAATTGAGCGGGATACGGGGTCTGTGATGGGATTCGGCTGTCGTGGGGAGATGGGAAGGCGGGATTATGCAGTGGGCTGAGGTTGAGAGGTGGGCTTTGTGAGGGGTGATACGCCGAGAGGGGGTCTTTCGAGGAACGGGTAAACTGCACTTTGCTTGGTTGGCTTTTGTGTGAGGAGTTTTGACGAGGATCTTCAAGACTCACGTGATCTCCCGCTGCTCTAACAGATTTCCCCCTTCGGACTCTTTTTGCATGTCATGCAGCCAGACAGAGAAACAAGTCGGGATAGACACCGACCTTTAAGGAAGGGCTCGGCAGAGGCGCATTGTTCCGGGCAAACGCGTAACTCTGGCTGGCATCTTGGTAAATGTCACGTATGTGTTCTCGAATCTCTACTAACGCAGGAGGCACTTTGCGATCCAAAACAACTGAACCCCCCTCCTCCATCAAATCAACTATCAACATCCCTCCTATCGTATGTTGAAATTCCCGGGGAAGGAGATTTTTTAAATTCCTCAATTGATGTACCCAGAGAGATCGCCCAAAATCAGATGTGTACATGTATCTAGATAACCTTTTTTTTTTTTTAAACTCCCGCAATCAGGGCCAAGTAAGGATCAAATCAATGAGGTAGTCTGCCTTGTGATAGGTAAATAGACGTAACCCTACGGTCACAGTCGGGGTTTCGCACGCGCGGTATACCGAAGTACCAATGGTTTTTTGCATGAAATTTTTCTGGCATCTAGAGTGACTTTCACATGCTTATTCCATGGACGGTAGAGCAGATGTAATTCAAATCTCACTCTGCCTACTTTCGGATGCGGAGGAGCTTTTTAGGCGGGCGAATGAACGAGTCTACGCCGAATGAGCACGTGTGAGACCTTCCCCCTTTCCAGCCGCAGATTCGTGCTCTTTTTCCCCCTTCGCAACCCAGGCAATTGGCTACGATAATATCTTCCACCGCTCCCTTCTCTTCTCCTTCTTCCCTTCCATCTTCCTTCGCTCTTCACTTCCAGCCTCCTTCTTTCCCCTTTCCTCATCAACACCGAGGGTACCCCAAGGGACTCGACGCTTTTAATCAACGGCCTTCCCCCCCTTACGTTCTTTCGTTCCTTATCCACTACCACCTTTTTCTGCTCTTGCAATCCTTCGACCATAGTAATTAATATACAAATATCACACTCCTTACGCCATGCCAGTATCAGTGGACAGCCTCATGAAGGCCATAGACATCCAGGCACCTAGCATTGACAGGCCATTTGGTATTCACCTATGGCCCCTATTCGATCAGCTATACACTGCGGTCACCGGAACATCCGCGAATGACTTCGTATTCCAGCCTGGCGTGAACCCGATCTCGACATTCAAGGATAGCGTATGCATAATCGCGGCTTACTATGCAGTCCTTGCCGGTGGATCGTTCATCATGAAGGGGCTACCCGCCTTTAAACTCAAGTTTGTGTTCCAGCTTCACAATTTGGCTTTGACACTTGTATCTGGAGGACTATTAGTGCTCTTCATTGAGCAGATTATTCCTACGCTGTACAATAACGGGCTGTTCTACTCGATCTGCAATGTCGGGGGTGGTTGGACTCAGCCATTGGTCCTTCTGTACTACGTATGTTCTACGCGTCCAACTATTTTAGGGTATTTGTTGTGGCAGTGACTAACGGACGCGTGGATGCTCAGTTGAACTATCTTACCAAATATGTCGAGCTCTTGGATACCGTCTTCCTTGTCGTTAAGAAGAAGCCTCTCAGTATGATTCCCTTGCCAAAACCCACTCAATGCTCCAATGCTGACCGGATATAGCCTTCTTGCACTGCTACCACCACGGAGCCACCGCCCTTCTTTGCTTCACTCAGCTCGTCGGTAGCACTTCAGTGGTGAGTAATCTGAGAATTGCGATAAAATTCTCCCCGGGGGTCCTGAACTAACGATCATCGCAGTCATGGGTTCCTATCTCTCTCAACTTGATGGTCCACGTCGTCATGTACTGGTACTACTTCCAGTCTGCCCGTGGTGTCCGCGTTTGGTGGAAGCAGTGGATCACTCGTCTCCAGATTGCGCAGTTCGTCATTGACCTTGGTATGTCTCATCTGCGCTTTTACCGAACTTGGATTTCCGATAGGACTAACATCGCAATCTCATAGGCTTTATCTACTTCGCGTCATACACTTACTTCACCTCCACCTACTGGCCCCACATCCCTAATGCTGGAAAGTGCGCCGGCGAGGAATACGCTGCGTACTCAGGAGTGGCGGTCATCTCATCTTACCTTGTTCTGTTCATCTCTTTCTACTTTGCCACCTACAAGAAGGGCGGAAAGCCCTCCGTTAAGAAGACCGTCCAGAACGGCACTGCCGCCATCAACGGTAACGGCAATGGAGTCAGCAACGGAAAGGCCGTTAACGGCAGCGCCAAGGCCAACGGAAACGGAGCCGTCCGATCCCGCAAGGCTTAAAGAACGAAAAAGCAAGGACAGATTTTTTTGATGATGTCGATGGGGGAAAGAATTTATATGTCTGAATTTGTGGGGAGTTGGGTTGCGAATATGTAATATTGTTGAACGGATTTTGGTGAACTGGGAGCCTGGGGTAGGCTGGCAAAACTAATGGGTAGTTCATGTCTTGATCTGATTATGAATTCGTGGGGGATGGGCGGGGTTGCATCTCATCATTGGGAAAGGTCTTACAATTTCACTCGGTCAAACTGTAGGGTTTTTGTGTTTTATTTTTACCTCTTCTTTACGGCCCCCTTTTTTTGTTTCATGTAGGTATATTTCTCACCTTTCTGATTTTGTTGCATTCTTCTTTTCTATTTTTCTCAGGAAGGATTTCATGCGCGGCGATTTGATACAAATTTGTCTTCTTTTTCTGTTTGACCGAGAAATAATCATCATAGAGCGAGGAAGGACGTTTTTGTTCCTCTCTACAAAAGGGATTTGGACACCCCCGAAATATAAAATACTGCTTAATCAAGAAAAGAAAAAAAAAGAAGAAAAACCTGGTTCTTCCAGTTTAATCGTGACCGCATTGCATTCCATTCATCCGAGCTTTCTCTGCCTTGTTTTTTTTTTTGTGCTCATGTATGCGCTGTAAAATGAAGATGCACATGCTGCAGGGTGGACATTTCACTCATAAGCTCTCACTCATCACGCACATGCACACACACATATACTCATTTCCATCGCACTAACATACAAACCATTCCCGACTTTATGTCAAACTAACAAGTAATTTTTCCTAGAAGGCGAAAAATTAATTACAATGCGCAAAAGCGCGCATTTCGGTAGGGGGTATTAAAACTAATGGATGATAGAGGAGTATATAAAGAAAAAATAGAAAGAAATGACAAGAAACCACACCAAATTGCCGGGAAATAAATAAGAAAAAAAAAAAGAAAGGAAGGAAAAAACGAAAACCCTGTATTGGCCCCCACAAACTTACTGTAGTTATTTCAACTCAATCGACTTACTAGTACTTACTACCCCGTTAAAAACATTCACTACAAAGTTGAATTCCTTAGTTTCCCACCCAACCGGGGTTCCCAATGTTTTCCATACAAAAAAAAAAAAAAAAAATCAGCTTTCCTTATAAATTACTCACAACAGCGTTAACAAAAAAAAAAAAAAGGAGATGGAGGAAGCGTCTGGTACACTCACAAAATAAAGAAAACCAAGGGAAAAAAGGGAAAATAAAGAGAAAAATAAGTAATCGCAATAAACGGAGATATAAAATAACACAAAAGACCACCCAGAGACCGAAGGAAAAATAAGCTTGAGCAAAAATAAAAAAAGGGGGGAGAGGGGGGGATGGGGGATGGGGGATTTTGTGCGTGGTGTGCTGTAGCAAGTAGGGACAATAACTCTTCAAAGCTCGCCGCAGCCCCTTCGGTACACCCGTATCTCCTTCTCTAGCCAGGCGTCCCTGACCATGCCCTTCTTCATGGCGACGAACATCTTGGCCTTTAGTTCGGACTCAAAAATGGAGAGACAGGCAACCAGATCCTCGACTGACATCTTCTTGTCGTAGTCATTCTGTAGCGTAGTGATCGCGCACTGGATGTTATCTACGCCGTTGAATAATACCGGACTGGGCACGACAGGTGTCGGCGGCGTCTGTCGCTGGGCTGTTGTAGGCGACAAGCCCAGTGTCTGCGTGAATGTCGTAAGGGCACTCGCGATGCTCTGGTGGTTGTGGACCTCACCGGCGAAGCTGCGCTTCATCCGCTTCATTGTCTGGTGGTTTCCAGCACCTACGCCGGAACCTGCACCCACCCCAGCACCTACACCGACGCCACCTCCCCCGACAATCGGCGCTGGTGTTGCAAGTATAACGGGGGGTCGATTAGGGGCGACGGCTTCATCGTCGTTCTCGGAACCGGAGGTGCCGTGCTCTTCGGCATCGTCGAACTTGTCGGTGCCGTCGTTGCTAGAATCGTCAGAATCGTCGCGGGAGCGCTTGGTGGGAAGCGACTCGGGAGTGAGGGCAAGGTCGAGAGTAGTTGGTGAGAGGGGCGCAGTAGATACAAGTTTGCTGAGGAGAGCGTAGTTGGACAGGGCGCGGCCGCGGTACTTTTTGGCTATGGGGTTGGTCTGGAGAAATAATTGTTAGGATGGCCAGTGGGGGGGGGGGGGGGGGGGGTGAAGAAGGGGATAGAGGTACTTGCCTCGACATAGCGGTCCCAGACTTCGTTGTTGGCTGAGGGGGTGCCAGTGGCTTCGTCCCAAGCGAACTCACCAGATTCTTTCATGGCGCTGAAGACGGCGTATTCCTTCTTGAGCTATAGCATCCCGTAGAGTCAATCCCGCCCTTTGGCAAAGTTCAATTGATGAATCTTCTCTCCTGCTGTCTCTTCCCCCACCTCCAACCCCGATCTCAAAGATGGTCCCTTGGGATCAGATCGGGGGTTCCAGATCTAAATCTAAATCGGAGTCGGGAGGTCGGAAAGAGATGCAAATATAAGGAGAACAACAATGATAAAGCCATCAGGTACCAGGCCAGATGCATGCAGGGAAACCACTCACAGCATTCGCCTTATTCTTAATCTGCATGAGCTCCAACGGCTGCTTCGAATGCTTATTGAAAGCAGAATGCGCGTTCTGCCATCCCTCCTTTGTCATGCCATGCCCATTCTCAGCTTTTCGGCCTTGGTGGATCTCCACGAGGAGTGCTTTGATCAGGAGCCGCTCCATCTCGGGGGTCCATGTTGCGCGGTCGGGTTTCGAAGGGTCTTTTTCTTTTCCTTTACGGGTCATGGTGTGCGGCGACGGCGACAGCGAGTTGGGGGTGTTGGCTACTGTAAGTTGTGGTAGGAGTAGTTGTGGCTGATGCTGCTGCTGCTGCTGCTTGTGTGTGGGGAGGAGGGGGGACGTGTTGAAGGGTTGGGGACTGGACTGGACTGACTTTGAGGTCAAGTCAAGTCAAGTCAAGGTTGGGTCAACTCACGGGCTTTGCTAGGATGGGGATGGACAGATGACGCGACTTGCTCACGCGCTAGGTAGTGGTGATGATTGGGGAGAGGAGGGGAGGGAAGGAGGGGGGTGAGTTAGAGCTTGGGTTGGGGTGACGTTCGGTCGTTGGGGGGGAAGAGAGAAGGAGTGTGGTTTGGACAGTCGAGAAACGGTCGTGCGGAAAAGAGGGAAAAGTGCACACAGTAGTATGAAAACAAAAAAAGTACAGTACCGAGAGAGAGCGAGAGAGCTGAGGAGGGAGGAAATAGGGAACAAAAAAAAATAATAAAAAAAAAAAAAGTGAATAAAACGACGAGCTGGAAAAAAGAGGCTTCCATTGTTTCGTCTTAGGCGGTGGACCCGGCGATCATAGTATAACAATGTTTCATGTTGAATCAAGTCCTTACCGCACGGCCTGCTGGCGGGGGGTGGGTTCCAAAGTGAATGAGAAAGGAGGATCAAACGAACGTCGCAGCGGCGCCGGCGGCGTACGTTGGGTTTGATTGAAAATTAGATTCTAATATCATATCTTTTCTCCTCAGATCATTGCGCTCTTGAATTGCATGGAGAAGGGGTTTGAGAGGGGGGTGGAATCGAAGAAGAGGGATTGGGGGAGGTGTCGTCAGAATATATTAAAGCCGGTGCATGGTGGAGTTGGATGGGGGTGCTGGAATTATTATATACTACTACCTACACTACATGTATGTACTGCTTTGAGCGTCCCACATGCGTGCTGTGCATGTAGGAATATGTACCTCTGCGTCCATGTACGGCCTCCTAAATATAAACAGTGACCCCCATACATTGCGAGTGAGAGGCCGTGACAGATGTGGCGTAGATACATGGTGTAGCAACTTTGTTAGCTCTACCTATGGTTGACAATTCTGTGTATTTGGCTGGCTGGCCTGGCTATGTCGCGCAGCTCGTGTGCCCTTGACTATGCCAGTACCCAGAAGACATACGCATTCTAGCTCCCGGCCTGTAGCCACGGCAAGGAAGTTCGACATGTCCACAGGGAATAGGCATCTTAACAGACGGTAATATACACCGGGAACACTCTACAAAGCCACAGGGGAAGGAATAATAGAATTAAGAAGGAAGGTGACCTCTTGACCCCGACGGGGAAGGTATCCGGGTAACAATTCGGGAAGCATGTGCGTTGCCAAAATGCCAATACTTTTTTTACTGCATCCATCGGGTGATAGCACCGGGAATTGTTTTGTGTTTGATGCGGCTCAGTGACAGGTGTTGCAGCTTGCGACTTGCCGAGCCCTTTTCCCACCTCACCTCTCTTTTGTTCGCTGGTCCTGGAACATTCCTCACAGACAGACAGACGGACAGACACACATACCACATACCCACGTACCCACAGCTTACGACGACAAATCAATTCAGTAAGGGAACCGTGAGAGGAGGAGACGAAGATCTCAGACATACAGGAGACAGAGGATTACTTACTCTTAATTCCCAACGGTCAACTACTTGCAGCCACATAATCATCATCTTCTATCCTTCACCTACTACCATAATCAACACCTACTTTTTTTTACTGCTGCTACTACCACCACCACCCACTACTTCCTCAATCCATCCCCCCTCCCCCTCCCCTTCCCCCACAATATATAATAGCAATTCAATCGGAGATCGAAGAAGCTCCACAGATCTCCTCTACAACCTTTCCCCCTCCTTCCTCCGAGTTTCACCATCTATCCGTCCATCCCCATTGGCTGTTAATTTACCCCTACCTGCGGCACAATGGTCGTCACGCAATCCAAAGGGATTGCCCGGATTGTGCTTTCTCTGGCCGCTCTCTCCGCACTGCTGATAGTCTTCTACAACTACTCGACCGCCATCCCCGGTGCCTCTTCTCTCCTCCCTACTGGCGACAAATTCGTACGACCAAAGACCGGAGGTTCACTGAAAGGAATAGACCCGCTTCTCAATCCCGAAAAGGGGCCTCCAGGGAAACTATGGGCCCCCGGCGAGACGAACCGAACATCCGCGACGTTGCTGTCGCTGGTAAGGAACAACGAGTTAGAGGGTATGATCAGCGCCATGAGGGACCTGGAACGCACCTTTAATCACAAATTTAATTACCCGTGGACATTCTTCAACGACGAGCCCTTCTCGGCGGAGTTCAAGGAGCGGACAAGGAAAGAGACAAAGGCAGAGGTTCGATATGGTAAGAGCGCGCCCGCATATCCGCTGATAATTGAATTGCGCTGATGGCAGTGTGCAGAGATTATTCCCAAGGAGCATTGGGAGATCCCATCATGGATTAGCAAGGATTTGATGAAGGAGTCTGCCGAGATCTTGACCGAGAAGAAGGTCCAATACTCAAAGCTCGAGAGTTACCACCAAATGTGCCGCTGGAACTCTGGGAAATTCTACGAGCACCCCGCTCTTGCTGATGTCCGGTGGTACTGGCGTGTTGAGCCCAAAGTCCAGTAAGGCTCCAAGCGCCCAATAAATTGGCACGTGACACTAATTAACCCCCCCTGCAGCTTCTTCTGTGACGTTGACTACGATGTCTTCCGTTACATGGAGGACAACGATAAGACCTACGGCTTTGTCATCAACATCTACGACTCCCCCGAATCCATTGAAACACTCTGGCCCCAGACTCTCGAGTTCATTGCAGAACATCCCGAGTATATCCACCCCAACAATGCTCTCAAGTGGCTCACAGACTCGAAGAACCGTCCCAACCACAACCACAAAGCAAATGGATACTCGACATGCCATTTCTGGAGCAATTTTGAGATTGCCGATATGAACTTCTGGCGAAGCAAGAAATACAAGGACTACTTTGACCACCTTGACCGCGCTGGTGGCTTTTTCTATGAGCGATGGGGTGATGCCCCAGTCCACAGTATTGCCTTGGGTCTTTTTGAAGACAAGAGCAAAATCCATTGGTTTGTACCCACCTCATTACTCCAAGACCAAGTAAGCTAACAGTGAATAGGTTCCGTGACATTGGCTACCAACACATCCCCTACTTCAACTGCCCCTCATCACCAAAGTGCCGCGGCTGCGTAGCGGGCCGCTTCACAGACGGTACAGGCCTTGACCAAGAGGACTGCAGAGCAAACTGGTTCGAATTTGCGCATATGGATTAAGCGCTGGTTTGGGGGGCGGGGCGTTATTGTCATTGTCTTTTCTTTCCTAAAAGAAAGTGCTATAGGACATTTGAGGGTTAGATGTGTATGGCATAGTTCGTGGTGGGTGTTATGTTAGGGTCGGAGCATGTAGATTAGGAGGATAGGGCTGGACTGGGTACCCTCCATTCTTTCGTGTTGTAATATCGTTGTCTTTTTTTAGTTTTTATTTTCGGTCGCCACAAGTGGTGGATAAATGACATTTTATGATTATTTAAAGCTGTCAGTTCATCATACTGGATATTTGATTACAGCCAAGCTAGAGCTTGTAATCGTTCTCAATAAGAAGATTTTTTTAGCGGTGTAGCCAGAACACACTGCTCTAGCACCAGAGAGTTCTAATTTTACTTCAGCTGGCCACATGGGTACTCCAAAACCGTTGACGATCCAGAAGAGTACCCCGCATTAATCATGCATGCGCAAGCTTTGTAACCTCACCTAGTGATTGTGGCTATGCAACAGAAAGTAGGGGCCCATCGAATGTCAGATTGGGACGATCGACGTGCTAATATACGTACCCTCACCGTATCAAAAAGATACCTACCCCGTTTCCACCCACAAGGTACGTTTTGTGATAACTAGCGCCAGTGGTGTTGCGGCTAGCTAGATATATATATCGCACTTGCGTTTCGTCGTCAGTAGTGGAGTGGACTCGGAAAGTTGGTTTTGGTGCTGTGAGAAAATCTTAAGCTTGGGTTCGAATTCTTTTTTCCCTCTCTTTTGTAGGGGGGGGGGGGGGGGGGCTGCGTGTGGGCTTGTTTATTGTATATGCACTGGTATGGTACGTAAAGTACATGTACCTTGGTTATGGGCTTATAATACGTAGTTAAACCTACGTATTTATTTACTACGTGCACGTTGTGTGGCCTTCGTATTCAAGACCCTACTAGATGTACTTCCCCCGCCTTTATCGGAAAAAAGAATAGCCTCCGAGAAGCCTGAAAGCTGTGTTCACCGGAGCATCCGTTTTTCGTACTGAATTTTTAGTCAATAGCGGATAATTGAACCTTTCTCTACATACATAGCGTAGGATATAGGCCGATCACTACATGTAACAAACACACCTGTACGTATACCGGTAGACTCAGAGTGCGTCATAGGCTATCACTCGAGTGGTTTCTGCCAAGCCCCGCTGTAGCCTTTGGCGGGGAGACGGTACATTGGAGTGCACGTGGGGTTAGGACTGTCTGCACGCAGTGCGACAATAAAATAGTCAGGGAACGAGACTATGTTGGGACTTAAATGCTACCCACCCTATATGATATCAGTTCACCCCAAGCCCCTACAAAAAAAGAACAAAAGGTAGTATTCCTGGTCGCCGCCACTACCCCCACCCCTGGGTTGAACCCTGGACCTTCTGCAGTCGAAGGCAAGGCACAACCTCGCGGTGTTCCGGGGGGCGAGTGCTAACCGGTAGACCACTCGCCCATGTGTGTTCGTGGTGGGAAATGATATATGAACCCTTCGTGCTTGTGTATTGTGTATTGAGGTCAGCTGCAGATTGATGGGAGCTGGAAGTACTTGTATCGGAGTACCGGGTTATGTGGTGGCCTGGATACTTCGTACTACATAGGGCTGGAATGAAGAAAAAAGTACTGCAGAATTGCGTTCTATAGGTGGTGTATGCTAAATATAGTCATGGATTGTTTGGCCGTGGAATTGATTAGGAGCTCTATCTATTTTGTTTGTCTTTGGGGTCTGGTTGGGGGTAACTATAGCCTTGACGTAGTGCTCTCGTGGGGTAGTGGGCGGGGGTAGCGGGTGTGGAGGTACATTAGTATGTAACTACATGTACTATTTTTGGGGTGTCTTTTGCTTGGGCGCGGGTGGTGGGGTGATGGGTGTGGTGTTGCTTCATGGCGTGTCACTCGACGGTAGTTACTTGCATTTATGATGTTGGGTATGTGTTGTTCAGGGGAGTAAGTAAGGTCACGGTGTCGAACAGTAGAGAACCCAAATGGTGTCCTGTCTGGGTTCTTATAAGATAGCTTGGGCATCAATGTTGGTCGTGGTCAATTGTTGCTATGTTGTTTGTTAACAATTAATTTATCGTAAAGCTGGACGTTGTTCCAAGCTATCTGTACTATCGTACTAGAGGCAGTTTGTCCGCTAAATTTGTAACAGCTATAAAGAGGGAGCTTTTACTCTCTCCCCCCTTTAATCATTAGTCCAATAATACATTCTTCGCTTCTTGGTTCTTCTCTCTTCGAGTATCTCAAAAAACAATCATCAATACCAATCAAAAACTCCAAGACTCGAGCCATACTTTCAATACATGAGAGAAATTACTTTGCCGGTATTTCCACTCCAAGTAATGGGCTTGCGGATATGTAGCTACATGCTTAGGTCTTTGCGCTATTCACCCTATTTTTATGCCAAATAGCGGGGTTTTCTACTACAGGCAGGTGATTCTAAAAAAGCTATAAGAGATATCGGGGCTATCCAGGGTCTTAAACAGAATACACAATACATCAAAGGAAGCCGTGGTAGATGGAAGATATTGTTAGTATCACTATAATGATCCTAATTGAGACTGGCAACACATCGTTTGATTCAACCACTTGATCTAACCTCACTAGCTGCTAGAGTACAGAAACATCACAATATCAATCCACTCCACTTTGCTGCATGCCCACTCTGCGTATATATTTGGTCGCCTACCCTGACCTGATCCAGTCCATGCCTGAACTTACAGAAAAACCCAACAGGAAAAAAAAAAACGCCAGAAAGAAAAAAGTGCGGGAAGAAAAAAAAGAAAGAAAAAAGAACGAGAAAAAAGAACAGGAAAACCTACTGGTCCTACACGCTGGTAATCTCTCGATTTTCCGTGCGAGTATCAATTCATCGCCTATCGCTGTTCAGGGGCCAAAAATAGACCCTCCGTAACATCCATACTGTTCATTTTTTTTTTCTATTCACCCCCCCAACCACGAAGTTCGCATTAGCCCTGCCTGTCTACACTCTGCAAAAAACCAAGAGAGATGGTGGTAGGGGAATATTACTTTTTTTTATTTTTTATTTTTTATTTTTTTCATCGGGCAGCTCCCCCCGGGGGAAGAGCCGCAAAAAAAGACCTCTCTATGAGGGGAAGTCTGGGTAGACATAAAAAAAACCAGCAATGCAGCCAGCCCTTCCTCTGTGGTATAAAAAAAAAAGACCAGCAATGAAGCCAGCCCTTCCGTAGGTATCAAAAAAAAAACCAGCAATGAAGCCAGTCCTTTCATAAAAGAAGCCAGCAATGAAGCCGGCCTCCTATCTCTCGCCCCTCTGTATAGACACCCCTTGCCGGGCTGCCTGCCTGAGAGCAGATGTTGTTTCGCGCGTGCTGGAAGCTCCGTTGTCCTGCACAACTGTTGCTGTTGTTGGTTGCTGTTGCTGCTGCTATCCCTGCTATCCCTGCTGCTACCCCTGCTGCTGTCATTGCATCGCTGCATTTGCGCTGCTGGTGTGCTGCTGTGGGCCCACTCCGCCTGTCATCACAGTCGTACAAAGTACATCTGGTGCTGCTGCGGGGTCACTTTCTTTGTGGTGTGTTAGCTTGCGGACTGTAATGGGTGGGTTGTGGGTATCATGATATAGCGTAGCTGGTAGGAAAAACACAGGAACATGGAAGTTTAACAAGAAGCGGATAGGCAGGCAGATAGGCAGATAGTCAAACAGATACACAAGTACAGGCAAAGCAAAGAAAAACAATCAACAACAAAAACATAAGAAACAGCGAAACTATGTAGTGGGGGATGAGGATCCAGGAAAGACGGTGGGGTGAAGAGGGGGGGTTGAAAGGGGGGTATTATATACCTCACCTTGCGCGGTGGTCTGCCGTAAAGGCTTGGCAGTGCTTCAGGCATCCATCGATCCATCCATTCAACGTACGTTGTGTTGTCTGCTGGCGGGGCTTGATAGGGGAATATCTACATACATGCAGATCTAGATCTAGGTGATTGATATGTCCCACGTGACCCAGTGTGGTGGTGTGGTGTCAACTAATCAGCACCGAGTGCGATCCTATGACGCCGCTGAAAACCTCGGCTTGTTCCACGGGTGCGCCATGGGCTGGCCTCGCTGTTTGCTTGTGTGGTAGAGCTTTGGCGGGTGTGTCGCGCGCGGTGCGTCGGCGGTTTGGGGCGCGCGGGGGGGGGGGGGGGGGGGTAAGTGGGTGGTTTGATCATTGGCCCTTTCTTGGCAGTTGTCTGCTTGTAATTGTAGTGGAACCACCCCCGCCTAGTTGGGGGGTGTTTGTATTTACTGCTGAGATGTATTCTGCCAGTGTTATTTTTCTAGTGTCCGTACGTCCGATCTTCGTTATATACCCACAATCTAGCTAGCTAGCCCCAACCTATAGCCAGCCAGCCAGAATCATTACCAACAACCCATGTTGGGGAGAGAGAAGGCATTACTACAAAAAGCCAACTACAAAAAGAAAAAAAAAACAAGAAGCCCGAAAAAAGCCCGAAAAAAACAGGAAACCAAAAAAAAAAAAAAAAAAAAAGGTCTATCTACTCCTTCTCCGCGTCCTCCTCCTCCTCCTCCTCCTCCTCCTCCTCTCACTTCTCTTCCTCCTCCTGCTGCTGCTCCTCATACCTCCCCTCCTCCCTCCCATCCAACACAGCCGTCACCACCGTGCCCTCCCCCTCACTCCCCTCTTCCCCGTCCTCATCACCCTCCGCGGGGACAATGACAGTGTCCTCTGCCGCCGCCGCAAGGTCGCCGACTATCTTGCCGAGCGAGACCTCGAGCTTGTTGAGCGCGTTGCGCGACGGCGCGTCCTGCGCAACGTTCTCTTCGATGGCGCGCGCGACGAGCTCGTAGAGCGTGCGTAGGTGCTCGGGGTTGGCGTCGGCGGGGATGTAGAGCTTTGCGAGTGTTGAGAGGAGGCATTTCTTCTCCTCGCCTGTTTGGCTGTTAGTTATCTTCCTTCTTCTTCTTCCCCTGTTTTCTGTAGGACTAGAGTTGGGGGAGAAAACATACGGACACAACCCCCCGCAAACACCCTCTCCAACATCTCCCCCGCCAACACCACCTGCACATCCGGATCCACCACCCTCTCCGCCACGCCCCCCTTCCCCGCACTCACGCCCCCCCCACATTCCTGCGCGGATCCGTCCAGTCAGCCAACTGCGCACACACCACGCCCAGCCCCACCATCTCCTCCTCCTCGCCCATGCCATCGCGCATCACCACCAGCGCATGCAGAATGCCCACCACGCCCCTCGCCATGCGCGCCTGGTTCGCCGGCCGCGAGTGGCAGTACACGGGGAAGAAGTACGTGAGTATCTGGCGCAGCGCGTGGTTGTCGACGGTGCCCGGGTCAAAGTAGGCCACGACGAGGAACTTGAGCAGCTCGTCGTCTTGGATCACTTGTGCGAGCATGAGCTTGCAGACGACCTCGGCGGCCGTGGACTGCACGTCGGTGTGGTCGTCGAGTTTGAGCGCCTTGGCGAGCAGCCGGTAGAGCGTGCGTTGGTCGACGGCGCAGCTGGGGGAGGTGAAGAGGGTGGACCCGTGGATGGTGAGGATGTCGGAGATGATGTGCAGCGCGGAGATTTGCAGTGCTTCGTGGCCTTTGTTGAAGCAGTGGGCGAAGAGGGTGAGGTTTTCTTCGGCGAGGGTCTGCGGGGGGTTAGTATGTCTGATATCTGAGTAGATAGGGGCAGGGGGAGGGGGAGGGGGAATAGGAGAAGGAGGGGGGGTAAAGTGGAGGTGAGGGGGTGGTTTTATATCGGAGGAGGGGGGTTTGATATTGGGAAAACTCACTCTATCCAGCAGACACGACAGGCCCAGACAGTGCAGCCCGCGCTCCCTCACCGGCGCCTCATGCGAGCGCACCGCCGGCACAATCAGCCCGTTCAGCATGCTCACCAGATGCGTGTTCTGCTTCAGGCTGCCCTCGACGTTCTCGAGCATGCACTGCGCAATATGCAGGCACTTGAGGTTGATCATCATCTCCTTCAACGCGCGCGCCTCCTCCTCGTCCTCCTCCTCGTCCTCCTCCTCTTCAGCTTCTTCCTCCGCATCGTCAACATCCATCATATCGACGTCTTCATCGTCCTGCTGCTGCTTCTGCTTCTTCTGCTTCTTCTGCTTCTTCTTACTGTCCGCAGCGGCCTTCTTCCGCTCCCTCTCCCTCTCCTTCTCCTTCTCCTTCCGCACCGTGATGCTCTCATTCACGCCATTCTCAATATCACTCTGCGCCGAATGGAAGCTCTCCGACGCCGCATCATCACCCACCGTCTCGTCGCCCTCCTGCTCGTCCTCAATGGCATCATGCACCTCTGCAATAACCTCGAGAATCAGCATGCAGAAGTCGCCCTCGCCCATACTCAGCTTCCCCAGACACTCGACCACCAGCTTCGTCACGCCCTCCGTCAGCTGCGGGATGCCCAGGCTCTCGCGCAGCAGCGAGAACATCTTTCGCCGCCCAATCTCGTCGCCGTAGTCCGTCTTGAGCGCAATCATGAGCATCTGCTCGACAATGAACTCGAGCTCACCGGCCTCCTCGCCCTCGTCCTCGACCGCCGCGATCAGCTTGTTGATGTAGCCCTTCAGCCAGAACGCCAGCCTTGTCACCTCTGGCATCTTCTCCTCCAGCTCTGCCACTCCTCCTCCCTCTCCGCCGCTGCCGCCGCCGCTCTTGACATAGTCATTAAACGACCTCGCCAGAAACGCGCTCTCGGCCGTCAAGTTCTCCCAAAACTCCTCATCCAGCACAACCTGCTCCACCACATCCTTCCTCTCGCTCCAGAACCCGCGCATCGCCACCTCCTTCACCCCGCCCTGCGACCCATCACCAACCACGTCCAGCCGCTCCAGCACCGACAGCAGGTCCCCGCCCACGTCCTCGACCCACCGGTAATTAAACATCTTGCGCGCCGCCACGCGCACGCTCTCGTCGCGGTCGTTCAGCCCCCACCGAAGCAGCTTCTCGCGCATCCCGATCGACAGGTGTCGGAAGTCCCCGAGCGTGGGCAGGAGACGGGTGAACACGCTGCGCCGCGTGGCGCTGTCGATGTCGCGCGTGCGCGCGAGGAGATATGGCAGTGTGTGCGGCGTGGGCGAGACGTTGTAGAGCACGGTCCTGCGGACGTCTGCGCTGGGGTCCTTCTCGATCGCGTCGAGGAGCAGCGCGAGTGCGCCGCCGGGGGTGGAGGCGGCAGCTTCGTCGTCGCTGTTGGCGTCGTCGGGGTCGGCGCCGTCGTCGACGCCCATCTCGAGGAGGCGGACGAGTGCCACGACGGCCTGGACGCGCACGGGGGCCTCGCGGTCCTTGAGGCGCTTTGTGAGCTCCGTGAGGGTCTTTGTGAAGATGCGTTTTGAGACGGTGGAAAAGTCGGTGGGGAAGGTGGGGAGGGTGTTTGAGAGGAGGAGGGAGAGGAGCTGGGTTGTGCGGTAGCGGGCGGCCTTTTCTTTGCTGTTGAGGATGGGGGTGAGGTGTTGGAGGAGGGCGAGGACGAAGCGGTGGGGGGGCTGCGGGGTGAAGGTTGTGGGGTCGAAGGGGGGTTCGGACTCGGAGGAGGAGGAGGCGGCGTCTTCGGCGGGAGGGTCGCCTTCTGCGCTGTCTGTGGCGGGTGTTGGCTTGGGCTTCTTGGGCTTGGGCTTGGGCTTGGGTTTATCTGCGCTCACGATATCATCAGCACTCCTCTAACTCCCTCATTCTCTCCCCTCTCTCTCCCCACAGATATCACAGAACATACCCTTCTCCAACAGCCCCCTCACAAACATATCCACAAACCTCAAACACCGATCCGCCACCACCTCGCCCTTCTTAACCACCAGCACCCGATCCAGGAAGCGAAAGAACTCCTTCACAAACGCCTTCTCGCCCTTCTGGCCGCCGCCGCCGGGGACAGTGCTGCCGATGGTGCCGGTGCCGGCGATGCACTGCTCGTAGGTCGCGCGCAGCGTCACGGCGAGCTTGCGGTGCCCGGCCGTCGTCTTTTGCGCGCTGTCGAAGACCGTGGCGAGCGTTGTGGAGAGCGGGGTGTAGGGGGGCGGGGGCGGGGGGGGCGAGGGGGTGCGTGCGGGAGAGGCGGCGGGGCGCGGGGCGCGTTTGCGGGGGGGGGCGGCGCGGGGGGCGCGGGGGGCGCGGGGGGGTTTGGCGGGGGCATTGTGGGGGTGTCTATGTGATTGAGTTGTTGTATGGGAATTGGGGAGTTGTTTCTGGTGCTTCTGTGTTTCTGGTGTTTTGGTGTTTTGGAGTAAATAGAGACGGTGTTGTCAAGGGCGGGAGGGAGTGTGATTAGATGGATGTTATCTAATCTGGGCCGTCGTCATATCTTATCTCTGCATCTCTGATCTGTCCAATCTAATCTCATCACACCCAATCTAATCCATCCATCTCACAATCTAATCTAATCTCCCCCCCCCCCCACCCCCGCCTCATGCAGGGCCCGCAAACACTCCAAAACTGCCGCCCACCGCAAACACACGCACACGCACACGCACACAGCCAATCACAGCGCCCCTGATTAGCTGCACTCCGGGCATCCCACACTCACACTCACTTCCCGCCGGCCTGCTTGCAGATTAGAAATTAGACCTGTGATCTTGAACCCTCCCACCTCGGGTGCCACTCTTCCTTTCCTTCCCATTCCTTCTCACTCTCGCGTGCCCTCTTCTCCCTTACCTCTCATCCTTCTACTGTACTGCACTCCCTCTCTCTTGTCTTGTCTTGTCCTTATAGTATAGATATATTAGACTGTACATACCAGGCCCCCCACGCAATGTTCCGCCTAGGTCTCCGCCGCGCCTACGCGACCGCCTCGGAGTGCGCCAGCCCCTACTGCGTAAAGGTGTCAAAGGCACAGCGCACCGTGAATGGCTTTGTCGGAGGTTCTTCCCCCCTCCTCTCTCTGGGGTGGTGGAGTGTTTGCTGACATGCGGGGGAGTGAAGCGATCGGAAACACGCCGCTGATCCGCCTCAACAGGGTCAGCGAGGAGACGGGATGCGACATCTATGGCAAGGCGGAGTTTATGAACCCGGGGGGGTCTGTTAAAGGTTTCTCTTCTCTCCCTGCTGTTTTTCTCTGCTCTCTTTCTTGCTCTGCTGTTTTGTTTGGGGTGAGGGTTGCTGACACCGTGTGCGGAGGGGAATAGACAGAGCAGCGCTGTACCTCGTCAAAGAGGCGGAAGAGAAGGGTCTTCTCACGCCCGGCGGGACCGTCGTTGAAGGCACTGCGGGCAACACGGGGATTGGGCTGGCGCATGTGTGTCGTTCCAAAGGTATGCTTGCCCCTCCCTCCCTACCTTTCCCTGATCTGTTTTTTCTTGTGCTGTGCTGTGCTGGGGGGTGAGGTGCTGATCGTGTGGTGGGGGGGCGTAGGGTACAAGTGCGTCATCTATATGCCAGACACGCAGTCGCAGGGGAAGATTGATCTGCTGAGGTTGTTGGGCGCGGAGGTGTATCCGGTGCCGGCTGGTGAGTTTTGAGTTTTTTTCTTTTCTTTTCTTTGTTGTTGCGGGGGTGGGCGCGGTGGGTTCTCTTCGTAGGGTTGGCAGGGCGGGTTTGGCATGTCCGAGTGGCTCTGTGGTAGATCGGGGCGTGAGTTGTCTGTGCGGGAGCTCCCTTAGCCGCCAGACCAGCTCGTAGGACACCGGCGGCGACTCGTGAAGCCTCCAACTACCCCCGGCGCCCCCAAAGCTCTAGGAGACTATCCCATACCCAACACTGCACTCCCGAAAGAAGAGACCTATCCTAGAACCCCCTCTCCCTGCCACACAGCTAACCCCCACAGTCGCCTTCGAGAACCCCCAAAACTACAACCACCAAGCCCAGCGCCACGCCGCCTCCCTCCCCAACGCCGTCTGGACCAACCAATTCGACAACACCGCCAACCGCCGCGCCCACATCGAGACCACCGGCCCCGAGATCTGGTCGCAGCTCGCCGGGCGCGTCGACGCCTTCACCTGCGCCACGGGCACAGGCGGCACCCTCGCCGGCGTCACCCGCTACCTCAAAGAAGTCTCGGACGGGCGCACCGAGTGCATCCTCGCAGACCCGCCCGGCAGCGTGCTACACAGCTACATCCAGTCCGGCGGCAAGCTGGTCGAGCGGTCGGGCTCCTCCATCACCGAGGGCATCGGCCAGGGGCGCATCACGGACAACCTGAAGCCCGAGGTGAAGCTGCTGAATGGGAGTGTGCACGTGAGCGATGAGAAGAGCGTGGAGATGGTGTATCGGCTGCTGGACGAGGAGGGGCTGTATATGGGTGCGAGCAGCGCGCTGAATGTCGTTGCGGCGGTCGAGATTGCGAGGAGGATTGGGCCGGGGAAGACGGTGGCGACGGTGCTGTGTGATGGCGCGTATAGGTATGCGGATAGGCTGTTTAGTAAGTCGTGGTTGGAGGGGAAGGGGCTGTGGGGCGCGGTGCCGGAGCATTTGAGGAAGTATGCCGTGCTGGCGTAGTGTGGTGGATGGATGGTGATGGAGAGGGGGGGGGAGGGGGGGAACTGGATGGGAGCGACATTGTATTGTGGGGCCCCCAGGTGGAGAGAATGGCTGGTAGTGAAGCCGGTAGCAGTAGCATTAAACTAGCCAAACATAAGCATCCATCAAGCAAGGTAATGAGTCTGTTCCATAGCCCACCATGCGCGACACCGAATATCCTGCAGTGCGATCATTGGCCCTCCAAGAAGGCGGAAGGGATATATATTAGTCCCTGCCTCCCCGCGCAAAGACTCATCCCGGGTTATGTGGGGTGCATGCAGTAGGTACTCGTAGATGCATCCCGCTCCCGAACGCAGCTGTTATTGCATACATATAAAAAAGAACGGTCAAGCCCATGGCATGCAATAGCGGTTGTGTTTGGAAACCCGGGCATGGAGGTAACCAGATGATGGGCGAGTGATGAGCTGTGATGCAGGATGGATAGTAATCCTTTCCCATATTCCCCCCGGGTGATGGAGTTTTTTTGCTACCGCCCCGAGGTGGGGAGGTGGGGGTATAGACCTGCCGATTTGTAGAGCTACATATAGCTCGGTACCTAGGTAGACTTCCATATTCAACAGTGGACTCACCTAGATAAGGTACATGTAGTCAAAGCGAAAGCTGAACCTCCACGGCCATCCTGTGGGTAAGGTTTTAGGTACATACTCTATATAGCGAGTCTCTGAGTATGGATCGAGGCGTGCATGGTGTGTTGTAAGTACATTACATACAGCGCCATCTGCCCCCCATCTGCTATGTATATTAATTATTCCTGCCTCATGTGGAGTAGACAGATCCAACGCACAGCACACACCGGGCTCAGGTATTCCGGCATCGCGAAACCTCCCCTTGACGTTACACAAGATCCATTTATAGCCATGATCACCCGCCTTGGCAGGCAAGGGGCGCCTCGGTTCGCGGGTTGCCTGAATGTATAAAGACCACCTCACGTCACCTCACCTCACCACCCCCTCCTTCTCTTTCTTCTCTTTCTCCAGACACACCACACACCACACACCACACGCTCGTAACTGTTTTTCTTTTTGTTTTTTTGTTTTTTTGTTTTTTCGTTTGGCAGCCAGTAGGGGAAGTGGTGGTGACTTTGCGGAAATGTTTTTGCTAACGTCGCGATGGTTACAGAAGTCAAACTCTGCACACCATGAGTTAAAACACGCGCTTTCTCTCCGGATAGCGGTAGTTGGACAATCACTGATAGGGATCACTCTCTGTCTCAAGATTCTCAAGATTCTCAAGATTCTCAAGATTCCCAGGATTCTCAAGTTCTGCTCAGGCTTCACAGCTCAGGCACAGACTCTCAACTCAGGCACGTGACGGTGCATGGCACTGTCAACAACGCCCGAACCCCCAAAAAGTTTTGCGATACCAGCGACTGATTGATAGATCTTCCAATGGAGACGCATTGCGGGATCTCCCTCAATGCATAGTCTTTTTTGACAGAGTACTACTTTACCCCTGGCGAAATACCTGTGGGCATTGAAGAAAAAAATTTAACTTTGGCAACGAAGTTTTCTTTCCTCTTTTTTTTTTTATGCAAAAAGAAAAAGAATTGGATTTACATGGCACATATTATGTAGCCGAATGATGGATACTCCTTGGGCGGGGCTTTTTGATAGAAGAGCTCATCGATCCTTGGTATTTCTGTAAAAGGTGTCCCCAGTGGGCGCCCCCGAGAAAAATAAAAATAAAAATAAAAAATAAAAAGTCAGTATTAAACTCCTTCTATGCTTCCTTTCATAATTGCGGGATAACTAACTGGTTTGTGAACAGAAAAAAAAATGAAAAGTATGGATGCCCTTTCTCTCTTTGAAGCGGCAGCGATATGGTGTTTGCGGACGTGGTAGGTTTGCGATTTTTTCTTTGCTGTTTTCTCCCTGGCTGGCTGCCTCTGGTTTTTCGATGGTTGTGTGTGTGTCTGTGTTTGTGTTTGTGTGCAATTCGGGGTAGATAGCTTAATTTATTACTATTTATACTGGATGAATTCGAACGCATAGCAAGCTTAGCTCTTTGAAAATAAACTCTCTCTTAAACATAATTTTCCTAATTTTTCCTGGCAAAGGCCACCCCAGAAATAAGAACCACTAGCAACTTGAATTTTTTGATAGATGCGAGTGATAAGCTGTGACACAAGTTAATTTTCGAGTAGGGTGGGGGTATTTGCAGACAATAAAGCTGCTCTAAACATATAATCCTAAGCATTTTGTAGGGTGCCTATATTTCCAAGATGACACTAGTATCATAAGCCTTGTCTTATTTGAGAGTGTCGAACTGGCTAGGGGATACTGTGCGTAAGGTACAGGTCCTGTACCACACCGACATGCTGCCAAATATGTTAGCAATTCCAACCATCTCTCAAGAAGCTGCATACGTAGCTTACCTCACTCAATTGCCACTCGGAGATGTTCTGTAATGTGTATACTAGCGGGATTCAAGGTCCCCCTTGGAGGTTTCGGGCCCGCGACTTTGATACTTGATGATCGATAGCGTGAGATGTTGCTGGATTGATAGCGGTGGGTTTCATTGTGAGGTATCTATTCTCTCTAAAAGGACAGTTTACTTTTTCTAAAAGGACAGTTTAGAGTTTTGTTAGCGTATACCATGTGGATTGATGCATTAGACTAGTGGAAATCATAAAAGCCCCCTTCGACTCTCCCAACCAAACTAATGCGTTCATCCATCATACCTCCCACTATGATTTCCAGGTCTTTCAATGGGCCACCTCGTGTAGGGGAACTCCCCTTATCGGCTTGGTTCCAAGGCCTAGACTTGACTTGTTGAGTTTGCGCCGCTGTTGGGGTTTTCCTTCAAGACACCAACCATTGTTGGTAGACAGAGTAAACAGGTTTACGTCCCTCACTAAAGTAAGATGTGTCTACTCCAAGCAATCCCCTTCAGCTCTTAGGAGATTGATATTGATAGTCTTGGTGCCTCAGAATACGTACCAATCTGACCCGGGCCTAGACACACGGTAGCCGCCGCCGATAACAGTAGAGGCCCGGGGTTGATCAAGTGTCGTTCAAGTCTACGGTTGCCAAGAAACAATTACAGGGCAAACAACAAATAATATATCCTCTTGGCAACCGTCTGAGAAAAGTGCAATTATGGTACCTTTACCAGGCCGGTCCGACCCGAATGGGGCCCGGAAAAGCCTACTGGTTATTCTTTAGCTCTTGCAGTCACCATATCAACCACAATTATAATATTAAGTTCATTGGAGCGATGGTTCTATCAAGCCAAGCCTGACTGGTACGTGTGATACTGATTTGCACATGAAGTTTAGTCACGTTGAAAAGAGTAGACTATAATGACCACGCAGAAGCTAAGCCTTCGCCCTACTATTATGTTGGTAAATGTGTCAAGTACAACTATTTAGTAAGATTCCTTCGGTTACCAAGCAGAGTGCGGTGACTTAGACTCTGTATATGCTATGCAAGATGATTGATATTTGATATTGTCAGTTCAAAGCTTAGTATGCTTACGACTTCATGGTACATACACAGTAGAACGTCTAGACCGGAGTTCACGCAGCCATTGAGGTTACGAACCAGTTATGTACGATCTAGACATATTATGGACTTGTTCTGGGTAGCAGCTATACATATCGCGCGCTTACCCACGGTCTGGCGAGTGATCGCCCATGCACCACCACGTGCTTCCTCCCAAGACCTCGACAATCGGGTCTGTTCCTATAATTTGGGCCCCATTCTTTGCAAAGCTTGCATCACAATTACGCCCACGGCTTTCCAGATGTATTTACAGCAGTCCAAATCTCAATATCTGAATCCTACCCACACTGACCGACCTGGTCGCCGCCGCGGATTTTGCTCGCCGACCGCGATGTCGATGGAAAAAAAAGAGGTCTAGACCTTCAAAAAGCAATGACAGGTTGTAACTGTTACCGTTAACCAATTATGCAGGCTGCTAACTAACTGTCACAACCCCCCCCCCCCTTCACCTTCACTCCCACAAAAATTGTCAAAGCGTAGACAGCAGGATCTACTTTGCTCCAAGGCTGAAGAACATGGATTCTTCCTTCACATCAGCGCTTACGTAAAATAGGGAATAGTTACATCCGTACGTACGACGAGATAGCCTGGGTTGTGAACGGGAGTAACCGTTCGAGGCTTCTGCAAAGAATAAAGAAGTAAAAATGAGGCGGGGGGTGAGGAAGAGGAGGAAGAGGAGCGAACACCGATTAATGGTGGGCTGGATTCACTGGGCTTGCATCAACCTACCAATTGCAAATGAGACTAGAATAACACGTGTGTTATCACACTGTGCCACGGTTCCGCATTCAGGGGCAGTTTTTTTTTCCCGGAGTTCGGAGAACATGATGTCAGACGTCAATGTGGTGGATACCGAAGAACTCTACATGCATCTATGCACATGTTGATACTCAAGGGAGAGGAATGTTGTTACTGACTGGACTCTTTAAGCATAAAAAATTAAATTTCATGCCCTCTACGAAACACGCAAGCGTCACCCTCGAAATCTGCATCAACAGGCCAACGCCACGAGTGACAGGTCATGTTTCAAATACCTCACTGCAGGAAATTCCCCTCGGTGGCCTGATATGTACATAGGGTCTAACAAAAAAAGTTATTTTGTTGTTGATTAATGATCCTCTTTAAGTAACCAAACTCACATTATAAAGTTATATCCAGAGTTGCAAAGTACTTATTTTCAAGAGAAGCAAAGACCCAGTGGAAAAAAAAAAGGAAAAAAAAAAGAGAGAATAGGAACTGTAGTAACAAAAATACACTGGCCACAGTATATCCAAAGAATGATGACTCCCGGCTCCCCATGCAACCCCCAGTCCCGCCAGCCAGCCAGCAAATGTTCAATCACCAGTACACTCCCGCTCCATACAGAACCGAAAAGAAAGAAAAAGAAAAAAAGACTTTTAAACTCTCCCCGAGTTACCCAACCAACCGACGCACCCCCCCTCCCGCAAAATATCCATAGAATGCAAATAAAATATATGAAAAGAGAAGAAAAAAGGACAAAACAAGTAGACATAATGATAAATTCAACCCACATATTCACTCCCCTTTCCCACCCCATCCCCACCAAAAAAAATGCCCCCAGACAAAAATCCCAGAAAACCTATTCGATCGAGTTTGCTAAGAGAAAAAGTTCAAGGAAAACAACGAGCCCCCACCGGTATACCCCACCAAACCAACTACAAAGAATACAAAATAAAGACAAATTCCCATTCTAACCACTTTTTATATCCGCGCAACCCATGCCACTCCTTCCCGCAATGACAAGACATGAAATAGAAGGAATAAAAGGGGAGTAAAAATATATTCGTTTCCACATGGAGAATCTCCGGCCAGCATTTTATGATAGATATTTGTTTCCCTTTCTCTTTTGGATATAGAGAAAGGAAGGGGAGGGAGAACTTGATAGAGAAAAGATACTCATTTTTTTTGTTTTTTGTTTTGCCTATAGCCACTAACACCATCCAAATGCCCAACCAACCGGTTTCGCTCGTTTGTTCGTTCCAGTACAGCCGTTTAGTCCCGTTGTGAACAAATTAATTTTTGAGGAGGAATTCCCCATGTATCATCCCACTCGCACACCAACCCAACTCCAGATATTTCCGTTTAACCCACCCAATTCCCATTGTACAGATAACCTTTTAATTTAAGCACCAGGAGACCTTCCCCCACCATTAATTTCCTTCCTTCTGGAATCATCAAGTCCAAGCCCGCCCAAACCTCCCGCGAGGAAAGAAAACGCCGCATCATCATTGCCCATACCGCCATACATCCCGTTGGGTCCATTACCCCCGGCGGAGAAAGCCTGTTCAGCCCTTTGATCGAATGGTCCGGCTGAGCTTGGCCCGACTCCAGGGCCCATGGAAGTGTTAAGAGGTGGGAACGCACCGTTACCGCCACCGAGACCGGAGGGCAACCCAAAGTTACTTTGACCTCCAAACTGCTGGCCAGGGAAACCCCCACCTCCACTGAATTGTCCACCAACTGGTCCAGATCCGCCACCAAGCCCCTGGGGGCCGCCCAACCCTACTCCCCCATATGGCGAGGGTCCATCTATAGGCGAGGAAAATGCAGTGTCCGCAACTACTGCAGCTCCTGCGCGACTGGCCCCACACCTCAAACAGCTAACGTTTTTGGCAAAATTATGGTAGCCGCATCCATCAGAGCCGCACTTCCAATCTCCTGCTCTGAAAGGGACCATCCCTCCACTATTCGGCATAGTTCTAGTTGGCAATCCATGGCCAGCACCGTGTCCCATTGACGGGGGTTGGGATGGGATTAAAGAGGTTTGCGGGTATCCTGAATAGCCATAGACATCGGGGTTAGGGCCAGCTGGAACCGCTGGGAAAGAGCAACGGAAACACGCGGTCCTGCGCTGGAAATTCGAAAAACCGCAAGATGGGCAGGTCCAATCACCCGGCCTCGGCCTGTTCTTACTAGGTGGGAAAGGTGTTAGGATTTCGGCAGCTCTGTCCAAGACCCTACTACTGCTGGGAGAGACTTCAATTGCCTTCTCATTAAGAGCACGTCCATTCATGCACAGTGACTCGGCGGCCTACGAAAGTAAGCGTATGAAACGTTGAAAGTATGAGGTTTATGAAATTACCTCCTCGTGGGATGAGAATACGGCAAACCCAGTCCCGGTCGGCTTATGCTGATCAGGGGTCCTAAGAGTCCAAAATGCAATTGGACGCCCACCATACTGTGTAAACCAACTTTCCAGCTCAGATTGTGTTGTGTCATGGGGAAGCCCACTCATGTGAAGGACTTTACTCCGTTCGCTCAAAAAGGCCCTGACGTCTGCTCGTGCATCCATCGGCCTGGCTAAAACATCAGGGTGACCCTCTGGAGGTTGAGATTTCTTGATCAAACCACGAAGAACCCTTGCTAAAGTGATCGCCTCCTCCATAGCTCTGCGGGGGGAGGCCGGAGCCAATGCCTGTAGGTGAAAGGGTAGATTATGTTTTATGGGCGCTGAGGACTGAACGGGCTCAACTTCGAGAGCTGCACAGATATTTGCCAAGGATGAAGGTCCAAAGGGCAGTGATTCTGGATGGTGAGATTGCCAACGGGTATACTCAGTACGAAGGTCAAAAGTCCGGGAATGTTGAAGATAGGGGGGCAGAACAACGGCTTTGTCTCTGGCCTCGCGGGGCAGCTGGACACGAAGATCCCAAGCATCCAATGTCACAAAAGTAAAATCTAGATGCTGCGCCATTAAGAATTCCTGGGCAAAAGAGTCGAATCGATTAACAGCATCTCTGAAAGAGCCGGCAGTCCGTACATGCTCCCAAGTCAGAGTGGTCAAGCTAGCTATATTACAGATAGGGCAGTGTCAGCTCGGAAACATTGAGCCACGTTGAGCACCCGAGTTTGATATGATACAAGGTGATTTTTGATAAGTTGGAGGAAGGAAGGGGAGCTTCATACTGCACAGTGGGGTGATTGGAGTATTGACAGGTCTGACAAGAACGCTTTCCCTGTGAAGCTGGTGGGCTCGTCAGTGGTAGGTTTCACGATCTGGAGACTCGGAAGCCAACCTCTTCCAGTGTTTTTGCATTGAGTAAAATCCAACCAATTTCGATTACTTCTGCAGAGTCTTTCGTGACGTAAACTCCATGCTCATCACAAGTAGTGGCCACGTGAATAACCACGTAACGATCCATGGCTGAATGTTCTTACTGCTAGAGTACAAGATTTCAGGGTTGAAAGCTGTTTAAGACTCGAAATATATTCGTGAATGAATCGTCTGTAGGCCTATATATGGGTATAGTGGGTTTAGGTTCCTTGAGGATTCCGTGGTTGCTACCGCTAAGATGATGACTGATTGTAGTGTAATACCGATAACCCAACAAAACTCGACTATGGAAAGACGAGTGAAGGGAATCAAGCAAGCTGTGTACGTAGGCGCAACGGATAGTCACAGAGGGTGATGAAGACAGCGAGGAGTAGAAGGAAGGGAGGGTGGAAGAAGGGAGGGTGGGAGGAGGGGGGGGTGGGATGGGCGATAGATACAGGGTAAGATCAGAAGGGAGGCGAAAATGCAGATGGGGGATGGGGGGATGACTGGTGGAGTTGTGGATGGTTAGATAGTATGTAGTGCCAGTGTGGTAAGAGAGCAGATGCCAGTGCAGAAAATATGAGACGCTTCGGCCACGATGGACAGCCTGCAGTAAAGGCAACAAGAATAGAGGGGTTATTAGGTTTCTACCAACTATTCCACGTAGAGTTTCCCTTTTCTTACCTCTGTCTATGATGACTTTTCACCACTTTTTTTCTTCCTTACTTTGGTCCAATGATCTTCCTAATCGGATCTAGCTCGTCTCGGCCCACACGAGAGACAGAAGAGCCACAGAACAACGAAGTCACGAACATCAGCCCCTAAACCACATCCTCACAAACGCCATGCACAATTGAACCACGAGCTCAAGCATAACTTGAGGTCCCGTGCTCTTGCCGCGTTGCTAACGGTGCTTCTTTTGCTCTTCCTTCTCCTATTCTACACCGCCGTACCTGTATGTACCTGTTGTATTCTTTTTCACTAGTAATTCTATGTCCAACCAGGGCACCCGTTCCGGTAACCCATCAACTTACCATAATAGTCCCACATGCATGCCCGTGTCTCAGATTGAACCCTCCCCCCATCAGCATCATCGTCATCACCACCATTTGACCAATTTGTTTATTTATCTACCCTTTCGTGTCTCATCATGCAGTGTGGCCATTCTCTACTCCCCATTCAAAAGCCCGTTTCAGACCAGGCTACATACTGAGTGGCAGTTGTCCAATCATGATTGATATATGAAGAGCCTCTTGCAATGACGTGAACGCCGAAACAACTTTTCGTTCTCTCCAATCCAATGGGAATATAGTTGAACAAACCGACCATTCATTCATTGCTCCATCTTCTCGCCATCATCATTGTGTTCACCATATTAGAGTACTGGAGCCGAAGCCCCGGGGCCCTTCTGAATCTGCTGCTTTTGAAGCGACGGTGGCAGGCCGAGCGGTAGATTCTCCCGCCACCCTCTGTGGATCCTAAAATGCCCTTTCTGAGAGGAAAACCGAGGTGTTATTTGTGCAGAGAGCATTATGTATGTACAATGTCATGTACATACCCGTGTCTGATACGTTTCTTACAGGGTACAGTATGTATTAGGTCAATAATAGAGTAAAGTACATATGTAGATATTTGTATGTACTTGACACTGTCGTAGAGAAATAAGAAGGGGCCGGCGCGTCACGTCACCTGCCTTGCACCACTTGCACCTTGCAAGAGGAAAATAATGTGCCGAAATTGATCAATTTTATTGGAGTTTTTGCTAAAACCCCTGATAAATTGAACCGGTGCTTAAGGCGGCTCCGAAATCTTTAAAGTTTGTTACTAGCTGGTGGTGATTGAAAACCAACCCCTCGTCCGATAACGATAAAGACTGCTTCGCAAAGAAGTCCAATCCCGACTGTCGGGCTAGTAGAGTAGCGGCAAGAACCAGGGGTTGGTTTCTCCGGCAATCATACCGAAAATCTGCAGAGGCATCTTTTCGGTATGGCCCCGCAAGAACTGGTTATCTTATCGGCCACGAGAAATAATAGAGTAATCCCGGCCCCCGATTCGCTTCTTAAACTTCCGAAGCCACAACCGTTGATACCCCGATAATCCAGGCCCAAGTCCCGACCCAAGCCCGCAGAAAGGTATAAAACACAGAACTATTGCATCCTTTTTGCTTCTCCGGTTCTTGTAAACCGTAGCTGGGTACATACGTGTATGTATGTAGCTTCTTGTTAGAGAACGAGCCATCGCACGCATCCATTCCCATCGAAATCTCGAAGTATATCGATAACGGGGGTCCCTGATAGATGTGTTGTGTGGAAAGTGGAGTTGTAAGTTGTAACACGGCAATCTGCCTGAAGTGTAGAGTTACTCCGGAATCTGGGCGTTGCTGAGCAATGCGGTTTATGCAAACAAAGATTAAAGAATTCAAGAAACGGGGCCCAATATGGGGGGGATCGATATCGATGTAAGGGCCTTAGAAGGAAGGGGGGTGTCGGGGTCGTTTATGTCAATTGCCTACCCTACATGAATACCCATCCAGAACATGCTTCCCCACATGAAGATCGCTAAGCTGCTGCTGCTGCTGCAGTCTCGACCTGGCGGCCGTTACATATCCTTCCAGAACCTCATGTGGTTCCTGGAACAAGGCTTAATAATAGCCACGCGAATTTTGTAAAAAAGGTTATTTTGGAGGTCTAAATTTGCTGCTGAGGTAATAAAGTCTAGCCAGATTCGCTTAGCAAGACAGGAGGAGGCGAAGGTGGCATTCGGTGAGACTTACCGAGAAGCCATTTAGCGAGTTGACGTCAAGCTAACAGTTGTATTCATGTTGAAATCTCAATAAGGTTGAGAGCTGCAGGTGTTGGCGGCTCTACTCTCTACCCTGAAGTGAGAACCAGAAGAGAGAAGGGCACGACTGACTCCCTAGAGAGATTAACAAGGGAGAAGCCGCACCAGTTAACGTTTTTTTTTTAGCTGTTGTGCCAGGGACACTTGATATTGTTGTAAGCGGAGTCCCCTCCTTCATCCAATCCCTCACACCCCCCAGAGCTCATCCCAGACTGATAATCACCATCTAGGCAAGTGCCAGACAGTGGTGCTGCTAACAAATCTATTTGCATACGATCTTCCATTAACACTGTATTCATCAAACAGTACCTCGCCTCATGCTCTCATTCCCTCTTTAAACATCTCTCCTTCCCCCTCATCTTCGGAAGCTTCCTCATCTCAATTCTGGCTTTCGCTACACCTGCAGCGTCTATTTCACGGCCCATCCTTAAATCACTCTTTGTCTTCACTTCTCATTATCGATCCCTACTCTAGTTTTTCTCTTCTCACCTTGGTCTCTCCACAATGAAGTCCGAGCGTAACAGAGGCCGATCGCCATCGGGCGAGACAAACTTCTTTAAACGCCTCTTGGTGATGCTCAAGCCTCAAAAATCGCGTCAGCGACATGGGCATTCCCAATCAGTCCCAAATACTCTTGCTCCTCCAGCTTACTCGAGCAATTATGCTGCATCGTCTACATCACTCTATTATAATCGTGGTGGCGCTATGAAACAAACATCTCTTGCTGCCAGGCCGCCCCCAGAGGTGTTGCTCGCTATATTTTCTTACATCTGCCCGCATGCCCTTGACTACACCTACGAATCTGCAGAAGATAGCGTTACCGAGACTGGATGCATGCTCTGCAACATGCGGGACCTTGCGCGAGTAGGTCTCGTCTGCAAGGAATGGCATCGAGCGGCTCAGCTACTGCAGTACCGTAGCATTCGACTCGACAGTGTCCATTACTGTGGGATGGAGGGCGAGCTTTCGGAGAGGCGCAAAAGGAGTTCATTTTTCCAGAAGCAGAGTTCCCCGCTGGAAATTCCCGAGCAACGAATGCGATTGTTGTACCGGACATTCCAGGAGAGCGAGTCGATCCCAGCATTGGTGTGGCTACTGAAGCTTCCTTACATGACACGGGAAACGTGCAAGCAGGACTTGGCTCGACTTGTGTCTCTGCTACCGAATCTACGTTATGTCGATCTACCCGACGGTATCTATTCTGACGATTCTTCATGTGCATCATTGAAAGCCATCCTTTACACAAGATGCTCTGACCTACGCAAAATGACCTGGATGCCTGGATCCGAGAAGAACTTTGTGGATTTGTGGTATGAACCGCCATGGGTATCACTCGAAGTAGTTGAGTTATCGAACATGAAAATCGAAAATGGAGATTTAGTGCAGGCTCTCTCATCAATGCCGTATTTAAGACACCTTAAATTAAAAGATATGCAGTGGGCCACTGACGAAGTCTTTGACCCGGCATTTGAATTCGGTCAGTTCCGGGCCATCAAAAGCCTGGAACTAGAAGGGAGCACCAATATCACTATTGACGGCTTATGCACATACCTCTCTCGACCTGAAGTCCAAAAAACCCTCGAATCTCTTACCCTCACAAACACCTCGATCCCTGCCCACCTCATCTATCGTATTTTACCTTTGGCAACATCCCTCACATCCCTCTCGGTCAATCAAACTATTTCTCGAGTTATCCCTAGAGCTGAAGTTCAACTCCTCTCATCGCCAACACTTACTCACCTCTCCTATGAGATCATCGGCGAGGATACCAGGTTGACTAGGCCAGCCCCGAGTTACTATGCATACCTTTCCGAATCACTATGGGCCGGCGGTCTCCCCTCGCTCATCGACCTCTATGTCCGCGAGACGACCTTCCACAAGCGTCTCCAGAACGAGCCTAATGGTGCCAACGCTGGTGTCTTTGCGGCGGGCGAATGGACGCAGAAAATGACTATCTTCGAAAAGAATCTCGATCATATGAACTGGACAAAGTACAGGGTCGGTGCACTCGGTAATGGAAAACTCCTTGTCAGTCCAATATATGAAAGACCCACGACCTCGGCCTTCAATTCAGACTTCGAGGCCGAAAATAGGGCAAGCCTATTGACCGTCCCTGGTTCCAACATGGGAATCAAAGAAAAGAGGTCAAGCAGACAGGATCTGTGGAGATGATGCCCCGGTTCCCTTTAATTTTACTCATCTTTACTCTATTGCTTTTTACTTTTTCATATCATCGGAGTAGTTAAGCCTTTCATCTGGGAGTTATCTTTTTCCTCTACATTACGCCATTGATATCATTGTTGTTTGTCAGGAAGGTGTTTTTTGATGCATTTTATGTATTGATTTGTGGGTGTTTTCGAGCCTCTAAATATCATTAATCATTCCTATCTCGCTCCACTGCTGTGTTTCAAACACAGACATGTACCATCACTCGTTGTTTCTAACATCTGGGGATCTAGCGCGTTTTATTTCTTTTACCTATGTAGCTGTCGTTACGTATTCGATATTCATTTGTATAAATTTAGCGTATCAGGTACTGATATAATGCATAGTCAACATTAACTCACATGTGAGAATTTGAAACTAGCCTGATAATCTGTCAATGATCAATACTTAACTTGAAGTAAATTTACCTGTTCAATCATTCAGCTGGAAGAGGTGACATGTTAATTTCTGTGAGGCTTTTAAAATAGATAATGTTAAATGAAAGGGAAAAACTCCGGAAACAGCGCATTATTGGTTATTATCCGGGGGAAAACTCTTGGCCCGCCGCGTTCACAACACGCACGGATACCTCCAAAGGGGTTTGTTTAACTTAGGCCAACATGTTTCCCCCTTAAGCTTGGTGGTACGAGGCAACAACTTTCTATGTCACCATGCCTTACGGGTAGGTCCGCAGCGGCACGGGAACAAATCGTCAAAACAATACATTGACCGTATTGCATCCGAAAAGGCGAGGGAGGCATGGGATGAAAAGCAGTGGTTTGTTTCATGAGATGCAGAAAGCCGGAGTCTTCAAGCGGGGGAAGAGCCCAGTGGTACAATTTGCGGCGTGGTTCCGATGCCTAGTCCATTCCACCGGGGTTCCGAAAACCGTCATTTTGAAGGTGCCTGCCTACATATAAGTGTGCAAAATATTGTTCGCCAGCAACTTCGGCGTTTAAAAAGTATCATTTACCTAAGAGGCGAACCTGGTTTTTGGTAATTTTTTCTTGCGCGATACGCTTTGGAGTATCAAAGTGGTACCGATGAGCATGAGGTGTTCACGGGTTCTTGCAGCACAGTAGTACCTACATGTCCGTAGAGTATGTACATTACATACAGCAGATGGTTGCTCTCATTCCATGCAGCTACCATTTTTTGCTCTGTTTAAGTAAATACTATCTATGTACGCCCAGCAGTTCCTAGGCTATGTGAAACTCGAACGATAGATCAGATTTCTACTGGGAGGGCATGGCTATTATTTACCTTCAGGAAGTAGGCACATAACCGCCGTCGCTTGCAAGGAAGGAAACGCCATGGAGATCGATAAACGAGGAATCTAGGAAATGATCTTCAAGTTTCAGATAGGGTTAGGGCAACATATGAGCTTCCCTGTTAATACTAAGTCTATTTTTATTGCGAGTAGAAGAGGTTTTCTGATAACAAGGATCGATCGGCCTATTTTGTTTCGGCCATGTGGCAGGAAAACGTTTCTTTTGGGCGTGAGATATCAAGGGTTTTTTTTGGTCCTGTCATATATGTACCTCGATACTTAGGTACGTAACCGTGCGTCAAGGCACTTGCCAAGCCCTTTTGAACCACTACCAACCAACCAACTGGCATTCCTTTAGAATAAGTTCGTCGACCCTGTCTAGACTGCCATTGAAAAACCTCTCCGATTGTGAGTCTCCCTGATGGATAAACACATTTTTTCACTGCGTCGTTGTTGTTCCTTCACTGGCGAAGTGAGTGACAATGAATAAGCACGTATACGTACGTATTCTACTATGATACAGTCATCATAGTACCTATTACCAGCGAAGTGAATGTTTTTTTCTTCTCTCTTTCATGCGCTAAGAATAATATGTGGCTACCCATTGGAATTCGATGCTATACCTACTGAGGCAATTTATGCAGAATCAAGTCAGGCTTCAGAAATAATTCGTCCAACGTCCAACGTCCGCCTCGAAGTCTTTGGAGGAATAAGACTGTGAAAATTAAGATGCCGGCTTTTAAGGGACTCTAGCTGCCGTGCAATAATTTACTCCTATATGGATTAATTTTCAATTGGAAATACTTGAAAGTGCAAAAATTCTTTCATGGTCGACGAAGGGTTATTTTCTTTTATTTCTAAGCCATATAATTGGCCAGGTTCCTCTTTCCTCTTTGGTATTCTCTGTTTTTTTTTGTTGTTTACGCCCTGAGCGCTGACCGGCTAGTCATATTGGTAGAGGACATATCGTACTTTCTGCAATTGGCTAACGAAATAAATTTTGGGGATGTAAAAATTCTGCCAAAGCTGCAGTAGCAAGACCAGACTGGGATCACGCATATGTGCTCTATTACTGCGGAAGAAAGTTTCCAATCCAGTAAAAGGGTCTATTACGTATATCCATACCAGGTGGATGAGCTTGCGGCTTATGTAAGAGCCAAGCGTTGATAACCGAGTGCTTAGCTGTGATAGAGCTTGATATTGACGTCGGGTCTTTTGACGTCGTTCAACTCCATCCTAGAACACAGGCCGGAAATTTTTCAACGAGCGACTCCCACTTCGTCCCTACGTTAACCCGGGAAATTGGCATTCTCGACTTCAGCTGAAGCTATATCATGCAGTCATATAAATGTGGTATTACAATTGAGCCTAGATGCGGGCCATATGGGTAGGCTTGAATAGGACGAAAGCTACGTATTGAGGATCTTCATACATCCCCAGCCGTTTTTGTTACCGGGCGAACACAGCATAAGCATATTCGCCAAGCGACTTACCTCTAGATGTCTTAGAACCACACAACCAAAATCAGTAATCAGCACACATTGCAATGATAATTTCTCAAGTTGTTGATAAATTCTTTTCCCGGGGGCAAAATCGATCGGTGGAGGTGCCGGTGGTTGGGCATTCAACGAACCAGAATTGCCAATGCAACGGAATAAACCACAAAAACAACACCGACCGTCCTTGCAGATCCAGCGCTAAAAACCTTTACCAGTGCCTGGGACTTCTATATACCATTTCCCTGAGTGATCACGAGTACTCTATCCCTGCGGCAGTCTGTCGAAGTGTCACCTGGGTCGGAAAAGGAGAATTTGCCGCGCCTATTAATGTGGCGATGATTATGCGCGCAGGGCGGATCTATACATCATCGCTTCTTCCTTGCCATCTTGATGTGGCGTAATGATTAGTAGTTCGATCATAATTCCCCCTTAATCGTACTTCATTGGCGTTGTGCTTACCTCCTAATTGATATATTAGCTCCATCTCCCGACTTTCGATCCTACAGGCCAAGGGTATAAATCCCTTAAACAGACCAGACACCTTGAGAGAATTAAGATGCATGTTTGGCCTCTGGTGGGTATCACCCTAACTTTTGTTACTGTGGGGTCCCGTACACGCATGCCATCAATGGCGATTCGTTCATCAGGTAGATAGGTTTTAAGTTGCCAAGAACCCATATAACCTGCATATAACCTGCAGCAAGCATAAATAACACTGAGGCGCACTTTTCAGCTAACCAATAAAAGAGGTTCATTCACGCCTTAAAGTTTTAACTACTTGTAGAAATTGTGGCTTTATGCGGTGAAGAGAACCCATGCTTTTATGCAAGTATGGCCTGAACCTTGGGATTTGGGAGCATTTTCGGCAAGCAGGGACCGAGTAGTCTCTCTTATCGACTTAACCTCACCTTCTACTTGTCTTCCATAAGAGAAGCTAGAAAGCAAGGGGATACGCACGGAGATGTCTTGAAAGTACAATTTGCATAGATAACTGCAAGTATGGCGATAACGAGACCATTGAGGGGGTTCGGGAAGCTTCCGCCAGTAAAGCCAGACTAGCTAGCGTATGTGCCTCTACCGTCGGATTCCCCTTTCATCTTGTCTGTGCGCCTGCGTTTGGTATTCTAACCTTCATACCGCATGTCCAGCCTTTAATTTACCTTGTAATTGGGATCTATGATGGGGGGGTTTCCACAGGTATTTATCTTTTGAAGTTATTTTCTGGATAGTAACTATATGCTGTTAAAACCTATGTTAAAATGCGGTCCTTCTTGGTTCTTGTTTATTTTGTTCACATAATATCACTCGATACGCTATCGATTTACATTTTAAAGGTGTTCGCGACACTCCCAAAATCCAGATTATCCAGCTCAATCAACACTCTGCTCTTTTGATTACTTATGATAATAGCTATAAACGCACATGGGGATGTCCTATACATATATACGTATATAGAAATTATACTATCTTCTGACGTTCGTGTTTTGATACATGGAAAAAATTATATACATTGATGAACTTGACTTACATTATAACTTTACATCTGACAAATAAATATTGAGGACTAAAACAGAACCTGTATAAATGTGGACCTCTATGATGTCGTTCCGGCCGTCCCATGATCCAGACAAGGAATGGGGGTGCACTGACCTCGATGCCGCTCGGCCTTGTTCATCTTGGGTCTTGAACAGCTTTCGTTTAATTGCCAGGTAACAATACATCTTGTTTAAATGAAGAATTAAAATTGTTATCTAAGTTATAGTATTTATATCGGACTGCGAATAAAGTCTTATTTCGGCGAACAATGCCGTCTAGTATTCGACTTGTCCACAACGGGATTGTATTTGACGCTTTGATGAGACGATTCATTATGTTTTAAATGAAAACATGGCTACTTAGCAGCTTCGAAGTATAGCTGTTTGAGTTTTTTCGATGTCTTGTGTTGGTCTTATGAGAGTCAGGGGTTGTATTTGATGTGGTCTACGGGGCCGCCCGCCAGAGCTTGTCTATTTGCTGAGATCGAGTAGAATGATTGACTTGCAGCGAGTTTAATAGCACTACATGTATATAATACACTGTACTATTTACAAAAGAGCATATTTATAGAATACCATGATACGCATGAGAATTTTATCGCGCGGGTCGTCTGAATTTTGATGTTTGGAGCGGGCGGGCGGGGGGGGGGGGGCGTTTATGGCTCATTAAAATGGGAGTAAAGGGTGCTCAATACTAACAACCAATTGCAAAGGTATTCAGGCTAGAAATACTTTCCTAGACAATCTTAGTGGGAGTTGAACAATCCCAACGATGCTAGAGACAATGGAATATACCAATCAATTAGCCATCCAAGCCCATTGCACTAGATGGTGGGCGCTTTGGCGGGTCTAGCTAAGTTTTATTTCTAAGCGATAAATTGAAAATGGGCAATAACCTGATTCAAAACTTGAAATCCATCGCAAAATACATGTATATATTTTAGACCCCTATTATATATATCCATTATCAAAAAGGATGTCATTGCTTGAAGGCCTCGAGATACCTGAAAATTCGATGTATGCCCGAGCGATCTATGTAGGTTTTATATTATCACGAAAAGCTTTTTTTAATCAATTATATATAACAATTTACTGTAAGAACAGGCATTATCAGTGTAGTAGAGTATATACATGCACTTAATGAAAAAAAAAGAGTGGTCCTGTCAACCGAGTGATAATCTATGTTTAACCCGCCTTTTTTTTTCTACTTTTTTTTGTTGTTTAATTCATATATACGAATAACGTACCCACTAATGATTGATTGATTGATAATTCTTATGAATAACCCACTAGACCAGACATTCCGTGTAGAATGGAGTTAAAATAATGAATAATAAGCTAATTCTAATTCCACCATAGTATTCTAGTACAATTGTTCACATCTGAAGAATCGCTTTAACAACAGAACTACCATTCCACAGGTACGTCGAACCTAAACACCAGACGGGTTCTATGAACCCTCATATATCCCATAGTCCGTTAAAGCTGCCTATTGATTCGGGCGGCGTATTTTCAGCTGTGGCTTGTGTCTGGATCACACACATATTCGGCTGCCACCCTTCCTCTTTTAGTAATTATAATATTCTGTCAAATAGAAAGCATCTAAGCACCGGATTATGGGATAGAGCATGCTTCTTTTCCAAACAACAGACTGTCATATTTTATACACCTTCAAATCTTACAAAAGCACAAAAAATAGTACTAGTGTTTATATCAATATTGTCAAACAGGAGATACGTACAGTCATTTTTGGGCGCAACGACGAAATTGGTTGAACAAGTAGGGCCTATGGCAGTCATGCAAGGTTGTACTAGCTGATCGTGACCAAAATAAAACTGTTTGGTAAATCTTATATAATTATCGTTATAAGTTGTATGCAGTCTCCCCTTATCTCTTTAAAACTCCATGCAGTGCTGCTTAATTCCGGGCTACTTAGTCATCAGCCAGCTGCAGGACCCCTCAACAGCACACCACTCCTCCGAGTCCCCTATCTCCTGGTTTAACTACCTTGAATCGAGAACATGGATCTTCAACCGGTTTTACCGTTCCAATTTTTAGGGACGGGAGCGGGCTAAGCAGGTTGAAGCATTTGACGTCGTGTTAGGGTTCCTTTTTGTTGCAGCCCCTCTCGAAGGGTTCTTTTTGATGTATACTTAGTCTTCTGTTTTGTAAAAAGATGCATAAGTGATCACACGAACTGTATTTTCTTTTGGCCTCCGTTAACCTTCTTTTACGACTTTAAACATGCTATAAGCCAGCGATGAAGTTGTCAAGGATAGTTCACAAGTTGATAGTGAATACATATGTTGATGACATGACGGTCATGGTATACTGTAATTGGGATACCGGCCACGTTGATCACGATGTCAGGTTTGTAAGACCAGCAGTATAATCTTGCTCTAAGAACACATTGTATCAAGTGTAGAAGGCCGGGACACGATAAGCACCCTTTGCTCCTTAGGTCGTCGAAACATGGTGTTACGACGTACGTCTAACTAACACCGGGTAGAATATATCCTCTTGATACTAGGTCCAGAGTCATGGGTACTATTATCTTATCTGGAAAGATACATATGTATCATTTCCTATCGTTCTCGGGTATCCAAGGGCCCCTCATTTATCGGCATCTTCCAGGGCCCCTCATTTATCGGCATCTCCCAGACTCACCGCAAGAGGATCTAGGATCCCAGTTCAAGCAGAAAATGTATGAATCTCCCGGAAAACAAGAAGCCACAAAGAGGTTAGATGGCCTTATCATACGTATACCTACATCCCTAACTACAAGCTACGCCCGAGCTCTAGTCGAAGCTATCGGTACTGATGAAGAGTCGAATGGCGAAGTAGATTCCGAATTCTTCTTTTCTTCTTTAAAGCATCTTGCTTTTTCCAAACACGTGTGCATGTGGATGATCAGACGTCAAGCAATCGTGATTGATCACCTTTAACCGAGCCAATAGAGGCCGTATAAACTATCAACCATTGATTAGTTTGCTGGCTAGCTTAGATGGGATACATTTCACATGTACCCCCACATATATAAGAAGCTCGGAGCTCCTCTTGGTCCTGTCTCAGTCCTGCCTTCTGGTCACCGATATCGATCTTGATGGTCAATATTCTTGGACCTTGTTCTGCTCCGGTATTGTTTTGCGAGGTCCAATTAGAAGTTTGAGTTATATGTTTGAATCACTGAATTCCAAGGATGGGTGTACGTACAGTATGGAAAGGTCATACGCACGTAGTGAGACTTTTGTTCTTTTTGTTTTCGAGTTTATTTGGTCATCGATCTCCGTCTCCTAGATGGCGTGTAAATTGAGGCCAATGACAGCTTTCAAGTTTATCTTGGTCTGAAGTACTATACTTGTTTTTCAGCCCGCTATGCACATAGTGCAGAACAAGTGCATAATTATATAAGTTCCCAACAATCGATATTATCGAATATATCATACCAATGACCCTAAGAGATGGATCCTGACCAATTCTCATTGGCCGATCGAAGGGATCAGAAGGAAGATCTTTAGTCCGCACATAACCCAATCAGCGACATCTCCGAATATATCCTTCGCTTCTTGCAATTAATTGCCTTGAAGCTTATCTAGATAGAACAATCGGATTCTTTATACAACGAAAGAGTTCTATTGGTTAGCTTTATTGGATACTCATCTGCCATATATATGCACACGTATGTCGAATAATCAGCGCGCACTGCGCAACGGAAGGCTGGCCGGGACCGTTTCTATTAGCGAGTGATAGTCTGTGATCAGAATCATCTCGATAACATCGTCAGCCTTGGCCTAAGGATGTCATATTTAACACTTTGCAAGCTTGGATATTGTACATATGCACAAGTCTCAAGAGGAAAAAGGAAATGAAGAAAATCAAGAATAAACAACTTAAGTCCCAAGTGTAGTTTTGATAATGACTCTTCTCTGCCCCGGGACGGCTCTTTGTATCTAGCCTATGAAGATGTATATGTGCGTAGGAGTGCCAACTACAATGACCACTTATGAAAACCCATCTGGCAGTACATACAGAAGCCCTATCACAAGTTAGCAAAGACTTGTTTCCCCACATGCTGCGCGTCTTCACAGTCTATCACTCGGCTACTTTCCTCCTAATTATAGATATTTCCAGCCGAGAATCCCCGTAGCCCTGATGTTTCACCCAGCCCAGCACCTAAATTACGCAGCATTCAATCTAACCCACAAGCTCAACAAGAAGTGTTCTTTCCTGCAAACCGAATCGAAACGGAGGCACACAGTCTTGGACGTGCATGAATACATAGACTTCTGCACTTCAACACGTATGTATATCTGTGCCTCGAGTATATATACCCCATATTCCCACGTGCACCACCGGCACATGCGCCACCATACCACCAGCCCTCAAGTCCAAAAGGTACTTCCTTCTATCGATATCGATACCTCCTCTCATTCGCCGGCACACGTCCACATCGCCCTGCATCACAGCGACACACGCACGATCTTACCCACGCCGTCCATCGCCAGCCAACATGTAGGTACACGATGTCCCCCTTGTCTTCTAGCTCTTCCACTTACCCAATCGTCCAAAACCCAAGATAGCATCCCGACGATCCACTGGCGCCCAGCCAGTCGCGCTGGGTAGGGTATATGTGTGTGAGACATGGAGCGAACAAATCACCAGGAGCCGCATGGTTGGGTTGTGTGTGTGTCTCGGTCGGCCAAAACTAAACAAGACCAATTGCCCCGGCTGAAAGCTGCTGCTGGGGCTTTTGCGTGGAAACTTGGATCGCGCAGGTGTGGGGGGAGGAGAAGGGAGTGTCTGAGACATTGGCAGGGTTCTGGGTGGTTCGGGCCCGTTATCGTTTTGGTACCGCGATGCGGGAGAGTACACAGTAAGCGGTGTTAAAGTTGTTGGGTCTTGTGAGATCTGGTGTAGTAGTCTGGCTAACAGCGGTGGGAATGTGGGGCGAGTGAGAAGTCGTGACTGGTCATGTTTTTAACTAAATATTTACTCTACCGGCGAGGAATTCGGGCAGTGTAGTATGTAGATAAGACATACTAGGTATTTACAGTATAAAACTAAAAAAGAAAATTTTACAAAACTCCGATTTGCAAACCAGAAAACAAAAAACACTTTTTCCCTTCATTATACTTTTTTTGAGGAAAAGAAAAAAAAAATTGACCCATCTACACCGGCATCGAGAAAGTTCTCTATTTTTCCGGCGCGTCGGGGAGGCGCTCGATAACATATCTACCACACCCAAACCGTCAGTAATCTAGAACACCCAAATCAACCACAGAACCAGATGCACATACTTCCCCGTCCCACACGTCATGATAGGCACACCTGGAATCTTTCTTATCCTCCTCTTCAGATCCTTATCGTTCGTGGCCACAATATAGATCCTACCCCCAAACATTAGCACCACCACCACCAAAACCCCCACGCCCGCATCACGTCCAGAGGGCAAAACTCACTTGTGCTGCATGACCCGATTCACAATGCAGTCATCTGCATAGGTCCCCTTATGGTCACACTTGACCCTCTCAAATCGCGGGTCCCTCGCAATCCTCAGCGCAATCCGATACCGCGGCCCCAACTTCTCCAGCTCCGCCATGACACAGTCAGTAATGACCGGCGTCGCTTTAGCATACAGGCAGTCCATCATGGCCTGAATAAGCTCCAGCTTCTTCTGGATGCTGAAGTTGATGAAATTGGTATCGACCAGGACCGAGTATGGTGGGCGGAGGGCCTCGTTGAACTGGAAGAAAAGCGACGATGCAACTTGCGGACTGGATAGATGGTATAATTAGTAAGGCGTACAAGTGGAATGGGAGGGTAGGGGGGGGGGGGGCGGTGAATAATACATTTCGCGCACGACTTCGGCGGACTTGTCTTTTTTGGGCACGGCGGTGGCTTGCTTGAGTTGGTTCTTTTTGAGGCGCGAGTCGCGGGACGAGATGACGCGCTTGACTTGGGCAAACTTGCGGGTTTTCTTGTTGACTCCCATTGTGGTGTTTCTGTGTGTTCCTGTGGTGTAGTTGTGTCTGTGTGTGGTTGCGGGGGGAGCTTGCGGGCGAGGTAACGTGCTTGTGCAGGTAATTTTCTGGAGCGTGAAAAAGTTCGAGTCGTGGGTGCGGCGGCGGGCAGGGTAACAGTTCTACGCTATTTATTATTTGCGGTATCACGTGAGGGACGCACTAGTACTCGTTCTACTGAATTACTGACTACCATTGTAATAAGATGGCAGGGTTGTAGCCTTATGATTATGGTTGGATATGGATAATCTAGAGATCCTACTAGTCGGAGAGGCTGGGAACGGATCCAAAGTTTGGACGAGGAAGTGCGACTTCTTACGTACCGTGAATGGTGCTAATTGGTCGAAAATCGGGCCATAGCTACTACGACTGAATCATTGTGTGACGGACTGAGCATATATCACACAATTAAGACTTGATGATGATGAGCTCGAGGGAAAGACTGGTTCTCGGATCTTGTGGCTATTTTTATGGCTATCTTGTCATACCACATATCTCTTTATCTCATCTCTCCTCTTGGTCCAGTTGTGTACCCCATTATATACATGTATATCATATTTACATCACTGGCTACGCATAGCTACAAACTTAGCAAGCACTACATCACGCAGTGTTGCCGGAGTTTTTGTTTTGTTTGGCTGGCGAGGTATATATCGCAAGGCTGTAAAACTAAATATCCCATAATCTAGCAAACAGTGGCATGTTTGGTGACTCTATCCATTAATACTCGCGCGCGCTGAAAGCCAATGCCCAGATGCAGGGCTAAAAACATCATAGATCGTGATATCACCCATTTTATCAATCTGCCAAGACCGCTCCAGTGGCTACCAGCCCACCAGCACAAGAAACAATACACGCCCCCCATCGTGTCATGACACTGTAGCACAGGTACCCGCAACATTTAAATGCAATAATTATCATTACTAAGAACGCTCAAGCTAGGTACAAGTGTACTCTTGGGTAGAACACACTCCTCTACTATAATCTATTTCTCCGGCTGGCCCCCCGCACCCCCCCTCCCATCTCACGACAGGTCTCGAATAAAACCCCGCCTCCCAATATCAGAAACCCAGACGATAAAGAGATAATAAATAATAATACATGCCAAAGGCCCAGAAGAAAAACGGACGAATGATAAAAATAAAAAAAAACTGCAAGAAATAGGGTGACGACCAGGTACCCCAGTCATAACCTTAATAATAATGAAAAAAGAAAGAGGAAAAAAAGGAAAAACGACCCCTGAGGTAAGTAGTACAGCCATGGTATCAAATGCAACCGAACCTAGTGTACCAAGCACTGTGCGGAATACAGAACTAAAGTAGCAGATAATAATGATACAAGAAAAGCAAACAAAAAGGGGAAACAAAAAGCAAGTAATGCGCTATGAAAAAGAAAAGCCAGTAAACAATAAAAAAAATTGTGAACAAAAAAAAATGGTAGCTGATTGCTAAAGACCCCCGAACTTTTGTGCGTCAGAACAATCGACATTCATTAAACGTTTACAAACTTTTGCAAACCCGTTGATCGTTAATCACGTCAGTTAAGAGTCAATCAATGACAACAGAACATTTCCAGCGCGCACTCATTATTCATCATCCGACGAGTGCGTATCTCTGTCGATAATTGGTCTCGCAGGACCCAACTCTCTTTCTCTCTTTTCCAGCAGACTCCCGGGAGCAAACATGCTTTTCTGACCAGCACCCAGCAGTGGTGTAATCTCCCCATTCTTTCCAATGGCATCCCGCCCGTTTGCAACCCCATGACCCATCGTTGTGGCTCCAGCGCTGTGATAACCATGTGACAATAACCCTGTACCAGTAAATGCTGTTTGCTCATCATCACTTTCCCCACGATGATTCCTTCCCTTCCCTGTGTTGGGCCTCTTGGTATGGCTGCTCATCTGGTAGGTTGGAATTGGTGGTAAGTCGGACTTGACGAGCGAAATCAGCCCGCCTTTCGACTTTGAGTCCTGTCCCGACACAGTGTGGCCTCTTCCTCGCCGGCTGTGGTGAGGGAGCGCTGGAACTGGCTCTTCTTGGTGGAAATTGAGAAGGGTACCCGCCTGCTTGTGCGCAGTTGATGGCCTAGAAACCACAGTCCCTGCTCTCTGTAGGGGCTTCGATGATGAGGATGATGTATTTACCAAGGGCTGATGGTGACCTGGAGGTGGTGGCGCTTGTGCCTGCGCATTTAGAGTAAATTCATTATGCGGTTGCGATCGCTCTTCCTTGAAAGCCATCTGTGCAATGCGCCTCTTGTCTTCATAGTCTGAACCCAGCAAACCCCCCGGAGAAAACACCCCCCCGTCATCCGAGTGGGTTTCTGGCGCCTTTGGCGATCTTGCCGAAGGGCTTCTATGCCTCCTAGTGTTCGACCTTGTAATTGATTTATCATGACGTACACTCTTCCCCCTTTGCATCCCCGTCGCAGCAGGCGGTTGTGCCAGTTCCTCCGGTGAGATCAGGGGTTTCTGTCGATGACGTCCACGGCCAGGGGACCCGGCAGGGGATGCCGTCTTTGCACTAGAGGACCGAGCATCTGAATCGGATTCGACGGCGGTCCACCATGCGAGATCCCTTTTCTCCGCGATCAAGCGGCTCTTGAAGTCCCTAATCAAACTAAACCACTCCGCCATCTGTGCTTCGTTCTCTGCAGCAAAGTAGTGACAGTAAACAGCACCCTCGCCAAACAAGCTTAGCTGATGTTGAGACTTGAGCGCGAAGCAGTACTTTGTCGGGCACCTCAAGCGCTCGCTGGGGTGGTGCGGGTCCGAAAACGTGTACGCGTCAAACGACTCCAGTGCAATTGTTTGTGTGAAATCCTTCTCCGTCGGCCTGTCCTTTTTGGCGATCCGAACCGACCCGTTTCCGAGTCTGATCCACCGCCGGGACCACTTCTTTTCCGCGTTGTTGTAGTAGTGGAACTGCGCAACCCCACTGGCTGGCTCCTCCTTGGGAAACTCTTTGACATTGAGATTTGTTTGTCCCCAAGCCCACTTCTCGACCCTCAGGTGACAACGGGTGTTTTCCGGATCCCAGGTGGCAACAACATCACTAATCAGCTCGAAATGACGGACTTGTCGCTGAAGCCCCAGTGTTGGCCATGATTCAAGCAGGATGCGTTCTTTGCGAGGTCTCGCCCGCTTCAGGAACATGTCTGCATCTGTGGTGTTGCATGTGCCCATCTGCTCCACAACTCCTGTGTCGAGGTGACAAGGAACCTTAAAATCGTAATTCTAGCACAAAGAAGGCAAAGGTCAGCACAAAATACCACTCACAAAAAAAAAAGCACACATTCTACAGCTTAAACAAAGAGCTCCACATATCAGAAATCGATTTGTAGAATAATGCACGTCCTCGAATCCGGGGAAATCGAGGGGAGGGGGTGGGAGGGTAATTGTTGGCTCACCAATTCGTTGTAAGGCGAGTACTTCTCTGTCGCCGAAGACCCCATCAACTTCTCCAGAGTCTGGTCAATGATCTCGTCCCTCTTTGTGTAAACCTTCTTTGGCGGAGACTGCGAATGGCTCTTTGTGAGCTTATTCGGACGGGGCAGCGCAGCGGGAGCGGACTGTGGGATCGGTGCAGGGGGCGGCGAGACCTCCTTGGTGTTGAGACGGAGGATCTGTCTGAACTTTGACGGCTGCCGAGTCATTGGCTGTGAGGTAGCATTTGAGGGATGGCTGCTGCTGTTATGGTGGTTGTGGTTGCTCTCATATTTCGAGGAAGACGATTGGGCAATTGGAGCTGCCGGAGCTTCAATAGTGGCTGCTGTGGGGGTGTTGGCTAGCTTCCTGCGGATGGTGCGGTAGCGGGAGGGAGGTGCTGCCACCGGTTGGCGTGTCTCAGTCTCTATCATGGTCATGGTGGCTATTTTGTGAATTGGACCTTGATGCTTGTTGGGGTAAGGAGGGTGAGGTTATTCGGAGGTAGAGGAGATGTATAATGTATACTATGGAGGGGGAGAAGGGAGTCGTAATAGAATGATTTAGGTAAGGGTTCGTGGTAATGTCCGCAATGAAATGTATTGTATGGAAATGTACTTTAAGTATTGTATTGTATGTTATAGCGAGTGAGTACGAGTGAGTACGAGTGAGTACGGGTGAGTGAGTGAGCGAGCGAGCGAGTGAATGATGATGCAAAGGGAACAAGAAGAAAGAAAGTAAAATGATACAAAAAAGACAGAACCAGCGGTAACGAAACGAGGGTACCGTTGGTAGCTTATATGAAGGAGGATGAATGGGGATTGAGGAAGGGGAGGACCGTACTCTGCGTAGGGCAGGGACCTCAGTGTCTATATGTATGATGTATGTAGGGGGGGAGTTAGTATGGTTGGAATTGTAGGCCCGGGGGTTAATGTGGGTGTGGGCTGCCCCGGGGGTTAAGTAGAATCGAAGAGGACCAGAAGGGACCCCAAGAGTTCATATTGGCCTGGTCCTAGCAGTTGATCGGTCGCGTGTGGGCTGCAGGGGACGACTCTTGCTACTACTCAAACTAGTAACATGTAGGTAAACCTACATACATGAGCAGTTAGAGTAGAGTACCGTACCTACACTCTGCATGCGCGGGTCCTCACTCGACGACGTTACCAAAGAAAAACTCCCGCGCATGAAGGAGACGACTGACTTACTGACTGACTTATTGACTTACTTACCGACTTACTATTGCCCTTTCTTCTGCTTTTTTCTCACGAGGCGAGAGGCGAGAGGAAGAAGCAAGAGGGAGGCCATCCATCCGTCCACCCCATATCTACGATCCACCACCACCACCACCACTATGGCCACCAGTTTACCACCACCACCCCCATCACATCAACCCCTCAATCCCCTCACCCCCGGGATGTTGCGTAAACCCGCCTCCTACCTTCCTCTGTCTGCATCAGCCCCGAATAAATGCATCACGAGGATAGGTACTTTGAAAAACAAGACGACGATGTGATGAGATGATGCGGATTGGATTCTGCCAGCAACTGGAACAGCCACCACCTCCATACCTCTCTCTCCATACCGACTAGCAAAGTAGTTAGATACGTACCTCTTCTCTCCGAAACCCCACAAAACCAGCAGCACTGCCTCCACTACACACAAACTAACAAACTAGTTTATTCCAAATTCCAAATTATTTAATTTACAAACTAAAACAGTCACCCTCTCCATAAACCTTTTTTCCTGTGATCCAGCTGGGGAGCTTGGGACTCAGGACTCAAAGACAAGACAACCAAAGACAAGAAAGAAAAAAAGTCACACACCAATGATGGTCCAATTTCCCGTTCGTGGTCCTTGCGCCCCTGCCTGCTTTTCCAAGCCAGCCCTTTCCCCATTCATCCATGATCCATATCCCCTCCTTCACCCCCGCCGCCGCCAGGCACCTGACACCCGCCTCCAGGTCTTCGCAAACAGGTAACGGTTTCCACTGGCCTTGTTTATTGCGCGCTCAAAGAAAGCATAAAAAACAAAACTTGGATTTTTCTTTCTTTCTCCACTCCACTCTGCAGCTCAGGGTAATGAGCGCAAATGACGACCGTTTATGATGATGATGTTAATTTTCTCATCTCCTCTAACTTCATGATGACCGTTATTTTGTGTTACGGTTATGTACGAGGGGGGGGCTTTCTTTCTTTCTTTCTTTCTTTTCTTTGCTCTCTTTCCCGGTTACACTTACCCGTCTCTGCTTTCTGCTGCTCGCTCGCTCGCGATGTGATTTGATGCAAGCGACAGGAAGGGTGCGAGATGCATTGCTCTTTTGCTTTTCCCATTGGGCAGCCGACGGGTTTATTGGCGTTACCGGGTTGGGCAGCATGCCAGAAGGAATTTAAATAAAGTGAACGAGATGAGTAGCCTCGTCCACTCTACATACTAGAACAACATCCCCCCTTCGATCCCTTAACCTTACGTGAGCCCCAACCACAAACTTTGATCGTGAAATCATATGGGTCATATAGGGAGAGAAGAAGGGTTATATGAACACCGAGCTCGTAAAGTGCAGCTCTCAGTCATAATTTCGAGAAGCTATGTACTGGTATTAGTATTACGACTCGTATTGTAAGCCAAATCTCAACCCTCAATCTCAACCCCAATCTCAAATCTCAAATCCCCAATCCCAATCCCCAGACCCCATATCTCAGCCCTACAGCACATGTGCACCCATCTCACTCCATAGTCCATACCCATGGGCCATTCCAATACCTCCATGTACTCATAGCACCTAACCTAAACATCATCGTATCGTATCATACCAATATCAAATCTCCCTCCCTGCCTACAGTCCTAGGCATGAAACAAAAACAACCGAAAGAAAAAAAACACATAATAAAAAAGAGCGCGCGCCGGAGAATAAACAAACACACCACCACCACCACCACCACCCCTCTCTCTCGTTTTCGTTCCCCTCGATCGCGGTGAAATGCGGCGCGGAGAAATAATTTTTCCTCTTCTCGTATACGTATATGGATGTATGCAGCGTGGCCCCTACATTAGATAAAAAAAAATCCCTAGATTTGGTAGATAGAGTGGAATATCGATACATGTGCCTACCTACTTATCGATCCCTACACCCGGATATGGCGGTGTGAGGGATAACTAGCCATGGGATGAGAGATATCGTGCCTGGATTGAGCGTGGATCTAGGATCTAGTAGAACAAACACCGGTACATACCTAGAACAAACACCTACATACAATACACAGAACCAGTACCGTGCCTCCATGGAAGGCACACTCTACTCTACCGTGCACCCTCTGCACAACCAAGGCTCAAATCTAAAAAAAATCCCCGGTTCACTCGACCTTGCACGATCCCTACATACATACATACATACATACATACATAGTCCGTATATTATCTACATACCTGGTAATGATACATACCATACCACGGCAAATTCCCTCTTGACCAACCATCTTGACCAACCAACGCAACAGCAACAGCCGGAGAGCGGAGAGAGGAATAAAGAAAGAAATTGTATCTATCTACCAACGGTTGACTTGACTTGACTAGCAGCTGAACTGCGGCGTTTAAGATATAGTGGCACCCTCCCTGCTCCCTGGTTGCTCTGAAACATTGCACCCCCTCCCTCCTCCAATCGCGCGGTCCGTGATTTAAACATATAGGTAGGTAATTGAATTGGCGAACGAACGGAACGGGAGAGCGAGGGGGCCTGGGGGCGGTTAAACGTGTTTGTGGACCCGGGTGGACGGAGGGGGGGGGGGGGGGGATTGCATCGAATTGTATTGAATTGGATTGGATCGCGAGGGAGAGGAGGGGGGAGGGGGAAAGCTTGGTAGGGTTATCATTCACTCGCCGCTCGGTGTGGCGGGTGTAACTACATCATGTAGTGTAGAGTAGATGGGTTCATGGCTTCTCACTCACATCTCGTTCATAGCATCTCACTCACCCACTCACCCACTCGCAGTCAATTGAAATCCCATATATCAATTGCAGCTATAGCTAGCTATCCACCCTTCTATCCATCTACCCATTCCCAGAGTCCGTCCGCCTACTTCTTCACCACATACTCCTCCCACCCGCCGCCCTCCAGCCTCTCCACCTTGGCCATCACCTCGTTCTCCATATCGTCCACATACTTCTCTAGCGCGGCCCTCACGCCCCGCCCCAGCTCACTGTCCTCCACAGACAGGATCCGCAGCGCCAGCAACGCGGCGTTGGTGGAGTTGTTGATTGCGACCGTCGCGACGGGGACACCGCGCTATCACATAAATCATCATATATCAGCACCATTCAATTTTCCGAGAAAGGGGAAAAGAGACATACCGGCATCTGCACAATACTATGCAAGCTATCCACACCATCCAGCGTGCTCCCCCTCACGGGCACACCCACCACAGGCAGCGTCAACATCGCCGCCACCATCCCGGGCAGATGCGCGGCCCCGCCCGCGCCCGCAATCACAACCTTGATGCCCTTTGCGCGCGCCTCCTTCGCAAACGTGACCATGCGGTCGGGCGTGCGGTGCGCCGACACAATCGACACCATGAACGGGACATTGAAGCGCTTCAGGATCTCGGCGCCGGCCTTCATCACGGGCAGGTCCGAGTCGGAGCCCATGATGATTGCCACCACTGGGTTCGGCTCTGCCTTTGTGGTAGGGGCGGCTGCGGGGGTGGCGGTGGGGGTGACGCCGTCGGCAAGGTCGATGAGCGGCTGGATCTGGTAGACGGCTTCGGCCATGCTGCCGGCGAGGAGGGTGATGTGGCCCATCTTGCGGGCGGGCTTGGCGGCGCCTTTGCCGTAGAGGTGGACGGTGGCGCCCTTTGTGGAGAGTGCGGCGTGCGCAACGGTGAGGTAGCGTGGGCCGAGGAGGTTGAGCATGATGGCGTTTGTGGATGGCGTGGAGAGCCCGGTGGAGTGTGCGGGTAGCGGGAGGTCGGTGATGGCGCGGATGTGCGCCTCGTATTGCGAGGTCGGGCAGGCTTCGATCGTGTAGTGGCCCGAGTTGTGCGGGCGCGGGGCGATCTCATTGATCATTAGGCTGCCTGGTGGGAGGTGGTCAGTTAGCCATGCAATTCTAGCTGTATAGTGAGTGGCTGTGGCTCCCGGGGGACCCAAATACCATCCGGAAGCAAGAACATCTCAACACCAAACACCCCCGCACCCCACAGGCACCCAACCGCCTTCTCTGCCAGCCTCCTCGCCGCATCCTGTACCTTCTGCCCGACCCTCGCCGGCGCATACACCAGCTTGCAGATGTTCTCCTCATGCACCGTCTCCACCGTCGGGTAGCTCACCACGCTGCCGTCCTTCTTGCGCACTACCATCACGGCAAGCTCCTTCACAAACGGGACCCACTTCTCCGCATACAGCGCGCCCGATGTTAGCGCTTCCAGCGCCGCTGGCACTGCCTCTGCGGACGCAACGACATGGTTCCCCCGGCCGTCGTAGGCGAGTGTGCGCGCTTTGAGCATGAATGGGTAGGAGAACTGCTGCCCGATGTATTCGAGACCGGCGGGGGTGCGCTCGGTGAGCGGGACGGAGGGCGCGGTGGAGACGCCGTGCTGCGTGAGGTGCTCTTTTTGAAGGTATTTATCTTGGATCACGCGGATCGTCTTCCATGATGGTTGGACCTGTCATTGTGCCGTGGGTGAGGCATTGTGAGTATATATTATATAGATATATAGCTGTGTAGTAGTTTTGTAGAGAACATAGAGATACCTCGACGGTGCCAGCCTCCTCGAGCTCCTGAAGGATCTGGGTGTCGACGTGCTCGATCTCGACGGTGAGGATGTCGCACTCGGCGGCGAGTTTGCGGATTGCAGCGGGCTCGGAGAAGGAGCCGTCGACGTGCGGGTGCAGGGCGTTGATCTGCTTTGCGGGGGAGTTGGGGGCGTCGAGGATTACGGTCTTGATGTTGAGTCTGTGGGCGGCCTCGACGAGCATGCGGCCGAGCTATGTGTGGTTCAATTCCGCCATTAGTATTGTATATCTATATGAGAGCTAGTACTACTGGAATGGACTGGAGGGTAGAAGCTACACACCTGACCGCCGCCGAGGATTCCAACGGTGCGTGAGTCCTTCTCCATTGCGATTTCTGGCTGGTTCTGTCGGTGCTGTAGAGAGGAGTGGAGCAGTGGATGGTTGTTTGTGGTGGTGTTTCTGATTCACACTTTTTTTTTTATGTGCTATGGTGGGGTTATTTTTTTCTTCTTTTCTTTTCCCTGTCGTCCACCCCGCGCTGTGTGACGAGAGATCGCACAGCCATCCGTTCTCTCTCTCTTTCTCTCTCCCGCTCTCTCCGCTTATCAGATCTGCCAAGAGCAGAGATAACTCTAAATCCATCGCTCGCACGGCAACCCCCGTCCTTTCCTGACAACTGTGTTGTGTTGGCCGAAGCAACCGCAACTGCAACGGACGGGGAGCGACAGACAACACGGAGCTGTGATAGAGAGAGAGAGAGAGAAAGAAAGAAGGGGTATCTGCCAGCCAATCGGATACTGCCTGTAGCAATACATACATACATGTAATTGCACTTTGCCGGCTGCAAGTGCGGGTGGCACTCTGGCGACAGACCTGTACCTGCGCTGCACCACGTAGGTACGTCTCGGGGGCTACGACTGCAAGTGTTGCCGTTGCCGTAATGATTGAACGGTTCTGTACAATGCCACCGGAATATGACCTGGAGGGCTGAATGGTGATGGGTGATATACCGCTGTACTTGCTGATATAGAGTAGGTATAACTACATGAGGTAGGTAGAGTGCATGTATACAAGCCGACGACGGTAAAGGTACGTACCGATCCATAGCAGTTTATGCGGCACCAATCCGTAGGCCTTGAGATGTCATTGCATAACATGTAACGCCGGCAATACCCAGGGTCTGCTATGTCTCTGGTACCTGTACCTGTCTGTACCTGTACTCTACCCGTAGAGTACTCAACCCACATACTCTAGTTTGTCTCTAGCTCACCATATGCATCTGTCTGAGACCCGTAAACACCCGACTGAGAAAGTCAATCCTATAACGTGACAATTAAACTGTCTTTTTAACCTTCAACCCTATATTATACATACTTCCCCCAGCCACGGTGTATGTATCCCTCCGTATTGTAACCTGATTAACAATCGAGACCCCTAGACCCCCCTGAGCCACAGCCAGGAGAGGGAAGCCTAAGGACGATCCACAGATGATATGACAGGACAGGTGTATCACCGTACGCTGGCTGGCCTAGTCATGGCGTCGTTGAGTTACAAAATGCGCACGTGCACGGTCTCAGCTTTGGAATCTGGCCTGCTCAGTCACCCCCCTTCGATCGGCTGGATTTGAATTGGACGTGTTCAATATACATGTAGTCAGCTACATGTCCGTACTCAAGGAGAAACCCAGCCTATCAGAGCTCCTGTCGATCGCATAACCGTATTAGTAGGGCCAATGCTTGGCAGGTGAAATATTGTTGTATTTTCGATCATTGGCCTATACTGGTTGTTTTTGCAAGAGCTTTGATGGGTGATTTTGTTACGTTTTCTGATTGTTTTGATAGATTCTGTAGTATTTCAAGTCCCAACGGCTAGTTATCTAGATGAGGTGTCCTGACCTTCTTCTGAACACCGTTACATGAGGGTACGGGACTGAGATTCCCGAGTATGTCTACAGCGCTGCTCGTGGTACGATGCATACTGGGTCTTCATATATAAAAAAATCAAAGTGTCACTCCTATAAGAGAAATCTAAGAACTGGAATATGAGAGAAGATGTTATATATATATTCTAGGCATATATTATATGCTTTTCGTAGATTCTTACATTTAGTTGAATCTACCATCATCCCACGATACCACCAACGTACAGTACCAATTCAACCCACCGCCTGCTACCTCTCGTCCCAACACATAGACGGTATCGTGTCTATACGCCCTCAACGCAGAACACAGAACCACAATACCAAGACCCTTGGCAGAGTACAGTCGGCGAAAGTTGGGCGGCGAAAATTAAAGGAAACGTCACCATATTGGACGATTAGTATAAATACTTCTCATATAGTTCCTGTTCTTGTATTCCTCCATCATCATCATCCTCATCGAAGCATTCCGGCCAAGTTCATCATCTTTGAGAGCAGTTCGGCTCTTTAAGAAAGCTTCAATTCGATTCGTCTCTCTCAAGCCTCGAGTAAGTTCAAGAAAACCCCAATTCATCTCTTTCGGCTTTCGACTCATCTTCTACAGTCTTCGACCCATTCTCCTCATCAACAGATCTCAACGCCTATAAATTGAACCCACTTTAACAAACCGCAACAATGTCAAACCTATCTGGAACCACCTTGGGCCCCGGCCCCCATACCTTCTTCAGAGGCAACCGCTGCCCTTACCCCCTCCTCCAACAAATATCTTCTGCGCAACCTCTTCTTGCCGCGCCTACATCCCCCCAACCGCCATAAATCTCACGATTGCCTCCTGCCATCATTGTCGCAGAGCCACCTGCACCCTTTGCGGGAAGCGCTTCCACGCGCCAAAATCTGCCTGCCCCGCTGAGCGCATTGCCAGCGGCCTTATCTATACCCTTAGGGCCCAGTACCTCAAGGATATGCTCAAGTTCGGTGACCACGACACCGCGCTCTTCCGCGCCAATCTCCTACCACCCTGTGGTGACGAAAACCTCGACATTTCGTGTGGGGGTATTGAAGTCAAGGATTCGATCCTTAGAGCCCGTAGAATGAAGCTCGAAGCAGAACGTCTTGAGACTATTGCCATGGTGAACGTCATGCGCCAGGAACGCATCGCGAGATTCGTCAAGGACATGGCGGACGCCGAGGAGCTGGAGGATCAGAAACTTAGGGCTAAGATGGCGAGGGCTATTGCGAAGCTTAACTTGGACAACTAATCGTAGTTTTTCTTTATGGTGGTAGTTGTGGGTTTGAGGAGTTTGGGAAAACAAGGCACCAAGACACGAGATATCACTCGGTTGACTTTTTTCTTTTTCTGATTTTCTGATTTTTCTTTTTACTTTCTTTTTTCTCTCGCTGGGGTTAGGAAATTCAAAAATGTAAAGCTTGCTGTTGATATCTCATATAGATATCTTATATATAATGATACCTCTTTCTCGCTGTATATCTGATCGTCCTCGTGAGTACTTGCCTGTGATTGGCTAGTTTGGTAGATCTTTGAGTGTGCTACCAATATATTGACCAAACGGCCTCTATTCCACCCTTTTATCTGGTTCGGATCTACAACTAATGTTATAACCCAATCATCTGCCCTATTCCCTTAACCCGATAATCAATGCCACCTCTCTTAAGAAACAGTTCTGATGCTACATGCTATTACAACAACCACCCAAACCCCACTCTAACACTTATGCCCACAAAGCACCATATGATCCAAACCTAGTAAAACACAAGAGAAAAAACATCGATAAAACCAATCTCTTACTAAACCGGAATAGATGTCACATCGAGCCTGTCTATACTACGAGTGATACCTCATGATCCACCTCACTCATGGTCAAGGTAGCCGGAGGGGGATTATGGAACATCCCCCCTAAACCTGAAAACTACAAAGCACAGTATCTCAGGCCGTATTGTAAGATCTACATACACAGCTGGGGTAGCGCAGCTATCGACTAGTGGGTCATGGATATGGAGAGTTGGGCTGTTCGGGGGCGTGCTATGGGTTCATAATTCATACCATGGCCTTAGGCGGAACCTTTCTAGACTTACTGGCCACTGCACTAGGCTTATATTTGCACAGATTGAAACATCCTTCTAGCGCCTCTAGCTCTGTGCAGTTATATATATCTGGTCACTGTGGTTCCTGGGGAGGAAACCAATCCCGGGGATTTAGCACGCTATGTCTCCCCGCTTCTAAGTGCAGTGCAGCGAAACATTTAGTGGTCGTTAGGTATATACGGAGACTTGGTTATGGCGGTGATGTATTTGTGCAGGCAGGATCGAGCCAGGTAGTTAAAGTTAACTTATAATTAAGTGGTCGTGATGCACGTGCTTTCAGATGTTTGGGTGAGAAGTTGCATAGTGGCAGGGCTTGCAATTGCAATATCTGTCCACTGTGTACTGGTTGGAGGTAAAGTGGGGGGGGGGGGGGGGGCAGAGCTAGAGCTGGGCCCGCGGGGTGGATCTAGAATGCTATTTCCGGCCAGTCTACTACAAGTAGAGAGAACTTCACGAGTTGTTCATTGGATCAAGTGGAATTGATACGAGGAAGCTGGGCATGCATATGTGCAGTACGTACGAGGGTCCAGATCACCGTCGTTCGACACGGGGTATTGACGGACACTAAGTGTTGACGGATGGGGCCTTTTGACCAATAATTGAAGGCAAAAAATAGGCTTTGCTATCTGTCTTTTGACTCGTCCGTCAACACCCAGTGCCCGTCAATACCCCGTGAACGACGGTACGTTGGTTGAGATCTTGCTGGTAGGTACCACCAATCATTATGGATAGCGTTTTGGGGGTTTAGGATGGTTGGCTGGGAGTTGCGGAGATGTCTTTCCTTCTACTGGAACGCCTCTAGCTCTCTCGCTGGCCATGGGGTGAATATTGGTTGGTCGTTGGTTGGTTGATCACAGAGACGTTTTTCCTTTCCCTTCCACGGGAATACATTCCTCGTTGGGGGACAAGTATTGCAATTGGTCGGCTGAGAGATCGAAGCTAAGCTGGGCGTCAATTAAGGGAGTCTGGGGGGTTTTTAATAGAGAGATGGTGCTTTCATAGAGAGGTGGTGTCTATGGATGATTGGAACCTGGAAGGTTTGACTTACGCCCTGAAAATGGCCAGATCTCACTGCACGGAGGATTGGGAATTAGCAATATGCAATATGTGCCTGTATATCTGGGTTAGGGTTTACAAGAGTTTCTCCCAGGTCACGATATCGTATCAAATTTCTCCAACCCGCGCGCAGCTTAATTCTTATAAGTTATAACTGACCATTATAGATAATCAGCCAACCACCTCAAGGTCAATGACCCTATTACTCTAAACTGCTACTAATCAAATCTCTTTCTCTTTCTCTATCTTAATCATCTACTAAGCTATGCATGCGGCGCATACCTATATAACGGCCCAAACTACACAAAAGGTGTCGTGGATCTGGAATATCCAAGGATCGACATACCTAGCTAGCCGGCCTTATGTATGCGTGTCTTGTCATTTCCATAATTAACGGGTGGCCGGTTACTGTGGCAGTCTAGACCGTATCGCGGCACTTCTAGTGGTCGGGCCAGACAGGTAGTAGAGTACATGTAGCTACCACCTAGCTAACCCGAGCTCATCAGTAAGTACCAATTAATGCACCAGCATCACAAGTATCCCAAGCCGGTCCACATCTCTCCAATTAGGGAGTATTGCGAAAGTGGGTTTTCCGTGACCCGATAGTCCTATTGGCCCTTAAAGGAATTTCTGCAGTGAGCACGAACCAAGAAGCCCACTCTTTTAGTTCTGACTTTCGCAATAATTCTACCAGACCCTGTACTCTACCTACCTACCCAACCCACCTAACTAACTATCCTGCTGTAGCTTCATGTCTCGCCGAGTCAAACATCTTCAACTCCCACCGACAGCATCCACAGCGGCCATGTCCGCACACATCAGTAGCTACCGGCCTACCTTTGATCTTGAGCACCACAACCATGTTTTTACACGTTGGGTACGTTTCACCCGGTATTATAATGTTTCCGGTGTTACATTCGCAGCAGGTCCAGGTGGCCGTAGTGGTGGTGGTGGTGGATGTCATGTCTGCTTTGCGCTCCTTGCCGGTTCTGGATTGGGACATGGTTTTGCAAATGTGGTTGGTTGATTGATTTAAGTGGGATGCGGTGTGTGTGGGGGGAGTGTGTATGTGAATTATGAGGGTGTGCATTATTGGGTGGGTAAGGCTATATATACGGGGCTGGAAGGGAGGGTGGGGGGTGAGGTGCGTTTTGAAATATAATGCGGGGGATGATCATCTTGAACTTTTTTTTGGGCAAATGGTTTTCGAGACTTCTCAAAGCAGAAAGAAAAAAAAAAAAAGCTTATGCAGTTGTGTCACAATTTTTCATCCGGTAACCTCCGGAATTTTTTTCAACGTTTTTTTTTTCTACGGGCCCTTGTTTATATAATGGAAGCATTTAGTATTCCTTCTATCTGTGTTCTTTCGTCTAGAAGGCTGGCCGGTGCTGTGTATTATATTGGTCACGCCACATTCCTGGAACGTATTCAACTCTAATCTCCCAGTGCCCATTCCTGTCCAATCGAGAATTCTGTCAATGAAACATGCCCGTTGCTGTAATTTTGATTTGCTGTAGCGATATCCAGTGATAAAAACCTCTAAATTCAGCGCTGCCACTAGAAAGTTATCACTAGATATTAACTTCCGCGGGGCGCCCTGTATTATGAGTTGGTGATGCAAGCCGGTAATAATGGCTTTCAGCAAGGGGAGTTAATGTCGCGTGTACCCTTAAAATTGGGTTGTAATGAAAGATATTGCAAACTCGTGATTCTAGGCCTGGGGAAATAAGATATGATTGGTGTCGTCTGCTCTTATTGGGGGAAATAATACGCCCGTATATGTGGCCTAATCTACTGTCTAGCCCTCTCTGCCCCTCTCTGCCCACCGAAACGTTTATGCGCTGCTTCTAGAGTTATTGATTGGGTAAAACAATCGCTTTTATGCACCTCACTTCTATTGCACATTAGCGAATAAGGGGCCAGCCTATACCTCAAGTCTCTTTCAATGGGTTAGAACGCTTCAAGTTGCTATTTTTCCAGGAGGGACTGTTGTTTTTGGGAGATCCTGAGGGGATTTAACACTCGGCCTTTGAAAAGTATGGCCAAACTGTGTTATTTGAGCTCCAATTTTTTCTAGGTTACGAGCTATAAGTAGGTTTTATCAGTGGTTTGTGTGACTCTAGTCACATCGCAAGGGAACCTTGAAGGGCTATGCTATACTTCATGGTGCCAATTCCACATTAGGAATCATAGCTTCAAGCTAGGGAACCACGGCCATTGAGTCGCCAAGTGAATGGCTTCCCGGTATTGTGAAGGTAAGGATTATCCATGCGAAAAGCTTATAGTTGTGCGACTAAAGAGAGGATAAGCATTTCGCCAGATGGCATTACTAAACCTGAGACGAGACCACAAGTGTAGTTCGGGTTGGTTGGATGCGGTTGTGTTTGTGAAGCTAATATCGATATATGGAGTTCCTCGGGCGTGTCTTGTAGGATAGTAAAGCCGGGCGGTTTAAGTCTGGCAGGATTCGGTAGATTTGGTAGACTATGCTGATTTTCAGGATTCCGCGGCGTGCGAAGATAGGAAGTTTCGGTAGTTTTTCAGACGGTTTTCTTGGTAGCTCTCTAAAGTAGACGTGCATTAGGTCTGAAGAAACTTCTAACTCGAAACGGCTGCGCAATGTTAGAACTTAATTAAACGAAAACAAAGATACTCCGTGAATGACGCAGTAGAAGAAAAAAATCTGTAGCTAGCTGTTGATTCTGCGTCGGAGGTAATGCACGAGAAAGGCCAGACGACGTAATAAACAAGTTTTTGCTCAGGTGAGTTGGCGATGTACGTTGTTCGGACTGCGAGGTTGTTTCGAGAAGAAGGAGAAACCGCGAGTTTTGTTCTATCTGATATGAGTCCATGGGATTAGAAGTTCGATTGAAGCTTCGAACTTCGATAAGAAGATAAGCTAGATTTAAAAGTCGACGTCCGTTGTTCGTGCATAGTTCGTTTCTAAATATGTCGTCTCACTGTGCATGCAGGGCCGGCTCGTGACCATTCTCATGACTTGAGGTCGAGGATTAATTTTGATTACCTGCGTTCCGAAAAAAATATGCTAGTTGACGTGGTGGTCTTTGCAGTTTTTTTCACTTTTTTTTCCCGAGGGAAACAAAGTTTCTCCGAAGTAAAGAAAGCGATGAATTTTTTTATCTTTTATCATCTTTAATTTTTTATAATGTGCCAGGTTGGTTTTTGATTAGGAATCGGGAGGCGAGCCCGGTTCGACAAATATTGATATTTCCAATAGGCTGCTGCTACAGTAGAAACTTTAAACTAACAATTAGCATCTGGGAACAGGGGAAGTCGGATGCAGGGCATCTCGGTAGCTTTGATTCAATTGAAACAAATTCGAGTGATATACCGTGACTCTAAGGCGGCGGCACCATCGCATACTGAGCTTGACGCGGTGGGCCAATAACCCCTGTTTTTATTGGGAAGATAGCAGTAGGTACTCTATGCAGCTGCAACCTTCGCCGGGCCGTACTGGGAAAAAGCCACTGCATCGAACGAACACGTCGCAACTGCAAACATAGCATTTTACAATCCACATAATTTGTTTCCTTCCTGTTTGATACCCGGTTTATCCCTCATCCCAAAACTCGTCTCCTCTAAGGTCCTTTCAAGAGGTGTTTCCTCTGAGAATCCCTGACCAGCTGTTCATCCTACAGCAGGCGCCCCGGAGGAACTGAAGCAAACCGGCACTATGGAACCGCCTCGAATTACATCGAACAAAAATGAGTGATGCGGCGATGTTGTTGAGATGGCGGGCGCAAGAACAATAATCTCCTCAATATAAGCAATGCAAACATCTTCGTCCTATCGTATGTTTGTAACCTTGCTATCTAGTAATAGCATGCCATCGTAATACGGTGGCTGGCACGGAGCATCTGGCCGAATCGAACGGTGAATGGACAATTCAGGAACCAGATATGCAAATGTAAGCAGCTGGAGGGGCAGTCGATCGATTCATCCGGCGGTCCACTAGATTTCGAATAAATGGGTTTGCCAGGATTAGTTATTGCGGATGTGTGGTGCCTGGGTTGCAGGATTGAGGCTCAAAATTTTATTCGCGCTCCCGATAAGCATTATCATATCAGATGGCCAAGAGATAACTCTAATTTCACATCTTGTGCCTTATCTCTAAAACCCTAACCCAGGTATCATCATCTCGCAGGCCCTGAAGGCCCTGAATCTTTAACATCTCAGACTCATCCATCATTGATAAGAGCGTTTCGTCAAGCGAGAACACGATTTATTTATCGTAATTTCGAAATTTGGATAGCCTGAACCAGTTTCAGTTTTGCTATCATCGCTGATTATCCTCTACTGTACGATATCTGTTGAGAGGGGGATACATAAATATCTCGAGACATGCACAACGATATGGGCCCTGGCTGCAGTGTCAATAATTCCCTCTCTCAACGTTCACACACATGCATTCAACGAGCTAGAGCAGGTCTTCTTCCCGGCAGCCGAGTGTCCCAAGGGCGAGAGGCTGCAATGCAAGGACAGAACACCGTGCTTGGTCCGTGCCTGATTTTACCCGGAGGTCGGGTAGCTGTATGCGTGAGTGGTCGAAGAAACTTAACATGCAGTTCATACATCGCGTTAACGTGGATGGCGCACGTAAAGGACCCAGATGTGTCTGCGGTGTGTGTGTGTATGTGTGTGTGTCTGATCCACAGTGCACAGAAGTGCGACGGAACAAAATAATATCGCAATGGCCATCAGGCATCACTTTTTCGCTGACCATCGAAGATGAGAGTGTTTCCTCCGAGACAGAACTTACGATGACCACCCCCTCTCTGTAAATCTTTCGAGATGGCCTCCCCGAGCTGTGATGCGAAAAGTGATCGTTCATAAACAGAAGCGCTTAATTATTAGCGCGAAAGATGGGATGGAGCGGAGCCAAGCTACATCGGTACATACCTATCAACGACAACAGTGCGGGGTCACTTAGTACACTACCCCAGAGTCTCATCAACCCCTCGCAGCAAATCATGATTCCAGCTTCCAAGTCACAGAATTAGTACGTCCAAAGACCTGAACCGTTACCATGAAGTGGGGCTGTTGTCTCTCTTTGGTTCGTAATGGCACCGTGTAACATCGACGTATGCAAACCTGGATTATGCGCAGTAGGTATAGATAGGTAGAGTATAATAGCCTCTAAATTACACAACTGAATTTTTTTGAGAGAAAACTTTTGACCGCACCGGAGTGTCCCGCTGTTGTTTATCGGACGGACTCGGGGACATTTCTCGCGACCGCCTCCGTAAGCCAGCCCCGGGGCGTTATTACAGGCAGGAAGGTTGAGGTAACAGTTAGTTGGGTGTAGATTGCAATCATTGTTTTGTATAGAGGCTGGTGTAACTAAATTACAATAATATTAGAAGAGGGGAAGAAACAGGCAGGATTGATGGCAATGATGGTGGTGGCGATCGCACTGTACGAAGAGCGGGGAAGCTTGAAACGTGGTGTTGATCGAGATATCGAGTCGAGGAGGGAGAGTTGGTAGGAATTATGACGCTAAGAGCTATCGAGGCCTGAATGTTTGACGTACTTGTTTTGACGTCATGTGCCAGGGAGTAATCCCATGCTCTAGTCCCCGGCCACGTTTCTTTTTACATTTCCCCCTTGAGTTTTCTCATCCCGAGTATCAAATTATTCTGAGCAAATAAGGGACCGTGAAAAGTAAAAGAACTCTGAAGCACTGAAAGGCACGGTGACAAACTATGAAGCAGTTTAGTACCATGCCTAAGCTACTAGTAACTGTGGTGTTGACTATGGTGGGGCTGTTCCTAAGCCCCTCTATTGCTGCCGCTTGACCTCGCCCATCATCTAAGATTGATGCCAGCTTATCCTTCCTCATCGTACTCTACTTTAGCCTCCACCTTTGAATCTTTCTGCTTAACTTGGTACATATCTCTCCAACTTCCAAGGGTCCCACCCCTCCCGCTCCTGCAACCGGCCTATTTCAATCCTCATTCCTCACATATCTCCCACCCCCCCCCCATCATTCCACTCGGCCACCCGCACACCCCCATCTCAATCTCACAACCACATAAAAACACCTCCCAATAACAGGTGTTTCCACTGCGGCCTTTATTCCTATCCCTACCGTCCCATCCACCTGTCCGTTATTTCAGCCTTTTTTCTCCTGCAGCCTGTGCAGCCGCTATCCTTACACCATTTTTCGTGATTTTTTTTCGTGGATTAGAGACTTGTAAGTAAATCTCCCGCAGCGCAGCGCGGCTGTAGTTGGTGGGGCCCGGTTCCGCCGGGCCATCCACTTTTCTTCCGTTTTGTTTTTTCCTTTTCGTGTCACATCCAATTGCTTGGGCAAAAAAGGACATAATAAAGAGTTCCTCCGGACGAGTTTACTGACCTCTGTATCTCTAGTTGCAGCAACAGGAAGCAATTGAGAACATTTACAGTACACACCAAGGTACAACACAGTACAACCACAGTACAAGATGTCTGACGGCAGAGAACACAAGAGAGATGTTAAGAACCATCTCCTTTTCGAGATTTCAACAGAGGTTGCAAACAGAGGTATATTTTTCTTCCTGATTTATTTTAGGAATTGAAAATTACGAAGGAGCTGTGTTCTAATTCGACGGCGTCTCATAGTTGGTGGTATCTATTCGGTTATCAAATCGAAGGCCCCAATCACTACTGCCGAGTATGGTGAACGTTACTGTCTGATTGGACCTCTCAACCGCACTTCTGTAAGTTCTTGATCCATATCATCCCGCACCCTCACGTTCATCATTTCTTTTGAAATCGGGTGGTATCTTTCATTGCTTTCACATTACTATTCAAGCAGTCTACTAATCACACATGATGATGTTTCATAGGCTGCGGTTGAAGTTGAAGCTATCGAGCCAACAAACCCTGCATTGAAGGCAACATTAGCTTCAATGTCAGACCGTGGTATTCAATATGTGTACGGAAGATGGTTGATTGACGGTGCCCCAAGAGTTCTTCTCTTTGACACCGGCACTGGTTACAAGCATTTGGACGAGTGGAAGGCGGATTTGTGGAGCACTGCTGGAATCCCTTGCCCGCCTGGAGATTCTGAGACCAATGAGGCAATTGTTTTTGGTTATTTGGTCGCTTGGTTCCTTGGAGAGGTATGTATTTTGCCTTGATTTTTCTGATGCTTGGACCCGCTAATTCTTTTCTAGTTTGTGAGCAACGAGACTTCGAAGGCGGTCATTGCTCATTTCCATGAGTGGTTAGCTGGTGTTGCTCTTCCCCTCTGCCGCAAACGACGCATTGACGTCACTACTATCTTCACAACCCATGCGACCCTTCTTGGACGTTACCTCTGTGCAGGTTCAGTAGATTTTTACAACAACCTTCAGTACTTTGATGTCGACGCGGAGGCAGGCAAGCGAGGAATTTACCACCGTTACTGTGTCGAGCGTGCGGCCACCCACTCATGCGATGTCTTCACCACCGTTTCCCATATCACGGCGTACGAGTCGGAGCATTTGCTGAAGCGCAAGCCCGACGGTGTTCTTCCTAATGGTCTTAATGTCATCAAATTTTCTGCTATGCACGAGTTCCAGAACCTACACGCTCAATCCAAGGAGAAGATTAACGACTTCATCCGGGGACATTTCTATGGTCACAACGATTTCGATTTGGAAAATACTCTATATTTCTTCACTGCAGGACGTTATGAATACCGTAACAAGGGAGTGGATATGTTTATCGAGTCTCTTGCTCGTTTGAACCACCGCCTCAAGATCTCTGGCTCAAAGACTACAGTTGTCGCATTTATCATTATGCCCGCGCAGACACATTCCTTGACCGTTGAAGCTTTGAAGGGACAGGCCGTCATTAAGGCTTTGAGGGAAACTGTGGACAGTGTTGAGAAGGGTATTGGAAAGAGGTTGTTTGAGCGCGCTTTGAGGTGGCATGATGGCGACGTTGCTCCTGGGGAGAAGGACTTGATGAGCAGCCAAGAGAAGGTTATGCTTAAGCGAAGAGTGTTTGGTTTGAAGAGAAATTCGCTGCCTCCAATTGTCACACACAATATGGTGAGTGATATCCCACTATCTTTAGCCTGTTGATTACTAGGTACTAACTTTATTCTAGCTTGATGATAGCAATGACCCAATCTTGAACCAGATCCGCCGGGTACAACTATTCAACCACCCTTCGGATCGTGTCAAAGTCATTTTCCACCCCGAATTCTTGAACTCTTCAAATCCTGTGCTGTCCCTCGATTACGACGACTTTGTGCGCGGAACACATCTAGGCGTTTTCGCTTCTTACTACGAGCCATGGGTAAGAGCCTATCTTTACAAAGTTAACAGCTTCCGGATAATTAACGTTTGGTGTAGGGTTACACTCCTGCTGAGTGCACTGTCATGGGTGTACCTTCGATTACCACCAATTTGTCCGGGTTCGGTTGTTACATGGAGGAGCTTATCGAGAACGCCTCCGATTACGGTATCTACATTGTAGATCGTCGCATGAAGGGTGTCGATGACTCCGTTAACCAGCTTTGCGAGTACATGTACGATTTCACGGTGAAGAGCAGGAGACAAAGAATCAACCAGAGGAACAGGACAGAACGATTGAGCGATCTTTTGGACTGGAAACGAATGGGAATGGAGTACGTGAAGGCTAGGCAGTTGGCTTTGAGAAGAGGTAATTTTTGTGCGAGATCTTTGAAATGAATATGATGCTAACTAAACCAATAGCCTACCCCAACTCTTTCGATTCCAAGGAGCCATTCCCATTCTTTGACGGCACGGAACAAAAGGTTTCACGTCCGTTGTCTGCGCCAGGATCTCCAAGAGACCGCTCTGGTATGATGACTCCTGGTGACTTTGCATCACTGCAGGAGGGTATGGAGGGACTCAACACCGAAGACTACGTCGGATGGAGGCTTCCGTAAGTTTTATACGCCCTAATTCCGTGGGTGTCATGTCATGCTAACGAAACTGGTGGAAATAGTGAGGAGGAAGACCCAGATGATTACTCTTTCCCCTTGACCCTTAGAAACCCCAAGAGACCTGTTGTTGCAAATGGCGAGAGCGATGCTTAGAAGGCATTGCAGCAGCGGCCTAACATGAAGCGTAAGATATATCGAGTGTTATGTCGACGAGAGGCCCTGCGATATACTGCTTGAGGAGAATGGGTGGGAACGATACCTTGCTCTATGTTTTATGTAATTCTAGTACTAAATCCACCCCCTAACACATTTCTTTGTTTCTTTTGTTTGTTATCGCTCTTTTTATATCTTTTTACCACTCCGGTTGATCCCGGATGTGCTACATCTCTATGCGCTGCCTCGCATTTTCTGTTTTGTTTTGATATGCACAATGTTCGGTTTCGAGCGACATCTACGACAGACATCTCTTATGTTTTTTGTTTGTGTGTGACGATATAGATGAAAAAAAAATTGGACGGATGGGGGTTTTTTCTGGTCTATTGGATGGGGCGTGGTGATTTGGGTGTAAACGATCGGGGGGGGGGGGGGGGGAACAAGTGGGAGTGATAGTGGATGATGAGCATATCAGTGTACCCTTTTTTTCTTATTGGACTTGTGAAAAACCTTTGCTGTAGTGTTTTTCTTCCCTTCACCTGTTTGGTTTGCTTGCAAGTTTACGAGTACGGTAATTGGATTTGATCTGGGTTTATTATTTTTGAGGTTTTTATTTTTTGAAACGGATCAAGTGGTTACTTGGTTGAGTTACCAGGTACAATGTGGCGCTGTCAAGTCAAGTACTACTGCATAATAATAGTGGGAGATGGGATATACATAGGCAGAATGGCATGAGCATGGTTGGGATCTTGAATCGGTAATCGGTTAATCCATCGGCGGGGGGTTACTATTTTTTCTTTTTTCTTAGGCGAACGCAGGTTAACGGGCTGTCTGGGATGAGCTTTTATTTTTTCTTGCTCGGAGGATTCCTACCGGCTTCCCGGGTGAGTGGCAAGAAGTAATTGAGGTTGTACCAAAATATCATTGCTTTTTACAAGTGGTGGCGAGTGAGCAAGTGTGATTGAAAAATGGCTGACAAGTATGTCTCGGGGATCATCCCGGTGGCTCGCTTATTACATAAAATTCGTCTATGTCTGCCAATATTGATGTCACCAAACGTCTTAAGGGTCTTGTAGTTTTCTGAATATCACATGTCGTGACAGATGTGACGTGACTGCCTGACTTTTCTCATTGTGAATTGAAAAAGTAAGTTCACTGGACCGGACCAAGCTAGGATGGGGGTGTGCATCACTACGATGGATACATCCGCAAACTCGCGGATCTGAGTGTCGAGATTATCGCCATGCTTGGTTTACCCGGCTTTTTGCTTTATTCAACGAGTGGTTGACAAGAGTTTTGCAAATTGCACTATAGATTTCAGGCACAAACCAAAACAAAATATTAAATACTACTTAGCAAGTAGAAGTAGTATTTAGAGTTATTGACATACTTAGTAAAGCACAATTGAAGAGACTTTGACTAAATAAAAGAACAACCCATATTTCTGGCTTCCTCCATTATTGCCTTATATACGTAGTACCAGACCCCTTTAACTCGCAATTTGTTTCATGTCATGAGCCAATGAAGCATGTTATAACGATAACTTTCCAGCCTTCAGAGATGACCTATACATGCAAATATTCTATATTTAGCCATCTAGATGACCTAGGTCTCTGTCCTGGTCCGCCCTATTATTTTTTTTCCTACACTACCCCCCCCCCCCCACAAACCATATTAAGTCTCTCTAATACTATTAAGCTTTCCTAGTACAGCTGGTTGGATTTTGTTATGAGTTCGAAATTTGAACGATTGCTGGTGATATTTCAGAGATTCGACCTGTAGTTTAGTTGTTGGTTGAACTTTATTTCGTGAAACTTGTTCATTTAGTAATTAAATTAGGCCATTCAATCGATAGTGTCAATTGAGTATCACGAAAACTTCACCACACCCAGTTCAATGGAGTAGTTAAGACCCTAAATTAAGCTTTCTGAGTCGTCGCCCTGATCCGGGTTCTTTTTGTGTAGCTTCCATAAGATTTTTCTTACACACTTTTTCAATTTAGAAACGAGCTTAACCCAATACTTGGGTTTTTCTTCTAGATCTGTTGGTGAAGGTAGGTCGTGGTTTTCGGCTTCCAATATTGGGGTAGTATCCAATATGGAAGGCTCCCGGGGGGGAAGACCAGGTGATATAGGGATTTCAGGCCGAGCGCCACTACTCGGCGCAGTTATGTCGTAATCAGGGAAATGTTCCCTTACGAAAGAATTATAACGCGGGAGTGGGAACTCATAATCATGCTCGCTTTCATCCAAGCTTGGTGTCATGGTTGGTTGATATAATCTAGGACTGTAGGGTATAGTGCTATCGATTTGTGTATAACTGTCAGTGTAGTTGATGTAAATGTTGCCTTATGCCTAGCTATCCAAAGTCTCTAGAACATAACATAGCCCGGTCCTAACACAATAGCTATCGTTGTAGACTACTAATACTATGGGGTTGCATTAGTGTCCGTACCTTCTCCTCAATGTAACTAAGTTAGTACTATGGGTTGAATTGCTGTGATAAATGAAGCCAGCTCTGAAGCAATCGCATAAATGATCGAAGAAAAGACAACTAAAAACATTGAAGATCAATTAATTGCGCATCGAATATTAAAATATATTACCTTGCGTGCTTCGCCGTTTCCCTATCGTTTTTCAAGTGTAAGTGATTCGATCCTGTTGGCTAGTCGTTTTTAATCACAACGTTTTTGCTTGAAGACTAGAAATAAGCATACCTTTAAGAGATTTCTAGCCAAACAGGATGAATAAAAACACCGAGTTTGATGAAAGCTGTAACTATTCTAGAAAAACTTTGACTTTAAATTGAAGTAGAGTAGATAGCGTAAACACAATGGAGGAGATTTCTGGCCAATTGTGATGAATTAACACACGAAATTTTGGTTTTGAATTGGAGTAGAGAAGCTAGGACGGAAGAGAACAATGGCGGGGATAGGTATCGCAGGGATATATGGCAGGGACTCAAAAGCCGAGAAAAATAATTTAGGGCTACGCATTGACTGCACCGGCTTCGGCTGATGGATATCGAACTACGAAAGGCATGCGTACTTTTCAATTTTTTTTTCCCCGGTCCCTCCCCGGTGTTAATTTGCTCTGGGCGCTACTGCGTAAAACACGTATCCGCGTCACACACATCCAAATGCATGTATACACGTATATATACTTATTATTTATATCTATGCATAGAGAATAAAGTTATTTGCTGGAGGGACAAGATTAGTACATACATACATATATTGCACATGGAATTATTTTAGGACCTAGCTGACAACCCCGAGATCTAGAGTGTACCATGGTTGAGGGGCTCATGGAGGCTGGAGTGAAGTACTTTGGCACATAGAGCTATTGCGGGCCCTGGGCGTTCCTAGTACGGTGCTTAACACAGGGCCTAAAGATTCCACGCCCCAAGTAGGAAAGCATTCTACGGAATTGACTTTGAATTAAACGCCCATTGAAGTTTGGTAAAGAATAATGGCAGCCACACGCACAACGCTTGGTCTCACATAACCACGCACATACCCGGACCGGCTTCAATATCAAAAGCGGTCAACAAGGGAGTGAGGGAACTGAGCCATGGGCCCAAGGTCGAGCCTTCCAGATTCCCTGCAATTTTTATGAGATTTTAAGTAGGGCACGAGCACGTTAAGGGCACTTGTGGGCTATAACTCGGCTTTGAATGGCCGAATATAAGACTGTGTAGCTCTATTACACATAATCTAAATGAGGTAGTAAATATGTAAATAGTGATTAAGTATATGGGAATAAATATGGTACTATCATGCTATTAACGTAGAACTAACAAATCGGTTATTGGCCTGAAGGCATCTTCTCCTATGGACTACAGCACTTTACCCTGAGGCGTGGTTGGAGAGTAGGTAAGCTATGCACGGACCTCAAGTAATTCACACGCAATTGAAGTCCATGTACTCTACAGTAGCGGCTCACCAACAAACCTCGCTATTACATACACACGCATTAGAATGGATAAATCTAGATAGCTGTAATGTACATGTGGGCAACTTCTTGAGTTGAGGCACGGGAAGTTATTTGTTCCCTGTGGTGGCGGAGCAGAAGCTAGCCTCAAAGGAAAACGTTCCAGTGAGGCAATTTCAATTATGCGCCGGGACTGCTCAAGGTGAGTGACACTCTATGACTTAAATTATTATTGAATTCAAAAGACCTTCAAAGGTGTTTGAGCTCTTCAGTAGAAATAATTTTTCAATTATATTCTACAGATTTTCAAATTGATCGCCCCACTCGACCATTTGAAATACACACTTCTATATAAATATGCGACATAGTGATTAATAGTATAGAGCACATCACGAAAATCACTATAAATTGATCGTTATACCACTCAATACCAATTGCAAATAACTCGACTATCAAACAACCAAATCACCAAACTATATCACCAATTTTCAACACCCAAACATGTCTACTTCAACTGGAAATTCCTCTAGGGACACCACCAACAATTCGGACAGCCTCGGTGGACTATTTTGGACATGTTGCAAATGTGGCATGACTCCGAATGAGAGTCTGAGGTCCCCAAGGGATCTACCAACATGCAAGCATACTATTAAAGATCAACGGAACGCCACACGTCTTTGCGGACATGTGCATTGCAAAGATTGTAAAAGATTTATCGTGAAAGTTAAATAGAGAATTTAATCCACTCCTGTAATCCATTATTCGGCCATGCTCCTTGCACGTAACATCATATGGAGCACGTGGCCTCTACAGCAGATTATGGCAGAAATATGTTTTTGTTTTGATGTGAACGCGGAATAGTAATACCAATCAATTAAATCAGTCTTTACCTAAGAAATCTTATGTTCCAAAAACCAGAGGCATGCAAATTCGAGAACGCCTTTATGTTTGTCAATTACTAACTCAGGTGCTAATTGCTAAGTTCCTTATAAATGTATGAATTCCTCGCTCGCGCCCGATAGTTTTACCCAACAATATTTATTAGATTAAGGATTAAGAATAAACTTTCTTCTAGATCTATAGACATCCTTTTAGTACCTTCCTCTCAGTAATTGTATATCAAGATGCTACTTCAGGGCCTGTAATGTTGTTGAAGGTGAAGTATTCATGACAGAGAGTGGGGACAAGTCCCTGGTAGACACCGCGACCAGTTGATAAAAGCCATTTATGATACCAGACAGAATATATATATCCGTGGTTTCGTACCTGCTCTGGGAAATACTGGCACATGGCATTCGACGGAACCCCCTAGATCTCGAAATACGTTGGAATCGCTGATCTAGTCAGGTAAGCTTCCTAGCGGTGACGGAATGACGACGGATTTACAATCACTGATAAATCATTCTCAATATCACAGGGGACTGGTGCAAGCACCTGTAGTATTCACCTACAGATATATACGAGCTTGTGAGTATTTGATCACGGTTTGAACAATGGCGCAACAAATTAAAACCCATTTGCGTAAGATTCTAGCGAGGTATCGATTTGCTCCTAACTATGAAATAATCATCAAAATCAACTCGAATCGCACGCTAATTCACTACAAAATAAGGAACACCAGGTATCCTTAATCTTGTTTACTTGCTTCTTCCAGCAATCTTGTTCAAGAAACCCAGAAGCACGTCCTGCTTCAGCCCTTGGCTCTCATCAACCTTCAAGATGAGCTCCTTGATCATCTCAATGGATTTCCTCTCATATGCCTGGTAGTGTGCCTCAAGCCCGAGCTCCAAGTAGATTTCTTTGATGACCTTTTCACAAGCAGCATCCTTACGACCGTAGTTTTCATCGAGCACTCTACGCTGCTCAGGGGTCACAAGCTCGAGAGCTTTGTTAATAAGCCATCCACACTTGTTGTCCTGAATATCGGTCCCGATCTTTCCAATGTGTTCTGGGTCGCCGTAGCAGTCAAGGTAGTCATCCTGGACCTGGAAGTACTCTCCTAGCGGGATGAGAACATCACGGGCACGCGAGAGGTTTTCGGGGGTTGCAATACCAGCCTGGTACATCGCTAGTGCGACGGGGAGGTAGAAAGAGTAGAAGGCTGTCTTGTAACGGACAATAAAGTAGTACTTCTGGTAGTTGAACCTGCTGAGGTCAATGTTATCCTCAGGAGCGGTGAGAAGGTCTACGAGCTGACCGAGCTCGGTTTGCCAGGTGACCTAGGAGATAATCAACAATTGAATAAATTACAAGTTGTTTTCGATAGGTTTACCTCGTGGAAGAGTTCAAAAAGGTCAACATAGTAGGACGTTCCCTTGAAGTGTTTCTTCAACAGAATGTAGATGGCGGATTCAAGGATGAAGGAATCGTTGATGGCAATGCTTCCAACATCTGGCATCAGGTACCAGCAAGGAGAGCCACGACGAGTCTTGGAGCTATCCATGATATCGTCGGCGACCAAAAACATAGCTTGGAGCTGTACAAAACCGCCAAATACAATAAGCAATTGTAATCTAACAATGAACAGTGCAATTGAGAAATATTACCAATTCAGTGCACCATCCAAGAATGGCACTCTGCTTGAACTCCTCGGGGCTCAACTTGTCTTTTCCAAGAAGAATGCGGTAGGTATCCGGTACAGTCATACCACGATTGTATTTCCCTCCCATGGTATTGTGGGTAAGATTCTAAAGAACCACATCATGAGTGAACAATTGAGATAGCAATACTGTGAATGAGAAACATTACCTTTGCTATCCACTCCACAGCATTGTCAGAGATTCCGGTCTTGTGCACCTCAGCAATCAGCTCTGGGACGATAGTCTCCTGGAAAATAGCCTCGAACTCGGGACGTTTGGTAGTCATCTTGCGAGAGATACTGTTCTTGTGAATTGTGATTGGGAATCTGATAATTGAAGGAGTTCTTTCACTCGGATGGGATCTAGAGGTCAGGGGTAAGTCTGGTTGCGGACAAGACGGTAGGATTCGAATTTAGAAGGAGGGGATATCATACAGGTCACAAGGTCACAACTGAGGGGTCTAGCTCCACACCAGCTAGCGCATTTCCACGTGCCAGACCCTGCCCAGACTTTTGCGCAACCCTAGCTCCGAGCTCTGGTGAACATCCGATATTCTAAGATGATAGACAATTCAACAAAAACGCCCTAACATGTCTTCGGAAAAAGTGGGGAAAAATCAACCTTCAGGTTCAGGAGCGGGTAGTTACTTCCTGCAGTGTCCCTGTACCTAATTGTACGTACCCTCATCCTAAGCAATATGGACTCGAGCTCCGAGCTTGATCTCTTAATGATGTCACGTCCCTTCAATAAAATCGCAATTGACCAAACCGTGTCAGAGAAGGCCTAGACAGGATAAATTTTTTACTCGATTTTTTAGAGTTGCTCCCGGTTTTGGTGTATATTATTAACGACAATTCTAGTGTTTATCATTCACGCCCGATCAAGCCTTCCTCCGTGTAAGCTCGAAGCTCCGAAAGATTTCTATTGACGAAATTTTTACTTAGCTCCCTGCAAACAAATAAATGGGTTTCGATCGCTCCGGAAGACTCGCACGTTATCTGAATTCGCGAATATAAACCCTCTCTAGAACGAGGAAATCGTATCCAAACCTCCACACAGATTTTTTTTGGTATTGACAAGCTATTCTAGATAGAGACGCGTCATTGGTACGCAATCCTTTTTTATAATACCACAAGAAAATTGGGCCTACACCGCTACCCAGGCACAGAAGACATAGAGGGCATGGGAATGCACTCAAGTGTCACATAAATATTAAACTACATACAACACATATCACCCGCCAGTAAAGGAATATCTGAAGATCTACAGAAAGGCATAAACAAGACACAAAATAAAAACCAGATCGAGTACACAAATATCAACATCAATACTTCAACGGACTCCCCATCCCTAACGGACTTCCCCTACCAAGTGGACTCTCCATAGGTGGGGTTCCTCTACGAAGTGGACTCCTTAGAGGGAGACTCTCCAGTGGTGGGCTCTCCATATGCGGACTCCCCATAGGCGGACTCCCCAAAGGTGGACTCCCCAAAGAGGAACTTCCCCTACTAAACAGACTTCCCAACGGCGAGCTGATCGACGGCGAGGATTCAGGTTCAGCTACCCTATCGCCACTAATACTACCTTCTCTTGACACAATTCTACTCATTCTCGCTGCCTCCCCAATATCCACCCATAAAGAACTCAATGGGAAATGCGGTAATCCTGGTAAAAAACTTTTCGTAGGGGCGTCTGCATTCTTATTCTTCTCAGAGGTATTTTTGCCTTCGACCTTACATTCCTTCATGACAGTGATCCGTAGATTTTGGACACTTGGTCCCCGTCGGTCATAGAACTTCTTTTTCGAACGGGAGAAGTTGAAATAGCGTGTCCAATGCAATGCACGCGGGTCTCGAAGGAGACTCCGTCGGATACAGACCATTATTAAGGCACAGATAGCGCAGAGCACGAGGATTGATATGGCTACTAAGCCACCAACCACGGTCGGTGATATCTTAGAGGCGTCATTACAACCAGCAAAGACGTCAGCTTTGGCGAGATAAAGGGAGTTTGTGATAACCCTCCCCGGGTTGATGAACGGTGGGAAGGCCGTAGAATTTGTAGTTCCTGGAATGAGCTCGCAAGGGCTCTCATAGCTGATGCCGCAATGGAAATTTCTTCGCAGAATTCTCAGTCACTAGAACTACATCTTACGATACGAGAGAGATAGTTATGCTCACCTGGGACAGCACTTTTTATTCAGTGGCTTTTGATCCGTGTATCCATCTGTTGCCATACTACACATCTCCTTGTGATTATTTGGGTCTCCGCAGTTATACCACCCAGTAGGACATTTGGGATATCTTTGGGTTTGAGGTGGGCAGTTCAGTGCTGGGTTCCGTTTCACACAGCAATTTGCCCATATCACAGGGCCGAAGGCTGAATTAAGGTCTTCCACGTTGAAGGCACATATTCCGGAACCTTCTTCGTTTGTGGAGATACCGGGTCGGCCAACTGCGGTAGAAGTAGCGGATGTGGTAGAAAACACCAGGGTGCTTGCGATTAATCCGGTCTTGGTTGTGTCTGTCATCTTGAAGAGTCTATGTCGAATGAGCGGATACTGGCAGATCTAGCCGGTGATTCACATACATGACAGAAGAGAGAGGGGAACTCTCGATCAAATGATATTAGGCCTACTTATGGAACAAAGAATGTGTAAATCCATAAGTGTGGCAACTAACAAAGAGGAGAATTAAGCCTTTTGTTTGAGACCTACAGATGCTAAACCTAGTTAGGATAAAAGAAAGGTAAATATCTCCTTCAAATTTTTATCTACCATGTGGATTTAGAATATTAGAACGTTAGGCATCCTTCACTTTTGCAGGAGATGGGAAAAAGGAAATTCAAAAAGGAATCACACATAATCACTCGTTCATCACACGCAGTCTAGACCGAAATCTAGGCGTCACGCTTCTACTTCCATCTCTAAACTCACTAAGTCCACTGAGCCTCGACCCAATATGGGGAACATATGGGAGCTGACCAGCCATAGGGTCAATCACCGACTCGCCACCTGACCGCACAAGGTGCAAGCCCCAAAGCCTAGCACCATAATCGCTTGTGTCACCGGTCCCCAAACTAGCTGAGTCTCCCGGAAGCTCGATAATAATTCCTGATAACTCTATAGAGTTACCACATTCTGCACCATTATTACCTGCATGATCTTCTACTTCAATGATAGACCCAGCATCTCGAAGCAAGGAGGCAAAGAGCAATATTAACGCAATCAACAAAGCAGCTGTGGCGAATATGAGTGCCTCGCGGAGTTGACTAGTTGACACAATAAAGATGAAGGTTGCTAAGGCAATCACGACCAGTAGAATCACACTCAGCAGGAGCCTAGTGTAGACGGAGATATAGGACCACTTTGAATTTCGTGAGGAGATGATTGTGGGGGAGGCCATAGACCAGGCCGTTGTGCATGAAAATTTCGCCGAAAAAGGAGGCGCAGCATGCATAATGATATAATATATAGGCCTGGGTCTATAGGTGAAGGTCGTCTTGCTACAGCTACACTAGGCTCAGTAGAAGATGGTAGATCCATCAGTTCTTTGTGGTTGTTATCAATGGAATCACAAAGACAAATCCATCAAATCCTACTCCATATCCATGTCCATCTAGTCTTACGGCTAGTCATGTATCTGTGTTTAAACCTCCGAGGAGGTTCTTGATGCAGCGAAATATATATATGGAGGTTGTAGCTGGAAAATTGGGTGTGCTCTCAACTTTGACTTCGGTCTAGCTTGGTGACTATACATAATTAGACAACCGTACAATTAAAAATTGATGTTAATTCGGACTCATATAATTATGACATGACCAATTCTACTTGCGACTTAAGGTGTCAATTACAAGTGCATTTAATATGATAATAGTTATAATGGTTATCGAAATACTCAACATTGAATGAACACTTAACATGAGAGAACTGCACACGAAGCTATCAAATTTATAGAAGCGTTCGAAACAAACGGAAAACCCCGCCTGATACGTAGTGCTTTCAACAACTGGGGTTTCATTAGGCCTGCTGATTCAATGCAATGAATATACTGAATTTATCTAGCTAGAATACATGTACCTTTCCTAGTATAGCATATCTGATATTGGCCATCTTTTCTGCGAGCTTCCTTAATCCCAAGGGTCTGGTGACTTTGGTCTATCCTATGCCTACAGGTCAATATGATTATGATCATGATGTAGTCACTTCATGTAGTACTACATGCAGCTATCCTACTGATCTACATACTTGTTACTCCGGCATATTTTACTTACATCTCACAAATTTGAGTGTAGTTGTATCAAAAACGTCAACTAGCGGTTACGTGTTAAGATGACCTGATCGGCAACCACTGCACCACCGGTCATCCGTCTTCCCCTTCACCGGAACTCACTCGGCCCCACCGCCCCCACCTCGGCTGACAGTTCTTGGCGAAGAGCCGCACAGAGCCTCACTATCGTCATCACACTCATTCGGAGGCCAGCGACACCTCAACACCATTATCAATAATTGCTCGCGCACTATGGCGACCCCCTCACCTCCTCCGGCAGTGCCGCGTCCAAAAAAGCGTTCGTTCTCACTCACCTCGGTGGTGTTCTTCTCGATCCTATCATTCCGTATCGTCAATGCCCTCACCACCCGTACTTTCTTCCAACCAGATGAATACTTTCAGTCGTTGGAGCCGGCGTGGAGAATGGTGTTTGGCGAAGGGTGGCTTACTTGGGTATCTCCCTGCTGTGCTGTGACGCGGTTGCGGTAATGGTAGTAGAGGCGTAGTAAATTAATAGAAGTTTGATTGTAGGAATGGCGTAATCAGCTACGCTCAATTGCGCACCCTTTGATCTTTGCAGGTGTCTACAAAGTTGCAGACTTTGTCTCGAAGGTGTTGAAGCTTAGGGGTGAGACGAGGGCTGAGGTACTGGTTGTGGCACCGAAGTTGCTGCAAGCTGTGTTTGCAACACTGGGTGACTACTTTACAGCGAAGCTAGCTGGGAAGTTGTTTGGTGGTGCAGCTGGATGGACAAGTGTGCGTATACTTTTTCTTAATTAATGTTGCTAATTCAAGCAGTTTGTTGATTCTTGTGAGAGTGCAGTTATGCTTGAGTCTCGGGAGCGCGTTCCATTATTTTTGCGCGACAAGGACATTCTCGAACAGCTTGGAGACTAGTGTGACAGCTATGGCTCTGTGTTATTGGCCATGGGGACTAACTAAGGAGGCACCGAAAACAAAGATTGGGAGAGCGCTGCAAGGCCAGATTGATAGGAAGTAAGAATACCACCCTCTCTGTTATTTGGCGTGTATATCGTATTAATACAGATGGTTTAGTGACCTGAGATTGTCGCTTCTATTGGCAGCGTTTGCGTGTATTCTGAGGCCTACTAATGTCCTGATTTGGACATGCTTGGGGAGCATCCTTATGTACCGCAGTACACCGAGAGATAGAGCCACATTGGTTACTGAGGCTGTGACCGTTGGGTATGTCCTTAACATTAGTACCAAATATGGTATTTCGCTAATGCAGATTTATCGATAGAGTTACTGCCATTCTTCTTAACGCGATCGCAGACCACCGTTATTACGGGGCCTGGACATTTCCACCGTTGAAGTTCCTGCAGTTTAACCTTTTACAGTCATTGTCACACTTTTATGGCACCAATGACTGGCACTATTACCTTTCCCAAGGCTTACCTTTACTGCTTACCTCCTGCCTACCTCTTACCCTCTATGCCCTCTATAAATTCCTGCTTACTCCAGAGTCCACCGCCCAACATTTTGCTGGCAAGCAACTCGCTGCCACTACCGTGATCGTAACAGCCATTTACTCTCTCATCGCACACAAAGAAGTCCGCTTCCTCTACCCACTTCTCCCAATCATGCACGTCCTCTCCGCAGCAGCCCTTGAATCTCTCCCCTGGTCCGCCCGTGCAAAGCGGTTAGCAGTCTGGGCAGTGGTCCTACTCAACCTCCCACTCGCCTACTACGTCACGCAGGCCCACCAGCGTGGTGTTATTGACGTTGTGGATTACCTCCGTCACGACGCTAATAACTGGCGTAGTGCTGGCTTCTTGATGCCCTGCCACTCAACGCCTTGGAGAGCCAATATCCAGGGTGACGGTGAGTTGTGGGCATTGGGGTGTGAGCCACCTATTGGCATGACCGTAGAAGAAAAGAAGACGTATCTCGATGAGGCAGATGAGTTTTATGCGGATCCAGCCGTGTGGATGGCAATGAACTTTCCTGGCGTGGAGATGCTGAAAGAGGACGAGAGGGCGGTGAAAGAGGAAGCGAAACACAAGTGGCCCGAGAGGCTAGTGTTCTTCCAGGCGCTCGAGGACACAATGGTGAAGTATTTCGAAGGAGTCGAAGGGTATCAGGAGTGCTGGAGGGGCTTTAATACTCACTGGCACGATGATAGCAGGAGAGTTGGTGACGTGGTGGTGTGGTGCTTGAAGAAATACGCGTAGTTCCGAGGAGCGGGTGTGTTGGTGATAATGGAACTTGAAAAGAAGATCGCTGGGTATTGGTTCATATTCTTGTTTTCGGAATGCAGGCGAGTGTATTATTATTGGAGGTTTTCTGTGGATTTTATCTCGTGCACGAATCAACGACCAAAACTTGAATAATTTTCAGATTCCACAATTGCCAAACCAACTGATGAAGACACCAGATTCCTGAGTGTCAATGATTACCCTGCATGAAAATCCCACCTACATATGTAACCTTGTGTAGCTGGCCAAGACGGATAGGCTCGCTGATGGCTGATGGCTCAAACTCGACGGCAACCAACTGCTCTCGCCCAAATAATCCCTGTTCGGCATACATACCCCCATCAGCGAGTCTACATAGTATCGCGAGAGTGCAGACGCGATAAGAGACCCACCCTAACCCTGTGTTTTGATCCGCCAACTTCACTCCAACCCCACGACCTACCACTCACGCCCTACAAGCTCCAATTGACGTATCCAAGGTCGACGAAATACATCGTGGAATCGCCATAGTAATCACTTATCGTTTTTAGATACCAATTAATACTTAAGTTATAGGCAAATCGCTCACCGCTGCTGGAATACCATGGCTACGACAGCTCCGGATCCGCAGCAGTTGCACCAAGCACTACAAACTGCTGTCGTCAAATGCTCTGAACGCTGTCTGTACCAAGCTGCGAAATGGTAACTTCAGCTCTACTTTCCTACTTCTCCTCCCTCTGGGCTCTCGGGTACGTGGCTGTAGTGATGAAACTAATGCCACCACCACCCTAGGGCCGCGGAAGCACTCAATTCTCTCACGACTATCGCAACCCCTCGCACCCCGCAACTCACCTACCCAGTTCCTACGCCCCATGAAGCCCAAGAGCTACCTCAATATCTCCTTGCCAAATCATACTTCGACGTCCGCGAGTTCGACCGCGCCTCGTCAGTGCTCGCGTCCTGCACCTCCAAAAAGTCCCGGTTCCTCCACCTTTACTCCCGCTACATCGCGGGCGAGAAACGCCGCGATGAGGAAAGCGAGATGATTCTGGGCCCTCTTGACTCTGCGGCCACTGGCAACCGTGAGGTCCAGTTTGTGTTATCTACGCTTGAAATGGGATTCGCGGAGCAGCCACCTACGGAGGAAGAGGATGCCTGGCTGCTGTATCTGTATGGAATCGTGTGCATGAAACAGAAGAATATCAAACATGCGAGGAAAGCGCTGTGCAAGAGTGTCTGCCTATACCCGTATAACTGGTCCGCATGGCAGGAGCTCGGGAGCACGCTTGGCGGCCTTAGCGACCTCAATGAGATCCTCGATAGACTCCCGAATAATGTCATGACAAATATCTTTGTCCTCAACACCAACCAGGAGCTATATCAGACCGATGACGGCGTGCATAAGCAGCTCACAGATCTGCTACAAATCTTCCCGCGCTCGGCGTGGCTCAAGACACAGCGCGCGCTGTTGTTCTATCATGCGCGCGACTTTGATGAGGCCGAACAGATCTTCGATGGCCTGATAAAAGCAGACCCGTATAGACTGGATAGCTTAGACCATTATAGTAATATCTTGTACGTGATGGAGCGCCGCCCCAAGCTCGGCTTTATAGCCCAGATGGCAACCGGAACAGACAAGTTCCGCCCTGAGACATGCTGTGTCGTTGGCAACTACTATTCACTCAAGAGCGAGCATGAGAAGGCCGTGATGTACTTCCGGCGTGCATTGACGCTGGACCGCGCTTCATTGAGTGCGTGGACGCTTATGGGACATGAGTATGTTGAGATGAAGAATACGCATGCCGCCATCGAGGCGTACCGTCGTGCCGTTGGTTAGTGCTCCTCCTCTTCCAACTCCTAGTATGGTGCTAACAAGACTAGATGTAAACCGTAAAGACTATCGCGCCTGGTATGGCCTGGGTCTCTCCTATGAAGTCCTTGAAATGCACTACTACGCCCTCTTCTACTTCCAGCGCGCCGCCTCACTACGTCCCTACGACCCACAAATGTGGCAAGCCATGGGCAGCTGCTTCGACCGCATGAACCGCCCCGGTGAGGCCATCAAAGCCTACAAACGCGCCCTCGTCTCATCCGCGCCCGCGAAGCAGGTAACCACCCACTTCGACCCCAGCATTCTCCTGCAGATTGGCTACATGCACGAGAAGCTGCAGAGCGGCCGAGAAGCGGCAAGATGGATGGAGATGGCACTTAGGGAGGAGGACGAAGTCGGGGTCACGGCGGCCACGAGTAAAGCCCGCATGTGGCTTGCTAGGTGGGAGTTTGGGAACGCGAATTGGGGCAAGGCGGCGGAGTATGCGAATGAGTTGTGTCAGGATGGGGCAGAGCTTGAGGAGGCGAAGGCATTGGTGAGGGATTTAAGAAGTAGGATGGAGAAGTAAGTAGGTGGGATTATTTCGAGTCTTTTATTAATAAGTACTTCTTTTTTTTTTTTTTTGGCTCTTTTTTCCGGACTTTAATGGGTGGATGACTTGACCTTTGACGCATGCGCGGGTGATGATGATCACGATGGATAGTTCTTGACTTGCATGAGATCAATGATGCGGACTCTTTTTGCTTTCTTCTTTTTTGCTTCTATGATATTACTCTGTTCTATATTATTCAGCATTTATACCCATTTCCATTCTTCATCCCTGTCTTTTCCTTTCTATTCGCATCTAGCATCCTTAATCCTCTTCATCCCTGTGGTTCATATGATGTTTCCTTCGAATTCTCCCAAAAGACGGTGGTGTACTACGGCGTTTGGTATTACTCAAAAAGTTCCTTCTTCCTCATCTTTAAAGAGCAGGCTTGTTTGCTTGTAAATATATTACGAATCAAGGGTCCTGCCTAGGCCTAGCATATATATCCCTAACTGAGCCACCTCCTAAGTGAGATCAATGGGGATAAGGTTTAGTTTTTATTTTTGACCTTATGCGGTGTTACTCAAGTACTACATGTATGTATACTATGAGTTGAATGCTGGTGGTTGAGTATTATATATTCATTTCATTCTTGACGACTGTATGGTAGGTCTACTCAGGTTACATGTCAGTACATACGTTTACTATAGATCAGGACACAGAGGTCAGAATGAGAATAAATCATTACAAGATATTTGAATGAGAGACAGTTAGATTTGCTACGAGTGATATTATATGAGCCTAAAAAAAACCAAAGCACCAACCACGCTACAAAAAAAACGCCAAACACCAGATCAATGCCTATCCATTACTATTACTACTACTATCCCGCTACTAAAAAGCCCTCTCCTTCCCCTTCGCCGTCCCCACCACCGCACTCTCCTCCACCACCGTATCCAACCCCTTCCCACCCCCTCCCATCCCCATCCACCCCACTCGCATCCACCCGATTCTGAAACGCCGACGACCCCACCCTCGGCGGCACCTGACCCCGTTCCCCATCCGTCTCACTTTCCATCCCCGTCCCCTCCGTACTCCCCTCCCTCTCCCCACGCGGCTTCTTCTCCCCCTTCGCAATCTGTATCTCCTCCAGGCGGTCCAAAAAGCTGCTCTTCCCCGGCCGCCACCCATACGTCCGCTCCCCCGCAAGCGCCGCCAACGGCCTCTGCTTCGCCGTCAGCACCGCCGGCAAGCAGTGCAGCCTCACCCCCGCGGTGGCAATCACCTGTCCCGCACGGGGGTCCTCGCGGTCCTCCTCGCCGCCCGCGCCAGCAGCGACATGGGCGCCGGCGGCCGCGGCAGCACTGGTGTCTTTCTGCGAGACGTAGACGCCGCGGACCTCGTGGGTGTCTTCGGGCGCGGGGCCCTCGGGGCAGCGCACGTAGATCTCGGTGCCGACGGTGGCGGTCCAGGAGCCGGACCAGATGCGGTTTCCGAACGAGAGGAGGGGATTCTCGGTGTGCAGGTCGAGGATCTGCAGGCGCCCATGATCGCCGTGGGCCCAGCGCGAGACGGGGTTTTCTTCGTCGTCCGAGGAGGGGGGCGTGGTGCGTGGGCGCTTGGGGAGCTGGCGGCGGCCGGTGCGGCCCGAGCGGGTGGTGCTAGAGAGGGGGCGGGGCGGGGGAGGTTGGAGGGGGGGGCGCTGTTGGTGTGGGGGTTGGAGGAGGGGCCGGCGTGGATCGGGGTGGGGATTGTGAAGTCGAGGGAGACGTAGAATTCCTATAGTAGCCAGGTAGGTTAGTTTGGGCTGTGTAGAAAACGATATCGAGCGTGGAGAGAGCGACTTCAGGCTCAGCGTCGCTGTCGGTCTCGTACTCAGACGAGTCGATATCAATATCCATAGGGACCTGCCCTTCAATCGAAGGATTCGGCATTCTCTCAGTACTGGCAGTGGCAGTGGCAGTTTTGGCGATCCTATGAACAGTTGAAGTTGTCGGTGATCTTGCGTTTCTGCCCTTTGGTGGATTCTTGACTATCAGGCTGCGGGTCATGGTAAGGATCTTCCGTATTGCTTTTTTCTATACTTGTTAATGCTTCCAGGGTTGGCTAGGTTCTTTGAGGCTCCGTGAAACGTGGGGACGGAGAATTGTTTTTCCGGCGCACTTGACAGTTAACGCCCAGTTTACTCGGATTCTGCGGTCATGAAGTGACGGGTGAGAAGATGTGATGATGCTAGCTGAGCGGACAATCGTGACTTAGTGGTAGTTGAGTGAGAAGGCTGTTGTGTAGACAGAAATTCCTGGTGAGTGATTATTGATGATGCGGCCGGCTGCTTCTTTGTCTTCTCTACCATGAGCTGGATATCTTTCTGCAGTGTGAAAAAGACTAGAGTTCAAGACCAATTGATATACCGTGTAGAAGAGCCAGTGGCAGTGATTGATCGATGAAGATAAAATAAAACCGTCCTGTATCGAATTGACTGAAGTTTAACTGAACCACCAGGAGTGGACAACATCGACCAACAGCATATATCAGGATACGTATACTTTTGCTGGGTGTCGATTACTTATACGCAAGTCCCCAGCTCAACCCAGCCCCCACACACATGCAGGAATGCCCCCTAGATCGATCTGTACGTACAGCACGCGCTACGCAATGTCTACATCTACATGTAGATATAGGTGCATAGAATGAAGTGACGGCAAGGTTATGCACGTAATGTGATCTACTGGACGATCGATCAATTGATCGATCGACTAGCTTACATGACGATAGGAGCTGAGATTATACATCACTCGCAGAACGTTAAACCGTGTGTGATAGACACCAATGAAGCAAAACTGGACAAGCCTAATACAAGTATGTGAGAGCTACAGAATCCACAACTCTTTTCAAATACATTCACGCAGTCGAGTGATAATTCATGCAACAACTATTTTTCCCCACTAACACCTCACATGCAGTTTTTTGTTTTTTGTCGCCCTATATAAAAACAAAAAAAGAAAACGGCCAGCACAATAAATAAGTACGCAAAAAAAAAGTGGATATGGAAGAAAAAGAAAAAAGAAAAAGTATACCAACATAAAAAACGCCCAGAAGTTCCCCATTCCCCCATTCCCCCAGCTCTCTCCTCACCCCCATCGATCTGCAGTAGCGTGTACTGCTGCACTGAGATAGGCATGGAAGAAAGAGGTAAAGCTGGCAAAGAGGCAAGCTAGGGAAATCATTCCACATGGGAAGCCTCGATAGATCTGGCCCAAGAAGGGGGGAAGAAACAGAGAGCCAATAATGAAATGCAAGAGAAAAGAAAAGAATATTCTAACAGCTAAACAACTAAAAAACGAGGAAATCCATTATAAGCAAAAATGCCACGATAGTAACAGAAAACGGCCAGTTAGTCAAAAAGAACAATAAATGCCACTAAAAAAGAGATATGGGGGGAAGGGAGACCAGGGACCGAGATCCGATCAGATAGGCAACGCCTCTCATAGCGGCAACGCCTCAATCTGCATCCTCATGACCGCGCTCCTCATCAGCTCCTCCCTCAAGCTCTCGCTCATCCTCACTGGCGGCGGCGGCGGCGGTGCCGGCACCGGCGCATCATTCGCCATGGCCCTCCTCATCTCCCTCCTCGTACTACTCAGCACCGCAAACTCATTCGCCAGCAGGTCGATCCTCGTCTGCATAGCCCTCAGCCTCGCCTCGCGGATGCGCAGGCTCGCAACTGTCGCGGCCGTAGCCGTTGGAGTTGGGGGGTCTGGTGGGGTGGTTGTAGAGTTCAGCATAAAGTCCTGCAGCGCACCGATGCGCCGTATCTGAGACACAAGTGTGTCAAAACTGTCCTGGCGACTCAGGGGCGGCAGCGACGACGAAGAAGGCGGTGGCAGCGGAGGCCATGTGATTGAGGGCACACCCGCTACATAGGGCCTATATTCCCCGGAAGTCCTCATCGGGGGCTGAACCAGCTGTGACGGTCCCGTGAGCACATCCGCCGTCGAGTCCTCCCTGGGCACCGACAAAGCCCCCGAGCTCGCGGCAGGAAGGGCAGAAAGTGGCTGCGGCGGTAGAGGCAACGACCCTGGCGAGACTCGTGCTCGAAAATTCCAATAGATCTCCGGGATCCTGTCCTCGTCGACCTCACCCTCCTCCTCCTCAAGCTCGTCCTGCTCTGCCTCTGACCGACCCTCCCTCGGGGCAGCGGTGGGGGTACAGGTACAGTACCAAGAATCCTCCTCCGCCCCGCTGGGGTGTGATCATACAGGCTGCCCCACCGTCCTGGTCTAGTCTCGGAGCCAATGCGCCTGCGCAGGGCCAGGAGGCCCTGGAGCTGGCGTTCCGTGCTGTCGCGGGTGCTTGTCTCGCGCAGGAACTCGTCGAGCGTGAGCATCGAGCTGTCGTTGCGCATCACCATGGCTTCTGGGCCGGCGGCAGAGGAGGAGCCGGAGGTGGAAGAGGTGTGAAAGTTTGGGGGCGAGATGCACCGGGGCGGTACCGGCTGTTTGTTTGCGTCATCCGTGGAGTTATTCTCAGAGTTTCCCGGTGGTGGTCTCCATACTGATGGGAGTTAGTTAGCTGTGGTACAGGGTACGTTTAACATAGGGGCAGGAAAGGAGCGAGGGAGGACGAGAGAAAGGACGAGGAGACATGACGTACAGGGCCTACCCATGGCTGGGTGAGAGCTTTGCTAGGTGAGAGGGTTTGAAATGGCGGTTAGGCTGTTGGTTCTTGAGAGATTGTGGTTTGAAGGGAATGTGGGAGAGAGGACGAGGTATGTCGAGGTGTTTTTATTGGGTGGATCGGAAAGACCACTGTTTCGTTCCGGGGGTTCGTTGTGCAAGGAAAAAGAAAGAGTGTGTGAGTGAGTGAGGGAAGGGAGAGCGAGAGAGAGAGAGAGAGAGAGAGAGAGGTTTCTCTCCAACCACCCCTGCCCCAGACACTACCTCATCTTTCAATGCTGAGCTGACCGTATGTATGTTTCCCTTTGCTCCCATTCGTAATCGTAGTAATCGTCATTACTACAGCTACAATTCCCCACGATGTACCCGGTACATGTAGGTACATGTAAGTACATGTAGTTGTTCTTCCCTGTTTGTCTCTCTCACATCGTCTCCACCATCCAACCGCTCAATCGCTCAATCAGCGTCAGCAGCTCAACCCTTACATATGCACAATTAAGTAATGATCGGACCCAGTTGAGACATCTGCTACATCTACATGTACTGTTTGTACTTCTATTTGGAATAATTTTATTTCACTTTTGCCTTCACTCGATGGATGGTCCCTAAATCAATCTCATCCCATATGTATAAATTTAGGCAGTATCTATAATAATATGCATTCCACCTCGGCCTAGCTCATCCTCATCCTCATCCTCATCCTCATCCTCATCTCGATCTCATCTACATACAACATACGCACTTCTTCCTGCATAAAGCCCCATCTCGTCCTATCCTATCCTATCCAAGTAGCTAGCTACTAGCTTCAACGTCTACCATGATAATAACTAGAAAAAATAATAATAATAAAAGAATCCACCTTTTAAAGTTCTAGAATAGAAAATAGCTAGATGCTCTTTTTGCTTTTTCTTTTTCTTTCTCTCTTCCGTCCTCAATTAAGTAATCCATGAAAGAGAATAAGAACCATGGAAAAGGGCCTAGGGTAGGGAGGAATAAAAAGAAAAAGAAAGAAAAAGAAAGAAAAGTAAAACATAGAAAACCCCCAGAAAACCGGTATCAAAAAAGCAGTTGGAAAAAGGAAAGAAGGGTTTTTTAAAAAAAAAAGGAAAACACCCATAACGCCCCACACCATACGCACCCACGCTTCTAAATAATTGCTAGCACCAGCGCAGCCAGCCCATATTAAAGCAAACTACAGCATAACAAGTAACAGCCCGCTACACAGACAAAAGAAGAAAAAAAAGAATAACCTACAAATATTCCCTTTCACCCGCTCGCGTCACCCGGCAGCAGCCTAATCATCCGCTATAGCCTGGCTCATAAAGCTTCTGTTCCCTGTCATCGGCCGTCCAACCTGACTAAACGAGCTACCTCTCCGTCTCAATGCGCGCTTCTGCGCATCTGCTGCTTCGTTCTTATGGAGGCTCTCGCTTGGTAGAAGGATGGCGCGGTCAAGCTCGTAAGGAAGACCACGATGACGCCCACGTATCTGCATAGCGACGATTACGAGCTTGGAAACGACAGAAAATTGGCCAGTGAAGGCAGTATTAAATCCAGGATAGCCTAGGGACAGTCCAACGGTACCGTAGGCTGAGACGACCTCGAATAGGATTGCGAATGTCGTGAATGCCTGTCTGGTGTTAGCTAGGGTCAAGTATAAAATGTAGAAGGGAGCTTACGTAGTCACTATTATTCTCAATATGGCTACCCTCTGCAATTGTGATGATGAAGAGCCCCAGGAAGATGTACCATAAATCGAAGGACAACTGTTTCCGCAAATGTGCGCCGACGAAACTGGTCTTACCATTCGCGGCCTCGTCTTCCTCGTCGCCGTTGGCATAAATACCAAGGGAGCTTTCTTCATAGACATTGGTTTTACGGACGGAGATGGCGATGGGAAAGACGGAGATGTACATCATGACCATATAGCTGACCTGGATGGCAGGGTGGAGTTCTGCGAGGTTGACAACACTTGTTCCTGAGGTTCTTGTGCTCGCGGCTTGGAATATGGCACCCATGATACGAGAACCAACAGGGATATCAGTGACGTCTTTATCTTTAAGGTCTAGGACAATGAAGAGAATCACATCGGAGACATTAAGGAAAACAAGCATCCAGAAGAGCATCCAGGTTGTGCCCGAGGGGAAGAGGAGCGTGAAGCAACGGCGGGGGTGATCGAGAAGAAAGTTGAGGCACTCGCGATATGAAGAGCCTTCCGGGCAGACCTTGAAGCCAAGCCATATGATAAGACGGAGCAGACAGGGAAACCCGGTGTTGCCAATTACAATGAGGAAGGACATGACGATAAGGATGAAAGTTGCCTGCTGGAAGGACACCATGGAGTCTGGAGTGAGTGTGAATCCTAGATCATTGAACGCCGTCTGTGAGGTGTAGATCGCCCTGAAATTGGTTAGTCTATGAGAGGCAGAGTGAGATATCATGTCTGGAGGGGGAATATCAATACACACCACCAGGTCGGATTCACACCAACAGATTTGACATAGTCCTTGTAACGAGTCATAGTATTAATCCAGGGGATAAAGCAAACAACCCCAAAGAGGTGGAAGAACACATAGTATCCCACCAATACTCTTGCCAGTAACTTCAAACTCCTGTACTCGATACCCCCCAATTCGTCCCTCTGTTCATCAGTCAAATCCACGAAATTTGAATTCCTTCCCAATGTCGGCTGATAACTCAGATATGGCATAACGGGGGGTTCCTTGGCTGCTTTTCTAGAGAACCGTGAAAGCGGGCTCATATTCCGTTTTCGGGGGTGGGGGCCCATAGCAAAAGCACTAGTCATTACACGTTCAACCGTCGAAGCACGGGGTAAGAATCTGTCAACCGTAGTGGAGACGCGACGCATGCGCATGTTGTTAGATCCATTTGTAGCAGCATTTCCTAAAGAGATAGTCCGGGACGCAGGAACATCGTATGCACCCGAGCGTCCATAATCCGTATCACCGGTGGTGCGGGCACGGTGGAGCGTATTCGCATCATCATCCTCATCAACCTCGTGGGCACGATCACCCTGCTCAAACTCTCTCGGTCCGGGAATTCTCAGCGCTTTTCCGGAACTCGGGGCACGTCGATTCTCTGCGAAAGCAATGTGGGGAGCACTTAAGCTTCCCGGATCATTTGTTCTGGGCTGCGGTGATGGAAGGTTGACGAATTGAATGTTTCCATTTTCTTGGTTCCTCTGGGGCCTATCACCATCCATAAGTTCATTGCCACTATTCCCCATTTTAGATCTCAATTCATACCCTTCAGTTGAGGAGGACCCTCGGCTAGGCGTACGATCCCTCCCTTGTTGCCCCATAAACGAACCCCGCGAATCCATAGGTGAGAATCCTTCCGGCGCAAGCGTAGGAAATTCCGGAGTAACTTGAGTGGTTTCTGTAGAAGTCCGTTCTGCCTCAACCCCCGGGGTTGGCTTGTCTGGAGACGGTGCACGGGATTCGCTATGGAGAACCTTGATTTCGCGGCCACGGACACCGCGTTCCTCACGATCAACATCTTCTGTGGGTGAGAATAGAGTGCCAGTTGAGCGACCAGTTTTAGCTCTTGAGGGTTGTCGACTAAGTGCGACTACAAAATTGTCAATATTTCTTCAATCTGTAAATTTGGGGATCTTCATACCAATATTCTCGAAGCGCTTTTCAAACCAGTACAACCTTACAAAAACGACGAATGTGTTGATAAATATTGGGGTTGTAATCAAGGGCACAATATACATCACAATTTGCTGATAAAGCTTGATAGTGTTGACGTCGACTCTAAAGCTCCCAATTAGTGCATGATCCCCATTGAACCCAACCACCAAGATTCAACATACGTATTTATACCTGACTGCGTAGCACTTCCACTGGCAAACACCAACGCATCAATATACGCCATGTTCTTCATGGGATATATTATCACCGAGCCAAGTATAATGATGCTAACAATATACAAATCTATTCATCAACAGCACATGTGTGTTAGTTTTACAAGTTCAAATAAACAAAGCCCCCACTGTGTAATCACGTAAAATACTCTGGAAAAATGGTAACTCACAATGCGCGGTGATAAAACTCAACCTGGGTCTGAAACTCCATTTTTTCGGCTCGCCCATATCTCTAGTACTAGGAGAAGGGGGAGGATGTCAAACAGAAACCTTGTGTTCTTGTACTTTTGTGTTACTCCCGGCTAATGTTGAGATACTATGGATTGTTGATATTCTGAAGGTTTGGGCGAAACAAGTAATGAGTGAGGACGAGACAACGATGAGAGAGTGTGATCAGGATCTTCTGGTTTCTTCTGCACAATAACAACGTAGACTGGTGGCGAGGGTTGGAGGATTTAAGGGCAATTCAATAGTAAGGGACGCAAAGTGGATACCAGGCTTGAATAATAAAGGAATTACCCGTGCTAGTCTATTTATCGTCAATGTACAGAGGCTACTGATTCAATGTGATAGAAACAGACATCTAGAGGGCTATTATCAACTTGACTTAATACTCAACAATCAAGGATTTAAGAGGGGGGAGGTGCCGGGCGGAAGAGGTGGTGGCAGGCTGCGATAGGTAGAAACAAAGGAAGGGACAAATAAATCGATAATAATAGGTAATGATGGTAGTAGCAAAACGGTGTGTAGGTTGTAGAGTGACTGACTGGGTGAGATTGAGGAAGTAGCAAGTTGAAAGAGAAAGAAAGAGAGCAAAAGGGTTCAGGTTTCAACTTTTGATTCGACTAGCTAAGGCAGCGGCTGATCCTTGGAGCTGGGAAAGAACGAACGCCTGGGTTCCCTATCGAACAGGTGTGGGACGAGTGGGAAAAAGGCCTGATTGAGCAAAAGAAGGTGTCCCCATATCATGGGGAGAGATCGTTGGTGAACTCTCCATTTTCCTCCTCCCGTGTACCATGACTTGGGAATGGGTTATTGCGTGTGGCGGTGTCCATGGACTTGCACCTACTGTCAGGCAGTGTACCCAGCATTACATGGTCTCACCAGGCACCATCTCGGACAAACAGACTAACATCGTGACCTTCATTACGCAAATAATCCCTAGATCTTCCCCAGAATTGATCCTGGAGGCACTATCGCGCATTCAAATCTTTTGTGCAATTGTCCCAGTTCAACTCCCAACCCTTCCCCACCTCAATCTCTTCCAGCGGGGAAACGGGGGGATGGCATTGTGCACTGTGATGACGCGGGGCGGTGGTGGTGGTAGTTTTCTCCATATTTTTTTTTTGCTACGTGTTGAACCCAATGATAAAGGTCCTATGGGAGCTTACTTTCGCCCCCACATCACATATGTCGAGTCGAACTGCAGAGCTTCCTGTTTTTCCGGTGCCGAATGGAGTCGTCAGACAAAACCAACAACACTGCAGCACTGCACCTGTCTGGGTCCTGCACACTGCGTCAAAACCCACACCCCGACACGTGCTTGCATGCTAAGTTCCTACTGCATCCTCAACCACCGGTAATTGAACTTGAATCTCTGCCCGAGGATAAATCATATCTCGATACATTGAAAGGTACAAGAAACCAAGACGCCCAGGCAAAAGTATCCCTTCGTCTGGCAATGCTGCCCACCCTATAACACAGCAATTAGATTTGTATGGGAGATCTATTATTTGATAAGAGAGATAACGAGATCTGTTAGTAAAGCCACATATAAATTTGCTTTTTTGGGGGGTGGGCAGCATTTTTTGCCAGACGAAGGGATACGTAGCACCGCCAAACCCCCAATTTCGACTCTTCTCCTTTTCTCTTCGTCGGCAGTAACCCACCCCTTCCCTTCCGCCGTAGGGCTCCTGCTGCACCTCCTGGATCTTCAATTCCTGGAAGCTTGTCCCTTGAATACCTAGAATTACTTCCGATAAACTCGGCAATGCTTGCAAATATGTACAACAGCGCCAGGTCTCCGATATATCAGTCTCGGATCATTGGTTTCTTCTCCCCAACCCATCGCACCCGCAATTTCCGGCGGGAACGGGTTCTGCGCCGCATTCCGCCATCATCTGTTCCATCTTCCTCCAGGCAGGCATAGCGACAGATAAGGCAGAGTACTACTACCAATTGTACTGACACAAGAATCTTACGAATCATAAGTGCAGATTTCCTTTCGATCGTCATCAGCCCTGCAAGTGTCGGGTTATTTGTGTACAAGTACATCATTTTTCAATGACGGTCGGTACTTATCCTCTTCTTGGGTTGGGCAGAGAAATAGAACCATGTATGATGTCTTGTAGTCTTTCAGCTGAAGACTCTTAAACATTTTTCCGAGGGGGGGGGGGGTGCGGAGGGAGTGGTGGACAGGCGTATGTAGGGGGTGAGTGCTAGGAAATTCCTTCCTTTATGCCCTGACTATCAGATTGGGAACCCCCGTCCATGCCTGAGCGTCAGCAAAGAAGCAAAGCCAAGATTCGAGACTTCCTTCCCTCAGACAGCCGCCTCACGCAGATGCATCGCCGCTAACGTCCTCCTAACGGTTTCCGTCACACGCGATAAACCCTGAACCTCAAGACAAGCCTTTTACATTCAGTGCCGAGCCGGGAGCTGCCGCAAGAGGGAAGAGCCTGGAATGTGGCTTGTAGGCGTGCCTGTTCTGCCGGAACAATAATAATTTAATCTGGTTGATAAGCCTTTGTAATTGTCTCGCTTTCTTCCTTTTCTTCCAGAGTTAGGGAAACGAATTGATCGCGTATCTGTTTGTTTAATCGGATTTGGATCCTGTCCGATCAGACTCGGGAGACTCTAGTTGCCAAGAAAATTTTCTCTCCATGAGCGTTAGTTGAGACCTCTCTAGAGGCCACCAAAAGCATAAAAATCTAAACCACCCCTTACATGAAGAGGGAAAAAAAATCGTGCAACACACATACGTGCTACTAGAAAACAACGTACAAAACAGAACTATCATCTCCCACTCCACTTTATTACCTATCAATCTCACAGAGAGTTTTGGACAACTAGAGTACATGGTAAGGTCTAAAGTACACTTGGAGGCTTAGCACATAATATGCACTGCCACAGAATACAGAGGGTACATGTATCCTCATAGAATAATTATGCCTGTCAGCAGTGTATCACGATCGAGCGTCATGATCACTCAACACTGTAATACCAAAGATCAGAGTTCCATGTAACGTACCCCGCCGTTTTAACTGCATGTCACCCGAGGAGCGAGATCATGCAGTGCACCCCCAACCCAATAGCACAAGATCCTCCAAATGGCACCTGTAACCTGGGCATGATATTGTCATACATTCGTTTGTGATAGTCTACTTTGGTTTGGTTTCTCAATGTTCACCGAGAGTGAGAGAGGGAAAAAAATGCGGTTTATGCACTCGTAGCCAATTTCCAAGCAGACGAAAAACCCAACATCTTATATCATTACCCCCTTCTAACTGGTAAGTAGACGAACCAACCAACCAAACCCACAACTGCATATAACGTTCGAAATTGTATGGACTCAGTCCCATGACTGAAACCAAAACTTAAACCTAAATCATAGAGACAAACATATCTGCATGCACATACATACTTCTTTTCCCCCACGAGGCAATCGCTAATCGAAATGGCTGACGCTGTTTTAACCAACTCGTTATTGTCTCGACCACTGCCACACATGCAGATCTTACCTACGTTTCCCTCCACGCCGCGTCGATCAACTCCCATGAAAAAAAACTAATTGCCTTATGCATCGTCCCGCGCCTGGTGGCGAGTCCCTCCTTAGTCAGGATGGGAATCTCTGATCAACCGTCGTTTCCAAAATACCATCATCCCACATCCAAAACACTAGATTGCAATTTTTACAGGATACAGCAGCCGGGGTAGTGTAAGTATATTTGAATCCGGGCCAACAGGTACCAAATACCTGGGGGTAATTGAGTGGACCACCACCCACGAAATGCACATAGGATGGATGGGTACTCTAGGTGGATCTGAGCTCCATGAAGTGCTCTAAAGTAGAGTACCTAGGTACTCTAGCGCTCTGCAGGGCCTCTGTTCATAACGAACGGAACGGAATGGAATTGGTAGTGGGGGGATATGGATACAGTACCCATCAGCTCCATCACACACGCATGCAGTCAGAAAAACGAATTCCCTTCGCTGCTTTACAACTACGGTCCGTTATTACCACATCCGGGGAGATGGGTGCTGCGAGGAGGAAAGAAAAAGTAGACCCTATCACGCAGCTGCGATTATTGCAGGCGCAGAACGAGATCTTATGTGGAACATGCTGAATCTTGGCATATGCACTTAATTGCAGCAGGGAAACACGGTACCTCTACCCAGAGTATCTCGAGTACGTACTACTGGATATCTTACGAGAACAGGCATACCTATATGTACCTATGCCTGCTGATGTGAGAGCTCCTCCGCCAATCCAATGACCCTTGGTGTCCCGAATGGTAAGAAAGGCACATGTGTAGAGATTTAAGGCAGGGCTAGAGGCACTAGATCCTGGATCCACTTACGTGTAAACTCGAGGTCGGAACGGATTAACCCAACGGAGCGGAATATCGTTTTCCCTAAGTGTGGCTTGAAAGCATTCAGGTTTTAGGAGCCACGAGGATGACAGCAGACAGTCACAGTGGGTAGAAAAAGTAAAATACAAGGTTTGATACCTATGAAAGAAAGGAGAGGGCTGAAATTTCCTCAAATAACCCTTCGTGGGAGGGATCTTATTCAACGTAAGTCTGCGACACTGAGGCAAGTACTACATCATCTAGCTATCACGATACGAGAGAGCTGAAGGCAGAAATTTATCGTGGTCAAGTACTGTGGTTTCTTTTGCCGTCAAAATATCGAAGTATCAATATAATTACTAGCTCAACTATGACGCCATTCGCCATACTCCCATAAATCATTGTTTCAAAAAGACGGCTAAATGTTGCCCATCTTTGTTGGAGAACGATGAAACAAGAGAAACACCCGTTTTACCTTTTCCAACAATTACATCCCTTGACGCAGTCTTTCTGCCAATTGTCGCTTTCCAAACTCCCAAGCGTTGAGCAACCCCTGTTCTGAAAGGTCTAGGTTCTTCATTCCAACAACCTCATTCTTCGGCGGTCTACTAACACGGGATGCAATGGTGGCGGGGTCCGTCTCGAGGATGATCCCATCATCAACAATTTCGTCAACGCATAGCGATACAATATCGTAGTTCTCCAGCATGGTACGTTTATCCGTGATATTTCTGTAAACCAGTCAGACTCCTGTATTCCATCCTTGATAGAAACCTATACCTCAATAATAGGTTCAAGCTCTCCCGCAATGCCAAGAGTGTGTGCCATAGCAACATCTCGTTCTCCTCAGTTCCGCCGACAACATAGAGCATCACATCGCTCTCGGCCTTAAAGACGACGATGCGTGAGTCGTAGAGGATAATATCGTTGTTTGATTTGGCGGTCTTGTCGATTAAGCCCTTCTCAAAAGCTTTTTGTTCTTTTGCTGTCGGGTATGGGTTTACAGTGGAAGGGGTAGAGTGAGGGGGGTGGTAGTACTTTGCAAGAATCCGAGAGCCGTCATTCGGGGAGAGGATTAGGATTGCGTTTACCTATGGGGGGTTATTAGTACAGTCGTAATGAGGGCGGAGCTGGGGGAACATACCGATATAAGAGAGAGGTTAGGCGCCATTTTTAACAGCTTTGATATCCGAATTTAAGTGTTTGGAGACAAGAGTATTTGTTGTTTGTCGAGGCGAAGGTGTCGAGCTATGTGGGTGTGTTTCTGTGGATGTCTTTAGGTAGAGGTCGAAGCTCAAGCTGTCTTTTGCAAGAGTACGGTTACCACATAACGTTACCTCTCTTTGGTGATGGAGAATGCTTGTATGAATATACCTTTTTACCAACCATATCAGACCGTTCTTATCGCCTCGCGAGATACCTTACTAGTAATTTAGTCTTACCCAGCGCCATTCTTAGATCTTTTTCTCTAAATTCATTGCATTTTCGTTATCTTCGTTGACGTTGCTCTACTGCGGCTCTTCATGCAGGTTGACGCTAAGATATGAAAAGTTTCGGAAAACATTCCCTCTAAAAGTGCCCCACCCATTCCCTGTACCTGCTTCTCTTTCCTCCGATGAACTTCTATCCCATTATATATTTACACCGAGTCGTCTCTCTTCCATAGGGATCCTTGGAATATGTTAAATTCTACCGCGTCAAGAGCAATTGCTCCCACAACAGCTCGTCTGCAACTTCGTCTTTCTACACTACGATTAAGTACTAGATATTACGCAAAACCTTCCTATCAACCTGCTCCGAGAAGATATAACGGTGGCGATACACCACGTGAGGGTCGCGGGGATTCATACCGTGGTTATAATGAACACCAACCAGACTCCCATAGCTCAGGATACAATAGCCCCAACGGTAGGCGTGAACGGCGAACAAATATCAGAAGAGACGGGCGAGAGTACACGTCCGATGGTTATAAACTACCCCGTGTAGGCCGAAATACGGAGTATGAGGACCGCAAATACAACCAGCGTCAAGATACTCGTGAGCGCCAGCCTGCCAGTTCCAAGGATGGCGAAACTGACTGGTTGGCCCCGAGGAAAAAGAAGAGCAATAAGGCAGAAGATACTATAATTCCCCAACTAACCCAAGACGAACTACGGTCGATATTCTCACAGGAGGTGTGGTCAAGCTCAGGCATTTTTTTTTTTTTGGTCATGATTTAGATTGCTGATAATTTCTCTTCTTCTATAGTTATTTGTATTCCGTTGCGACCTAAACGCTACCCAAATTACTTCGGCCATGTTCTCTTATCCCCAGCTTCGCGATGTTGGTATCCTCACTTCACATGATGTCTCTAATCTCGCGCGCCAACTTCACACCCATTATCGTCTTGACCGCGTTGATAAGGAGGTGCTCCCCCATGTCAAGACCCTCATTACAGATATTCAAAATGGCAAAGTGCCCGGAAACCCATTGGCAAGTGTACATATCCTATCTTGCCTCAAGGAAATGGAAGAGTTTGATTTGGCCAATGATTTTTGGAAATGGTTGGAACCTCAGAATGAGGATCACACCGACGCGCGAGTTTATGGTGCCGCTATTGAGTGTCTTGCGTATCAGGGTACAGCGTTAGATGTCATGGAAGATTTATATACGGAAGCCCTTGAGCGCTACTCGGATTCCACTGTCGCAACAGTCGCCCGCGACACTGGTAAGGGAACTAGGATCATGCTCTTTCAAGGTATTATCACGGCCCGTCTTCTACACGGTGATTGGGAAGCTGCCTACGAAGGCTTCGATATTTGTATCCGCCTCTATCCCACACTTACCCCTCCACGTATCTACGAACTTATAATCTACGAGCGCTCTGTAAAAGAAGCATATATTGCGTTCCTTATGGCTTGTCGAGCTGGTACCCCACCTAAACCAACTGTACTGACGCCACTACTCAAGCAACTATGGAGTGAGACGGGAGATGTGAGGGCTATGATACGTGCATTGTATGCGTTTGTGGGTTCGGGGGGCAAGACATCGTTCCAACATCTCAATAGTCTTATTGGTGGAGTCTTTGGGACAATCGGTCAAGTGCCAAAGAATGCTAGAAGCGGAGAGGAGTGGGATGAGGTCTATGCAAATGCGATGACATTTACTAGAAACCTTATCAGCGCTTTTGCAAAGGCTGGAGTGCAGCCCTCGCTGTCCACATTCAACACAATCATAACACTAGGAGGAAAGTTGGAGCGGATGGATCTTGTATATGGAGGACTGAAGGAATTGGCATCTGCAGGAATGGAGCCAAATATAATTACCTACAGAATCATCTTAAATGCATTCGGTGAACTCAAAGAAGCTGAATCAGTTAGACAAAGTTGGGCAGATCTTTGCAGCGCTAAAGCAGAGCTTGGAACACCTTTCGATTTTAAAGACACTATGGCGCTAATTAAAGTATAAACTCCCTCCCCATGATTAAGCAGTTATCATTCTAACGTAGTTATAGGCTTGCGTACGCACTGATCAAACAGACTTCTGCCGCTTTGAGCTTAATCGCCTCAAAGACTCCCTGGGTTGGCACCTATATCGCTCTTCTATGGACAAGATCAACCACGAAAAACAATCCATTTTCAATGAGGATCTCGCTAATGAGGTTTCCGACCCTGGGGCAGAATTCCCCATCTCACGATCAAGCCAAAACGAATTACGGGGGGAAATTGAACAACTCGAAAAGGTCTTGGTATCTTCACAAATCCACAACTTCACCACTTCCACGATGCCCCTGGTGCTCCCTCCCAGTCGTCTCAACCAAAGTGTGGTTGATATTGACTCTACCTCGCCATCATTTGGACCTGAAATTCCGCGGACGGAGCTACAGGAGTTCTACGACACGCTCACATCTTCGGCATCAAAGATCGATATTGGTGAGGACCCGCTGCTCCGGACTGCAACAGGATACTCCGTACAAGACCTGCGATTCGAGAACTGGCGTAGCGTGAACCGTCTTCTATATGAAGCCGAGATTTATGAAAGGGAGAAGAAAAACGCACTTGTTAGACGATCCAAGGCGCGCGCCGCGAGGGAAGGAGTTGTCGATACGGAGGACCCAGTTGAGAGTAAAGATAAACAAGAAATCCGAAGACTCTTCGCAACCGAGGAGCGAGCAAAGAAGAGGATCGAGGAAATCAAGAAAGGAATGCAGGCAGTAGATAATGCGAGACAATCCGGGGAAGGATGGAAGAAGGAAGAGTTGAGGGTTAGAAGACAGATGGGTGGCGAGATGAAGGAATAAATGAAACTAAATAAATTTGTGGATATTTTTTTGTGTATGATATCAATTAGATTCACGTCATATATTATCACTCAGCCATTCTCGATTATTGTCTTTCGATTAGTTATCTAATTTATTAAGTACATGAAGCCTTACTTTTATGGCACTACATTTAAGTTCCAGCGACCTTTATTAGATAGTACACATACATTAATTGGTGAAATTACATACTATCCCAATCTTTTACGGCGTCGTTAAAGATTGGGATAGTACTAAACTATATTCTTAAAACTAGGAATCGATAACTAGCAAAGATTTCGAATACTCCAGCTGCAGTAGGTCATTTTAGGTAGGATTCCCTGATGGTTTTTTCTTCTATCATGCTATAATTAAGGATTCTTTTTTCTCCCGTACTCCATATTTTGGTAAATTTATTTATTTCTAAGAATCAATAGAGGCGCAGCTGCAATGAAGTATAACTGTAATTCATGACCATCCTCAAGAATTAAAAATCTCAAACGATATCCACTTTAATCGCGGTTCACCACAAGCAGTTATGCCGGATCGCGGAAGGCAGGCAATTACTTCCGAATACATTGACCAATCATGATCACACAGTGCATGATTGGGTCCACACAATATCACTCGAACTAATCCTCACACGTAATTGGGTGGCAACACTTTCTCTCGATATTTGCCAAGAAATTACATCCTTGGATTTTTCTTTCCAAGGGATACATTAGCTTGCCCACACCATTGATATTCTCCGGATGACACTCAGGTGCAGAGTTTTGCGTTAGTTGTTATTTTTATTAAATGATCAAGTATTTTGCGTGGACTAATGAGCCAAATATTGTGCCATTGATAAACTTTACACTCCATTAAGACTTGACTATCAAGTTATATTACAGTGTTATCCCACCGACCAAGCTACCGATATCTAATGAACTTGGAATTTAGCAATTAGAAGTTGGAATTGGACGCCGAAAGTGTTAATTGGAGATGTGGTCAACATCATTAAACGCCGGTTATCACATGAGACCACCAAAATATCAAAATCTCCAATTTCATCAAGAGTGGCAGGTATGTGTGCTTGTGATATTAGTAGACACAGGTTACATACCAATCCACCCAGATATGTGTCAAACCAAACATTTAAAGCCACATCACACAAAATCCCAACCCCTTGCGGTCCAAGATGACACAGTGTCCCCTTTTTCTCAAACTTCAAACAAAACCCCATGAACATATTAGCCCCCCCCTTCCTCTGTCTTGTTATGAATTCTCAGCTCTCAATTGATTACTACCTTCGCCGCACTTACGACCCCCCCCCCCCTTTCGCCGTCCCAACATGCCCGCCCGCCACCGCGGCCTGCCGCCCCCTACCCTCCCACCAGCCTCCCTGACCCGCATCTCCACCAGCCACAGCCCACTAATCCCCCCCCCATGTCGTACTACCCCAACCCCCCGCCCCCGCCCCCGCCGGTGTCTAAGATAAAGATAAGCTTCAAGATCTACACACTATGCAGATCAGACATCACCCGTGCATGCCCCTTCCATGCATGGAAGGTCTCAACGCAACCTAACCCCATAGTGGGGCATGTTAGTGGGGGACGATAAAAGGACAAGCTGATAGCTAGAAGCGGGAGATGTCACCGATATCATTATCATTAACATGACCCAATTGAGACGCAAGACATGGAATTCAAATTATAAAACCTTGTAAAAAATTTATTAGCCCTGCTAGAGTAAATACAAATCAACTATATACACGCTTTCACCCCCTATGACAAAAGATTTCCCGGCTCAAACAAAAAGATACAAAACAAAGGCTCCCACCGAAACAAAACAGAATCCCAAGCGCTGCTGTATGTATATGGGATATCTTTACATACCCCATTCAGAAGAAATTTATCCTTCAGAGAGGATTCTCTTGCAGGATAATGATTCGCAAACATCATTTTCACGTGGATAGCATAAACCAACATGATCGTCGTCGAATCGAAATAGAAACAGAAAGAAATTTTAGCAACGCTAGCCCCCCAACAATCCTGCGAAGACAGTCAAAAGAAAAAAAGAAAGATGAAAGGAAAACCAGGTACAGATGACTCCCAGAAGAACACAAATAAAGAAAATCAATAGTACAGTAATTTCCCTCCAGAACCCCCCATGCCGGTACAAAGTAGATAAAAGTGAAGGTAAAAGATAATGGTATATGGAATATATGCTCAAGTATAGTCAAGGGAATTAGATCTCTGATAAGCCTCTCTTCTTCCCAGCATCAATCCTAGGCTTCATTCTGCTCGAGGCTTTAAGTGCAGCATTGCTGACAGACGTGAGGGATGGATCCTTCCATACAGCGAATTTTGATGCCCCTTTCAACTTCGGGGCGAGAACTGGTTTTTCGGGAGTAACAACAGAAACGGACCCTTCCTTCTCCAAATTTGGGGCCTTTCCTGGCTTTTCGCTCTCCTCATCTACCAACTCTGCAGGGGCCATTTCACGCAACGCCTGTCGTTTAGTGCGGCGATATGTGGTACGCCTAGTTGGGAGGTCGATACTCATTGGCGATATAGTGGGTGTCTCCTCGTGGCGATTTTCCTCATAACGTCTCTCTTCTTCGTCAGTGGGCGGGATATTCTCCTTCCCAATGTCTGTCAATTCAGTTCTACTTGTCTCATCATCCGAAAGATCAAGAGTGGTTGCAGAGTGTTCCATCAGGTTTTGAAGCGTTTCCTCGGCCGAATCTTCATATATTGTGAACTGCCATGAATCTGGAATAGCATCTCGTGGTATAATTGCATTGTTAGGTAACGATAAGGAATCAATTTCACTGCCGCTGCTGATCACAGAATCGATACTTGTGTTTGGCGCAGATTCCTTGTCTAAAACAGGAGGGTCTACTCTAACTGCAAATGCAGCGCGACGATTACGTGCTTTCCTAGGAGGAGTCGTAGTGCGACGACGCGGTGGGGACGCGTTAAGAATGACATTCTTAAGCGAAGATCCCACGCGAGGTTTGCTTTTCTCGACCCGACTTGTTACAGTACTAGTACGGACCTTTTGTTGAGGAAGTTGAGGAGTACGATCGGTTAAGACGAAACGTGAAGGCTTTGCGTTTTTGACTGAGGGAGACTTCTTGTCGAATAGAATATTTTCCTTATCCTCACATGAGGTAAGGGTGGACTTAACACGCTTGGGGTGTGTGGGGTCGACATTCTCGTCGCTGAAAATTGCGAGAGGACGTTTAGTGGGGGAGGCTGGGGCCAGGAAGTATTAGCGTTGTTGATCCATTTTAGTGCGAAGCAGCAGGGGTGGTTTGAGGGAGCGCGTGTGGGTGGTGTGTCATAAGAAATAAATAGGGTGGCAGGAAAATGAAGGAAATGATTCAAGAAACGACAAGCTCAATCTGGGGAGAAATTGGTTGAAAAGATGGGAGGTAGGAACTTGTATGGGCAAGGGGGGAAGAGAGAAAGAAAAAAATATAGAAGTACAAAACTCACAGCGACGATTAGTATTAAAAGTAGTGGGCATCTTATTACCAAAAGTTGTAGATTTCATGCCAAATGCTCTAGGAGCAGTAGAGATGAGAATTGGAGACGGTGCCATTTTTAGCGAAGGAGTGTGTTGTGAGGGGTAACGTTGGACCTCAAGGTTGATTGATAACCGTTGAGAGCGACGGCGGTTGGGGTTGACTTTAGGTCAACAGCAGTGGTAATAATAATGGATGGGAGATGATTGATGGTAAAGGTGACGAGTGATGATGAGAGGGTTAAGGGAAGCGGTATAAAACCAAAGTGGTGTTAAGAGCAATAGGTAGTTAACTCAAGGCAAAACCCCACAAGCTTCTTTTTCACTGCCTTTTAGCGACAAAAAAGGCAAGGAAGATAACGATAAAGAATCTCAATCCTTAGAATAGTTAACTTTGAGACGAGGGGGATGAAGCTATGAAGTAGAAAAAAAATCGGGGAGGAGAAATCTGAGGGTGATGGAATGAAGTGAGAGGGGAGGGAGGGAGAGAAGCAGTTAAAGGCCGGCGACGCAAGGGAAGGGCGCGCGGAACGGCCAGAGAATGGGCAACCGCCAACCGCACTTCCCAAAATGGAACTAATGGAGGTTCGCGACCGCGACGCGTGAGTTTGGTGTCCTTTTCGCGTTAGAGCCACACGTTAAGTGTTTGCCGATTGGGTGGGGAGCGGGCAGGCGGTCTGAGCGTGGCTGTGCAGTGTTGTGCCAACTGGCGTCACGTTTCAGCGTGACATCCCCGCTTGAACACTTTCAGTCTCCTATTGTAGGTACGTCCTATGTACATGTATGTACGTACCTACATGTACTACTACAAATGTTTCGAAGCACTAACCAACCACCTTAAGATCCTTCACGAAAATGGCGCAAACTATGTAAAGGTGTTACAGTCCCCATATCTAAACAGTTATGTGACATTTTAGTATCACTACATACATGTAGTATGATGATCAATAACCCAGATATACAGTGGAAGACTGAGGAAATGATTGACCATGGCACATAGAACACACGTTACTACTCCTATCGCAAAATATATCCTCCCTGTATGTGTATGCAATGCTTGCTCGCAGTAAGTTGGGGTAATGATTGAGCACATATGGCAAAAAGTGGCTAGTCTCATTCATAGTACATCTCGGCGAGTGATTCCTCGTGCTACACACGCGTTATATAGCGATACTTGCGTGTACCATGTGGTTAGTATACTGCTAATACGCTAGAGACATCATTTCGAACTCAGTTTGCTTCAAGACATAATATTCCACAAGCACAGGCGTGTAAGGGGCAGAATATCAAGAATGTGAAGGGTTTTTAACTACATACCAATTGACATAACGCATTCTCCTAACCCCCCAGTCTTTCGTGAAATATCACTGCCCTACACAACTACCAATGGAATTGCCCAGAGAGTACCTGAAATTAATGTTCGACACACGGTGATCGAAAGTGTTAGCCCAATTAGCATCCTCAATGATCACGCGGATACACAGGCTACAGTACTTTGTAATATCTAGATCTACCTACATGTAAAAAAAACTAAATAGTTATAAATGGACTAGGAGCCGATGTTCATCGTTCTGAAGACAAAGGGGACTACTTCTTCGCATAAGAATGGTATTTATACATGTATATACAGGACTGGTGACAACCTATATTAATGTTATTTCCCGCGGACCAACGGGCGTACGGCACGACCGGATTCTTCAATTTTCACGCATTTGACTCTCTGCTTATACTTATTTCTAGGATGTACATGCATAGAGGCGTCATTTTCACAGAATATCTGGGTTGTAGGATCCGGATTTGATGTTTTAATCTGAATGGGTGGAGAAACTTAGACCTCGAATTAACCTCAAAATGGCTCTTAATTTAACTAGTATGTATGTATATGTAGGTACTGCATGTGGTTCCCAATTGAAGCACTATTATTGGCGTCTAGATTATAATTATATATTAAAAACCGCTCGATTTAATTATATTTGTCGCGATCGGTCAACTTGTAATATTTCAAATCTAAGTTTTCTAATAATTGGGACCAGGGGCCTTAGGATATCTTATCTCCCCCTACTGCAAATTTACATGTGGTTATTATTTGGTACGGAATCGATATCCGGGAAATATTCTCCAGGCCAGGTACGTGCAACATAGCATATCACTCGTGGGTTAATTCAATGTTAAGGTACTAGCGCCTCCGGAAGTTACCACTTGTGATCATGAGTAGCCAATCATATTGTATCAATATAAAAGGGGCCAACTTACTACTGCTCTATTCATAGCGTTTCCGAACACGACTAATATTGCATCATATACAAAAAGATGGATTTGGCGCTTTTTTGTATGGCATGTAATAGCAGTCGTGTTCGGAAACGTCATGAAATTAGTAGTACAGGTATTTGTACATGTATGTACTTCGGTATCAGGGGTAAGTGAGTAGAACGCGGCGGTTCATATTCGCGAGCAAAACAGGAAAACTACAGCTTTAGCCACGCTGCCACGTTCTACTCACTTACCCTTGATACCGAAGTACATGTCATAGGCCCATGCCCACTATCCCTTGGGCCGGTGAGACATGCAGAATCCAGGACTTCTTATCTCAGTAGTGATTTCCAGTGGCAAAGTCACTGAACCTGATGCTTAATCACTAAGCCACGCTCTATTGTTCGAGGAAACAAGACTTAGCTTTACTTTAATAGGAAGTCCTCCAAGGGATACTAACTAAAGCTCAGCGCTCAATTTCAAGAGCCTGATTAATCAATCTAGTGAAGACTTACGATGAGTATCGATGTCACTTATGCTTACAAGTGAATGAACCGAGAGTTTGGGGTCAGGCCCATACATGTGGATTGTTGTTTAAATAAAGTATCGGCCAGGTCTTGGGTTGAGGCTGGTGGCGGATGATCCCGGAAAATCCTACCCACTATCGCCGGAATAACTATGTTCCAGGACCCTCGCCAAGAAATAAAAAAAACCTTATCTAATGGATTTTTTCTTCTCACCGTAAGTAGTCTTCCCCACTAAGTGAGAAGAAATTTCCCTCCCTATTTCTTCATCCCATCCCCCACCTCTGGCCCTCTTCCTTATCTCAATTCCTTTTCTTGTGAAAGGAACTTTCTTGTAATCGCTCACTTTCCCTCTACTTCTTCACCACCAACTCCCCCTCCCCCCCAAATTGCAGCAATGTTTTCCTCTTCCTTTCGCCGCCAATCGCCCGCTCTCCTGCGCGCCAGCGCTCGTGCTCTCATTTCTACCCCTTCTTCAAAAATCGCAATTGTTCGACCCGCAGCACCCTCTGTTCTCAAATCATCGGGCACACAGCGAAGATTTTTTGCCATCTCTACATATTTACGAGACGAGGCCTTCAATGCCGCCACGCAAGAAGTCGTAGACTCTGATCCTCCGGCCGGAGAGTACCATTTCTCTGGCCATGGTCAAGATCATCATTTCGGAAAGAATGAGGAGATCACAAAGTTCCAGCAGCTCGCGGATAGAGGTATTGTCGACAAATCGATTATCAACACGATTACCAAAGGTTTGGGATACGAGGAGATGACAAAGGTTCAGCGCAAGACTATTATGGAGACCGTTAATGGTGACAATGTGTAAGTTTTTTTTTTTTTTTTTTGCCTCCCCGTTAATTATGTTGGCGGTTGTGCGGGGGAATGTTATTCTGATAAGTATGCGCAACTTCGCAGCCTTGCCCAGGCCAAGACTGGTACCGGAAAGACAATTGCTTTCCTTCTCCCTGTTCTACAGCGGGTCCTCACAGCCGAAAGACCCCTTACGGTACCGAGGAGGGGTGACTGGAACACCGCCTCATTTGCAGACATCCGTGCAATAATTGTCTCCCCTACCCGTGAATTGGCCACCCAAATTGCAGTTGATGCGCAGAAGCTCACCAGAGGGACTAACATTATCTGTCAAACTGCTGTGGGCGGTTCTGGAAAGCGCGAGGGTCTCAGAGCTATCCACAGAGAGGGTTGTCATGTCTTAATTGCCACTCCTGGTAGATTGCTTGATCTCCTCACAGACCCCAACGGTGTTACGGCGCCCAACCTGGAGATTTTCGTCATGGACGAAGCTGATAACCTTCTTGATGTTGGGTTTTCCGCTGAACTCGATAAGATCATGGCTGCATTACCCCGTAGAGATGCACCCATTGGTAACAGTGGAAAGGGAAGGCAAACCCTTTTGTTCTCCGCCACCGTACCCGAGAAGGTTATGGCTGTCGTCAGGAAGACCATGGGCAAAGATTACAAATTCCTACAAATGGTGGAGAAGGGTGAGGCCTCAACTCACGAGAGGGTCGAACAAAAACTCATCGAATGCCATGGTCTTGAGAACCTTGTCCCCGCAACCTACGAGCTAGTCCTCCGTGAGATTGCAGCAATTAATGCTGCCTATGATGCAAACCCTGACGCCGAAAAACTTCCTTTTAAGGCCATTGTCTTCTTCTCAGCCACTCGCTTCACATCCCTCGCCGCTGAAACTTTCCGTTCCCTTGGAAACGGCGGCGTTGGTGCAAGCCATCCGCTTTACCCCACTAAAATTTTTGAGATTCACTCCCGTCTTACTCAGGGCCAGCGTGACGTTGCCGCCACCCGCTTCCGCAAGTCTGAGTCCGCAATCCTGTTCTCATCCGATGTTACCGCCCGTGGAATGGACTTTCCTAAAGTCACGCACGTTATCCAGGTCGGTGGACCCAGAAACCATGAACAATACATCCATCGTCTCGGTCGTACAGCTCGTGGTTCGGCAGCTGAAGGTGTTGGTTACCTCCTCATCCCCAAGGTCGAGGCCCGCCAGGTCCAGCGTGAGCTCAAGGGACTTCCTCTTGTTAAGGATAAATCTCTCACCATAGCCAGCATTGATCTGGGTGCCGAGCAGAATCTTCCCAAGAAAACCGCAGATATCATCACAGCCATCACTGAAGCTTCACTGAGGGTTCCACGTGATTTAAAGGCAAAAACATACTCTGCTCTTATTGGTCTTTACATGGCCATTGGTGACAAACGTCTCATGGTCGAATCCCTCAATCGTCTCTCAACCCTAGGCTGGGGAATGGAAGAACCTCCCTTCATTAGCCCTCTGCTTGCCCGTAAAATGGGCCTGGACAAAATCCCAGGTATCAACTTGGGTGGATACGATGATCCCGAGTACAGCGAGGAAAGTGGTCAACACACTAGCGGCAGTGGTGGATTCTCTCGCGGTGGCAGTGGCGGTAGTGGTGGATTCTCTCGCGGCGGTAGTGGCGGTAGTGGCGGTAGTGGTGGATTCTCTCGAGGCGGTAGTGGTTTTGGAGGCGGCCGTGGTGGTGGTTCCAGACCTTGGGAAACCAGGGGCTCTCAAGGCGGCCGTCCCAGTTACGGAGACCGCGGATCCTCAGGAGGTCGTGGTGGTGGATTCGGAGGCCGCCCTAGCTATGGGGACCGCCCTAGCTATGGAGACCGCCCTAGCTATGGAGACCGCCCTAGCTATGGGGACCGCCCTAGCTACGGAGACCGTGGATCTTCAGGTGGTCGTGGTGGATTCGGGGGCGTGGTGGATTTGGAGGCCGTGGTGGTCGCAGCTTTGGAGGTAATTTTTAAATATTTTCCCATGACAATCCGATTCAACATCTGACCAAAATCCCACCTCATAGAATAGGTGATACATTCCGGAGGAATTGACAGGTTGATAGGTACCGCAACGAAAAATAATCGGGTAAGCGTTAACTCGAACGCTCAAGAGAGGATTCGAGAAAGTAAGAGACTCAGTGGAATGAGTAGATTGTTCCATGATTAGGGATGTTATGATATAAGAGCAGTTTTTTGTCTATTATTTAGTTCCAATTTTTTTCTTTTTCCTTCTTCTTTCTTTCTTTGGGGATCTGGACTGGGATTTTTTCTTTTCTTTTCTTTTTACAACGACTTGTGAGGGTTTCTCCTTCATATTGAATTTTTAGATGGTCTGTATTTTTGTTTTTGTTTTGGCCGAAAAAAGTGTGGGTAGCATGAGGGAAGGGATCCGGAAGCGGAGTTATTTTTCTCTTCTTTTTTGTAAGATATTCGGTTGGGCCTGTTTGTCTTTACCTCTCTTTATTCTCGGTAATGGCGGATGTACTGACGTGTAAAAATAACTACTACTCTACTCTATGATGTTTCCTGGGAGTGCAAGAATATACGGGACTGCGTTTTTCACACATAATTTCGTTGAGTGTTTGACGATTATAATAGATCAACTGTGCCGAAGATGATCACATCCCATGACGATAATAAATGCCTCCGTGAATCATAATATATCACTCGGTTAATATCTGTTTATCGAACTCCAATAACGAATAGCAATGATGTGGACTTGGCTTGTGAAGAAACCCGCGCCCTTTGCTGAAGTTCTATAGGCCCGCTATGTCCGTTCTAATGTCTTTCACCATAATAAGTTAATAAAGGTTAATGAAGTTGTCCCTGAGGCCGGGGTTGATCGCCTGAGAAAGAGCACATGAATATAATGTGGCTAAATACGTGTACTTACATGTAGTATCTACAAATAATAGTCTTAAACGTTGGCCTATCGTTTAATTACATGTCTCAACGTAATGCGGCCACCCTGGATTATATCCCCGAGGAGTACGTCTGTGTCCACTTAGAATTAGGTTTAAATCAAAAATACTCTTATTGAGCTACATAACCCCCATTATTATCACAAAATGCATCTTTTCTAAGCTCACTTCTGAGGCCAGGTACATGTGGTTGCTGGTGGGCTGCTACTTTATATGTGAGGTAGTCACTTTGGCCATGTATTAGGACTTAGTGATATCGGTCTTAACCAAATCATTGTAAGTGACGATCTTGTCCCTTCCAGGTTTTCACAACAATGATAGGCAAAAACCTAAGAGGTGTTGGTGGAGGTCAGGTCACAAACGGTGACTTACATTGTACCTACATGTAGTTGTGCTGCAGTTCCATCAGATAAGATAAGATCAATAAGATAAGACTCACAGCAACGTCAGCTTCATTTACACTCTACGTTCAATCCCAGCTTCAGGCGCCTCAAAAATCGTCAAAATGATGTCCTCAACTGCAGATAGTGATCCTTTCATTCAATTTCAAAAGTAATTTTTTTGCTTTCTTACCCTTCAAAGATTACCTAGACTAACCAGTGAGCGCGCAGTGACGTACTCTCTCTCCTAGAAACTACCCGACAGTCCTTCTCCTCCTACCTACGAATCCGCTCCCTAACTCCCTCTCTCACCTCTCCCGAGCTTGCATCTGCCTATTCGGATCTCACTCAGAACCTCACAGACCTTCAGGCCGACTTGACCGACCTCCAAGCTTCTGTCGGCGCGATCGAACAAGATCCCTACAAGTTTGGCCTCGACGTTCCCGAGGTAGTGCGGCGTCGAAGGTTCGTAGATGAGGTCTCGAATGAGGTCTCGGACATCCGGGAGGAGCTAGCAAGGCACTCACCTGGTAGTGGCGCGGGTGGGAGTAGCTATCCCGGAGGTGGGGGAGGAACAAGTGCAGACGAGGCGTATACGCAGTTCAATCTACAGCAGCAGCAAGAACTCCTGGCGGGTCAGGATCTGGCGCTAGAGGATGTGAGTAGGACTGTGGGTAATTTGAGGGAACAGGCGCATGAGATGAACAGGGAGCTTGAGGAGCAGGCGGAAATGCTGGATGGTGTAGATAGAGATGCAACGAGGGTAGAGGATAAGCTCAGAAGGGGCGTAAGAGACTTAAATGGGTTTATTAGAAAGAATGAAGGTATGTGTTGCTTGAATTGTTGTTTTTTGCCCCAGGGTCATTGTACTAATTTGTGCTGTGGGGACTAGATACGGCAAGCTCGTGCTGTATTGCGGTGTTAATATTGGTACTAATTATCCTACTGGTATTAGTACTGATTCTATAGTCCTTAATCTTTCGTCCCTTCTTCCTTCTTTGTTCCAATACCACCTTACTCTTTGAAGACAACTCAGCTTTGTATTTGTAATTGTACTATTTTTTAGCCTACTATGTTCCTAGAGGCGTAATGTCGGGGTTTCTGGTGGGTTATCATTTACTTTAGGAGTTATGTTTTACGCTCGCTTTGAGAGAAGCAATATCGTTAGATTGCTTAGAACTAGAGGGCAAGAAATACTTAATAATGGGTTCAATCTGCTAGTATAATTCGGTATTTGGCAAGTGGTAACCAGGGTTCGGAAACTACAGATTAAAAATGCCCAAAACCCTAGTTTCGTTCCAAGAATTTCACATGCGTGTATGACAAGTCAGTCCAAAATCACAAAATTTGACCCTCTCATATAGCTTTATCATCTCATAATAATACCCATTTTATTTTTCTCCCAAAGATATGGGGCTATCTGTAACCTCAAAATGAATAACAGTCCGACATACTTGGCCAGAACAAACGATGTAAACCCTTGCGATACATTATATATGAAGTTAAGAATAGTAGTTTCCCTCATCAATCTGTATTTGTGATTATATACCACTCGTCATCATCATTACTAGTCCTCGTAGGAGCTTAGTCGATCTTATCCCCGTTTTCTTCCCCTCCAGCAAGAATCTTGGTCTTGGGATCACCATCTGGCCCGCCACCAGGAGTCACCGCAACAACTTTACCATTCTCATCCACAAACTCGAAATTATATCTACTGAGTAAGTGAGGAATTGCCGATAGCTGTGGACCGTAGCGCGCAGTGTTATCGTATAGCTCGAACAGAGGGACGGCAAGAAGCTTCATGTTCTTTGGGACCGATAGGACCTCTGTTTGATCAATTGTCAGTAAGTGTAATTTCAGAATCAGCCAGAATAGCAAGCTTACTAGTCCTTGGGAGCTGAATGAAGTACAGCTTTTTACACTCCTTTGGCCGTGTGACATGAGCAGGGATGAACGGATACATGAAAGTCTCAAAGTTGGGCCTCCACCATTGAGCCAATGTGTCGCCAATCTCCCACTCGTCGTTAACACCCTCGCCGGAGAACTGGCTGCCTACGGGAGCAAGACGTTCATTCAAGCGAGATTTAAACCCCTCAAGCTCGCCCTCATGATGGTGGAGGTAGTCTCCTGGTCTGCATTTAGTTAGAGGGTTGCGCGATTGAAAAGGTGGGAAAGTAAAGGACGAACAGCTTAAAGAAGGCATTGGCAATCTGAAGCATCAGGATGTGAGGATGACAGTGTTCGTGGCATACTAAGATACCTTCGCACGTCCTGCGCATCCCATACTGTTCATAGTGCTCTTGCAACCTCTGAAGACGGGCAAGCACAGATGGGTCCTCTTCTGGCTGGTTCTCTTTGGTGCCAAAGGTGTAGTTAGACAAAGGATAAAGGCGGATCGTCTTAGGTTGGTTGCCAGAGAATGCGGCGGGAAGAATGGGGCTGCATGTATACTTTTATTAGCTATTTACTTCAGATGACTGAATGATGGTGGAAGATAATTATTGAGAAGTGGGGGGGAGGGGAATTACGGTTGTGAACTTTGGAGGGCTGACGAGGTAATTGTAGACATGACGGATAATGAGTTTAAGGAGCTGGGGGAAGAGTCGAGGAAGACAGGGACTGAAAGGGTATATTCAGAAACAAGAAGGATAGAAAGTCGCGTCTCTCCCTCAGGTTGACGGTGTAGCGCAGACAGGAGCCTACGAGTGCTCTAGCCCGCCAAGACAGCCCTTATGTCATCCAACCACTGATTTAACTACAGACGCCAAGGTTGTTTCCCCAGATCTTGATCTGCATGCACCAATTATTCCCCGCAATAAACAAATCCTCCAATTCTATACACCAAAACAGAATACTGGTTTTCTTAATTACGCCGTTAAAATGTCACAGCGCCAAATTCTCCCGTACCCACCCCAATTCACCTCTTCAGAGTCCTATATAAAATCCTTGCTCACCTTCTCTCTCAATCCACTCTTCCAAACCCTCTGCGGCGGTGTCCATATTCTCGACTTCTTCACACGCGACTCTCCCACCGCAGCCCCACCTTTAGGAACGGACTTGTACCATACTATCCTTCCCGTAGAATGGATAACCTACTTCACCACCAAATCACTGGACGAAATCTTGGAGCTAGTTTTACGCACAGAAATTTCAGGTATTGAATCAAGCTGCCCGGAAACTTTAAGGGCCTTCATAGCAGATGTGAGGGCGCACTCGCTACAACGGGAGTTTAAGCGTAAAGATAGAAAGCGCAAAGCGCTGCGAAAGAGTATGGGCGCTGGGCGCAAAGACGGAGAAGAATGGGCACTGAATGCAGGGATGAAGCCAAAGAAGATACACGAGGTATGTAGCGCAATATATGTACATAGTCGATATAATTCAAATAAGGGAGTCTTTCTTACCACCGGCGGAAGTCTGTCCTCTGTGCAGGTTGAAAATTTTTCGGAATTTGTGGATGATTTGGTGACGGATATCGCAAGGGAGAACCCGGGGGATGGGATCACACATATTCTGGATTTTGGGTCTGGCCAGGCTTATTTATCGAGGACTCTGGCAAAGAAATACAACCACCATGTCGTGGGTATCGAGTCGAGGACGGCAAATATCGATGGTGCGAAAGAAATGGATGAGAGATTCGATAACTTAGCTAAGAAAAGAGAGAGAAAGAAGAAAGGGAAAGGAGACAAACAAGCGGAGCCCGGTTCTGAGGAGGGACCAATCGAAGAAGAGGAAGCTATCGGTTCTCTTCAGTATATTGAGAAACGCATCGAGGACGGGAATCTGAGTGAAGTTGTTCGTGATATTCAGGACTTGAGTATTTCAGAAAAAACAGAGCCAGAAATTAATAATGAGAGCTGCAAAAACGGAGGATGCAGATCTATAGATCACAGTCAAGCTCAGATTAAGATCGAAGGGACCCTAAAACAAGATAAGGACAAGCGACTACTTTTAATCTCTCTTCATTCCTGTGGAAATCTCGTTCATCATGCCCTTAAGGCTTTTATCGCAACTCCTGAGGTAAAAGCTGTCGCTCTGATAGGTATCTTATCCCAATATTCAGACCAATAACTCCTATGTACTAATACTTCTTAGGCTGTTGCTACAATCTGATGACCGAAAAGCTCGGCCCAACCTACAAACCTCCCTACCGTGACCTGCACCCCCGCCTGATCAAAACCTCAACTTCTACCGATCCTCACGGTTTTCCCCTCTCGACTCTCCTCACTGACAATTCCATCTCACTCAATATAACCGCACGAATGATGGCATGTCAAGCGCCCCAGAATTGGACTCAGGAAACTTCCTCTGCCTTTTTCACCCGCCATTTTTTCCGCGCCCTCCTTCAGCGGATTTTCGCAGACAAGGGGCTAATTTCACCGGATGGCGGTGAACCAGTCATTATTGGGTCGTTGAGGAAAAAGTGCTACGAGAATTTTGTGTCGTATGTGACTGGTGCGATTTCGAAATTAGGGTGGGAAGAGAAGGTCGATATTACCGCAGCGGAGATCAAGGAATACGAAGAAAGATTTGGGGATAGGAAGAAGGATCTGAGTGTCTTATGGTGCCTGATGGCTTTTTGCGCGGGTGTGGTAGAAAGTCTGGTAGTCGTGGATAGGTTTGCGTACCTTAGTGAAGCAAAGGAGAGGGGGGAGTTGAGGGAGTGTTGGGTAGAAGCTGGCTTTGAGTATAGTGAGAGCCCGCGGAACTTAGTGGTTGTGGGTGTTAGGTAGATATCGACATTGTGCAGGTATGAATAGCCCCAAGTGGGTGAGTTAATGCGCATAATAGGCCATAATGGCCGTTATTCACCTTACAGTCTAATGCAACTGTTAATTGACTCGATGCGAGCAGCGAGCTACCCGCAGGAAATAAGTACGAGGCTAGCGTACTACGATAAAAGGTACCATGTTTCGGCTTGTAGTAAAGTAGACCGGTGGAAGGTCGGACAAGACGCGTACGGAGGGTATGGCAAGGCTTGACATTTTTTACTAGTTGGAATTCTGGTCCGTGGGCTATAGTCTCGTTATACCCTCCGTCTCTCCCGATCCTTCACCGGTCTACGTAATATTCTATCAATTAATTACTGTCTCAGTTTGTCATACAGTTACTGAGTTAAAAAAATATCTCGGCTTGTGATTCTTTCGATATACGAGTGATATTTTGTGATTTCAAAGACAAAAGAATGTGTCACGGGCGCCGGACGAGCACTCAAATGTGATAGTTGTCCTACCAATTGTCTTCACGAGGTCACTAGAAGCTTCTCCATACTACATCCATGTACTCCTGGAGCTTCGACAACCCTAACCCTAAACGTTCGAGAAGATTCGATGACGTAAATGTCACACCATATCACTCGAAGTGTTCGAGTGATATCGCATCACGAGAAATTTCTACAGACAGGTAGATGCTTCTACCACTCACGTAGAAAGATGAAGATTTACGTTTCGATAGTTTAGCGAAATTATTGACAGAGAATAGAGGGTAGAAGAGGTCTATATAAGCCCCTATGGAACTCCTCTTCGACTCCTATTTTCATTCTTCAGTCTCAAACAATTCATCAAGCATATTCACAAACAATCGCGAATAACTCTTCAAATATCTCTACAGACCCAAAACGTTATAACCTCAACACCCTACTATCAAGCACTTTATTTCTAAATTCACAAAACTCGATTATCCAAGAACACGATTAAAATGCCATTCTTCTCACGCTACCACACTCCCACCTCCGCCTTCCCCTCCGACGTCTTCCGTTTCCTCGACGAGCTCCATCAAGTAGCTGCTCCAACTACAAGCTCCGGCCCTAATAAGCGCGCATTCTCTCCTAATTTCGATATCCACGAAACCGACTGTGCCTATATCCTCGAGGGTGAACTTCCTGGACTCGAGGACAAGTCCAAGCTTAACATTGAATTTACGGACGACAATACCCTTCTAATCAGCGGTAGAATCGAGAAGTCAGTCACGAGATCCTCACCGGACACCGAGTCAAAGCCAATCGAGGGAGGCGAGGCCGGTGAGAAGAAAAAAGATACCCAAGTCGCTAAGCAGACAGACGACAGTCAGAAGCAAGTGTCGAAGCACACTGAGGGGCCGCAGTTGAGGTATTGGGTTTCTGAACGTACTGTTGGGGAGTTCCAGAGATCTTTCCAATTCCCCGGGGGCATCGATATCGATAATGTTAAGGCGAATTTGGAACATGGGCTTTTGAAGATTGTAGTTCCGAAGAAGGAGGTTGTTAAGGGAAGGAAGGTTGAAATCTCGTAATTCTAATTGTTTTGTTTTGCCTTTGATCTTCTCTGTTTTGTTTTTACGATTAGTATTGCGTATTTGGGGGGTGGGGGTGTTTCCTGGAGGCTTTTATTCCTTTAATACATGTAGTTTGTTTGCAATCGGATCTGTCTTAACGGGCAGGTTTGTTTAATCACTTACGCACCTACAGAAAACATGGATGAGGATTATGTTTTTCTTAATTCTTTTTTTATTTATTTTAAGCTGAGGAATACTCAAGTAATTATTACGCTCTTTGCATCTGAAATAAAAGTGTTTTTTCTCTAAAATACAATATCTCTATTCGTTAACCTAAAACTGCTCATGCAGTAAGATAGGTGTTACCCGTGATTGGTGAGAATCAATTTAACGCGCTTGCTTGGCGCCAAGATATTTATACAGAGCCGCAACTCCAAGGTTTACGTTCACGTCTTCTGAGACTGCACAAGTGCCCCACCACAGCAACTCATTACCGCTCTCTTCCTCTTAGGCGATCATCTAACATCATTGTTTTGTGTTGCAATGCTTCCATCAACTGCTCCGTCTGTTGCAGACGAAACCGCCACCACCAGCCGAAAGCGTGGAAACCAAGCCAGAGTCTCCGCAAACCCGAAAATGGAGGAGTTCCTCAAAAGCTGGCGACAAGATGCATTGAATAAACACCAATATGATGCTGCGATATTCATTGGAGATAAATTGTTAGCTCTGACAGGTACTCCGCTCAATCCCACGCCTCTCTGAAGCTTCCTGACTAAGTATGTACTCTCCCGAGTAGGCGATCCAAAAGACGCATTCTGGCTTGCGCAAGTGCACTTTAGCACTGGCCATTACAATAGAGCTCAGAGCTTCTTAACGCGAAATGATCTTATCACTCGATCCACCTCATGTCGATACCTTGCTGCTCTATGTTTAATCAAGCAATCAAAATACGACGAAGCTCTCAATGTCCTTGGCGATAAGAATCCTACCCATCTCGCCTCAGGCTCTTCAACCTCTACAGCTAGCCGACGTCGTGCGCCCTCTAAAAGTAGTAAGGATCGAGATGATCCGGGCAGTAACATTAAGTTTGAGGCCGCAATGTGTTACCTGCGAGGGCTCGTATATGCTAAGCAGAATGCATTTGATAAGGCTAAGGAATGCTACAAGCTTGCAGTTCTCATAGATGTGAAATGCTTTGAAGCTTTTGACCAATTGATGAAAAATTCACTCATGTCACCTGATGAGGAATGGTCATTTTTGGAGTCTCTGGATTTTGAAGGCATCAACTCTGATGGCGAGGAACCCGGCCAACAAGCTGAATTTGTAAAAATGCTTTACACTACACGTTTGAGCAAATACAAGAATCCTATGTCCTTCAACAATGCTACGGAAACACTTGCAGAGCGGTACAACCTTCGACAGAACGCCGACTTGATCCTTTCCCGGGCAGAGCTTCTATTTACTCAATGCAGATTTAAGGAATGTCTGTCTCTTTGTGAAAACGTTATTGAAGATGACAACTATAACTTTGCTGTTTACCCTCTCTACCTTGCTTGTCTACATGAGTTAAATATGAAAAACAAGCTTTTCCTCATATCTCATGACATGGCCGACAATTACCCCGAAGAGCCCGTAACCTGGTTGGCCGTGGGTGTCTATTACTTGACCACTGGAAAAATTGCTGAGGCACGTCGCTTTTTCTCTAAAGCTTCAATGATGGATCCACATTTTGGACCTGCGTGGATTGGATTTGCGCACACGTTCGCAGCTGAGGGAGAACATGACCAGGCAATCTCAGCCTATTCTACCGCTGCACGACTGTTTCAAGGAACTCATCTTCCGCAGCTCTTCTTGGGAATGCAACACCTCCAACTAAACAATATTACCCTTGCCGACGAATACCTTAACAATGCCTTTATATTATGCAAATCAGACCCTCTCCTATTAAACGAGCTTGGTGTCGTATTCTATCACAAAGAACATCTTAAGGAGTCAATCCAACTATTTACCAAAGCTCTTGAAATTGCCGATGAAATCGAAAGCGATCCAAAAGCATGGATTGCTACCAGGGCGAACTTGGGACATGCTTATAGGAGATTAGAGTTATTCGACAAGGCCCTCGAGGCATTTGAAGAAGTTACGAGGGCCGGCGAAGGGAGAGATGCAAACATATATAGTGCGGTGGGGCTTTGTCAGTTACAGCTTGGGAGGCCTTGGGACGCGGTAGTTAGTCTACATGAGGTACTGCTTCACTTATTTCATTACTTTTGTATAATTTATGGTTTCGCTAATAGACTCCAGGCATTGGCTATATCCCCACAGGACCCTATAGCAACTGAACTTCTAGAGAAGGCACTCAAGGAAAACGCCAACACGGATGCACTATTCCAGGCCACTCTTCTTGCGGATGGCGAAATTGTTGTGCAAGATGAGGAAGATGTGGATTTCATACTGCATGAGCGTATGTTACGGAGCAAGCTTAAGGCCAAAGCTATAGCTACCAGTGGCGGCCATCGATATGGTGGGGACGGCGGTGAGTCAAGCACTCGCAGCAGCAGGAGAGGAGGCACAGCTTCTGGGGAGAGGAGAAGATTGGGCGACGTTACGAGCAATTACCAGGAAGTTGGTGGGGAGAGTATGGATCTCAGCGATGAGGAGCTGTAAGGTACTGAACAAGCCTGCTTGGGAAGGTCCTTAGTCCTTACATGCTTTGAAGGACCGAGATGAACATATATTCATTATTGTTTTCTTACACCCATTCTTTCCTATTGTTGTTTTGGTTGGGCGGATACCGGAGTTTGTAAATTTTATTGTTTCTTAATTTTTGTTACTTGAATCATTAATAGGGGGGGTTTTGAGCAAACAGGAGAGTACGGAAGACACTTAACGGCGCATGTAACACGGGTTTTAGGAGATACATCATGATTGATGGACAATGCTATATATATTAGCATGATACTATTACTATTATTCAAATTTCCTTTGATTCTTAAAGTGACAGTTATGAAGGAGGCGTCTCCTCGATATATCCAATGGTCATAAGGAAGCTCATATGATAACATTTCGTGTTCATTGAAATACTGTGTAACAATCGGTTTAGGTCCTAATATCATGAGTCATAGGCTTCGATTTCGAGACCACATTCCATGCGAAGTGAAAACATGTCATAACAATACTCTTCGTGTCATCTCAGACCTCGTCCGTGCAGGGCCGTGTAACGAGTGATCTGGCATGAACACCCCCACCCCTGAACACCACAACACGTTGCCACCATCCGGAGCTCCACCCGCCGCCCTATCCCTTAAGCTGTCGCGAAAATGCTGACCACCAAAAAAAAGCAAATTTGGTGTGGCTTTACTAACAGATCCCGTTATCAGCATCAACACATTAAGGGATAGAAAACGCCAGAAGCCCTTCCTGCCAAGTAATAAAATAGGGCAAGCCCTGACTCTTGGCCCAGATTGAAAATTTGGCCGCTCCTCGCTCGTGTATAAAAGGCGCAGTCGCCCCGCTCCCCTCTTCTCTCCCCATCCCGGTGCAAGGGCAAGATCGATAGCAGTGAAGATTCGTCTGAGCTTCGATTTTTGCTAGTTGAAAACTACAACTATGTTGACTGCTCTTGGTCTGCTTCGGCGGGCCAAGGAATTTTTGGCAAAATGTTCAGAAATCTTTTTTTCTTGAAGGTTTCTCTTCTTTCTTTTGTGCCTAGGCTGCTATGCGTGGGTCAGAGGAAAGAAGTTTGGCTTTGTTTTGGGGTGTCTTTTTTTGGTTTTTGGGCTCTTTTGAGCCCTTTTTATGTGGGTTTTTGGCTGAGGTATTCCTTCTTTTGACTTGGGCCGTTGCGCCGTGGGTCTTTAGAAAGAGAAACGCGTCCGACGAGAGAGACCTCGTTCGCGATATATAAATCGCTGTAGAAAGTGCTGTTTATCACAACACAAAAACAACGCGAAGCATCAAAATCCACAAACCGAACCCCCCTCAAGTCCTCCCCATCACGACTCCCACAAGCCTCATCCACTCCCTAGGCCTAGCTGTAGATAGATACATGTAGGTACTCTCACTCCAGAACCAAACACCCTCCCATCAAAACACCAAGCACCCATGAAACACGCCCCCCCGTGCACACCGGACAAACAGACTCCCAACCACCCGGAACCCACCCACCCATCCACCCAGAGCCCAGCCGAGCTCCGACCGCACACCTCTTCTCTACACCGGTTGATGGCCCATGATCCCGCCACCCACCGGTTGATGCATCGTGATGCAACTTTTTTTTTTTTTTTTTGGCGATAATCACCGGAGCTGTACCTACTCCAAACACTCCTCCTTCCAGAATGTTCCTTCCTGGGTGAGTGGGTGTCTATTTGTAGGTAGAGAGAGTCCAGAGCCAAAACACGAGCCTCCCCCCACGCATAGGTAGTAGATTCCAGATCGGAGCCGCTATGGCGAGTTGAGATCGTGTACCTACTCTACTATAGGGTAGGTACTCTAGAGTATCAGACTAGACCGTGCACTGAGCCCTAATGTCCGAAGTGAATACTATGTAGGTAGATAGAGTAGGTCCGCCCTCACTTCCGATGTTGTCTTCGTCGTCGTCGTCGTCGTCGTCGTCGCCATGCCAATCTGGAGTGAGTGAGTGAGTGAGTGATGTAGGCTGGTGGGTGCCCTTGCATCTGATACACTGTAGGGCTGGGCTGGGCTGGGCTGGGCTGGAGCTGCTGGGTTGGGTTGGATTGGGTTGGGTTGGGGTAATGATTGGGGTGCATGAACTGCGTGTGGACCTTCACGATATCTTGGTTTGAACGTAACGAGAGCGCTTGAAGACAGAGTAAAATTCCAGAAAGAAAAACTTTTAACTATACAAAAATGGGAAAATTTACACATTAGACTAGCTTTTTATTTTACTACACGATCCTCCTCTTCTTATCCCCTCCGGGGGCGCGGGGTCTCGACATCTTCTTCCTCTTGATCGTGACCAAAGCCTCCGTATAATCGCCCTCCCCCATCTTCCTCCCCCCGCCGAGCTCCCCATCCCCGACCTCCTCCAACTCATCCCACACCTCCGCCTCCTCATCCTTCTTCTTCCCCTCCACCACCACAACCTCATCCTCCCCATCCAGCACAACCACCGCCGTGCCCTTCGTCTTGACATACACCCTACTCACCACCCCCCTCTCCGCGCCCTCATACACCCACAAATACCGATCAAACCCCACGCCGGCCACCAGCTCCCCCACCGCAGCGCTCGCAAGCACGGCGCCCGTGCAGCCCTTGTAGATGCCGAGCGGGCGCCGCGTCGCGGTGCTGTACAGACCAAAATACCCGTTCTTGTCGCTGTACACAAAGTGCAGCTCCTGCAGCGTGTTCGTGGTCTCGGGCGCCTCCTTGCCCGACGTGAGCGGCGCGGCCGCATCAGCGGGGGTGGACGGGTGGAGGTGTAGCGTTAGGATTGGTGTGCGCGAGAGCGCCGTGGTGAAGACGGGGCGGCGGGAGACGGTCGTGTCGTAGAGGCGGAGGTGCGAGTGGTGCGTGGACACGGCGAGACGGTAGGCCCCTGTTGTTGTCGGCGCCGGCGCGTGGCGGCGTCCCTTCCCTGGTACTGCTGCCGCTGGAGGAGGGGGTGGTGGTGGGGAGCAGGGGAGGAAGATGATGTTTGAGACCCACACGGGGACCTCGAGGCCGAGTTTTGTGGGCTTGACGTTCTTGGCCTTCCATACGGACCTCCACGTCACCTTCCCCTCCACAACAGAGCTCTCCCAGATCTCAACATCACGGTCCTTCCCGCCGAGGGCCACCGCTTTCGGGACGCCATCGTGCTGCTCGGCGTGCACGCCGACGGCGGAGAAGTCGCTGCCGCCGCCGGGGAAGTCGTGGGTGGCGACGGCGATGGTGCTGGAGGCGTCGGCAAACTGCGTGAGGAAGGCGATGTGGCCGGTGGATGTCGCGGCGTAGAGGATCCCGCTGGATGTGTGGCCGAGACCAATGATGTTGGTGTCGGTGCCGCCGGGGAGCTGGTGCGTGTGTAGGATCTGGTCGGACTCGGGGGCGAGCGGCAAGACGGTGGGGTCGAGGAGGCGGATTAGGCCGCCTTTTGAGGCTACTGCGATCTGGTTTCGGGTGGTGGTTGATTAGCTGGTGCGAGGTAAATGGTAGGAGAAGTAGACATACGATACCGTCGCGGCCGCGGAAGCGCAGGACCTGCATTGCTTGGATTGCGGCATTGCGGTTTGGCTCGAGGAAGGAGACGATCTTTGCTCTGGCGGAGGTCTGGACGGAGGTGTCGATTCCGCGGGTGGTCGTTATTACTGTGCAGTGAGGTCAGTTAGCTTTGGCTTATCCGTATTGATTGATTGATGGGCAGCAGAGAGAAGCGTGAGCGAGTGTGCACCTTTGACCTGGCCAACGTCGTCTCCAATTGCGAATTTCATCTTTTTTTTGTGGAGTCTTTGGTGGGTTGTGGGTTTTGCGGTGGGTTTAGTTGGGATTTGGGATTGGCTTTGGTTGAGGCTCTGCGATAACTTTTTTTTTCTCCGAGTGCAAATCCTTGATGCGCGGGCAGGGATGTGCAGGGCGGATCAGATTAGATTAGCGGTATATCACCTAACCCTGGATTTTGGGGGATTGATCACTGGCCATCCTTTTTGCTCTCTTCTCCCAGCTGTCACCAGCGAATACGGCTAAATCATGATGCATGATGCATGGTTTGAGGCGAACCCAAACGGACCCTTAGATTAGAGCATACCCACCGGTATAGTTGTAAGCCTACAATGTGACCAAGAGTCGCAAAACTTATGTTTAAATATTAAATACAGTATAAACTTTAAAACCGGGAACCGCGAATAGGTGAAACTTTGTAGATATAGGGGAGGGAATAGATACTGATCGAATAACACCCCCCAAACACACACCCGCCAAGCCAACCACGAACCGGGTGATACGCCATGACCCGCATACCCCGGTACAACCTCAACCCAGACACACCGACTCAACGACCATCACCGGTGCTCTACTACCAACCACCCACTAAACACCATCTGCTATATATAACCACGCTCGCAGAAACTGGCCGAACCATGCCAGGGATATCTTTAATTCAAGCTGTGACTATTAATTACAAGTTAAAGCTTATCCTTCCGCGCCGCTTGCTGCTAGCAAGGCTCAGCTTCCGGAGCTTACTGGCGCTGCTTATTATGCTTGATTTGATACAATATTAGTTTAGTCAGTGCTCTACTGAATAATATGCTTCATCATCTTAGAAAACTAGCTTGTTCTGGGTATAATCTGTATGTAATTTCGCCTCTCCCTCCCCCCTTACACACTATGTAATCCTCCCTCCCTCCCTCCCTCCCCTCTTCTATAACACCTAGTAGCTAGCAGTCTAACCTCCAAAAAAAGGAAACAACCCTCATGTATATGATACACGTGAAGAGAAATATAAATAGTCCAAAGAAAAAAGAAAAAAAAGCCACGCTATGATATTTTTGTTTCCCTACCCGAGACCCCGAAAGAAGACAAGAAAGAAAGAAAAATCCACAATCATAATCGCTGCACTAGCGAGCGCACCAACAAAAAAAAGCTACAAAATAAAACAAAAAAAAATACAAAAAGAAGTCTATAGAAGTGAATGTACCAAGTAGGTGCCCCCCCTATCCAGCCAGCTAGTCCAGTCTAGTAATAGTAGTAGTATTGGTGGACTATTTAAGCCTCGACCTGACGACGGTGCTTGTGGGCGGTCGAGAAACGGATGTCCCTCTTCTTCTTGGTGCCGGGCATGGACTTGTCGCAATCAATGGGGGTGACACCGGTACCGAACACCTCAGGACCAGGGTGCTTGAACTTGATGGCGGTGATGCCCTCAGGCACAAGGCAGCCGTTACCGGAGTTGGCTCTCAGAATAGTTGGCAGGGCGTCGAACGCCGCAGTTGACTTCTCGCTACCACCAATCATGACTGATGCACAGCGCATGTACATCTCTCTGTTTCCGACTTTGTTGAACCAGGTCCTGTAGGGCCCATATTAGTTACTGTTCAAAATTATAGACTGCTGAAGGGGAACTTTAAACGTACCAAGCAACCACAGCAGGTCCGGCAGGAAGACCCTTCGGGACGGTGAAGGTAAGTGGAGGGAGCTTCGCGGTTGGGTCTGGTGTGCCATTGCCCACTGCCGCAACTGGGTGGTTACCTTGCCACGAAGTCATGACACCGAACTTTGAGTTTGCATTGGGCTTGGGGTCGTAGGTGATTGACATCTGGCCGGAACCACCACCGTGGGTTGCACTGCCTACAATCTGCAGAGTTGCCGGTTGGCCTGGAGTGTATGTTGCTACAGGAGCAGCTGGGGGGACGCCAGGGCATGGGTAGTCTGCACCACTCTCTTTGAGGGGAAATTGGTTACCACCGCTCGCAGACTCGGGGACTTGCCACTGGGCGGGGTTGGACATGGTAAGATGGGCGGATGTGGTGGACATGAGGGCAGCGAAAGCTACAATGGTGCCAGTAGTGAACTTCATTTTGATTGTTTGGTTGTTGATTGTGATGCTGTGTTTAGTTGGTGTTTTATTTAGATGATGTGGAGCTTGTAACCGGACAATCTCTCAAGATGAAGCACTATGCGTTATATAAAAAAGTTAGTAGCTGGTACCCCACGAAAGAAGGTTTAATGATAGGCAGAAGGGGAATGTGGAACATATGCAGCATATATCTGCGATGTAGAGCAAGATTGTAGAAATTAAAGAATAAGGGATATGCCCGAACGGGATGATTAATATGAAATCAAAAACCACTGACCTTTGGTTTGGAGGTTTTAACTTTACTACTATAGGTCGTAAAAATGTCTTAAAAAGAATGAACAGGATTATTCACAGAATAAAATCCAAAAAATGCCGCTGGCGTGTGATAAAGAAAATAAAAAAAAGGAATGTGGGACCTATCAAAGGTGATAATCGCAAAGGTAAGGAGTGAAGGTGACTTGAGTAGTGAGTGACGAAAAAAATATCCTATGGCGGGGGGATTTGGGCGTCTTATATCCAGCCTCCCACAGAGTGTGAAAGAGGAAAAGTTGCTGTGCCATGGATTGTACCATCTGTAACTGGCGAATACTATCTTTGCTCATCTCTCCTTGCTAGTTTCAGCTGACACTATCTACTGGCAATGCCTCTATTCACAACTACCCCGCACAGCGTCTGGTCAAGGGGTTCGGTGGTAACGGTGGTAGTGGTGGTGGTGGTGATATTGAGAGGGACACATCTCAGGGAGATACCGGTGTGTAACTACTAGAGGAGGCACATATTACCTTCCGAGGCTGCTTGACAAAAAAGAAGCTCCAACCCTGTCCCTTGCATCTGGACCAATCGCCGGGTGGCTGAACAGGAACCAAAACTCTGGAAACTCATTATGCATGTGGTGGAGAAGAACATGGCTCAGGGGTGAGACGTTTCGTTCGGCGAATTCAGGTACAAGAAGTGTGTAACTTCCGATGTGCACTTCCAATATGCAGCCAATGCGAGGAGAGTTTCCCTAAATTGGCTGCCCCACTCACTCGTATGAGCTTGATATCTGGACATTCGATTCGATTCCTCAAAGTAATTAACGGACTTCATAGAAATATCTCCTAGTAGTTGAGTCCGGAGGTCCATTTCCAAGATGTTTCTCTTTCCTGCCCAAGCCCCCGGGAAGAGGATGTCCGATCAAGTCCGAGCGTTCGGCGCTCACTGTCCAGGACAGGGATAGACCGTCGATCAACTGCAAGGAACGAAGCTAGAAAGGTACCGTAGAGTACTGTATCTGGTTCATGCTAGGTACGGCAAGGGATGACCAAATCAGTAATCTAGGGGAGCTCGTGGTTCAGGTGGCGTATTACTGGATAAACCGGAAAGCAAAGCTGCGGTTCCTTTAGAAAGACATGTGCTTCAAATGGAAGAGGGAGTGGCGGTTACGTTATCATGGGTAACCATAGTACTGACTGCATGTCGTTGTTGTAAGATATTGAAAATGTCTACATGTTAGATTATAAATTTTTAGGTCCCTGCCCGGTCAAGCATGTAGTGAGCCACATATGCATGTAGGTACTCTAATAAACTACAGGTGACAGGGTCCTTATCCTTCAACCGAGGGACCACGATGTATACTGTGGTTGATAGGTAGAAAGTATTATGATTGTAGTTCACGTTTATTGTAGGATACTGTACAACCTCTGATTAGGCCAATGAAGTCGACCGCCGTTTCTCTGGCAAAATAGCGCTAGGACCTGTCAACCGGGAGCTAAACCGCCTAGGGGGTTTAACTCCCGGGCACTAGCAACGAACAGTAGAGTACTACCAGCCCCAACCTCAACTTCCAGAAGCGCGCTTTTCGGGTTCCTGCTGAGAAACAGCACGTTTCGAGGTGTGTTTCCCCTAGTACCCCCACTTCCCTACCTCTCCTTCTATCGGAAGTGCTTGTGTCTTACATTCTTGTCTCCAGTTTCCGTCTCCGTTTCGTTTACGTCTCTTTCCTTGCCTTAGTAAGGTCAGATATACATGCAGACACTGCATATATGACAAAAGCGTTAGAGCGCTCACGACTTTATTTTCTGTGCCCCTGGGCACATGGTTCTCAGCATAACGGCACTCACGACTTTATTCTCTGTGCCTCCTGCGAAATACTGTCGGCCATCATATCCGCACGTGCATTAACTGCACCTGGACAGAACACAAGCAACATACAGACATTTCCGGTCTCGTACACCAATAAGCTACCTACATGTCGGTGTCTACCTTCCTAGAGTAACCTATGACACAGGAGGCACATATACTTTTCTGAGCCTCACATCGCCATCTCGCCTAGATAACCTCCCCTCACAGCAAAGTGCATTAAATCTACACTCTCCGAGCTGTGGCGGGTGACTCTGTTTTGGCGTGGAACCTGTGGATTATACTATTCAGCTTTATTTTTAATTTTTGAGCCTCGTCGGTGTTTGTTTTGTTTTGTTGTGCCTCTGGATCTCTCGGAGCTTGACTAGCGGGACATGTATCTACCGGCGATGCCGAGGATCCGGGGCAAGTGGGGGCCGCAACGACGAGTGATCGGGTATGCATGACTGGTTCTCTTGTGCAACATACGCCTGGTGGAGTTGAAACCCTGCAACGCCTTAAATTCAATAAAGAGGGTGCTCTGAAAATAGTAGTCAGGCTCGATTTGGATTTATCCATATTGTATTCCATGGCAGTGTCTACCAAGATGGTGAGAATTAATCCAATCTGAGCCATATAAAATTCCGAAGCCGACTCTCCGCGGCGGCTAGAAGAAAATTTGAATGCTATATACTACTAAATGAAAGCTACCCCTAGCCTTAAAGCTACAAAAAATGTAGAATTACAACTATATATGAAGATTACCAATTTTTATCAATTGGCTTTCGACGGTGAGTACTGTATTTACTTAGTAGGAAAACAAGGAGAAGGGATAACTCACGCATACTACTCTTCGGAGAGTCGTAAACAATTAACATATCCCAATTGATGAGTATTTGATCACTTTTAGGGCGCAGGATCATATATCTCCTTACGCCCAATATCTGTATATAGATAGATATCGACGGGTTGGCTATATCGTAGTAGATATATCGACTCTGTTTGGTTACGCTACAAGAATTTCTACCATCTTAAAATCATCTTAAAATCCTCACGGCTGGTTTCAGAGGCATGACAACCGCATTCCACTCAACTAAATAAGTCGGAGGTCCTGACGATCCTCACGATATGATTGGCCGTATCTTAATACTAATCTCGATAGTTAACCAATAGAACGCCAAGGATGGGAAAAGAGTAGATCTGCAGTCCTGAAGAATAAGCGGGGTGAAGTATCATGCTGTATATGTTGAAACACTGTTCCGGGATTAGCGAGGGCATATGTGTATACAGTTGGCCGTAGACTTTTTTTCTCCAGATCCTCTGTGGTCCTTCGTGGGGATTGTGAAGTAGCATGTTGGTGGTACTATATTTTTCATTACCACATGGTAATTTACGAGATTGGGATTGTGATATTATATTGTACCCGGAGATTTCGTGGGCCTGAAGCGAAATCATGAACATATCAGAACCACTAAAGCAGAGTAGGTCTCAAAGTATCACTAAATAGAGTTTGATCTACCGCTGTTATAATACGAAACAAAGTTTACCTGCCATAAGCAACCTACATTCGCGGGATTTGCCTGTCTTGGTTGCTTTGGGAGGTTAACCTTATTGTTCTTTTTAGAATTGTTGTCTGGCTCTTCAACTAGTTTACGAGAAATTCTGTTGGGTAGGTATGTAGTATTAGTATCTTATTATAATTAGTAAAAGTTACATATCTATAGGCACTAATCAACTAGAGAGGGCATTTTGGCTTTAATCTAAGGGTTGTTCGAGAGTACAGTATCATGGAGATGAGCAGGGACATTTAATAAGTCCTTATGAACATCACAATAGTACTAGTTGCTCAATCCCATAGGCGTATTCGAGTTTTGAGATTTTATTATGTAGTTCTATTGGAACAAATGCAAATTTGCATCTAGAGGGCTAATCTAATACCTAACGAACGTCCAAGCCTTACGAACTAGACTTTAATATTAGCGAAGAATTCAGAACGAGAAGGTAAGAGGGGGTAGCATTACCAGTCCAGTCATCCACACACCAGGCAAAAGATCCAAAGAGGCTCGAGCCTTTCTTCCAAGCTCTCCTCATTCAATTATACCCTGTCGAGGCCAACCAATTGCAAGCTATTTCCCACTATCAATCTCCAATTTATCACACTTCATTCCATTAGCCACAACGTAAAAACCATCACACTGCAATATGAAAAACTCACTTTCCACTGGTCCCTAACGGGGCACATAATTGGGCCCTCCAACCCATCTTCCCAAGCTGGGGACCCAGATCAACTCCTTGGTGTCCGCCGAGACGTAATTTCCCTTCGCGTCGACGAACGGAACAATATGTCCTGTGTCCTTGTAACGCAGGCCGAGAAACTTCTTCTTTGGCTTCGAGGCTATAGCGAGGGAGACTAGGGCCGGGGAAGCATGAGGGGAAGCCTGAGGAGGGGGAGCTTGTGGAGGGGAGGCTTGCGGAGGGGGAGGGGCCCTGACGTGAAAAACAAGGGGAGACTGGACGGTAACGGTGGCAGAGGTAGTAGTGGGGGGTGGGGCGGGTATGTGGATGTGAAGACAACCATTCCCAGTAGAGGGAGTGTAGATCTCCTCAATGATGACAGAGGCGTGAACGATTCCCATGACTGCTGATTTGAAGCCTGAGGTTTGGGGTGATGGTATTATTGGATGAATATATTGTCGATAGGTGGGTAAACTATGGGGAGGTGGTGAGCTTTAAGTCTAGGTGCGGGTGCGGTTTCGAGCAGAAAAGCTTAATTATTTCAAGAGCCGACTTATAGATGTATATAGAATTACTGGAAAACCTAACCCGGAAAGCCACTGTATACCGGGTAGCATTGAATTCAATGGTCCCAGTACACATTCTCATTCTACGTGGGAAACACTGACATAAGGAACTTGAGCCGTTTCGACTACCGTGGGCATTCAAAATAATTGAGGTTCCCATTACTCTTAAAGATAGATACTTAGTATGCTCTTAAAAGCTAACCGTGGTGCAATTGGATAACTATATACATGTACATATACATCACAACCCATTTGGTTGAATGACGATTTAAAGGGCAATGGAGTGAAGAAGTAGAAAGACTTGGACCTAATTTCATCTGCGATAAGTTCTCTTAGTCATAGGAGAACTCAAACATGCAAGGTGGATATTAGTGCTGTGAGGAAAGAAAAGAGATATATCAAGTATGAATTATTCAACGAGATGCGCCTTCATGGGTATCGCAAGACCACGGTTATTCCTAACGGTGATTTCGTGTCTTTTGCCCTTGAAGAGGTATTTAACCCAAAGCTCCTTCTTTTCACCTGGAGCCGGGTCATAAAAGCCAGCAAGGTGACTCTATAAAATTTTCAGTATCAATATGAGTTATCGGAAACGGATTCATAGGCTTACTTTGTTCAACCCTCTCGGAAGAACCAGCTGTTCATCCTCAATCAATCCAGCCAATGGAATTGTCACATCAACCCATTCTCCAGCCTTCCCATTGATTCCGTATCTAGCCTCAAGAATCACTAATCCACCGCGCTCCAACCCTTTTTGCTGACTGTGCTTAACGTAATCACTCATCAGACCCACTAACTCATCTGCCCTCCTCCTGTTTTTAACGACTTTGACCATCAACTGTCTCTTCTTCTGCTCAACTTCCTTCTTCCACAATTTGCGCTCTCTGGGCCTTAGGTAAACCCATTCGAGCAGCGCATATCCCAAGAACGGCGCAAGAGTCCCGTATAGAACCGACGGCCCTGATGTAGAAGCAATCCCTATAGGGATAGAGATTTTTTGCCCTAATCTTGACCAGTCTAATGTGAATATGACCCCACCAGCAGAGATCCCAATTCCTGCCCCCATCCTGGTATGTGTAAAGATCTTCCTAGTAGCCTTAATTTTGACTACCAGCGCGGTGACTGTGACAACAGTCGCATCCACGCTTATTCTAATCCCCTCCCTTGATTTCTTAACTTTAGGATTTTTTGAGCTGGAAGGGCCAATGGGTGTACCGACAAAATAGGTTCGGCCCCACGAGAGTCCCAACTGGCCACCAAATCCAATAGAAGGACAGGCAGTCGCTGTTATCCTCCACGTTTCCGTTGATTTCGATCTATTCGGCCTGTGGGTGGGGACGTAGTTTTCATCGTTGACATCTTCTACCACAGGAGACTCGCCAATAGGCATTGCTACCCATCCGATAGTGAAGTGACTACTAGGTGGTGGGCTGGAAAAGATTTGAGACAACGCCAAGGGCCATTTCCCTGTTAAACCCGTGTTATATTGCATGAAGAAGGAACTGCGTTTACCAATGGAGCTAACATATGTGGCCTCGATGTTTGGGGGTTTGAGAAGTGGAGACGAGTTAAATGTCGGCTTGAGGACGAGTCTGGATGCACCGAAGCTTTTTGAGACTGACGTGGAAACCACACGTTGAGGAAATATTGTTGAAGCTATTTCGAAATCCAAGCCAGCGAGAATTGAAGCGATTGATAATGGCGACTTGGGGGGTAGCGACGGGAACGAGTGTCCAATCTGCACGGAAAGACCTGGAGAAGATAGATATGTCCAACCTTTATTCTCTGTCTGAACAGGAATACCACCCAAGGATGCTGTGAGACTTAAGCTCGGGACGTGTTTCATTTGCGGTTCGTTCTTTTCAGGCGGGGCTGTGAGAGAGGAATTGAATGGGGTTGTAAGCAATTCTCCCAAGCCATCCAACGGCAATGTGAAGGAATGCTTGACGACATATTTCGTCAACCTCACTGGCGTAATGAGCCTATACTCAACTTCCTTCTCACCGCTCTCTCGAGTCCTTACGATCTTCTTCAATCCCGCACCAGACACATCAAGAGCGATAACGACATCTCCCCGGCTGTTGACAAGACTCATAACGTTTTCTACCTTCTGCTTTCGGATCTGCTCTTGTAGCCAGATCTTGAACTCATCCGGATCCATGGTCTTGACACCGACCTCAAAGAACTTCTGCTTCAACCCATCGACCCCTAGTTCGTCGTAGATGGCTCGTTTGTGCGGATTCATAAGAGTTTCGTAGGCAATCAATATATTGTTAAAATGTGATGTCGTGCGTTCCCGTTGCTCAGCTGGTTGCTTGTCTGGGTGAAAGCGAAGTGAAAGAGCGCGGTAGGCACTGCGGATTTGGTTCGGCGTTGCCTATCGATTGAAATTAGTGGTATGTCCATGGAGAAGCTTAAAGCTTCCATATGTATTCATAGTAGTTTCCATGGTATCTGGCCTGGTCGAACGTTGTTACGGCGCTCGACCGGGCTGGACAGATGACTGCTGTAAATCTGAACGGTAAAGGGGGGTAAATACATCGCGAGAAACCCCCAGCAGTGCGTAGTAGTCCTTGACCGATTCGTCCTGCTCCTGCTGCCATTCTTCCCATTCTTCAATGCCAACCGGTTCAGCATTGGGATCTGGCAAGTTCTGGTACGGGTCCAACTCTTCTGCACTTGTAGGAGATGGGGGATATTGAGAGTGATTATTCGAAGGCATATCTCCTGTAATGAAAGAAAGAAAAGGGCAAGATATAAATTCGGAAATATGATCCCCCGGGTGTTCGCTAGATGGGAAGAGATGCACACACAATTGAGGATGATGTCAGAAATAGGGTATTCAGAGTAACATCTGATTGTGCGGACGAGGTATCTAGTATGCGGTTTTGGGCTTAGCTCGGATTTGGTCCAAATTTTCAACGCAGGTCGAAGGGTTCGAGGTATGTATATTTTTACATGCACGTGGTAAGCAATTCAGATGGTGGTAACACAGTTGAAATGCGATGGTCATGCGTGCCAAGCAGCACGATTCCGTGCTCACAGCTAATATACATGTACATACATGTATGTATTCTAGGGCTTTCCCGGACGCGTTCTATTACTTCAATTGAGACACCGCAATCATAAGAAAGATCAAAACTGATGATCTTGCACCATTTGCCTGGTTTACGCTGCATAAGGTACTGATCTTGGTGCTAAGAGATAAAGACTGGACACGACTCATGAGAGAGCTACTAGTACATGTATCGTTTGACAGCATGATCTCGCACATACTACAAATTACAATATGCCAGAAAATTCTATGTTCAAGATAGCACGAACATGGGCCACGCAAGCAGCTTCATTTGGCCCTAGAAACTAACAGGAGGAAATGGAACGATATTTTGTGATGACTCAAGCCTTCAACAACACATTTGACGGAGGTACAAAGGCCAGCGGAAATACCTACACCGACTGAAAGCTTCGGATCACATAATCGAACCCGACAGCGATCATGCCGCGATACGAAGAGAATGATTATTAGAGGGCATCATAATACTGCAGTGGTTGGGCTCTAACAGACTTGTTGACGTTCTCCCAGAACCAGGTCGGTCATATGGCGATTAATTTGGACGAGAAAGAGTTCAAGATGACACTCAGATCAACGCAATTTTCGAGAACCAAGCCAAGGACATCAGTGGTCAGTCCTGAGGACTGTAGTGCTTTTGTAACCGTGATGGCGAAGCCACATCAGCATAATGTTCTATGATAACGAGCGTTCGAGCACAGTACTATTCACGTTGGGACAGGAGCCATGGTATCTGCTCAATGAGTTGAAAAGTTGAAATCTTTCCTCAAAGCCTCGGCAACGCCCAAGCATCCAAGGGAAAAAAAAAAACTTCATACTCAAAGAGCGAGAATATATCAAAAATTAAACAACCCAGAAGGCCCGAAGGCCTTTGGCAAGGTCCCCAACCATTCGCTGTGCAATGAAGGTAGGTTCCTCGAGCCCCGACTCTTCATGAGCAGCCGGGTCTGTCGCTAGGTAAGTATGAAGTTTTAAGAGGAGGGCGAGGGAGGAGGGGTATATATACCCCCAGAACACTTGGCGCCTAGAGAATTTTGGCCGACAGTCCATAAGAAGATAGGTGTCAAATTTGTCACCAACGCAGGGGGTGGGAGAACGAACAACACACCCAGATCTCGAGACTTGGCATTCCTCGTGAAGCGACCGGATTCAGCACTGCGCATAGGCAGCTCTTTTGAGACAGAGGGCAGCTCGAGCATTGCGTCTGCGATTAATAACTGCTCATTAAGACGTTTGATATACCAATACAATACTGTGCTGTGTTATAACGGCCATATAAAGCTCATAATCTAAGTTACATGTACATAATACTTGTTGTTAATACTCATTTATTCTAACCACATAACACTACACTACAATAGAGTCTTCTCATACCCGTCCTGAAGAACCCCTGGTCCTTATTAGGCGTTTGGTTTCTAGGCCTTATATATCCAGGTATTTTGTCCACTGTCATTTTATGACTGTCCTCCGCGTATAAGGGGGTCGAGACTTGAATCCGTGCAGGTCTTAATTCTATGTTAGACCATAAAAGGCCGAATCATATTTCATGCAGCTTGGCTCTAGGCTATGTGGGAAGGAAACGCTCAGATGCTTGTTTAACATGCCAAATAACGGGAATCAATGAATATTTTCTAGAGTATTATTTACAGAATACATAAATTACTTTTTAGCTTTCTTATCCTTAGCTTTTGCCTTTCCCGAGTTTCCAGTACTAGTCTCGGCGGTCTTTACGAAGCCACCTTTGACTAGCGCCTCTCTGGCTGCTGTATTTATTAACCGGAACCTACAAAAACCACACGTTAGATTGGCTAGAGGTGTTGGTTGAACTGATAACACAGCGACCTACCTGTCTGGCCCCAGCTTGACTCCCCCGTACCATCTGGAGACAACTACTAACACGTTGGAAACATCCATAACCTGCAATAGATGTCCCATCCTGCCACCAGCAGCGGTTTCTCCATCGTCATCATTATCTTGGAATGTGACACCGTTCTCACGCTGTATCCTGTATGCTAAATCCGTATCACTTAGTGTCTATTATATTGTAAGCCTATGATAAATAGCATGAAATATATACCAGTCATATTATGCGTTGCCTTAGCAATCTTTTTATCCCCTGCAATCAGATCCGCAATATAACGCTTTGCATCTTCAACTGAATGCACCTCAATGGCTCTTCCAACAAACACAGACTTCTTCTCCACGATTGGATCTGCCACAATCCATTCATGCTCCGACGTGTGTTGTCCAGCCTCATTCATCGTTGGCGGCGGTGACCACTCCCTATATCCCTCCTCGCCATCATCAACCTCCACCTCCTCCACTGCAGCAGGCGGCGGTGCAGCCTCCAACAACTCACGCATCCCCTCCACCAGATCAAACAAGCACACCTCACCCTCCCGCCACACTGCACTCAACACATCTCTCGCCAACTCGTTTTTCCCCTCCACCCCGCTCTTGCCGCCGCCCGCTCCATCAACAACCACCGGCGGGGCATGTGGGTAGTTCTCCGGGAATGAGAGCGTCAGCGAGAGCGGCGGCGAGATTGTACTTTCTGGCGGCCGCAGAACATATACCGATCCGGATCCAGTCGAGGCAATACATTCGCCCCCGTATATCGAGTTTAGCACCTCAATCTCCTCGGCGAGATCCTCGTTCATGGCTAGAAGTGGCTGCTGGGAGGGCTGGGTAGGGTAACTGCGGGCGGTTGTGTAAGTGTAATATTGTGGTAGGCGTCGGAGTTGTAGCTGATCTGCACCCCGACCTCTAAAGTGCGCCGCCGGTTGATATTTGAGGCTTTTTAAGACAACCCGGAGGGTAAACAGGGAATTCATGAGAGGTCTGCTTCTGAGTAAGCTCGGAGATAACTACACGGAGACTGTCTGTTCCCTATGATCTCTTTCGAACCTAGAGTAGGGGGAGTAGGCTAAATATTGGTTGGAATTTTTCCTCCCTCCCTTGATGAGTGATATATTAGGATGAGGAGCTAGCAATCTCGATGATTATATCAAAAATAAGATGTCTTGTGAGAGATATAAATATCTAAATATTATAAGATGATATAGACTAGGAATAACGTACTAATATGGACTAAGAAAATTAAATTTAAAAGTTCCAGCGCCGGTGATATATACATGGTTGCCCTGCTCACTCAGTTTATCAAATCCGATGTAGGGTTAGGGATAATATATATCAGTACATACAATTGATTGCTAGACAATTATTTGCATGTATACATTATATGCGAAGAGTCTTGATTTCTTCCTGATATATCTATAATATAGAGTGCCCTGTCTTGCCGGAGTCACTACGTGTAGTAAAGTGTTAACATATAAATCATAATCCATCACTCGTCGGGTTGGCCCATGGTGGTATCATCTCGAACGCACTATTGGTTGGTTGGTTGGCTGGCTGGCTGGCTGGCTGGCTGGCGGACTGATAATTCATTAGGTGCAAACGCACTGGGTGTATCAATTAGGAGGTTAAGGATATTCAGTTGTCTAGGAACTCCATGAGCTATTTTTTACGCAATTTTATTACAATGGAACGACGATCTATAAGGGTCTGGCCGTTACTGCGTTCTAAGGTACAGAGGTAGTGGAGAGCCGCCTCGATACGTCAGAGACCCATCATTATAATCTAAAGCTTAACCGATGACTCCTCGAATTCCACTAGTGGCCTGACAGGCCTTGCACCTTTTGTCATTTCCAACCCAGCCTTGAAGCCATATACATCTTCAATGATTTGACCCTGATCTCCATCGAACTTTTCATTCGGGAGCGAGCCTGAGAGCTTTGATAACATTGGTACCAGCAAAGCCGAACCTTGGTCAATAATCACTTTAACCTTCTCATCCGCCAACTTCAATTCCTTCGATAGAAAGGTTGTCACAGATCCGATAATAGATTCGGCCTTCGTCAAATCGGTGCTTTCAAGAGCCTTTGCGACATGCACAGCATCAACACTGACGCCCCCTTGGCTTGAGATAAATTGAGAAAGGGATAGAGCTAATGTGGCCTTTTGATCTGACGTAGGAATAGGAATAGGGGGTGGAGGAGTGGCTGCTGCATGCATATGGACAGAGATTTTGGAACGTCTTGGAGATGAAAAATCGATGTAGGTGTTGTAGAACTCAACAACGTCAGCTTTGGTAAGGTTTCTGATTACGTCAACCTCGATGTCGACTTTGAAGGATCCCCAGTCAGCATAACCTCACAGAATCAGAGAGGGGGTTACTGACCCTGCAAGAAATCAAAGTATTCACTGCCTATGTAAGTCCATAGCCTTGAACTTTCCTGATTCAGGTTTTTCATTTTCTCGGTTCGTTTGACGATGACACTATTGATATGACCTTTGAGTTCTTTTTCTGTCATTTTATCGAGGGTGGTCTTGTATGATTTCAAGAAATTCTCAATTCTTGACTCCAGGTACGGAGCGGATCGCTCAGATTGGATAAGAACCCGATAAACAATTGTGGCAGTATTGATACGAGCACCAGAGAACACTACGTATCCAAGTTGCTCCTTAGTTCTCAGCAAATCAAAAGCGGGCCTAAGTCAAAGTTAGTCTATGCTGGGACTTGAAATTAAAAAAGAAACTTATTTACTCTTCAGTCAACTGTGAAAACAGGACTGTCAAGGCCCGGAGCTTTCGATCAGTATGCTCTCCAATGTAGAGACTATACTCAATACATGAATTCACATTTTTCTCATCTTTGAGCTTTCGGGGATAGATAAACTTCCCACCAGGCGGCATAAGAAGAGATCTCCGGATGCCAAACTGCGCAAGAGGGAGTGGCCGAGGTTTAAGGATTGTTTCGACCATTGCGGTAAGTCTAAGAGCATCCTAAAGACCCGCAAACATATTAGTCGTCAAATTTGAATTGTATCGGCTCTGAAGTACTAACCTCTTTGTAGAGATTTCCGTGGACCAAGGATTCAATATGTAACTGCTTAAGAATCAATGGATAAAAGCTTTGCACTTCTTCCATAGTAACGGTTTCAAGCTCCTCGAGATGCTCATCGTTCAGCCACATCTGTTGAGCGTGCAGGTACCTGGCATATTCCCCAACCTGATAATACGGTTGGGCGAAGTCCCAGTTTCGGTAGCCTCTCAGAGTTCGTTCTTTGATAACATTAAACCGACTGGGCGAAATTTCTAAACTACGCATCTTTGTAAGAAGTTTCTCTAATAGCACAGACATTTTATCGTTGTAGCCTGAAATCTCGATGTCTAATCCCAGCGAATGGGCAGCCAAAGAATATTCAAGGCCAGCGATTTCCGCATCGTAAGCGTATTCATTGAGAGCATCCTTGACTAATTCGCAATAAAGTTTCGCTTTCACAGCACTTCCAGGACTCGCATATGCTATGGGGCTATATCTAGGTTAGAAGTGGCAGAAAGGGATATGGTGTATCAACTTACTTCCGAAGTGTACAGAATATGTTCGCTTTGGGAACCCAGAAGGTGTCGTCCTTCTTATACCAAACTCTAGATAAGTCTGTATGCTTTATTAATGCTGGTATTTTTGAAGGTTCCTTTGTTTCCTTCTTTTGAACATCGAAGTTTGTGGGAATAAACTCGTTCTTATGAGGGAGATGTAGCTCCTTCTCCAAATCATCCACTTTCTTCTTAAAGATGTCTTGAATTTCAGACAGAAACTTTTGGGGAATTTTCTCAACCTTGTATTCAGTCCCATACCATTTCTCCTTTGCTTCCCATTTTCCTTTAGGACAATCCCTACAGACAATGGAAAGCCTAAAGCTGTCAGGTCGTAGAAATTCTAAAGATTTTTTGATGATAGCCGGGTCGAACTCGCGAATCAAACTCGTTCCCGATAGGAGCCACTCTCTAGGAAGGGGCTTCTGCATTACATCAGAAAGGCGTGATGTGAACTTGGAAGCTGGAGATTTTTGTTGAAATTTGAAGTCAATAGCAGCAACAGCTTGAAGCTCTTTCATGATCCACTCCTGTGGGGGAGTACTACGAATAAGGTGAATGTATTGGAATACAAGCTTTGCAACTTCTTCATATTGATCTTGAGTGAATAGTTAGCAACCTTCTTTTAAAATATATAGTAGGAGATTCAGTTTTACCTAATCCTTCTTCTGTCAACCTGATAGAGATATAGAAGAAAGCAGCATCATTACAAACCGATGTTGGTCCAGCTGAAAGCCCATTGGCCCATCCTTTCTTTTTCAGATATGCAAGTATGGAACCAGGGCCCTCATGCCCAATTAAATGGGCTGCATATCTCGAGGGTTGTGTCCGGAACAACTTTTCTTCATCAAGGTACGGGAACGTGATATCCAATGATCGGGTATCCATAACAGGTTTAGCAAAGTATTGCGTCTACGCAATTGGTTAGAAGATCTTGATCAATAGGATTACATGCAGGCGGTAAACAAACCAGCATTTGCTCCTCAGTGAAAGGTTGCCCTTCGAACTTAGGATCTGGTAGGTTCTTGTTTTTGACACCCTCAAACAACTCCACAACCCATTTCTCAAGTGTATCTAAGTCTTCTCTACCCAAAACCACGAGTTTCATCACATTTGATGAGTAGTACTTATCATGGAATTTCAGAAATTCATCTCTGACGTTAATTCCCTTCTTAGTTGGCTGTTCTTTCAATGTCTCAAGATTTCCTGTAGAGAAATGACAGTATGGATGCTTAGGGTTAGATAGCGATTTTCCTAATTGATGAAGCCTCCAAGTATCATTTTGAAGATTTTTCTTGTTTTCAGAATCCACGGCTCTAAGCTCACGGTCGAGTGTCTCTGCGAGAAAGAGCGGAGCGATAAAGAACTGTGCAAAACGATCAAGTGCACCATAGAAATGCTCGTGCCCTACTTCGAAGTAGTAATTTGTAGATGTGGAGGCAGTGTACGCATTGGAATGCCCAGAATTTTCTGCTAGATATTGAGAGTACTCATTCTCTTTTGGATACTTTTAAGTAAATATATCAGTAGGTGCATTGAAGGTATGAATAGGGACTCTTAAATTTACCTTTTCAGTTCCCATAAACAGAAGATGTTCTACAGCATGTGCTTGACCCTAAAATTCCCGGATAGTCTATTAGTAAGTCTTCAAAGCCAATAGGTCACAGCAGATTCAGCTTAGATGTAGTGCTACTGAATTTATAAAGTGCTGTATTTTTATGGGAAGGAATGGCCGGGTGCCGCACAAAGGTGGTAAAAAGGGAAATCCGACTTGGCTCAATGAGGGGCAGGCGCGGGGATGTAAAAGCAGTGGGACATGAGACAACTGACTGGTAAGTCTTCACTGTCGGAAAAGTTCCCAACATGCACGTCTAACGCAGCACTGGCTTTGTCTGTGTCCGGGTCATGCACAATCAACGCCTCGAGCTTATTAGGTAGCTGAATTACACGGTACGACCGATTATCGAGATCAGGTTGCTCCAGCTTGTTGGCGATGACAGTAGCCACTCCAGTCTGAACAGATATCTCCTTCATATCAGGCTTCATTGTAGTGTGGGGATGAGAATTGGCAAGTCTGGTGGCGGTGGAGAATCTGGAGATGGACGAGGTCGAGACGGAAGGGATGTGGAAGCTAGAGGAGATAACGGTGTAACGATGAGAGGGAGGGATTGAAGATGGGAGACAGGAGGAAGTTAAAGGATATAAGACTGAATTGACTGTCAAGAATCTGAGGCTGAAGGAGCTGCAGGGGCTGGGGGTGCCCCAAGATGGATGACACACTACTCTCACTGAAGAGCGCATTCGGTACATGTATCACTTCTGTTCTTAGGATAAAGGCACTTCCCCACAAGATAAGCGAGACTACATGTAGCCCCGAGGGCAGTGAACCTCATTACCAAAAAGATGTGAAATCCGATATCTACAAGAAACTTTGCAGTACGTAGCTGGTAAAATCGCGAGCTTTCTGTGGTACCTACATATACTGCATGTAGTAGGTACCTAGAGTGCTATACATAAAACCCAAATGATGTAGCTATTTGAGTTTGCACGTTGAGCCATCAAATTGCAAAGTGCCAAGCTTTAGATCTACGACGACTTCTGCCCTTTAATTAAATAATCCTTTGAGCCTCATAATATGTAGGTAGCTCATCACCCAAACATAGTGCAATTTAAATTTGTCTTTCTATCACAATATAATAAGCCCGAGGACTCACCTCACAAAGAAACATCAACTTACTATATCCAAGCTGGGTTTGTCTTTCGTTATCGTTACTCTGCTTTGAAGGATATTGGTTGGTACTCGACCAAGAAGGTATTTCCGGGGTTTGCTTCAAAAATTGTTGAGGTGGCGAACTGGTAGACATACTCTGCTGTATGTAGTAGGTATCATTTGTTTTGGTTCGCCTGCGTTTCGCAAGGTACAGACAGCACTTTCAAGGCAATCATGCTGCGGTTCAGGCCAGCTCCATATGTGGACATCGCCTTCGAACGCTACATTTTTCAAGGACGCCTTAGTGGATTTCGGCGACCCGACCCTTTGATGCCTTAATTGATGCCTCTTTTTTTGTGCGGCTCTGCGGCGCCGGCGCCGTAGACTCATATTTCAGCCGTATGAGTGATTCACAGCTAATAATTGAGGCAATTATGACCAGCTAGCTAGCGCACTACGAAGAATTTGGATGTGCCACCACAAAATAAACCGGTATACCCATGATTCAATGTATCTATATACGTACCTTTAAAAAAGGTACACGGATATCTTGATATCCAAGGCCCTCTCTACCCGAGTGTCGTTGATCGTTATCTGATTTCAATTGGGGTGACACCCTTGAATGAAGGTTTTCCCTGCATAAAACAAATGGAATGAGCTACTCTAGGCAGTTATTAGAGGTTAGATGTCCACGTGCCTATATTTCTAGTGGCGGTGCGCAGCGACGATTGGCCCGGCGTTCCCTCCAACGATCAATCAATCGGAGTTACAGGCTAGAGCCGTTCGATTACACAGCATATAAACTGACCAATCAGATAATATGTACAAGAAGTAACTTCACGCAACTACTCCATGTACCTGTTGCGTACCCTACACGGCTTCTAATAAATCTAATAGGTATCAAATTCTGAGTTTGGCACTGTGATCGTGAGCGAACGGCCGGCCAATTATTAAGAGGAGCGATGATATAACAAAACACCCGAGACATGATAAAACGATTCACTAGCTATAAAAGAGTCATAACTTCTAATTTTTATCACCTCGTATCACCGATAACATATGGTCTCACGATTGGTGCTGTCAAACCTAGGCCTTGGGGACCAGGTGCTTGGGTATACTCTAAATCGACGTGGAACCACAAATTAAAACACAGTAAATAAAAGGCCGAAGCTCAGGCCTACAGACCAGCATTATGGCTTCTATGCTTGTAGTATTCTCTCCAAGGACTGCCATTAGAAATTCTAGTATCAACTGGTAAACTGTGGACAGAGATAGTAGTTTTGGCGGGAATTGATAACACCATTGCCCTGGATTACTATCTCTATTAAGATTTGAAATTATGACTTTTGAATAGTACATGGATTTTGACACTAATTATGTCTGTAGGCGCTCAATTACTTGGAAGAAAGGGTGGCCTGGATTCGTGCAGTTACACTTATGCGGGTATCCATCAAGTAATCGACAATCAAAGCCGTGTCAGAATACGTACTGAATACAGCAAAGCAACGGAAAAGGGTTCCGGTTATCACCCAATGTCTTATAACTAGCTGTAAGCTGGCTATGAACGAGGGATTGTAATCCTATAGATATTGAGGCGGTCGAATCGAGTGTATATTAGTGGCACAACTTCAGCCATTGATAAGCAGTGGTCTCCTAGTCATGTTCTTATGAATCGATTCCAGGCACGATACTAGGGCACTTGTGCAGCTGGAGCCTGGGAGAAAAATGCGTGTATGCGCGTGCTATGCTTAACGGCGCTTGCGGCGTGTAAATATGAGGTTTCTACATATATTGTGACAAGAACCTACATACATGATGGAACGGCAAGATATATGCATACATGTATGCTTATCGACTCAGTATGACTACATACTGATCTCAGAACAGTCATTTTGTGTATCATATTATGACTGGAGGCCCTTGGAAGTCGCATCTACCCACATCTAGATACGTACCTACATACTCACACGGCCTAGTAATGTACTCAAACGGACCTATATGTTCCATGACGTAAGTGAACAGAGAACCATAAAAGCTAACAATAAGAATTATGTAGATTAACAAACTTATAGAAAGTAAGCTATTGGGAGCTATCATAAGTACATATGATAAAATATAAAATTTTCTATCAGAATAGATCGTAAAATAAACAAACGAGCCCTAAGAAAAGCGCCATATATATTTGTTCAAACCTGTCTCTTTCTCTTTACCATCAACCAAATTCAAATAGAACTACATGTAAGGTTATATATTTCGAAGAGGTTGCAGCGGAAACTAGTGACTAGCTTTGGTTCGGGAGGCCTGTTATTGTACTTTGCGGGGAACTTTATCGATTATTAGCTTTTTAGATAGGTCATATGAGACTAAAAATTTGTGACGATAAAGAATACGAAGTATGTATACTCAGACCTGGCACAGGCTGACGTGTGTTACTAGAGGGCGCTTCATACCGGTATCAGAGCATTTAGAGGGTACCTGGTTTTCGACGTTCCAGAACTCTTGCCTTTCCAAAGCCCTTTTCCCCATGCTTACAGCACCAGAATTTTCTTTCTTCTCAACTTTCCAAAAAACCACGCTAACACAGTTCTTTTCTAAATTCTCAACCAAATCCTCAAGCCACCGTATAGTTTGGGCATTTGAAACCACCTTCTTCTTGGCATTTTTGTAGCCATTCAATCTCCAGGCTTCGATGTTCTGTGTCAAACAACTGAGAAGATATGCGGAGTCTGTAACGATTATAGCATTCCTCCACATCATCTCCGGTGGTGGCATACACGGCAATATAAAGTTCCTAAAGTGCTCCAGCGCCATCCCAGCTGCGTAGAGGTCTGCATGTGGCTTTGACTGGGGCAGGGAAGTTGGGATTGTACCAGACCGGTTATGGGTTGAGCCTGGCCCATGGTAAATTCCCCAGGATGAGTTCGCTCGGGTGTGCACGGTGCCGTACGCGTGTGTTTCTTGGGAGGAGGAATAAATTGCGGAGGAAGCTGAAGACGAGGACACCGAGAAGGAGCCAGACGTGTGAATGATGACAGTTGCTGGATCCTCAAATCTGTTCCAGCGGTCATCGATCCAGGTTGGGTGGGCTAATGTGAACCAATTATTATTATAGTTCACTATATCTACCGGGGAGATTTTGGCGTGGTCTCCAAAACCGAGCATGGAAGGGCGAAATATCCTATCGCCAGGATAAACGTTGTAATACTGTGGGTTTGTGCATCTCCGATCCATGTACTCTCTATATAGTCGATCATAATCGAGGATTTGGCCGTGGTTTGGAGGTGGAATGGAGTTAGGGTACATTTGAGGTTCTGGGAAAGGCGCTCTGAGGAAAGGCGCTCTGAGGAAAGGCCTGGTGATATACACGGCCATGAGAATATAGGTGAGGTGAGAAAAGCGCCAGAGACGGTTGTCGGAGACGAAGCTCTTAAGGAGAGGTGAGCCGATTGAAGCACTGTGTATATGTACCATCAGTGGAATGCAAGGGGTCAAATGTTTGAGACACCGACAAAGAAAAAGAACTACCGTAGTAAACTTTTGCGGGTGTGTTAACAGAATTCCCCTTGTTCTGGTATGCACTAGCTAGCCTTATAAGCTGAGATCATGCTACCAACTAGCAGGACATTCAATAAGTGTATTGTGACTTTTACGTAGCTGAGAGAGGAGTTGATATGATTATATTAGAAAGCTTTGATGCGCTCTCATCACAAAACATCTCTGTTAATTTGCGTTAGTTTTTTTTTTTTTTTTTTTAGCTGCTATGTTAATACTATGGGGTTAGAACTAGTCTCTCGCGATCGCTTTAGCAACAATCCAAAGTTGTTTCTATCAAAGACCAAAAAAGACACTTATTCATTATACGTTAATTAACGATATTCAATCAATGGACCTAAACCTGTACTTAATGGGCTCCTAGCGTAGCTAAGATACGTGTAGCTATATGAAATTCCTCGATAATTAGATTTTTGCTATATATGATATCAAAGACCGTATATGAGCATACCTTCGATCGATGTGTTTCAGCGCGAGTGTAACGTTGGTCACATACATAAGTCTGCCAACATCTTCGAATTCGGGCTTACTACTAATCTAACAACTGTAAGATAAGGGCCGGCCCGCCCCGTTGATTCTAGACCGGGGTTATAATGTAAGTAATTATACGGTTCGCAGCCTCACATGAAAATAACACTTGTTTGAACGCCACAACGGCATGTGGAGGTATATAAGATCTAGAGTTATGTGGAAAGTATCCTTCAGCTCAGTGTCGACATTAGCAGATTTACTCGCCCTATGAATCACAACCTGCCCATTGGCATGTGAATAAGAATTAGATCGATTACCACCGAAAATGCTTGAGTAGTTTTCTTGAAACCGAAAGAGGAACACCAAGAGGATAATTGCAATCGGGGAAAACCGCAGAATCGTCGAAGGCCACGATCAGTTGAGGACAACTAATAAGATCTGCAACTATATGGGAACTGCTTACAAAGGGTCAATACAAGTAGGTTGTTATTAAAGCGAGAACTAGCCATTGAGTCCCTGAACGCTTCATGCTACACGGAGAGATTGATCGGGGCAATAGTAATCTGAGTTAGGCGGAGGAAGAGTTAGGTTAAAATCCATCGGTTAGTACATGTATCTTGATGCTTCAACACTATATTCGAACGCTCTTAGTGCTTACTATAATTCAAAGAGCTAGAAAGGAGAGCTGAAATTCGATCTGGTCGTGGCACTTACTGAATACTGCCATCCCCAATATCTACGCATGTCTCACAGCCTTCCAGCTGGTTCGAATATGGCATAGTCTGTTTCATTATACACACCTGAACTCTTTATTCCAGAGAAACTACCCCTGATTCCTACTAATGCTGGGAATAACTTCTGGTCCTTCAAGTTCCTTGATCTTAGATCTATAGATGTGTCGTGACACGTTGAAAAGCACAGTGGAAGCAAGAAACTTTTACAGACTAACTTATAGTGCATGTTAGGCACGAGTCTGTTCAAGACAAGCCTAGACCGGCGCTCGAGAGGTGGCCGGCTCGGATTGTGGGAACAAAGGCTTGAGGTATTGCAGCTCAGGATCTAGGCTTGGAAGCAGGCCCGAGCTTACATTAATGTTCTCATTTTTAGACATGAACTCTGATGATTTTTCTTGGTTTTATTATTCCATTTTGTCATTATGATCTTAATATCAACCGATTACTAATAATTCGAAAGAGACTCGAGCCTTTTCAATCTTGGATCGAGCTGGCTTGGGCTGTGGTAAAGAGAGCTCGAGCTCAAAGCTCGAGTCAGCTCGGCTCCTGCCCAACACTAAGACTAAGTAAAGTACCTTACAATCGATTAGGTTTATAACCTGGTGATATGAGTATGGAGGAAGATTTTCCTAAGATTAGCTAACAAAGAAAAAAGGAGGATACACGGAAGGTTGATAAGCGAGCGATACTTCTATGAAACATGCGTTCTGCATGTAGTCGAACGACTGTACCACCGATGGGGATGAGTATATACGAGATGTGCTAGTGAGTGATGGGCTGTGATTGACCTTCACAACCTACCTTCGGCATCCCCCCACCAACCCACCACAACAACAACCACCACCAAGCAGACACAGCATCCAAAAGCACCATGTCCCACAACGTCAAAGTATCCTCCGGCGGCGGTCTGGCCGTCCCCTCTCCCAGCAGGCCCCTCCGCTCCGCCAGCAGCCCCTTCCCCACCCACAACCCCACCCACACCTACGTCGAGTACCCGCGTGTCTTCTACCCCTCCGCCCTCCTCATGCGATGCAGACCAACCCTCCAAGCCCTCACTATCTACAACCCCATATCCCACACCACCAACACGCTCTTCAAAACCCCCAACGGCCCCGCCGACATCGCTCACATCGATGCGCAGACCATTGTCGTCAGCTGCGCCGTCATCAACTCCGCACTGGCAGTCAGTTTTGGCCCAGACTCTCGATACAACTTCACCCACGCCCTCCCCGCGGCCACCCCGAAGCTCTCGGCCGAGATCTTTGCCGTGCAAAAGTGCCTCAAGCTGGGAAGGGCCATTGCGAACGTGTTTGGCCCGGACAGAGTCGCAGTGATGCGGATTGTGGTGGCGACGAGTAGTAGGGAGATTGTGGAGGCTATGACGAAGTGGCTGGAGGAGTGGACGAAGAATGAGGCCTTGCCGGTTCAGAGGACGTTTGAGGAGTTTGGGGACCCGGCGGACCGCAAGGCGATGGAAAGGATGGATAGATTTGTGGAGGAGATTGTGGAGGAGGATGGGACGGAGGTGGAATTTTGGCTCTTGGAGGATGAGAGCTTGCATGAGACGGAGGTGTTGGTGAGGGAGAAACTGAGGGAGGTTAAGTGAGGAGCTTGGATAACCCGATACTCCTCCGGCTGGCTGCTCTATGTTGACATCTGCAGGCAGGAGCCTAGGAACAAGGATGAATCGGAGAGTTGTTTCTCCTAAGAGAGGTGCTTGGTGGCGGTATGGGATGGTCTCAATAGAAATATAAGGAAATAAAAAAGGCTTGACCATTTCTTTGTTCCTTATCAAGTCCCGGTTAGCTCGAGGGTCATATACTATCACTCGACGCCTCAAATCACGTGCAAAGCACAGGCAGGTGTGCGCCCAAAAGCAAAAAAAGAAAACATATCATTGATCCTCCCCTCCCCGGCCCTCTATCCAAGCAAAGCAAAGAAAAACAAAAAAGAAATTCGCGCCCCGTTCTACAATAAAAAAACCGCTATGGTTTTCTATTTACCAAGCTAATTTATATACTGATACTTGTATGTCCGCCTCTCGATCATGACGACGACATTGCATCTACTCCAATGGATAATCCACCTTCTCCAACTTTGAAAGATGCTCCTTGTGGTGGACATGTGCCTACAACCATACATCACATTAACAACTGGCCATCATGCTAGACCACATCACATCACAGCTACAACACTAGGGAACTACTCACGAAAGGAAGGCCGCAGTAGCCACAGGGGACTATCTCGGGCTTGTCGACATTGATAAAGACCCTTGGGTGGCCCATGGGTCCGCCACCTGTGTATACAGAAGAATATTAGACATACCGCCTGGGAGTAGGTGTGGGGGAGGGGACGTACCGCCGTCGCAGGCGACGACACGCTTCTCGGACCAGCGGACGGGCTGCTGGTGGATTAGCTCGATGGCTGCCCAGGCCGCTGGCTGGAGTTGTGTAGTCATATTAGCCTCTCTCAATACCAATATCCTGATATCCCCTACTGCCAATTCCCCAATACCCCAACACCTCTATAGTCCCTTTCTATCACCCCCTCCAAGCCTAAGCAACCCCAATCCCCAATCCCAGCAATAGTAGCAGATAAGAAGCACAAACCTGTCTCTCCAAAATCGTCTGCTCAAACCTCGGTCCCACCATCGCCAGCTCCCTCGGCTGCTGCGAGCGACTCCACGTCGTCGCCCGGTTCGGCGCCTGCAGCACACGGGCCTTCTGGCCCTCGAGGGCGGTCTCCCGCAGCGGCGCCGGGTCGGTGCTGCCCGTGTCGTGGACGGTTGTGGCGTTGGTTGTCGGTTCCACGGGGGGGGTGGACGAGTAGGTACGAGTGCTGCGAGCGAGAGGCCGCAGAAGGGTGCGGGTGAGGGGGGTGATTGGGCGGAACATTGTGGTTTTGGTGGTAGTGGCGGGGGGTGGAGGGGGAGGGCGATGATGGGGCGAGGAGCGAGGTGGGAGGTATTTAGATGGGGGGGCGGTGTGGCTGGTGGGTGGCGTGGCGTGGTGGCGTGCAGAGGTTGTTCTGGCTTGGCGGTGGGAAGGTTTGGGTTGGGATTTCTATGGTGCTGCGATACTTGACTTCACCAACCGTCACGGCAGGCGAATTCAACAACACCACCATTTGAAGCCGATAGACAGTCGACAGATATATTATACTCTACAGAGTGAATATATATTCCGCAGAGCATCTAATCCAACCCACCGACCGACCCACCGTACCACCGACGACCAAAATGTCAACACCAAAAGCCCCCGCGGCGCCCGCCCAGCGCGCAATCGCAAAGCCGAAAGGCATGTCCTCGAAACTACTAACCATGAAGGTAAATCCCCAATTTTCTAAATCCCCATTCTCCCGCTCTCCCCTTCTATTCTCTCCCCTCTACCCACCCCCTCCCTTACCAGGCAGTACTAACTACCCCCCTCTACACAGTTCATGCAACGCACCGCCGCGCCCACCGCCGTCCGTGCCGCCCTCGCACAAGAAGAATCCAAGCGCGACGCCGCGCGCGAGAAGATGATCGCCGCCATCACGCCCGTCGGCGACGCCGAGACCCGCTGGGAGCTCAGCTATGTGCACCGCACCACCGGCGGGACGGCGAAGGTTGTGGACTGGGGGTACAGCGAGATTCTTGCCGACGACCGCCGGGGGGGTGGTGGTGACAGCGAGGAAGAGGAAGAGGAGGAGGAGGAAAAGGGGAGTGGGAGGATGGTGTTTGGCGCGTTCAAGTCGAAGGGAGAGGTGCGTTTCAATTGCTTACTTGCTTGGTTTTGGCTGTGTGGATGTGTGTGGGTGTAAATGTGACTGTATGTACTGACTGACTGGGCGCTGGATCACAGGCTGCAAAGACCGCGGACGAGAACGACTCCGGGGACGAATCGGACGCCTCTGACAAGCGCCAGCGGAACGTTTCACTGCGCGGGCTAACGTCAATCTCGAACTCTGGCCCGCCCCCGTCCGCCAGCGCCATGAAGTGCCGTGGCTGCGGCGGGGAGGGCCACACGCAGGCAAAGTGTCCCAAAGCAAAGTGCTACGCCTGTGATGGTGAGGGCCACATGGCGAAGGACTGTCCGAGGCCGAGGAAGGGGAAGAAGAGGGAGACAATGCCGTTTAGTAATGATAGTAAGAGGAGGAGGTCCGGGAACTAATGGCTAATGGGTGCTGATGTGCCCCCCAATAGTGGTGGTAGTGGTGGGGTTTTATTACGCCTTGGGGGAGAGAAAAAAAAATGCGAGATATCAGCGGTGGAGGTGTAGATTTGCTGGTAAGTGGGACGGAGTTTGAGGCGTTTTTTCTTTCTTTTTTTTTTTCTTTTCGTGATTCCTGCGTTTTTTCATACGTTGAGGGTTTGCTCAATTGCCTCTAAATTTACTATTGCCTTGAGCATAGTAAAATAGCATCCGCTACATGGCACCAGACGGCTCCAGCAGCAGCAGTAGCATAATTGCGGAGCTGGGAGCAGCTGTACATTCCTGTATTTGTAAAATATCATCCATCATAGAGACGGTTTCCCAAAAAGAAGATGCAGTATTACAGTAGATATAATAAATATAATATCACGCAATTGACATAATTAATTGTTTGACTGATCGAGTTGAAGCACGTAAATCCTCTGTGATATCCAAATACAGCCTAGCACCCCTAACCCTGCCCTCCACGCCCCGCCAAAAGTTTCACCTCCCAAAACCCTTGACCATACATGATATATACAGCAGCAGCACACACACACCGCAGCCCACGCCCGCAGCACGCAAACCCGCAATTGACCCCTCCACTCACTCACTCACCATGAGCGTCACCCGCCCCCTCGGCCTCGGCCGTGTCCTGCAGCCCTTCCGCCGCACCCTCACCACCACGCCGGCCCTGCACATGCACAAGCGCCCGCCCCCGCCGCCCGTCACCCACTCGGCCGACTCGGCGCCCTACACGCCGGCCGACATCGCCGCCCTGCGCAAGCACTACTCGCCCGCCCAGATCACGTCCTTCCTGGCCGGCGAGACCTCGATTGCCAGATCAGACTTTGACCGGCGCGTCCGCCGCTCCGAGGCGGATCCTATGCTGCTGAGGTACCTGGATGACCTCTCGACGATTGATCCGACGCTCGACTTTCCGACCCGCCATGCGCCGCCAGAGTATGTGGCGGGCCACCCACTGCAGCCGTTGCCGGTTATGGAGGACCCGTTCTCGGGCGGGGATGAGGCGGCGGTGCCGTGGATCCGCGATGTGAGTCGGCGGATTGGGTTCAGTGAGGGTGAGGTGGCCAAGTTTAGGACAAAGATCTTGGTCACGCATCGTGTGGTGAACCAGACGCATATGGGCAAGATCCAGAAGATCTATTCGCTGGCGGTGGCGGGGAATGGGAATGGGCTTGTGGGAATCGGCGAGGGGAAGGCAGTCGAGCATGATGATAGTCAGAGGATGGCGACGTATATGGCCGTCAGGAACTTGGAGCCCATCCCGAGGTATGAGAATAGAACGATTTATGGCGATGTGGAGGTGAAGCTGGGCGCCGTGGAGTTGGGGCTGTATTCTAGGCCGCCGGGTGGGTTTTGATCTTTTTCCTTTTCCCCTTTTGTTTTTCTGGGGTTGGGGGAGTGGTGCTGATGGTTGTGATGTTACTTGTTTTATAGGCTTCGGTGTCCGCTGCTCGCAGTACGTCTTTGAGATTGCCAGATGCGCCGGAATCCACGATCTCTCAGCTCGGGCCACTCGCTCGAGGAATCCTATGAACGTTATCAAGGCCACCATGCACGCCCTGAGGAACCAGAAGCTGCCGGAGACCATTGCTCGCGGCAGGGGAAAGAAGTTTGTGGATGTCAGGAAGGTCTACTACAATGGTATGGTGTAGAAGGCTTTTGTATTTTGTAATCTCCGTTTTTTCTTCTTTCTGTAAATAAATGGCTTGCACATATGTGAATGGACTGAGCTGCGCTTCTACCTGTAGCTAGCTGGGGTATATTCAGGTATTTGTGTTTGCAGCAGTGAGTATTGTATCCATTGTGAGTATTGATATGTCCTAAGTAGTATAGATCGTAAGTACATGTAGTATAAGTCATGAGTGTTATGCATTGATACATCATATATATTGGCGATGTAGTGTCCTAAGTACATGTACTTGTACTCCGTCTCCCAAAGCAGTACTGCAAGGCAGTGCATGTCCGAATGGCTGTAGCAAGACCGATCAACTGTCGGATGAGAGAAGAGACGATGACGATATCAACAGGACCACGAGAGTTTCTAGCTTTATAAAACATGATTGAGGACACTTTGTCAAGCCACATATTCCTCGCCATAAGTCCACAGTTGTATTATTCGCATCTATTCGGTGTTCTGAGCATTTCGTCACCCAAAGCAGCAAGTGATCGTTGCCCAGCCAGCGAGCCAGCTGCAAACCCGCCCATCTGTCATTGACCAGGTATCGCAGCTATCTATTGCGAGTTATTGAAATTATCTAGACATCGTTGCAACTGAATCTTCAACTTCGACGTCGGTCGCCTTTCCCACAACCACAAGGAGAGAGCACAGGAGGTTTGGTTTCTGTGATTTCTTATGCTTCTATTATCTCTTAAGCTTCAACATGAGCATAATTGGAGTGGTTTCAAATTTGGATATTCTAGCCAATTTGTGTGGTTGCAATCACGCGAGCTCGAGCGTCCGGATGATTTTGATAGATAACTACAGTACCTGTAACCCACAATATCACTCCTCTCTGTTTAAACACCGGCGACATTCTGGGCCTTCTTCCCCAAGGAAGTAATCGCTGCCTACCCGTATCACCCATTCCCTTCCTATCTCCCGCCTGTAGCCGCGCGCAAGTAACCCGCGAGGTTAATTAATGTAACACGTTACATGCCCACAGCCGCGCCGCTGCTGATCGATCACCAGCTGAAACCCCATCGCTGGCAGTCCAAGGTAGCAGCAGCGACGACACCACCAATGAGAAGCTGGTATGGAGCATTCGAATAGAGTACTGCAACAACAACAGCGCATCCATCCATTGGTAGCATGCGCGTACGTCCCTGGCCAGAGATCAGAAGAGCGGGGCAGTGGGTCGAGGGCGCCGTGTATGTATATATATGGGGGACGTCGTTATGGAGAGCTAGCTAGCTACCTACGTTATATACCGACTACGTACGACGCTCTAGCCTCACTCCCGGATTGCCATCTTTCTGCTGCTTAAGCTTAGTGATAGTGAGATTCTCGTTAAAAATCGAATATGGGTCAGACACAGTCCAACCCCGTGAGAGATCGCAGCGGTAAGGAAGTGGGTTCTCGCAACAGAGAGCTGGCAAAGAAGGAAGCAGGCCTACGCCGGGACCTCTCTCAGCAGTCGCAGACCGGTAACTACTCCCTCATCTTCTTCCCATAGCTCCAACCAAATATCCAGCTACATGTAGCTAGCTAGGCACCTATATACTGACATCTCCCTCTCCCCACAGCCTGGGCGCAAAATAACAAAGCCAAAGCCAAGGAACTCTCCAACGCCTCCAAAGTACACCAAACCCGCATGGAAGCCTACAACGCCCTCGCCGCCGCCGAGATCTTCCGCGCCAACAACCCCATCTACCACCACAGCACCCGCAGCGGCGCCTCCTTCCTCTTTGGCCTCTTCTCAGGGACCTCCGTGGCCTCGGCGCTCGCGGAGATCGACCTTCATGGGCTGCACGTCACGGAGGCGCTGCCGATGGTGCAGGAGCATCTCAGGCTGTGCCGCAGTAATGGCGTGGGGAGGACGACCATTATCACCGGAAAGGGCCTGCATAGTGTGGATAAGGTTGCGAAGATTCGCCCACAGGTGGAGAAGATGCTGGCGGAGGAGAGGGTCAAGGTGGTGAGGGAGGCGGGGAAGGTGAATGAGGGGGCGTTTGTGGTGGAGTTTGCGGAGGAGGGGGAGGAGGTGGGGTGGGCGGGGTGGTTTCTGGCTGGGTTGTTTGGGCAGAAGGCCTAGGCGTGATGGGTGCTTCTTGTGGGGGAAGGGCTTTTGGTTTTATGGGCGTTTTGGGCGTCAGCTTGTTGGGCATCTAGCTCTAGCTGACGGTATTGCTTTCTTTTATGGTTGGTCATTTCTTTGTGGTCTTCTCTATCTCTTTCTCTTCTTCTATACATGAATCGACTATCATTGTGTTCTTACTGCGTTTTTCATAGTTTTTTTGGTGAAATTTGGGTAAACGTAGGCAGATATGTATACGAATTATACTCATAAGTTGAATCATGATATCCAAGCAACACCAGTGATATCGATATAAGACCTTCAAACATCGATTAATAGTGCCCATTAATGCAAATATCTTATATCAAATAAGAGAAAGTCTCAAGCTACATGATCTACATCATAGCCAAGCACACACTCTCTTCCCACACCTCCGAGTGTTCTCTCGTTGCTGCAGTATCAACTCTACCGGCATGTATCTGCTTCATCCTCACGCACTCGAAACACCCAGAGCCAATGATCCCTGAACCAATCGGAACCAGGCTGTCTCCCCATTAGTAATCCGCACCCACCCCGCCCGTCCGTTCTCCCACTACGCCCGAGCCGGGTAATCCAGGCCCAGCAAACCTGAACATCGCGAGAAAGCCCGAAACCGAACAATTAACGCCCAAACGTTTTTATCCCTCGCTCCCATTCATTCCCCCCCCACTCCTCCGCGACCTCTTTCTCCCCCTTTCCATCTCTCCTCAGATCACATCACCAATGGCCGCCGCTCGAGTAGCACGAAACGCCCTTGCGTCCTCCCTCCGGAGGCCCAGCGGCCTGCTCGTCCCGAAAAAATTCCCGGCTCTCACAAAGTCACTCGCCTCACAGGCACCCCAGCAAGTCCTAACGCCCGGCGTCATCACGCAGTCGACAACCCTGTCCAATGGATTGACTGTGAGTATACTTCGCCATGTTGGAGGGAGCGGGGGAGAGTGACGACGGGTGGGCTGATTGATGATGATGATGAGGGGTATAGATTGCGACCGAGCACTCGCCGTACGTGCAGACGGCAACCGTCGGTGTCTTTATCGATGCCGGAAGCAGGGCGGAGACGGATGCGACGAACGGGACTGCGCACTTTTTGGAGCATCTGGCTTTCAAGGTAGGGCACAATTGAGCTTGAGGGATTATTTTTTTGGAGGGGAGATAGTTTTGTTGCTCACACTTGGATGGGTGGTTTGGTAGGGGACGAAAACTAGGACGCAGCACCAACTGGAACTGGAGATCGAGAACATGGGTGGTCATTTGAACGCCTACACATCTGTACGTTTTTTCTTTTTTCTCTTTTTCCCTTTCTACAATCGGACAATGCTTCGAGAGGACTGACATTGCTCTCGATGTAGCGTGAAAACACTGTCTACTACGCCAAATCGCTCAAGGACGACGTTGGAAAGTCTGTCGAGATCCTTGCCGACATCTTGCAGAACTCCAAGCTCGAGGAATCCGCCATCGAGCGTGAGCGTGATGTGATTCTCCGCGAGCAGGAGGAGGTCGACAAGCAGCTCGAGGAGGTCGTGTTCGACCACCTCCACGCCACCGCCTTCCAGCACCAGCCGCTCGGCCGCACCATCCTCGGCCCGAAGGAGAACATCCTCTCCATCAGCAGGGCCAACCTCACCGACTACATCTCAACCAACTACAAGGCCGACCGCATGGTCCTCGCCGGTGCTGGTGGCGTCCCCCACGAGCAGCTCGTCGAACTTGCCGAGAAGCACTTCTCGGGCTTGAAGCCCTCGGGCAGCAACCTCAGTATTGGCAGCGCCCGCGGTGCTAAGCCCGACTTTGTTGGCTCTGAGGTCCGCATGAGGGACGACACTATCCCCACTGCGCACATTGCCATCGCTGTTGAGGGTGTCAGCTGGAAGGACCCCCAGTACTTCACTGCCCTTGTTGCCCAAGCTATCATTGGTAACTGGGACAGGGCTATGGGTAACGCCGGTCACTTGGGCAGCAGGCTCTCGTCATTCGTGCACAAGCACCAGCTTGCCAACTCATTCATGAGCTTCAGCACCTCATACTCCGACACTGGGTAATACCCCCCCTCTCTTTCCCCAATTCCAGCTGCACAGAATTACTATACTGACCCCATCTGTCTAGTCTCTGGGGAATCTACCTCGTCACCGACAAGGTCACCCGCATCGACGACCTCGTCCACTTTGCGCTCCGCGAATGGTCCCGCCTCGCCCAAATAGTCACCGAGACCGAGGTCGAGCGTGCCAAGGCCCAGCTCAAGGCCTCGCTCCTGCTCTCGCTCGATGGCACCACCGCTGTCGCCGAGGACATTGGCCGCCAGATCATCACCACCGGAAGGAGGATGAACCCCGCCGAGATTGAGAGGGTTGTTGGCGCCATTACGGAGAAGGACGTTATGAAGTTTGCCCAGGACAGAATTTGGGACCAGGATGTTGCTATTAGTGCGTTGGGAAGCATTGAAGGAGTAAGTACCCCCCATGTCAAGATTGTAGTGTTGGTTTGGTAGGGGAATGTCTGCTAATGGGTGGTATAGTTGTTGGACTACCAGCGTATCCGCAGCGACACTAGCCGTAACTTCTAGGCACTAGACTCTAGGCCAGGGTAGAATTATTAGTCGTCGGTTAAAGAAAGAACGAAAAAAATGGGTAGTGTGGGTAGTAGTGGGTAGATAGAACTAGAAGCTAGGGTTGCGTTGGTGAGGATGTGTGCGTTGTTGGTTGATGTACAGTACACTACGACCGCTATATCCCCCCACCTCGTCGGGTTCTGTTCTTGTGGGGCTTTTTTCTCTGTCAATTTTTTTTGCATTTGTAGGTTTTCGTTGCGAGGGTCGAATATATACTTTTTTTTTGTTGATATGGTTGATATCGCCGCTGTCGTCGTCGTTGTAGATGAGGGGTTGGAGAAGTTGTAGTGGAGAGTTGGTCGCCGAGTGATGGCTCATGATACGATGGGTGATGTCGAACATACCAATGCTACAGGTAGTTCTACCCACAGCTGGATTTGCTTAGAGCAAGTCATACTTCATGAGACAGCGTGACAGCGCCTAGCGGACAGGCACAGAGATTACGTCCAGCTGAAGATTGAGAGCTCTGCATGTAGCCTGGCTAAGAAGGTAGTCTATATTGCCAGTGTTCACCATCGCTATAGATAGGGGAAAGATATATATTGGTGGTACTTCTAAGTTGTTGATTATTAATATTAACTTGTGACTATGATATAGGTAGATTAGTTGGTAGGTTACATGTAGTAGATATATGGGTAGCGCAGGCGCTTCAAGTTGTGGTAGGGTCAGATGAGTAGGTGGTATTCGTTTGGTTGGAAAGATGTACTCGGCTTAATGTGCGGAAGATATATAACACCGCTTTCATTTGTGATTATACTTGGCGCAGTGATATGGAGAGGTAAGGAATTCCTAGATGGTTACATGGGAGATACTACATGTGGATGGGGGGATACTACATGTGGCTGAACAGGCCGGCGCCGGGCTGTGAGGGTGCTGGGCGTCCTAGGCCTAGATATATCAAAGCTATATGTTTTCTTCGCCAACTTATGCACATTCTACCTAACGTACGCCTGCGTGTAGCTAAGCTTAAGGGCTGTGTCAATCGAGTACGTGGTTGGAAATTGTGTCTGGCTTGGTTGATCTGACGCTCACTCAATTGATGCTGGCTAAGGTATCCAACATTAATGCACATGTAGTAATATAGGATCTTTGTTATCGTATTTGAGTCTATATATATATCGTCCAGCTGTCTCTACTATAAATACCGCAGTATGCAATGGCATACAACCACATTTCCAGGCGTAAGGAGCTCCGCAGTCAGTCATAGACAATAGATGCTGAGAATATCATGGCAGACGTACACGAGAATAGCACGGCCTTAAGAAAAGCCCGTAAGGTATCTACACCTCCCGAACCCCTCAGCCCCAAACCTCCTAACATACACAATAAAATCACCACCAACCCAAAAACACCCGCGCCGAACCACCCCCCCCCCCCCCCTTCTCCCATCGAGCAGCCAGCCAGCCAGCCAGCCAAGCTAGCTAGAGTAAATACCACCCACTAGGACGCTCGAGGGGCAGCGAGGTTTGAGGGTGCACTGTCTTAGCTCGAGGTGCTTTGAAGGACCTCGAGGAGAGCGTTTATTTCTGTGAGAAGCATATCCTATCCTTGAGCAATGGACCTCATCTTACTCGGGCAGAGGATATAGCTAGGTGCATATATACTATGCCAATAATTGTCCTTGGGGGGTCCTAGAGGCATTACAAGGCCAGGATAGGTAGGATACTCGAGACTCCCTCCTTAAGCTTGTCCTTAATTTATCCACAGTGGTCCTTAAGTTGTAGGTCATCGATGCTGGACATGTCCACGATCAAGGCAAGCATAAGGACGCAGGGACGCTCGTCGGCCTCGTGGGCCATGCAGACTAAGACAAGTAAATGCTTGTTATAAACTGGTTATAGCCCTATGTGCTTTTGGTTAGTTATAAGATACTAATTGTTAGTATTTAGGCTGGGGGAAACCTGGGTAGCTTATGTGCCAAAGCTGTTTACGATATTGTATTATTTCTTCTAAATCATACGGGAAAAAGGAAGACTAAACCCACGAGCTCTAACAGCTCCCACAAATCTTCACCATAGCTGTAGCCTGTAGGCGACACCACAGGTACTGTGAAAATGGCGAGCTGTTGTACTTTCCAGTATCAAGATTTTCCTGAGAGTTGATAGATCTATAAATCTATCAGTAATCAATCCAAGGCCGCCTCATTCCCACCCCACCCCCAGCCACCCCACGATAGCAACCCGCGGGCCAACAGGAAAATGCCGCACCAACGATCATTACCAACGCATGACGGGAGTCCTTAACCCTAACCCCAGCACTGCCAAGCACCAGCAGGCAGGCAGCAGCCTCAAAATAAAAAAAAAATTCCGAGCCCTTCTTTCTTCTCCGTTAACCAACCACACTCACTGTCAACATCAAAAAACATAACAACCCTTCACGGAAAAGCAACAATGTCAAAAGAACAGCAACCCATTGACCAGGAGGCGATTCAATCCGCTCTTGCGGAACTAGCAGGCCTCGAGAAGGAGTTTGAGAAGGTCGATGTCGACATCCGTATGTTTATCCCCTCTCCCTCCCATCCTCAGAGAGCAAAAGGCCCAGACAGATAAGCTAACACCCCACCCAGTACGCGAAACCACACTCCGTCAAGCCCCCCTCTTCACGCGCCGCAACGCCCTCACCTCGCGCATCCACAACTTCTGGCCCCTCACCTTCGAGCAGGCCTCCTCCGCACTGCAATTCGACGAGTTCGTGACGCCCGAGGACGCCCACGTGCTCGGCAAGTACCTTCGCAGCGTGAACGTGACGCGGCCCGACCTGGACCACGAGCCGCGCTCGGTGCGCATCGAGTTCGAGTTCGACGCGAACGAGTACTTTTCCGATGCGGTGCTGGCCAAGACGTTTGAGTACCAGGCTGGCGCGGGCGGGCTGGCGAGCAAGCCCGTGGCCATCGGGTGGAAGGAGGGGAAGGACCTGACGGAGGGGGTTGCGGGCGCGGCGGCGGCGGCGTGGGAGGAGAGGGTGAAGGGTGTGAAGGGGGGGAGGGGGCGAGGAGGTTGGAGGGGCTGATGGAGAGGGGCCCGGCGAGCTTTTTTAATTGGTTTGCGTGGACGGGGAGGCATGAGGCGCTGGGGGAGGTGCATGAGCATGAGCATGGGGAGGGTGGGTGTGATCATGAGCATGATGAGGAGGAGGAGGAGGGGCCGGTGGAGGTGTTTCCGAATGGGGATGAGGTGGCGGTGCAGATTGCGGAGGATATGTATCCGAATGCGCCAAAGTACTTTAGTAAGTTCCTTTCCTCGGATCTGCGGTCTTGGCTGCGTTGTGGATGGGATGCTGACAGGTGTGATAGCTGAGTCCTTGGAGGAAGGTGATGATGAGGACGACGACGAGGAGATCGAGCTCGACAGCGAGGCCGAGGAGGAGCTCACAAAGAACGGGGCCTCCGCCCTCCTGGCTCAGATGGGAAAGAAGGGGAAGCGCAATGGCGCTGGCGAGGCGCACGACAGCGAGGATGATGGCCCCGCGAAGAAGAAGTCCAGGAAGTAGACAGCCAGTTTTTTTTTTTTCTTTCCTGGAGCTGGAACGTGGGCACAGCTAGCTAGCTAGGCTGCCGATCGAGTATCAGTATGAAAATGGGGGGGCGATGTAATCAAGTCGTGCCTGGCTAGCTAGCTTTTATTTTCTTCTTCTTATTTTTACTTCTTTTTTTACTTTCTTGTTTCATTCTTAATATGGTTGTCTGTCTGCTTGTCTGTCTGGGGGGGATCTATCAATCTATCTCATGGGAAGAGGGCCTGGAAGGGAAGGGAAGGGAAGGGAAAAAGTGCTTTTTTGTTGTTGTTGCGCTGCTGTGGGATCTGGGATCTGTATATGTATATTATCATCTAAACCTTTTTTTTTTTTCTCTCTTTGCTGTCCAGTTGAGACTCGGCTCGCCCGTGCCGTTGCCGACGTCATCGCTCGCTCGGGTTTGAGTGAGTGAAAGATCGATGCAGAAGAGGTTTGTTTGTTTTTGTTTGTTTGTTTGTTTGTTTGTTTAGGTGGTGACGCGATCATTGACACTCACGATGTTGCGTTCGCAGACTTTAGAGTATATTCCCACCAAGGCCACCAAGGAGAACGAGAACGAGAACGAGCAGAATCATCATGCGCTTAATAAGCACACGCGCAGATTAGTAAACTTAAGACAGCCGCCAGCCTGTAACGCCATCCATCCATCCATCTCCCTTGCTAGCTAGCTATCCAAGCTATATCCAATGACATTAGAGAGTTTAAGCCATCCGAGTTTAAATTTTGGCAACAACAAAAAAGATCGTCCGACAAAAAAGATCAGCGGTCCAGGGTCAAAGGAAACTAACCCAGGGCTGGTAATTTCTGCTGTTTATACCGCTGGATCGAGCCTCAAGACTACGAGGGTTGTGCTGATAGCTTAAACTCTCTATTAGTGGCCCGTAACGAACTCAGAGCTCGAGTCAAAGACAGCGTCACGAATCCAGCCTGTCATAAACAGCAGTTTTTAACTGTCAATGTCATGAACTAACCTTGATGTCCACCCTAACCCACCACAAGTTTCATTCTTTAACCTGATCTTTACACCCCAAATTACCCTAACCCATACCAAAATCCGTTCTCCACCACTGACTACATGTAGTTCATGACCATGACACCGAGCTTCCCTCAAGTCAGTTTTTAACCAGTTTAAAACTGTCTGTTAGTAACTTAGTTCCCCTCCCCTCCCCTCCCCTCCCCTCACAATCCCCACAAACCCCCCCCCCCCGCCTCCCCAACACAACAAACCACAATGCTCCTAATCGGCCTCACCGGATCCATCGCGACGGGCAAGTCCACCACCTCACGCATCCTCTCCTCCCCGCCGCACAACCTCCCCATCATCGACGCCGACGCCATCGCGCGCACCGTTGTCCTCCCGGGCACCCGCGCCTACGCCCGCATCGTCGCGCACTTCGCCCCGACCACTCCGGACCTCCTGAACGACGATGGAACGCTGAACCGGCCTGCGCTCGCGAAGCGCGCGTTTGGGCCCAAAGAGGAGATGAGGAAGGATAGGGATCTGATAAATGGGATTATCCATCCGGCGGTGAGGTGGGAGATGTATGTCTTCTCCGCTGGCCCCCCCCACTGCGTGTGTTCGTGTGTGTGTGCGGTGTTGATATTGACTGGGGGATAGGTATAAGCTCCTCCTCCACTACTACCTCCGCGGGCACTGGGCCGTCGTCCTCGACATCCCCCTCCTCTTCGAAACCCACCTCGACGTGCTCTGCGGCACCGTAATGGTCGTCGCCATATCGTCGACCGAGGCGCAGCTGGAGCGGCTGATGGCGCGGGACAACATGACGAGGGAGCAGGCGGAGTGGCGTGTTGGTGCGCAGATTCCGCTGCACGAGAAGGTGGAGCTGTGCGAGAGCGTGTATGTGAGGAGGGGGAGGGGGTGGTGGTGATGAATGATGGGGGCGTGGAGGAGTTGCAGAAGGAGCTGGGGAGGGTGGTGGCAGGGTTGAAGGAGGGGAGGGTGGGGTGGTGGGGGTGGGTGTGTTGGGTGGGGGGCCCGGTGATGGGGGTGTGGGTGTTGGGAAGGAATTTGTGGGCGAGATGGTGGTGGGGGAGGGGGAAGGAGGGGGTGAAGTCGAAGTTGTAAGGGAGGAGGGGGGAAATCTGGGGATGGAGGCTGTTTCTTTTTTGTTTCTTGCTTTTCTTTACTCTCCCGCGGGGTACAGTTATATTATATACAGCTCCAGTTCAAAAGCCATTGTACGACGACGAAAACACACCAAAATTCGCCAAAACATGGCATTTGCCCCACAATGCAGTAACACTGATAGATTCTTGGTATTGCAATCATGGACGGACATATATACTTATAAGTAGCCCAATTTAAGAATTTCGCGCCTAGAAAATAGCTATAAAAGTAGTTAGGTTGCTCAGCATGGGTGTGATTTTGGTCAAGAAGAAGTCCCACAGTTGATGCAAGAATTAATATTTTTTGCAATCTGAATTCTTAGAATAGACATATATATTCCTGGAATATGTTATGCAAAGCCTCATATCATTATGTACATACATACAATAATATCCAAGTACATGAGTTCTACTCCGCCGTCTGTTATACCAACCATCTAGCTATTTCATCATACAGTAACAGTAACAAAATAGCCCATGCACTGCCAATGCTATCCACAGCGATAAAAAAGCAATTGTCTGCTATCCTTGGCTTATACTATTCATCCCATGCAATTGAGAAGTTCGCACTAGTGAAGTTTGGCTTTTCTGGTCGTTGCTATCATTTCCGTTGTGGCTCATTTGGGTTTAGAATGAGGTTGGGTAGTTAGGGTAATTAGGGTGATTAAACTTAGAGTTGGGGTAATTAGGTTTGAGGTAATTGGGCCGTAATATTTACTCGATAGAGTGAGGAGGTTTTTTTGGTCTTTGGGTTTTTGGGCGGAGGAGGTAAAGAATCCCTGTAGTATGCAGCTTTACTCATCCAGCCCCACCCCACCTACCGCACAACCCCACCACGACGTCATTTCTCACCATCTCTCACCACCACTCACCACTCACACACACCCCCCCCCCCCCAAAACACCCATCCACAACCATGACAACCTGGCACCAAACCACAATAACGCTCCCCTCCCGCTCCCGCGGCTCCTACCTCATCACCCCCGAGATCACCTCCGCGCTGCCGGAGCTCTCCCGCTACCGCGTCGGCCTGCTCACCCTCTTCATCCAGCATACGTCCTGCGCACTGTCGCTCAACGAGAACTGGGACAGCGATGTGCGCGCAGACATGAGCGACGCTATGGATAGGATTGTCGTCGAGGATAAGAAGGGTGAGGGGATCTATAGACATGATGCGGAGGGCAGCGATGATATGCCGGCGCATGTGAAGAGTGCGTTGATTGGGGCGAGTGTGGTGGTGCCGGTGAGGGAGGGGCGGTTGGCGTTGGGGACGTGGCAGGGTGAGTTGCTGTTCTTTCCTGGTGGGGATTTGGGGGGAGGGGAGGGGAGGGGAGAGGGGAGAGGGGAGAGGGGAGAGGGGAGATGAGAGCTAATTGGGTGGTTAGGGATTTGGTATATGGAGTTCCGGAGGGCGAAGCATTCGAGAAATATAGTGGCGACGATTCAGGGCGAGTTGAAATAGGCGGTTTTGAGCTAGATAGAGGAATCGATGGGGGATTGCGGTTTTCTAGATCAAAGCGGGATGGAAATCGCGCTTTCTTGGTAAAGTTGGCGAAAAATGTGCTGGCTGGATAACTGGGTCTAATAAACTCTATTTCTCCTTTTGACTTGCTCCTGGCAGTAGTCCCTGAAAATCACGATATCCGTAGTGAGATTGTTGCTATCGTTATAATAAGATACATTCGTGATAAGGCACATACTCGCGCGGCCGGTTTGAAGCTGCTCAAAGAACTGTGGCGAATGATCTGGCAACGACTAAGAGCTCACGTTTTTGCAGTATTCAGATCAATTCAATCTGGCCGCTAGAGTACCTACTGTACTCTACCCGCACCGCCAGATTGAAGCGGCCCAAAGAACTGTGGCGAGTAATTCTGGCAGCCAATCAGAGCTCGGCGGCCTTTTGCTGTCTTGAGATCAATTACCTTTTTTTGTCCGAGCGGCCCGGCCCCCAATCCGGTAACGAGAGTAGAGGACCGAGGTTGAGATGACAGTAGTCAGCAACGCGGATATTAATTCAGAAACTTGGAAATCCGGTGAATGAAGATCTAGAAGGCCGGGCCGGGAAGCAGGTTTTTAGCCTACGGTTGATTCCCCCCGGCCCTATTAGGGTACATCTTATACGGGTAGTCGTATCCCAGCCTCAGGAGAACTAAGAGTACCTACCTTTTTTTATACCTGTCCATGGCACAAGTATTGCTGAGATATATCTCTAGATCTAGTATCCCAAGATCTAAGCCGTTTTTCTTCTTTCCGTGTATTCCAAGCCGTAGAACAAATCTTCGTTGTTGTCTTAAGCTCCAAAATAAAGCCTTGAATCAAGTATACACGAGTAAACGTAATTTCAAGTAGACCCAACAACTACTACTCACCTTCCCAACTAAGATAAGACCTTTATGGTAATTCTACCAACCAGGCCGTGTGCGCATGCAAGAGTCCCCCAAAGCGGACATCACCACGACCGAGTGATATTCCATGATCCAGTGCCTTGTTTCCATTACATCATTAATTATGCGCAGCCCGATGATCCCATACCTCCACTGCCTCAATGACGACCCCCTCCTAAGCCTGAAAAAAAAGTAGAAAAACAATAACTTGATAAATACGAGGAGCTTTCGGGGAGGCCGACTGGTCTAGGTCCAGCAGTCCAATTACAAAAATGTGCCTACCTCCTACCCACCAGCCTACCTTGCCTGCAGGACACCCACCTCCTCCTCCATCCTCGTGGCAGATGCAAGATATTTCGTCAGCACTTGCAGCACACGTGTGTAGCATTAGGAAGAGGTCGTACATATGCGCGGTTTAGTAGATCAGTGATGATAGTCCAGGCATCTGCTGTCACTCGGTGGGTTGATATGCTCATATTGACGTCACTTCAGCGACCGGCTCACCTAATTGACGGCTAGGGCTGGCACTGTGTAGATTTGATAGTCATCATGGTGTCAAGGGTGGTTATTTAGGTGAGGAGTATTCGGATGGTATTGCGGATGGGATAGTGGGGGGAGGAGGTTCCGGGGTTTGGGTTGGCTTTTCTGATCCTGGTATAAAATACTGTCATTCACTACAGCTAGTGGGTAATTACAAACATGACTGCAGCGGATTTCCATTGACAGGGAGTTCAAGTCAATAGACCCTTTGCGCTGATAGATCCAGAGTCTTTTTTGACAGACTTAGCATTAATTAGCCAAGGGATTATAGATCCAGCCTTGCATTTGACTCCCAGAGAGTTGGTAAATCGCCTAATTAGACTTCCACTCCTTCTATTCTTTGTAGAATGAGCAAATGATGACTTTTTTTAAGAGGATTCTTTCATGATAAAATTCAGATGTAACTACACCTTCTATCAAATTCTCAATGATTTAGCTAAGGTGTTGGTGGTAGAAGAAAATTATTTAATTTGGGGTTGAATTTCCTCTCTCACCAAAAGGTGGATAATGCTGATCGGTGGCAAGCAACATCTGGCTCTATTTCTTATCCGAAAATCAACGAAAATCCATATAACGCTAAGAGACAAGGAAGCTGGATGCATCTAGCGCAAAGGGTCTAATAGAGAGTATTTACCAAGTGTCAAAACCGGCAATTTACACTTCGCCACATTAAAAGGTGGTTGCCGAAACCGTCAATTTTGACCTATTTCTCGAGGTGGGGATATAGGATACGCATGGAGATGTTTTCTATACTGCGTATAGTTCACATCCTGCGAGCGTATTTCCCAGTAAGCGTGAAGAACTATTTATCTACAGAGTTTCTCCCATCATACCTTGTGAGTGAGGGGAACTGTCATTTTCAAAGTGTCAATTCTCGGATTTGACACTTAATAAATACTCTCTAATGGGGAAGTTAATTAAAACTCGGTTGTATTATAGACGACTTCCCTAGCCACTCGGATTATTTGTATGGGATGGCGGTGATCTTTCATACAAATTATCCCTGTCTCCGTCACTTGCATTTTCTGGTTCTTTTCATGGTAAACGAATATATCTCTTTTTTGCTAAATCTGTCAACACTCAGTGTCCGTTCGATAGTTACTCAGTGCCCGTCGATACTCAGTGAACGACTAGAGTGGAGTTGATTCGTATGGGTACATATATGATTTGTATACGGTGGTGACGTCCTTGGGCGGGAGACGTTGTATTTTCTGCCTCTACTGCCCTACCTGTGCCTTCTGGGAAATAAGTACTTCGGACCACAGTACATTTAGGCATTAGGGATAGACACACTACCATATACGGTAGTCATCATGTGACTTATTTAGTTATAGGTGGCTTAGTGAAGGGACCGTGCCACAAAGATAGGACTACGAGATGGTTGTCATCATAGACGTGTCGTTAGACCTAGCTATGAGAAGTGAAGTCTATCTCTCTTCTCTTCTCACCACCAACACAAGCAATCATAATCTACATTTCTAGATTACTTCAACAATATGGCTAGCTAAAGACTCTCTTGAACTCGGGAAAGTAAAGCGTTGTGGTTCTGTATTCGTCACCTGCACTTCCTAGCTCTTATGGCTGTAAACGAGTAATCATTACTTGCAATACCACAAAAAACCCACGAACTTTGCTAGCGGATTTGACTAAAAACTAACTTGTAGAGGAAATATCTGAAGCTGATCTCTGCCTTTCAGCCAATCATCAATGAAGAAATCCCTACACGGAGAGTTTCTGCGGTACTCTATATCAAGGATAACTAGGTAAGTACAAATTCACCACAATATGATGCTACCATTACTAAAGACTCTCCTAGCTGTATCTTCAAAGTACCGTGGGACTACCGCTGATTCTACAAAATGATCCTTACAAGCTTATTCGCAACTCAATCTTCAAATACGGTTCAACCCCGTAGATTTCCCCGGGCTAGCCACGGAAACCAAGATCCGCCCAATCAGCCAAGATGCCCTACGTGGTATGTAGTATGCAGTAAAGTGTGATCTCCAGCAGGGATTGAGTACCGATTCCCTTCCCACCAATAGAAGCACGTACATAACGATGCCCTAATTCCGATATACCTGCCTCCAGGAGACGCCGGTGGGTAATATATGTAATCAGCTGCCAGTCAGTGACCGGAGGCAGGGAGCGCTCACTACTGGAATCCTCGCCGAGATCGTTGGGGGCCAATGATAGCTATAGCGCCCTCGTATATGGAGTGTCTTGATTTCACGATAAGCTTGCCGGCCATTGTACTACATGCACCATGAATTGTGAGTAGCGGATGAAAGGGATCGGCCCGCTCTTTCTTGGAATTTGTATCCGAGCACTGCGTGGTCCGATCCGAGCTGAATATTTAACTGTTTATGTCCGAGGAACAGTTCAAAGTGTACAATGGACGTCTAACGCCTAGTCTATTATACATAACGCAGGGTTCACCGTGTGGGGAGGCCGGGGTGCATGTCTGGATATATAGACCCTTAGCGTAAAACTCAAAATTCAAGCCCCGCCCTTGAAATCGAGATAGGAAGCTTTACCGTTTCTGTTAATTGGTCATGGACTAGTGGAATTACGGCTGGGAATATTGAACCAACGTTTGTTCGCTGTCCATTGGGCTTCTGGATCCTTTTCGACGTGGGTAGGTTTAATTGAGGACAGGGCAGCTGATGTCTGTTAAGGGTTGAACAGTCTGGTTGACTCAAGACTCCAATCTTACTCCCCAGGCGCAAGAGTGGGGGGTATGGTTCGATAATGATAATATCAACTCGACGGGCCCAATCACCCTTTGTCATGGCTTCGATTGTGCCATGGATAACAGATAAGCCAGCGGCCGCGGATACAAATTGAGTTGGATATTCTCATAATCTGAGAACAATACTCTGGAGGCCCAATAGCATAGAAAGAATATCTTCGCTATAGTGTAACTCCAGATATCCAGATCCAAATTACTGGGCCGACTCTTATTCCGGTGCATTATTTGCCTCTATCTGCAAAAGAGACCCTTGACTGGCCTGCATGACATCTTCCTGAGATGTTTTTGACACCTTGAAGAATTTCGTGGAACCTTCATTAAGGCTATCTGTATACATGTATGCACCATGCGATGCAAGCGCTTATGCGCTTCAAGCGGGCACGCCTTGTGCCCCCTCATAGAGGCAAAAGTTACATGAACAGGCCGGAACGCGGAGATTGCGGCTGAGTGATTCCTCATGAATATGCCTTCACGTCTGTCGTTTCTGGGAGCGGGAGTATTTGACTAGAGTACATGAGGGTTGGGCCGGATACCGGACGACAACGACGACGAGCGGAACGGGCCGAACGAACCAACTGGATTGGGGTGTTTGTGGGTAGCGGGATCTGATATTTAATAAAAGCGGAAATGATCAAAACCCACAAATACAGATCTAGATTCCACGGCGGTTGGCAAATTGACAGACGGAAGGAACCCAAGAACCGGCACAAACTATCATTAGTGCATGGACAGACAATACGCGCAACTTGGTGGGGAGATTCGGATTGGTGTGAGACATGGGACAGAAGTAAGAAAAAACATCACCACTTGACCGCGGCAGGCCGCCCATTGTGCAGCAGATGGTGATACTAATCCAATTGAGAATCAGCCTACAGAACGTGTTGGTTCGGCGACGGGTGACGGCGAATAAAACACATGAGTCTCCCTCAAAAAAGAAAAAAAAAATGGCCTTCAATGGCGTTCGTAATATACAAGCACGAGTACACGTACGTTAGGTTTGGACGCAAGAGACAGTGTTGGGGTGTTGAGAGGCAAATTGCGATTTTGACGAATGTAATAGCAATTGGCAGGAACTTCTCACTGTCTTTGTCCCCCCCCCCCCCCCGGACTAAGGCAAGAGCAGTAACGTATATGCAAATATCTCTAGTCATGGACGACCGAGACTGCTATCTTTGGGTAGGTAGTACCTATTCCATTGTCTAGACCCAGGGGAGATAGGTACTTTGCACAAGGTACATCCCTTCGTGTGTTTTCACGACCAGGCGCTAATGGGCAGCTTTTACTTGGTAATAAACCTAACCCTCATTCTGTGAACCTTTTGCTGTAAAGTCACCTTCTGTGACCCCTCCTATACCTTTTTCAGGTGTCTCCACAGTCTGTAGGTAGCTAGAGTTTTTGAATATCACCACGCCGTCGCGGGCCTAATATGTCTCCGATTTTGCTTTGACGAACGAAGGGATATACTCGGGGCAGGCAAAAAGTACCGGACAATGCAAGTTTTGTCTCTGGGCTTTTTTTGCAGTAGTTCACGCCTAGCACGCGCGCCCATTGGTGAACCAAAAACCTACATTGTCCGGTACTTTTTACCTACCCCGAGTATGTAGCTAAGACCCGAGAGGTCGGGAGGGCCAAAGAGCCCACCCTTATATACCGAAATCAATAAAGTTGTGAGGATCATCGGATTTCCGGGCCAATAAGATATCCTCCTTCTGTCTTGTCTCGAAGTCTATCAACGGTCACCATACGGCAGGAATGGCAGATTGACTACCTGATAACTACTATCGTCATGCCAAGCCTAAATTGCCCCTGGCTGACTACTTTACATCTGACTGACGTTTGAGTCTGTTAAATTCGTCACAAGCTTCCGAAAGGAGTGAATACCAGGGAAAGGAACAGAAGTTGAGGATCAATAACGACGGATTATCAATACTCGATTACTTATCTTAGCAGCATTAATCCCCCCCTTCAGCCACAACGATAAAGGATGTTTAATTATTATAACAGCCCCGTGAACCATTCATTGGCCCATTGCTGTTGCGGTCGCCATTGCTGTAGACGCGGAAAAAAAGCCCGATCCTAAAGGACCGGAACTTTGATCCGACAAACTGTCAATTGTCAAGTTCCAGAGGAGGGCACCAGCCGGTAACCGGAGATCATATTCGTTCGGTACCGAACTCTCGGCTCCCTGCATCTCCGGTTTCTCTTCAGGTAAGCAAACCGTTTGGTGCAAGCTCTAGCTTCTTCGATCCTGCATAGGCATTATTGTACTGCTTGTTGCAGCCTCCCCCCGTTTTCCGGGCCCTCAGATTAAATTATAGCTTGATAGTAATTGGATTTGAAGGCATATCTCATGACAGGATGTGACTCTCCTCTCTCCTAGACCTTTTTTCGTAAGGGCAAAAAAAACGATCGAGTCGATGAGTTCAATGCCGGTGTTCACCTCCGACGCCACATTCAGAAGTGTGGGTAGGATTAAGTATAAAAATGTCCCCGACTCATTCACGGAGCGAGAAAGAATCAAGGAGAAGAAGTTGTTGTTGCTTTCCGTAAAGAGGTATCACCCATAACTTTTTATCTCTTTAATTGTTTGCAGGAGCAGCAACCATGAACTCACTCAGCCCTGAACTCATCCGTGAGATCTTTTTCCATCTTGACACAAAGGCAGACATATCACGGCTCCGTCTTGTCCAACGAACCTTTGCCCACATTGGTGAAGAAGCGCTCTTCACCTCGCTCGATGTTTCACCCACATTCCAGAGCTTGACCCGACTCATTGAGCTCTCCCGCAACAGCCACATCGCGTGTTTTATACGCAAAATCTCCCTCAGTGTCGACGCCATGCGGGTCATGGTCTGGAGTACAATCAATAAACATCTCGGCAGCAGTAGTGCAAAAGACGTTGACAAGCTTGATTACCGAACGCTGATCGTGTTCCGCAGCCTGGTCAATGAGTGTCAGGAGTTTCAGAAATCATCTGATTATGTCGCGATGCTCTCCACAGCCTTTAGCCGACTTACACGGCTATGCCATGTCTCGCTACTCGAGAGCTCGCCCTCAACGTCCGCCAATTCGGGGGCGGTAACCTTGATGGACCGCTATGCGCACACTATTGATCCTCCTCATTTCCACGGGTCCTGGGGCGAGAAAGACCATCTCCGTGCCTTTTCGGCGCTCATTGACGCCTCGTACTTCACCGGCACAACGCTAGAGTCGTTCAAGACCACCGGGCTCATTGACCAAATTCTGTTTGAAGACCGAGAGCTTCTACGCCGGGCAGCGATTGTGTTTAGGGGGTCTCGGGAACTGCGGCTTTTGTTTTGTGGAGAGGAGCAGACACAGACGCAGGTGACGGAGAGGCTATTCAAGAGCTATCTGTTTGATGTAATAGCCCCAGCCGTGGGGCTACAGAAGCTAGCAGTAGAGTTCAATGTATGTCCGCCCGCTGGACGTGGCGGTGCATTATTCGAGAAAGTGTTTGGCGGGGAAAGCCAGAGGTGGGAGATGTTGGAGGAGCTGGTAATCGGCGGTATCAACGTGAAGTGTGAGGAGTTGATTGGGTTTCTGGCGCGGCATAAAAGCACATTGAGGGTACTGCGGATGAGGAAATGCGGATTGGTGGGCGGGTCTTGGGATGATGTGGTGAAGTTTTTGGATAAGGATTTGGAATTAAGGAAGTTGGATCTGGATGGGCATATTGACTACGATTGACCGTTATGGATGGATGGCGCGTCGGAAACTTGTTTACAAATATCCCTGGGTTGTAGAGCGACCCTAGAGAAAAAGTTTTACCTTCTCAGTATCTCAATTCAATTTAGCAAAAATCACATACGGGGGACTGCGTTGGGAGGAATTGTTGGAAACTAATTTTGACTAACGAGTGATAGTTGGTGATTGTAATTTCTAATGGAACTTTCCGACGCCTGTGGCTTGCTTTGTATATGTACTAAATGTACATACTTGGACTAGTGCCGATTTGCAACTATTGTTATTATATTACAAAGGCAATAATATTCAGTGTACTGACTGGATCAACCCGGGAAGAGTGATGTACCTACTATACTCCGTTTAGAGTATAATAATATGGGTTCTGTATATATGTTTCCATTTATGAGGTTTGTGTATGTAGTATATACGTTTACTTTCCGACACTGGTTGTCACCCGACCCTCTTATATCATGTCAATACTTCAGCTGCCATCCGTCTAGTATACTCCCTCCCGATAACTCTCAAAACTCAAAACCCTCCACATTGAATATTTCCTCCCGTAAATTCAGACTGTGTTCAGACATTATCATATCGGAATTATTATGAGTATATTAGCGCTAACCACCACGTACATGATACAAGCTTAAGGGGTGTGAAAAGGGAAGGGAAAAAAAAGGAAATAATGACAAAGTTCAGCCCTGAATTAATATCCCTCCCGAGACACATTACACGTGCCCCCCCCCCCCCCCCAAAGGGTCCCCCGATCACTGTCACGCAAAACGGGAGGGGCTGACGCAATTTGTGCACCCATAAAGTCTCATATATCCCTTCACGATATGTTTTTGTTTCTGTCGTCACTGACGCTGCGCATGTCCCAAACAAGTTTCAACAGCTACATACATTAGTACATGTAGCTTTTAATTTTACTTTACCAGTAATGTATAATAGTGACTCATGATCGCGGTCCCGGAATCTAGCAACCCCTTCAATCCTAACTCATGTAGCTACGTACTTACATGTGTTTTGGGAGGCTTCTTGGTATACGGTAACGGTTTCTGATTTGTCCCTAGCTTGTTGCTCGACATATTAGTTACAATCTTGATTTTCGGACCTTCCTTAGCCTGACTGCAGCTGGCTTTAATTCGTCCAGCTTCTAGTGCTAGCTATCTAGGCGCTCCTGCAGTGGGCCTAGCCATAGCCTGGTACGAGTATAATAGGGGAAATAAAGTAACAAAAAAAGATTTGAGGTACTGGAAATACGAGTTTCTGGTTTTGAGGGCAACACATGACAGATACTCTGCAGGGTGATCCCTCGCTATCCTCAAACACGATCTTCATGTAGGTACAAAAAGTAAGTGCATTACATTTCTTTTTGGAAATTTTGGTCAATTCATTTACTTCATGGGGTATTTTGGGACGAACACGCGCATGCATACAGTACCAATATGATGTATTTGCGGTTTAGGCCAGTAGAAGCCTGGGGAATTTTGGCAGCTTACCATCCATATGCGCCGTAATCCGTGATATCCCCTCCTCCTAGCTGCCCCACCTCCTCCACGGCTCTCGACGGCTCACTGACAAGGTACGTACATATATTCCGAAGTGGGAGAGGAGCTTCTCCCTGTGTAATATCACCGAAGAATGGAAGTTTGGGCCTTTCGGGGTCTTTTCGGTTGGATATTGCTTGTGATATCTCGGTATCGGGGGATGATTTAGGGTTTATCCTTGCTACGATACTGCTATTTTGTGTAGTATGTATGTATATACTAGACGTAGTATTGTAGTGATTTTTCTAACCCTTAGAGCGAAAAGAAATGATATCGATCCCGAGGCTAGCTCGAGGGCGGAGATCAATTATAGGCACGAGATGATGCATCCCCGGTGGTTTGGTTTATTATTCGTTTACTTAGCATATACTAGACGTGAGATGTGCATGTGAGATGCATGCAGTGCGTGAAACGAATTATAGTGGGCCCTTTTTTTTCCCTCGTGTCTAGCAGCTTGCGCAATTGCATAATATTCCGGGAGACTCAGATCGGAGGATTACTTACTCAGTGTTTTTTTCTTCTTTTTTTTTCTTTTTTCTCCCTTCTTTTTTTCTCTCCCTTTCTTTCTAGACCTTTCTGACTGCCTTGTGCAAGCATAATATATTCCGGAAAAAGACTTCTTACTCATATTTATGATATGATTGTAACCTCAACGTGCACAACTTCTCCCAATATTTCGCCGAGAACTCCTAATATTTTCTCCATGTTTGAATTCAGCTCGTCTCCACACTCACGATTGAACCATCCCGTCTTACCCCGATAATAAAGGTAGGCGTTAGATGGTTTATCGGTTGTTTATCTCTATTAGGTCACCCACGCGATTCCACTCGAAAGTGCTCCCCTGCCCTGGGAATAAGGCATCGTGAGACACCAACTTTAGAAAGCCACTGTACTGTGACTGGTTGTGGTCGTAAGTATTAATCACGGTGGCTAAAAACATCTAGTAAATACCTCTCATCTTCAAGGTATTACCAAACCCTGGACCCTGACATATGAATATCATTCCACTCTTGAAATCTCGAACCTCTGAAGTCGACCCCCCCCCCCCAAACCCCCCTCTCCCTTTATTTCATAACCCTTGATCCCTGCCCGCTGTGCCCCGTGGATTTGCCATCAATTATATTCTACCGGAGAATTGGCTAGGGGAAAGAAAGAGGAGCTCGAGGGGGTTGTTCAATTGAATATCACAATTGAATTATTTACCCTCACCTAGCTCAGAAAAAGTCGGCATAGCGTACGTGAGACACAGATCTTTGAATTTTCTGTAGCCACGTGTTCCGCCGGCCCGCCCGGTAAGACTGTAAATCCCGATGATCTGCTCTTAAGCGCTTGGCTGAATATCTATCTTTTTTGCGTGTCTTTGTTTATCGATCCCGGAGATATGAATCGTGAGAAGGTGCCTGATCTGGAACCGAGGAGAGTACTAGTGAGGAGCTCTTCATACTGGTAGATACTCCCCATTCGCCGGAGAGTGTGCATATGTACCAGATGGTTCCGGTCTTTAGTCATTGTCTACATTTCTTCCTCCCCAACTAGATTTCACGGTCATTGATTGCATGGCGGCGTGCATGCCAGAAACATCAAAGACAGGATCTCAATATCAAATCACTTCTTTGAATCATTTCAAGTTACCACAACTCATGTTGTGTCACACCCAAAGCCAAAAGGTGACATCCGCTCCCCTCCACCTGCAACTGTCCCATCCAGGCATGTATGATCTGTGTTGGGCCTTCGATCCATTGATGTTGATGGGCATTTATATTTAGGATTCCGAGGCCTTGAAACAAACAAGGATCCTGATCCTTATCCTAATATGATCCGCAGTCCAGAGAGCTTGAGTACCGCTTTTTCGATCCACTTTCCATTCCTCTCCGCCGACGTGTCTATAGCGAGATTTAAGCCGTACCATGGTAACAGTCTGATACTCAATATCGAGTTGGGTAAAACTTCATTTACACAGATTAGAAATCATGTTTATCAGTATGACGGTAGATAGTTACTTGATTATTAAATATCTAAGAAGATGTAGTACCATACCAGAGTTTAGCCTATGGAATCGAAAGTGTAGGTGTTGTTGGGTGTGCGATTTCCTCCGTTATAGAAGTTTCAGCAGTGTGACCTAAAATCCCATACTAATGTAGGTACACATTTGGCTGATCTGACAGCGCAACACCGCACATGTTGCGTTTCTCCAAGAAAACCGAGAAATTCTCTGACCCAACAGAATGCCCATGCATTGCCCCCCCATGGCCATACCCATGTACGCATATGGCCTTTCTTAGGACCCTGAAATTATAATTTCCCATCCCAGAGACCCAAAGAGTAGTAAAAAGCGAGTCAAGGCTTGAGTACTACATGGCACAATGTCGGCTTTCAGCATCGGCCGGTGGGTTACCAGCTATATTCTGGTTCAGTCGTCGACATGCCGAGCCTTAAGGCTTAAAGAGTGGTTATACTTGCAGGTCTAAAACGCCACAATATAAAATTTAGTCCTCTTTTGATATTCTGCTTGGAATTGATTTCATGCGCATCTATTTTGGTTTCGGTGTTACTTGATACCAAGAATTTGCAACAAAAAAAAAAGAAAAAGGGTCATATCTCCGCGGAGACAGCCCTGAAGAAACCCGAATAAAGCATTACGTGTATTTGTAAGGCCTGCCTTAGGACGGAATTGCTGCTTTTGAGACCTGGGGTGCATCTGTTGGGTTTGAAAGTTGATAGGGGTAGCTAGACGCATTAGTAACTAGAGTCTGGTGAGTATCAGCTATCTCATCTCATTAATATCACTGGTATGCGGCTAAGTCCGGCCGGTCTAGCACTTACAGTACTGCAGAGTTTCCTCTCAAAAATCATTTCCGATATTACAAATGCCAATGGCCGAGGCTAGCCAAACTGGCACTTAGATCTATATCAAGATTTCCATATAACTTACATTTGTAGGGTATTCGAGTACTCTACACCCTCGAAGCTAACCATGTTAGAAACTTGGAGAATTTATAGATCCCTTGACCAACTGTGCTGTCGTACAAAGATTTCGGGTTTCGGATTCCTTGTTTGCGGGGGAGCTAACCATGCCGGTAGTTGTAGTTGACAGCCAGTCCAATTGTGATCCGCAAGACACAACGGTGGATTCGGAAGAAGTGGAGGAAGAAAGTATTTTGTGAGTCTGAAACATCGAATGGCTACAAATTACTATGAACCAGAATGAGCCGGATCATTACAAGACCGCAATATCGTGAGGATATCTACACATATGTATGTACTAGCTAGGCAGGCCGGTAGCTAAATGTAGCTGGGTATTCATGATTCTCAAAGCCGATAGTCAGTAGATGTAGAGAATGACGAACCCGCAAATAAACCCCGCAAACAAACCCCACAAGACACACATCTGGAAACACCCCCAACCATCCTTCTCGTTATCTCCAGAGTGAAGAACTTTTCCTGTTAATCCATGAAGCATTCAGAGTCACATGAGGCATATCCAACGTGACAGTCCAGGGATGTTCAGGGATGTCCATGTTCGCTTGCTTGCTTGTTAAAACCACGGGATGCTTTCCGTAGACCTAAGCTACTACTAGCCCATCAAAACAATCATGCATAAGCGATAGGTACAGCTCACCCCCATGAAAAGGCGTGCTTTTAATTCTGAGAGCCTGTAAATGGGCTGTCGGTATCCAATTGGGCAATATTGATCGACCTAGGTTCCCTCAGGTACCAGTCTAGCCAGTCACGAGTACCAGATCGATTTTTTCTTCTTCTCCATTCGTGATCTATACCAGGATAAGTTGTAGGGAAAATGTTCAACTAGGTTCTTCGGCGGAACCGAAGGCGGCTCATAGTGAACTAGGTTATTATTTCAAGGGTCCTCCCCGGCCTCCTCTTCTCTGACATCTAGCTTCACTTCGTTCTGAGAGATGTAGAAACCCTATGCAAACAGGACAATCCGGTGCATGTTGTTTGATCATCTAGCCAGGCACTTGCCACCTCGCCGGCTGGACCGAACCAGAAAACGTTACTGGTAGCTTCTCTTGGGTGCTCGGGCCTGATCAAGCTTGGGCAATGTAGTGATCATTCCTACTGGCTTCATTGTAATTGCAAGGAATGTCCCTAACGTATAAACAAGATAAATTAACTTATCCATGGTGATAGTACTGTATATATTAGTCATCTACTATAGAACATAGCGTAAGGAATTAAGACAGACCCAAGGTTCTTTAACGGCCAAACCGATATCTCTCCAGATGTCACAACGATACAGTATGTATCGAATGAAAGACATTGGCCCCCACTGCGATCAGTTTTATTTATAGAGGAGTTGCTGTAGGTACAATGCCTGTATCCGAAATGATAGATACCGGTTACTTGAGTGGAATAGATCCAAAAACATGTTGGCGTAGCCCACAAATGGTATCGCGACGAATAGGGATGAGGACCAATGGAAATTATTAGAAATCGAGGTTTTGGCAACTTGGTCGTTTCTTATCATGTGTAACCCCTGCTCGTGAAAAGGCTGGGTTCCCCAGGACTGTATGTAAGATGTAAGTGTACATGTAGTTGATAGTCCACTGCGCGTGTAGGCGCAACACGGGATCAACAACATGTATTGGGAAAAATCTCGTCTGGCCCGATCCCATAGATAGCTAACCTATATACACCCGAAATCCAACCGATCCGCGGGCCGCCCCGCGTTGACGATCGGCCTGCTGAACGACCCGTTCAATCGGAATATTTACCCCCTAATTTGAGTGGGTACATGTAGTTGTGGTGAGTTCTGTAAGCCTTGATTCGCGACGTGATTTCGTAACTGTTATTCAAAGGTATTTATCTGGGCAAGCATGGTAAGAACCAAAGTTTTCGGACTTCGGAGAGATTCCTGCACGTCCTCGATGCAGAGGCTTCCTGTCCAAACAACACAACGTCTTCCTATAGGCAAGCACCTCATGGCATAAGCAAAATAAGCTCCATATATTTCTTTTGTCGATCACTCTATCCGGCTTAGAATCAACCTATCTACAGATTCCAAGCTTATCCGAGTGAGACAACACGCGAGGAAAGGGTACGTACTTGCCTCCTACGGTCCTACCCTCACCAAGCCCTGTCGGTCACCAGAAGTCACTCGAATAGACACCTCTGTTAATGTACCTTAGACAGTGGAGCGTTTGGTCGCGAATCACTCAACTGCCGACAACCCAAACTACCCGCGATATTTAAGTGGGGTATAAAATCACCATTATAGCTCGCCAGCGAGCGATCCTTACAGATGGGACATCTTCCTTCTCGATGGTATGGTACCCGGTTTGTTAACCGAAGGAGGGGACAAATAACTGCCGCTATGTGGGAAATGAGTTAGTTGACTGGTCTGCTGGCGGGAATCCGGGAACACGTGACGGAAACAGGGATAGTTTGTATGAGAGATCACCGCCACTCCATACAAATAATCCTTGCCCTGAGCAACTGCATTTTCTGGTTCTTTTCGTGGTAAACAAGTACTCTAGAGTACATACAAGAGATCCAAGGTTCGGTCCCGCTTTTAGTAGGTCGGGTCGGTCCCTGATGTTGTGGGGATGTGAAGTGTCAATTAATCGGTGTTTTTAAGATCGAGAAGGTCCCGAATAAAACTACAAAGCTAGCTTGAGACCACACACCCCCCCCCTTTTTTTTAGTGGTATAAAACATTAAATCGAGATCTTTTTCTCTCCGTCTAGAGAGCGAATATTAATCAAGATGAGATTTTTCGTTTGATCTTGTATCAACCACAACAGCACTCGGGCTAGACGTATTGTTGGGGCGATCGTGATCGGGCCAGCCGGGCCCGCCCATTGAAATTATTGGTCCTTGGCTCGGGGACGTCAAAGGAAAGGAAAAAAAAAAAAAAAAAAAAAAAAAAAAAAAATCCTAGCCAGCCCTAACTACCTACATACGTGATCATTTCTGATCGGTCATGCCAGAGAACCTCATTGAACTGACGTAAGACCCGAATGGAGAAAGAAAAATAAATTCACTTCTGGTCCACCGACAAGGCAAACGAGTATTTGATGTTTCCGAATTCAACGTCTCCGAGGATTTCTATTGGCGGACTTCCCGAAACTGGGTGAGCCCTGACAGGTGTCAGGGTCAGATAACCTGGGATATACGAATACATATCTACCTTCCTCGTGAGAAAAAGAGGGAAATGAGATAGAGTCAGTCGTGGCCTACTCCAGATCACTAACTCAGTCAATATTTGAGCTCGTGCATATGTAGAGTACCAGCTAACGTAGAGTAAGCTACCTAACTTGTCATATGTGAAATCATACCAAATTACTTACTTCAAACCTCGCTTGCTTTCGGTGTCGATGATGGTGGCTCTCACTTTCCTTGGATCAAGGGAAATGTCAGAAGATCCTTGGTAACTATGTCTCCTTGGCCCCCTCGGATGCGGACGCCAAGCGATGTTACAATATGCATAACGGGTTTTAGTCTAACTTAGCTAGAGCATGTAGATTTATATTCAACCGGGTGCTACAGCATCCGACATTGCGTTCATGTAGGTATGGATAACTAGGAAGGAAAGAAAAGAAAGAAAAGAAAGAAGAAAAATAGAGAGATAGAGAGATAGAGAGATAGAGAGATAGGTCGCCGTCTTAATTATGCCCCTCGGGAATGGATTGGGGTACCGGTCCTCGTTACCGGTAGAGATGGTAGTATCAAGTGATGAGACGAGCGACAACCCCTCATCATAGGAAGAATATATTACGATGGATGGTTGGGTGATAAGTGCGTAGGCATGTCCTTAACCGTGTAGTCTGACAAATCATCTGGTATTTTTCGGGCATTGTAAGGCGGTCGGGCGGGATTATGCTTGATACTACATGAATTATTAGTAAATAATTTGGTTATCATAGATCGAAAGCGGACCTGTTGCCTTAGAAGTATTGAAACATTACAAAAAGAGACAGGAAACATGTGGCCAAGGTCGCCCGTACAGCTGTACCTCGGAAGGCTACATACTTACATGTAGTTATGGGGATTTGCTTTTGAATTTCAAGCAAAATATTCCTTCATACGCGCGATGACGATCACCGGCCTTGATTTCTGCAGCATTATGTGCATAACAGTACGTATGTAGAGCGCTCTACACACTGAGCTAGGGTTCTCTACTGGTAGAGTATCTATGGAATGCAGCTGTGTGGTACTCTACATGATATGGTATGTGCGACCTGAGTGAAAGAGCAAGAGCATTACTTACTTTACTCTACCTAGCTCCCATATGTGCACTTTGTCTCGGGGAACCTCTGGCAAGCGACCGTACATGCTAAACCAGAGGTTAGTGGAGTACAGTAGGGTAGATCTGAGAAAAATTCAGCTTGTGCTTCCCGGGGTGACAGATCTAGAGCAAGGGTTACATGATACCATGGCTTACTTAGGTAGAATACTCGTAGAGGTTTCTTAATCCCGAAGACAGATTTGTAGAATGTATGCACTCTAGGTACATACATATTGTTCCCTACCCTGACTCGATGCCTCCTTTAATCAATCGAACATGTCCGTCCGTGCTTCCAGTGTACCTGAGCGCTGCGCCCACCACCGCTTACAACCGTCCCTAGATTTCGGCAGGATGGATCGCATTTATGGATATTACAATACACCCATCCTTCCATTCAGCCCAGCGGTTTGCATCAGTTTATTGATATTGGTAACGAGGTCATAAATGTGGTTGATGGAGTACTGCACTCGCCTGCGCCTTTACCGCAGGTTCTGTTTAGATGTGATTTGCCTTATCGTTTGAACAGAATCGCTGTTGAAGAAATAGGGTTTCTGACAAGGTGCTTGTTCCTCACTTTGGCATTGTAGCACCCGCAATACCAACGATGAACCAGAAGCTCTGACCCTATTGAGCCGAATCTCATTTATCTTCTCTTTCCCCATCTACAATCCTCAGCCTCATGCGAAGTGGATTAACATTGTAGTACAGCCGCCTTGGGCTCGAGGCTAAATCATTATTGCGTCTCCAGCTGCCCGTTTGGGTCCAATTAGATGCGCATTGTTGTGGGGAAGCTTGTAAGGACACATTTTGTGAATGTATTAATATAACCGCAGTCGGGTGCAGTCCCATAGAGTGCTCGTGCATGGGAGAAATCATGTGGGTTGGGGTTGTTGACGCACCAAGAATCGTTTTAGTAAGACCCATTGGAGGGGACTTCGGATTCAGAAAAAAAGACGGGGATTGTTTGAGGAGGTGTAAAAAGAGGAAAATGTGAGGTTTGTCATTTTCCTTTCTTGGACCTCTTATTGGAATCAAGTGCTCGCTTCGAGGACGTTTCCGAAAAAAAAATATGTTGTTTCGCCTTTCTGGAACTAGACAGCCCTGGAGACTGGTTGGAGGAAACTATCACCGCATGCGGTCAGAGATGATCGACCATGCAATCGCAACCACGTACAACCCCCACTTTGAATGTGTGCTGTTTAGTCCACTCTGTCTCTCTCTTCATGTTAGCACAAGCTGCAAATCATCCTCAAATGCAATTAACGGTTTACCAAAATATCGAACAAATAGTGTGACTTGCAGAAAGCTAGAACGAGTTGGGTTCTGAACGCAAATTATGATTTTGCTAGTTTGGAGATCTTTTGTTAAGGGACACCTATCACTTTCTCGTATACATATATCCTGCTGATAAAAAAAACCTAGATTTATTGCTTAAAAGAGGTGTGCAAAAACGAGAGATTCTGTAGGCAAGAGAATTATTCATCAGTCCGGAGTATGCGACGGAAAAATAAAGTCCAGTCGCAGTCGGGGGGCTTGACGGCTACTTACACCGAGCGACGTCACACAAAGCGTGCTGTGAGGAGCAACTCTAAGCCTGACCTGCTGCAACAGCGTTACCGCAACTCAGGATGGTGGGTTGGATACAGAAAAAACCCGTATTGAAACACAAGAAGCCAAGGGAAGCAGCATACCTGCTGGGCCACCGTGGAAACAGGTAAGATCCGACGAGTTGTTGGGGGGGCGAATCTGAGATAAATGACCCCAGTCCTACTTCCATACATTGGGAAGCAAAATGCTGGTTCTAGGCTGATTTCTACGGTATGAGAAGATAGGTGGACGTCAAATTCATCTTCAGAGAGGAGGTAGTATTGAAACCCAACCCTAGAGAAGAGAGAGGAGAGAAAAATTGTCTAGGGGAGATGGATGCAAAGCTATTATGCCATATTGTGCCATACCCATACCGGACCAGAGTTGAGTGGTCGGTCAGTGGGTGTGTGGATGCGCACCGCCGAGAGGCTTGCAGAGACATCGTACTCCACCACCTCCACCACCACCACCATCATCACCTCGTCTCTACCCTACCCGCAAGACACCCTGTAAGGTGAATGCAGGAAACGGGGGGGTGGAGTTGGAGGATGAGGGAGGGGTCGTTGAGTGTGAGTGACCATGCATTACATGGGTCTGGCTATTCCTAGTAATTGTCACGTCCCCCGTTTTCTGTTGCGCGAACGGGCCTTTACAATTCCGACCTCCTGCATCTTCAATATGTTGAAGGAATGGTTGATTGATTGAGTGTCTTCTTACCAGTGTATGCTTGAATATATCAAAAAAAACTAGTAGGGGAAAAAGAAACTGCAACGACGGCCTGAATGACTTGCGCCTATGTGCAACATTGCGACGACTCGAAGAAGTGTAGCGAGTAAGTAAACTAATTGAACCTGACAGTAACAGAGCGCAAAAGGAAAAACTCCGTAACGTCGATCAACAGAGCTTCTATTCTGCGAACGAAAAAAAAGAGGGAAAATTAAAATAAAATAATTGATAAAAAGAAGCGCAAGCAGACAGACGGTATTGTGCAGACAGGTTGTTGGATATCGCGGGTCCTTCTGTTCATACACACCTGAACCACGGCCTCCTCCACTCACTCCCACCCTCTCTCCTAGTACTTTCCACTCCCACTCCCACCCCCCTATACTTTTTTACTTTCCTTTTTTGTTACGGAGGAATTGAGAGAAAACTGCCAATTCGAACGCAAGGTGTGGTTTCTGGTTTCTTGGATCGTAAATAAGTGGACGAGCCACCCCCAAGGAGCTCCTTGGCTGGCCCTAGTTGGTTTACTGAATTATCGCGGGGCACGTTCGTTGTGTGCATCGCGAGTGAAAAGAGAGCTGCTGCTACCACTGCTGCTGCCCCCCCTCTACCCCAAGAAATAGGGTCGCAGGGTGGTGCCCACGATCTCTCACCAGTACCCCGTTCGCAAAGGTACCTATCGCATCTAAAATCGTATCAGGCCTGCTGCTCTCGCTCCTCTAGGCGCACCTGGCGCCGATCCAACAACCGGAAGGGAGCCCGCCCACTTTTACTGCTGATATCAAAGAGCCTCAACCATTTCTTCCCACCAACCTCACCATCTCCAACTATTGGGGCCCACCGGCCTGACGTCTGTCGCGACTAAGCATTCTAGTCTGACGACTCGCAACGGCAACATTAGTAGGGAGAGAAGGCCTTGTATTGGACTCGGATTTCTTGGGGCTTGACGTGAGCTGTCATCTATCTAATGCTTTATATTCTTTCTGGAAGCTAACCACCTTTTTTCCACGCAGGAACCGGCGATCTCTCGCAGTAATAAGTGAGCGAGAAAAGAAAAAAAAAATTAAGGAGTAGTCATCTGCTCTGGCACATCCTGAGCTTCATAATACTAGAAGCTTCATCGCCAAAGAGATACTAAACATTGTTTCTCAATCCGTGACGCAGCTTTCCATGAATTCCATCAGACACTTGTGAAAGATTCGGAGTGGTATAATACGGCCTTCTGTATACGTTCGACTCCCGTCATCATTTTCGCTGTCGAATGATCAGCTTGATATATATCTGCCCTTACAGTCTTCCACAAATACCCCGCTCGTCAGCTCTTCGCTATAGCACCGACAGTGCGCTTGTCCTCAACAATCCTCTGTACCCCAAACAACTTACCCCAAGGTTTGCTATTCTCGATATCGAGTTATCGTGAGACATTTGAATATATTCCAAAGGTGGGACCTCTTCCGACTCACACTACCGGGTTTTTATTGATTTGGTCCTCAGAGCTATAAGCCCAAGGTTATATATTTTCCTTTTGCGACCTTGTCAAAAGTTACTTTTCCTACGCGAATCCTTTTTTTTTCCCTTTCTCCTTCACCCCGCACCCACCCCCTCCTACCCCCCTAGAACCTTACTTTACAGTCGACCATACCCGAGACAGCTCGCCAGACCATCATTTCATCCGATCTTCAAAACTGCCCTGAGGCTGTTGTGGAAGTGCATCCTTTTCGATGTCGGAGAATAGTAGCCACGACACACACCCCTATGCCCCCGCTGCCCAGAAGATTCCTCAAACCTCTCTTCCCAGCGGGAGTGGTGTTCATCCGACCCCTAATCCCCGGCACAACTCCATCTACAGCGCATCGAACGAGTCTCCTGGCAGTGATGTGGTCATGAACGGTGTCAATGTTGGCGAACAAGGCCACCACTATCATTATCCAAGTGCTCCCGGTTCGACTCCCAGAACCGCTTACCCTAATGGCGCATCAAATGGTGCTGCGTCTCATAATAAATGGGCGGGTTCATACTACCAGGTTAATCCCTATATGAATCATCACAGTGATCCCGATCACACACGGCATATAACTTCTCCAATAGTCTCTCCCCATGGTGTCCAGTACCAGCAAGCAGCGCACACATGGGACCCAACGCGATCTCTAAATCAACGATCACAGCCCTCGCTGCAAGATCAAAACTACCCACAAAGCAGAACCCTATACAACAGCAACCCATCCTATGGACGGCCGCCACATCACCCGGTTGAACCGACAGCCACTGCACCCTCACCTCCAAATCCATACCCCAGTTCCCCACGAACTCCCCAAGCAACAGGAACGAGCCAACTGCCACCTTCAAATGGTCTAGTAATAGCTCCAGGTCACAAGCAATCGCTCAACACCATTGGCCCTGTTTCCTCTATGTCCTCCATCAACGGTAATATCCATCAGCAAGAACTGCAAGAGCAGAGACGGGAGTACCAACAGAATTCACATATTGATAACCACCAGCAACACCATCAAGTTTCTGACCGGGGTGCTTTTGTAGAGACATTACATGATCCCCCGGCAAGATATTCCCCATTACAGCAGACTAACCGTCTGCTAAATACTGGGGGCGCCAGGCGGTCATCAGGGATGGATATGCGAGTTGATGCCGGAAGAGACCGAATAGCTCCTCATCCGTTTGGTGCTACTGCGCCGACAAACTCGCAGTCCAACTACTACTACAACAGCTCCCCGTTGTCACCGGTTTCAAAAATCAACACCTCACTGAACGAAACTCTGCATTCTGGGCGCTATCAGTATAACGGTGCACAAAGTGGTGGATTTCGCTACGAAGGAAACAAAGGTGCCAACGAGAGAGCTAATTCCGAGGAGCAACATTCCTATCTTACAAGGTCAGAACCACAGTTCACGGGACTGCAGCGTCCAG